TTTTGAGGGTGAAAAAGTGAAAAGTTTTTGGAAAGAATTTTCATTTACTTTTTCTCTTCCATTTGGGTAAATTGAAAAGTATTTTTTTTTTGTCTCAAAAGCAGAGAAAATAAAAACTTTTGGGGATTTGATAATTGATATCTGTAATACTTTAGCTATCCAATTCAAAAGATTTTAAAGTCTTCAAATTACTTTAACTGGACCTTTTTATTAGACACCAAACAGAAAGAACTTGTAAATATATTCAGTTTTACAATACTATATACTATGATTATTATTCATATAATCTTTTTGTTCATAAAATCGTTTATCAGAATATGGATCGAAGATGTCCAAGCTACGAACGATTGTCGTCGGATTCGTCAAGCCTCACAGGGACAAGACCAGACACTGAAACTCCCAATCTCGATTTTACTTTAGCTACACCAAATCTTTCTCCCTAGTTCACTATATCTATACGATAAAAAATATGTTAAATATATATAAATCTCAAACTTTAAAGTTATGCTTAAGTTATGAAAAGAAGAAGATGAAATGACGTGTATTTTCTTGGATTATTTTTGATAAAGAAATTCTTCGATTATTGATTTGTTCTTTTGTCCTTTAAAATTTGAGATGCTTTTTCTTTTTTTGGTTCGTCGATTTGAGATGCTTGTATATGCAGACTTCTTGTCGCAAAAAAGTGGAATTAAATTATTTGGTCATCATTACAGCGATGCAAAGCGACGACTGATCCACGTGTCCTAATCGGACTGCTTTATTACTGAACACATTGTTATCTGACACGTGCCGGACGTTGACGCATCATAGACTTTCACACTATTTTTCCTTCCCAATATTCGATGTTTGGTAAAGACAAAAAAAGAGAATAATACGTTATCTGAATTCTGAATGGATATTTCAACAATAAATAAACGAAAAATGATTTTTTTGTTTTATTTTTTTTAAAAGTGAAAATCGGTTTTCATTTGAAAAATCTTAACAATCTTATGAGATATCCATAAAACACTTGTCTTTTTAAGTGGTTCATATATTTTCAAAATTTTAAATTTAAATAAATAGCTACATTAGATTTTTTTTTTTTTTTTTAAATCCTAAAGTACCTGATATTAATGGCAACTTCTATTTGTATAAAAATATTAAAAACATATAACAAGAGCTTAAATTCACGAACAATAGGTTAGCTAATAAAGAACATACCTTAATTATCTACTCATTTATTCTTATCATTTTTCTTAATTTTTAGATTAGTCAATACAAATATATTAGATAAAATAGTCGGAGGCATGCATTTCTGTTTTTTCCTAGAACGAAAATATCATACTGTAGATCTTAAAAACTCACAAGTTGACTCGATTGTTAGCGGGTAGGCTTTTACTATTTGTTGAAGCTAGACCCAACACTTTGTTAAGAAGCCACGTGAAACTATTTAAAAGAAGAAGAAGAAGAAGACGTATATAGAAAAAAAAAAATCAATAACTAATTTTTTTTTGTATCTCCGTAAAATAACATCTAATACATTTTCTATAGCGTACCATACTTTGAATTTCATGAGAACTAAATATTTAACACCTTGAAAATTGTTAAATGAATGTACTACTTTATTCAAAAAAACGAACTCGCTTTTATTCTTCGGTTAATGTTGTTTATACGTTAAGTTTGTTGAAGTGATCGCATCTGCGTCTCACCTCTCCATCTTTATCGCCTTTAACACCGACCGTGCCTAGTTTCTCCATGGCACGTGCGAAATCTTCGAAGAAAACTGTCTGATTCTCCGCGTATAAATCCACAAACGGTCTCGTGCTCTTGTCTTTAAACAAGATGTGGTCGGAAGCCAACAGTCCAAGCCCACGTTTCAAGTTCTTGAAATACATGTTATCAAATTTTCCTGGCGTTATCGGGTCGAGAAACGCCGCCATCGTCTTATTCACTTTGTAGTCCTTGCAAAGACCTTTAAGAACGCCGGAGAAGTGTGCGTCGAGCTCTGGATCAGGCTTTGGTCCGAAGATACGATCAGCGAATTCTTTGCAGTGAGAGAATCCGACCGTGTGCCCGCCGCTTAACGCAACCATCTCTCTTACAGTGAAACCGTTCTTTGTGAATATCGACATCATGTCTTGCACCGTATGGTTCGGTAACGGTATGTTTCCTCGAACTTTATGGGCTTTTGATTCAAACCCATCTTTACGGCCCAATTTGACTTCATAGAAAGGCCCACCAATCATCGTGACAAGGTCACGCGTGGATTGAGCCAAGATGTCTGCGCAAGAGACCACACCGGGACAAGCCAGTTCGAGAGCGGTTTTGACGCGAGTCACGATGTCGAAAGCATCTCCTGGAAGCGACTCGTTGAGGTCGTCGTCTTTCTCAGCTTTGTTGAAAGAGTTTGTAGCGATTAGAACGGATCCGTCACATCCTTCCAAGAAACAATCGTGGAAGAAGAGACGCAGCGTTCCAGCAGCTGTCGTTGGCTGCGCTACTTGCTTCGTCGAGACTGTTTCACGAACGATTTTACCAAAATCGGGACATGTTTTTTGGTAGTAATCTTTCGTTAAACTCGTCACCGGTGGAGCCGATGATATGGACGGGACGACAAAGACTAGGACGACGAAGAGAGCGCCAAGAAACGATGACATTGTGGATTTCATGAGACGAATATCGATTTACGATTGATATGCTATAGTAAACTATTGAAATTGAATTTAAATCAAGACATGTCAACGAGGTAGACCACTCTATTTGATTGTTGCCGAGGAAAAGTAGAAGCATGTGTTACATGTGGTTGGAGTTTGGCTACTTTTCCTATTTTTTACTATATTTGTCATTAGTCCATATATAGTATGTGTCTTTCCTAATTTCTGTTATTAACTTGGGGAAGTGTCAATGTTGGTAGTAGAGCGTTGGATATGTGAAAAATATTGAGGTTAAGTTTGCATATATGTTTTGGTTCGTGTAATATCATATGTTCACTGATTGAAGTTTGGGAGTGATATTAGTGTGGTTTGGGTTTAAATGGCTTAATTATGCGTTTGGCTAATCTAAATCAAAAGGTTAATATATCTGTCAACACGTGGAAAGAATTTGTAAGAATATCAAACTTGTTTTTATATATATTAGGTTTTTAAAATAAATCACAGAATTTTTTTTAATAAAATCTGGTAACTTTTAAAATTAAGTAGATCAATACTATTAAAATCAAAATCCAGATAACAACTCTCTAAATACAATAAGATTGGAAAATATTTTACATTTGAATTATAATTGACATTTTCTTTGAATTTATGATATGAAAAATTACCTTACTCACAACTTTGTTGTTCAGCAGTGTATTTCAAGAGTTGCACAAAATTACCACAGTTAACACATTCTTTTCTTTTTTTCATAATGACCATTTCTCCTTGTTGCAAAAACTATCTATCTTAAATCATTCGACCGAATTCGATACTCATTCTTTGCAATATTGTCTTGTTTATCCAAAGCATGCTTGATAGACTGACCTTCTATTGATGTTTGTTTAAAAATAAGATTGAGGTTGATAAGGACATTTATTTGATTAGGATGATATTCAGAGATTGTTTTCCAATCACCAGGATTCGCTGGTAGATGATCTAAAATTCTAAATCATCTAAATCATTCCGATATGTAGTTTGGTGAGATGAGAAGGATGGATATTTCCTTTTCAAAAGCAATAGTTTAATAGTGAGAAGGCTTTTTTGGTCGTGATAGTGATTTAAGTTTTCTATCCTATACAAAGAAAACATAAATCACACATAATTGAATTATTTTTCGTAATTTTAAATATAGATACTAAGAAATAAGAACAAAACTAAAATTTTTAACTGAATTTGGAGGCTGGACTTACTTTACTTGCAGTTACCAAAGATCTATCGGCAATCGCTTATCATTATTTTTGACTTATGGAGGAAGACCAGAGTTTTACAAAGTGACGATCTAAATTCTTTGACTAATTGGGCTTTAGGATATTTAGTAATTTCTTTTTTCTTTCGTTAGTTTATACTTTATAGTGGACTCTTACTTAAAATTTTAATTTAATGGAATAAGGTGTCAAGATTCTCTAAAATTTAACCTGGTTCAGTTGATATAAATCCTTTTTTTTTTTTTGAACAAAGAGTTGATATAATAAATCCATAAGCTTGAAACCAATTGTTTTATATAAAACGTGCGTCGGTTCACGTAGGTCCGCTGGCGTCATGTGAGTGTTTGTTTCATGTGTAAAACGTGGAAGCATTGGAAGTGGTCCAGAAAATATAATGGAGACAGTTGTCCAATAATGTTGTAGATATTTTGTTACAGTACAAGATCAACAGTGATACAATCTCATAATAAGACCTCAACCACCATATACAAAGCATTCAACGCCTCATCAGAAGTCAAATCCAAGAAGAAGGCTTCACCGACAATTTTTTTTCCAGTTTCTCCAAACTCTAGTACTAACAGGAGATAATGGCTCGTTATCGAGGGAGATCGCTGGTCTCTTCTTCTCTAGCTCTTGTTCTGATCGCCTTAACCATATCACCAAGCCACGGCTTTCTCGGCACCGAGAAAAATATCAAATCAGCAGTTTTCTTATCACCAAAACTGGTGATGAATCCTGGATCAGTCACGAACTCTTACTTCTACGACATGGATTTCCCGAGAGGGCACTTCGGCTACAAAGGCTTCCACGCTGAAGTGGTCGACGATTCAGGAAACTCCGTCCCTCTACACGAGACGTATCTTCACCACTGGGCTGTCGTGCCGTACTACGTCCGTAAAGGCTTCAAGCTTTCGCAGCGAGACATGCCGACGCATAGGAATCTTGTTGTTGGTTCGAGATCCGATCATCATGTTCCTGTGGAAAACGCAGGGCTGTGCAAGAACGAGCTCAGGCACTTCACTGGCCAAGGATCAGAGACAAGAAAAACTTAGAGGTACGTTCCTGATCCTTACGCGATCGAAATCGACAAACCCGAGGAAAGACCTGATGGATACGAGTTGCAATGGTTTCTAAACATTCATGCCATAGACACGAGAGGCGTTGTGGACAAATCAGGATGCACGGAGTGTAGGTGTGATCTGTATAACGTGACCGTTGATGAGAAGGGTCAAGAAATAAAACCTGATTACAAAGGAGGTTTAAACTGCTGCTACGATAAGACAGTGTCCTGTGAGAAGCGGATTTGACAATGGGGAGAAAACAAGAACTCTGTTTCTCAAGTATACCGTGAGATGGGTTGATTGGGACAGCTCGGTTATACCAATTAAGGCTTATATTCTCGATGTTACTGATTCTTGGGAAAGAAAAGAGGGATCAACCGGAGATAGCCAAGAACATGATTGCCATGTCAGTTAAGTCTCTGTCCTTAGTGGTTAGTGCCTCAGGAGTAATTTTCTTTCTAAAATCTTACGATTTTGTAGGTGGAATACGATGTGAAACCGTGCAAAACCAACGGCTATGGATGCGTTGATGTCAAGAAGAAGAGCTTAATGATGCCGTTTGATGGGTATATTGTCTACGGCGTAGCTCATCAGCACTCTGGTGGTCTCGGCGCTTCTTTGTCCCGAGAGGTAATTTGCCTGGGAGATAATTAAGCTTAGGCCTGGGAGTTTGGGTTTTAGTTCAGATTTTTTCGGGTTCGGTTCGGGTTTTTTAGTTTTTTTTCGGTTTTTTCGGGTTTGAGATATAAAAATCTTTTGTTTTTTTTTTTTTTTTTTTTTAGGTTTGGGTTCGGTTCGGTTTTTTCTGATTGGGTTGGAGTTCAGGTTTAGAGTGAAAAGTCCTGCCTAATTAAGCTAATGCAAATTTCCTTTACGGAAACTGAGACTTTTGTGTTGCGGATGGTCAGGACGGTGAGGGAATTTGCACTTCGATACCAAAGTATGGGAATGGAGATGAACCTGGAAACGAAGCTGGTTACATTGTTGGAATGACGTCTTGTTATCCTGAAAACCCAGTGAAAGTGAGCTATGGAGAGACTCTCACTTTGGAGTTTAACCACAGTAATGCAGTTGGTCATACCGGAGTCATGGGACTCTTTCACTTCTTCGTTACTCAGCAGCTGCCTCAACCGGAAATCTCCTTGCCTGCACACCATCTTGTACCAAATCTCGGTTTAGGCCAAACCGGTTTCAATACATTTATGGTTTTTGGAAAAATTGACATGTGTTACTTTACTGACGTTGGTATTTTTTTTTCACTTATTTGTAGGCACAAGCGAAAAGCGTGAGCCTTTTAGCCTTTCTTGCAGTGACGGTGGTCGTCACGGTTGTGGTTCTAACAGCCGCCATGGTATACCGGAGACAGAACCAGGAAGATGGCTACCAATCACTTAGCACTTAAGAGTAAAACTATGTCATGTTGTGTTTAACTTGTCATTAATCAATTATAAAAACTAATTACTCTCTCTCTCTTCCATAATAATACTTGATGTTTTAGAGTTTTCACATAGATAAAGAAATAATTAATGCTTAACTTTATTGTATTACTTTTTCATTTTAAATAACTATTAACCAATCTATATAATTGAAAGGACTTGTGACACTCTCCAGCTGATGACACGTCAGCACCTACAGAGAGTGCCACGTCATCCCTTCATTTACTACTAAACCCTCCTCATCTCTCCGTAAAACGTTATCGTTTCTTCGTTTCCCTCCAAAACGATGTCGTTTTCAATTTAGGGTTAATATATTTTTGTTCACCCAATTCCTTCCTCTCCACCTCTGACCTCTCCGCCGAGATCCCCGTCCTTGCTTCCACCGGGACTTTCTGCATCCCTGCCTCCACCGTTTCACAATTTCCATGTCCTTCATTAAAACCGCCGGATATCAACTAGCTGCACGTGTAGCTATCCTCTCCTACTTAGGTAAGCACTTACATATATTCTGAAACAAATAAACAAGAAAAAAGGACGTATGTCTCATTGGACATATATATTTTTCTTTGTATCGTTCACTTTTATTTGACCAATCATGATTCTCATTACATTTGGACTTTATCACTTAAAAAAGGAGTGCACTATGTGTAGGATCATCTATAACAAAAAAAAAAAATAATATTCATTGGTCAAATAAAAGTGAACGATACAGAGAAAAATGATCTATGTCCCATGAGACATACATCCTTTTTTTTCTTGTTTATTTATTTCAGAATATATGTCAGTGCTTACCTAAGTAGGAGAGGATAGCTACACGTGCAGCTAGTTACTCAGCTTCTTTTTTTATCTTACTTGCAGAACCTTTATAGCAAAAACCATTTATTACCAAAGAGGCAACAAACAAAGGACGCATTCCATCAACTTGAAATATCTCATACGCGTATTCTATCTTTATCTTGCCAAGAAAATCGTTTATGATCACTTGCAGTGTGTTTTGTCCTACATTACGAGCTGCAAAAGAAGATCAAATTAAAAATCAACAATGACATGATTAATATGTCTTAATTGTCTCCCGAATTTTAATAACCTTATATTAATTAGCTGACATGATATATCTGTTTTATTCATGGTTGAATCAATGATCATCATAATTAAAGAATACATAATAGGTTATTTATAGTTAATGGTTTTAGTTCATTAAATAAAATGGAAAATGTAAAACAAAAAGCAGGTTTCACTAGTTAGTTTGTAGGAAACCAAAATCTTGAATAAATGCTAAAGTCTAAACTAAAAGTCCAATCACAGAAAAGGAAGATCTGTGTATGTCCTAGATCTATTTGCATGTGATGCCTGATCTAGCTTCAGATCCACAAAAAACTCCAAAAATTTCAAACCCCTCATCAATTCTAGCCTGCTCCTCCCAAATCCAACCCTCATCCCAGTTTAGCATAAATACTTGCAGCTTCTCATCCTCACCCAGTGTTTATGAAAAACAAATCACCTTTAATCTCTACAAAATATTTGCCAAATGACGTAATTGTTGAAGTTGTGAAACTTTTGTCATATTTTAGGTTGTGAACGTTCCAAGTTCGTTTGTATGGATTGAAAACAGTTAGCGAACCACATGTGCCAAGACAGTAAAAGAGACCACCAGAGAAAATAAATTTGCTGTACCAAGAAAAATACAGCTTAGGGCTCTGATCATGGATAGTCTTACACTCGGTTTCACCGAGTCTAAGAGTGCTGACTGCAACAAGATTTTCATCGGTGTTTCTCAAACCGAAAACCAAACAACTATTGGATGTAGGAGGGCAACTAAAGATAACATAATCATGATCATACTCACAATTAGGCAAATTGATGATCTTACGAGTGAATGCATTGAATAAGAATAAACCAGATGATTTATCTTGGCGCATAAGTAACCAACCATCCTTGGAGTAACATGCAGCTTGCATGTTATTTCGGGAATCTCCATTGTGTTTGTCACTGTTGGAACATAATTGAGTTTGTTCTAACACTTGATCTCTTTTAGTAACGGTTTAACGGTTAGGTTGTGATAGGTTTAGTAAAGAGACACAAGTATGAAGAGACACAACTCTTGTGTTATTGTGTCTATTCATTATCTATATAAACCTATGTTGTTGTAATGTAAATAATCAAATTTCAGATTGATAAAATCCAATTCCTCGTTATGTTCTTCTTCTTCATAAGACAAGAGATAAACTCTTATCTCTTGCTCTGTTTTTGTCTCTTCTCTTCTTACTCTGTTTTGTAATCAAAATCTAATATGGTATCAGAGCTTATGTTGGTCATGGAACCTATTTAAGCACATCAGAGAATAAGAAGAAGTCCGCTGCAAAAAGAAGAGAAAGATGGAGACTGATCCGAAGGAAAATGAAGAAGAAGAAGAAGAAGGCTCCGATGCAATGGAGAAACGGATCGGGGGTTCTGAAACTTGACGATTCCCATAGTTGTTGGGAAGGCGATGGAAGAAACATCGCTTGATGATATCCATAGTTGTTGGGAAGCGATGGAAAGAACATCGCATAGTGATTCCCATATGTGATGGGGATGATACGATTTCTGGCGTATGTAGATGTCGAGCATCTTTAAGACCAGGAAGTTATGGTCGGTGATTGAAGACGGTTTCCGTATTGACCGACAAAGGAGGATGCTTACCTCTGTTAAAAAAATGGAGCAAAAAAGACGTGAAGAAGAGTCAAGCACGATACGTCAAGGAGACGTCGTTGATGGTGATCCAAAGAAGACACCAATGGAGGATGCTTACCTCAGAGAAAAATGGAGCACAATGGAGGATGCTTACCTCAGAGAAAAATGGAGCACAAAGAAGACTGATTACCTAAGAGAAGAGGAGGCAGCAGACGGTTAGAGTTAACCGGAGACGTGAAGAGAGTCACGTTTATGACGTCATGGAGACGTTGATGGTGTTTAAAGAAAGACACCAAGTAAAAGGAAGATTGATTAAATGGAAAAGAAGCAGGAACCGGTTACACAAGTAACCAAAGAATTCGTGAAGGAGATTCACGCATGAGACGTCATGAGATGTCAAGGAAACGTGAGAGAGCTTGAGAGACTTGAAGGAGACATGGAGAAGGCTTGCGGGTCAAGAAAACCTAGAGTTCCAATGTCTTGATGGTCAACGTGTAATGAAGGCAAGAAAAGGGAATATCTAAGTGATGACAAGCCAAGGAGAGAAGATCATCAAAGAGGTGTTTCTAGTGCCAGATTTACTCTTGAAGAGACAGAGGTTACAAGTTCAAGGAAGCAACTTAGAGTTAGACCGAAACTCAATTAAAGGGGAGTGTTGGAACATAATTGAGTTTGTTCTAACACTTATAAACCTATGTTGTTGTAATGTAAACAATCAAGTTTCAGATTAATAAAATCCAATTCCTCGTTATGTTCTTCTTCTTCATAAGACAAGAGATAAACTCTTATCTCTTGTTCTGTTTTTGTCTTTTTTATTTTCTTATTCTGTTTATAAATAAAAATTCAACATGGTATCAGAGTAAGGGATCTAGAAGATGCTCATGCAAGAGATGACAAAGTTTACAAGTTTAAGGAAGCAATTTGGAGTTAGACCGAAACTCAATTAAGGGGGGTGTTGTTGAAACAACCAATATATTTTTTTTTTTATATTAATCAATTCTAGTGAAGATCTTTAAAATAAATAAATAAATAAAATATCAATAACAAATAAATCAGCTCAGCGGAAGCAAATAATAATTAAACAAGTCTAGCAAAATAATGCAAAACAATAAAACAGTAAACATCCTATCATCCCCCTCTTAACCTTGATTCCGCGATCACACAAATCTTTTACCTGCAACACATTGGAATGGAGTTGCGTAAGTATTTAATAAATACTTAGTGAGGCAATCACTCTACCTACGAGCCATTTACGCAATTTACTAGATATTTAATAATATTTATAAACTTCAATAATTATTAAATACATTTTCCAATTATTAAATAATTTTTAATAATTAAAACTCAATTTCTCAATTATTAAATAATTCTCATAATTAAATAATAATTTTTAATAATTAAAACTTAATTTTTCAATTATTAAACTCAATTTTCTCAATTATTAAACCAATTAATTAATTAAATAATTTATTTAATTAATTAAATCCGAATTTAATCTATTTAATTCCATTAAACCAATTAAATTCAATTGAACCAAGATAAACCAGAATCAAATTAATTAAATTCAATTAAACCAATATAAACCAATTAAATTCAATTGAACCAAGATAAACCAAAATCAAATCAATTAAATTCAATTAAACCAATATAACCTAATTAAATTCAATTAAACCAAATTTAACCACACAAACACACAATTCATCACATAAACAACCAAAATATCATGAAATAACAATTAAACACAAAAACTCATCAAGAACAATCATAAACCAAATCTAATCTATCAAATCGCGGACCCACAATCATGCACTCACCTTGACAATGAATTGAAACTGAAGAAAAAATGAAAGACGATGAACACTGCCGAATCGCGGATGAACAGTAACCCGTGAACAGTAACACCAAAGCCAAAAATAACAACTGAGGCTACAAAGATGAAATAAGCTCACTCCTCGACCTGCTTGTCGAACCACTTCCTGAACTTCAACTTCATCTTTGCCTCTGGCTCCCAAGTCTCCTCTGTAGAACCACTGCAATCCCACAAAATCCTCAGTAAGGGAATCCTCTTGTTCCTCAGAACCTTTTCCCTCCTCTCTAAAATCCTCACAGGCACTGCCGGCACTGTCAAATCTGGCTGAAGATCCTCTGGAATCCTAGCCACTAACTCCTCTGTAGGGTGAAGACACTTCCTCAGCATCGACACATGAAAAACCTTGTGAAAGGCTTTCATAATCTCAGGCAACTCCAGCCTGTAAGCCAATGGCCCAACTCGCTCCACTACTGGAAACGGACCCATAAACGCGGACTCAGCTTGTTCTCTGCTATGGATCTGTTAGGACCCCTCAACATAGCCATCTTGAGATAAACTCTATCTCCACCTGAAACTCAAGCTCTCGTCTGCGTCTATCTGCATAACTCTTCTGCCTATCCTGAGCCTCCTTCATGTTCAGCCTCACAACACGAACCTTCTCTGTCGTCTCCTGAACATAAGTAGCTCCATACATGCTGCGCTCCCCCACTTGGGTCCAGCATAGGGGTGTCCTACATGGCCTCCCATACAAAGCCTCAAATGGAGCCATGCCAATACTCGCCTGAAAGCTGTTGTTGTATGCAAACTCAACTAAGCTCAGGTGATCTGCCCAATGGCCACCCCAATCCAACACACACATCCTCAGCAAATCCTCCAAAGTCTGAATAGTCCTCTCTGACTGACCATCTGTCTGCGGATGATAAGCTGTACTCAGATGCACCTTAGTGCCCATCTCTGCCTGAAACGCCCTCCAAAACTCTGAAGTGAATCTGGGATCACGGTCTGACACAATACTAGCTGGCACTCCATGCAGCCTCACAATCTCTCGCACAAACTTCCTAGCCAAGACAGCAGCTCCATCTGTCTTCTTGATGGCCAAGAAATGTGCGGACTTAGTCAACCGATCCACAATCACCCAGATAGCATCGAAAGTCCTCGAAACAGGTAGTCCAACCACGAAATCCATCGTAATCCTGTCCCACTTCCACTCTGGAATGGGTAAACTCTGCAAAAGACCACCCGGAACCTGATGCTCTGCCTTCACCAAGGCACAAGTGTTGCACTTCGCAACCCAGTCTGCTACATCCCTCTTCATCCCGACCCAATGATAGTACCTCTTGAGGTCATGGTACATCTTGGTCGCTCCCGGATGAATGGAAAACTTGCTCGCGTGAGCCTCTCCCAAAATCTGATGTCTCAACTCCACATCCTTAGGCACACAAACTCGCCCACGAACCAAGATAGTCCCATTCGCAGAGACCTCATACTCAGAACCAGTCACTCTAGTCGCATCCAGCAAACTCTGATCACTCTGCTGAGCAACTCTGATCCTGCTAAGTAGATCCGCCTGATCCACTGCCTCTAAACCCAAAGGCTCCTGCGAAATGGCACACAAACGCAAGGTACTGATCTCGCCAACTAGAGACTCCACATCTCGCTCAACATGATGCACCTCTGCCACTGGTGGTACTCCTGGAGCCCCTGTGGAACCACCGGCGGAAAACGAGCCAATAGCTGCGTCAGCAACCCCACCACTAAGTCATCACGACCCGGAGCCGGAGCGCCACCCCCACCCGGAGCAGCCCCCGCTCCCAAACCAACACTGGCATCACCCGCCAAAGAAACTGACTGGGTCACCGACGCAGTATGCACACTCGGTGCCACACTCTCTCCCGACTCCTCCGGAAGTCCAGACCACGACCTCGGCCTGCTCGGCCTCCAGCTCTACCACCAGCTCTGCCGCCACGACCTCTAGCACCGCGCCCTCTCGCGCCACGACCTCTAGGAGCTCCGTCCATCTCACTGCATGGACCCAAACATGAGCAACTAGAAATAACACAAAAACACAAACACCAAAAACTCACCGCGGAATCTCCTTTAGCTGAAGGGGATGATACTAAAGCCTAGCAATTCTAACAGTCCTAAAACCGTCTAGGCTCTGATACCAAAATGAAACAACCAACATTTTTTTTTATATTAATCAATTCTAGCGAAGGTCTTTAAAATAAATTAAATAAATAAAATATCAATAACAAATAAATCAGCTCAGCGGAAGCAAATAATAATTAAACAAGTCTAGCAAAATAATGCAAAACAATAAAACAGTAAACATCCTATCATCCCCCTCTTCAGCCTTGATTCCGCGATCACACAAATCTTTTACCTGCAACACATTGGAATGGAGTTGCGTAAGTATTTAATAAATACTTAGTGAGGCAATCACTCTGCCTACGAGCCATTTACGCAATTTACTAGATATTTAATAATATTTATAAACTCCAATAATTATTAAATACCATTTTCCAATTATTAAATAATTTTTAATAATTAAAACTCAATTTCTCAATTATTAAATAATTCTCATAATTAAATAATAATTTTCCATATATTTTAAAAATTAATTAAATAAATATTATTTAATTATTAAACCAATTAAATTCAATTAAACCAATATAAACCAATTAAATTCAATTGAACCAAATAAACCAGAATCAAATCAATTAAATTCAATTAAACCAATATAAACCAATTAAATTCAATTGAATCAATTAAACCAGAATCAAATCAATTAAATTCAATTAAACCAATATAAACTAATTAAATTCAATTAAACCAGATTTAACCACACAAACACACAATTCATCACATAAACAACCAAAATATCATGAAATCCTACAATATATTAAAGACCATGCATTTTTGCTGATGTGGCAAGCTCTCCTTTTTTTGAATTCATTTTTGATTTTTTTAAATAAATTCTTTTTCACTTTCGGTAAAGAAGGCGGATCCTTTTTGCGGGTGGGTTTTTTTTAATCGCATTGGGCTTTATAAAATTTGAGATAACTTTATTGAGCTTAATAAAATTTATTATACATTTATAAGTCCATAGAAGTTCATATACCGCGTTGCCTTATTCGGAATAATTATGATATTTCGCTTATATTTTATTCCTACAACTTTGCCTTATCCAGACCTAATTTAATGTGTCTTTATTACCACGTATTTGAAACCTTCCATGCAAGGATTAAAATCTGTTATTTTCTTCACGTTCTCATATCATGTTCATATTTTATTTCCTAAATTTCATTTCGAATAAATTAAAATTCCTTTATTACTTTGTGTTTTTTTTTATGAGGGCGAATATTACTTTCTAAAGTGATGAGATCCGCATAAGTTATATGTTTCTAATTGTGGAAGTGACTATACCTAATGAGTCGTAGAATAATCTCTCAGAATATTACACCAAATTATACTAATTCGAAAAATCTTAACTTAATAACTTTAGTGAAAATTCATTAATAAATCATACACCTAAAACTGAAAGTTGGTCCATATAAGGTAAGCTATAAATAATTTTAAGGAAAACAAACAATAATCCCGATTGAAAATCTTTACGATTTTACCTATAAATATCAGCTCATAGTCCGTGGAAACCATAGGTGGAATTTGATCAATTTTGTTTTTCCTGATTTCGCAGATTGGAAATAAGGTACAAAAGGGTTATGTTGCTTGCATTATCGAAGCTGAAGATACAAAACCTTACGGTATGATAATTATCTCTCTCAATATACTCTTTGGTTTATTGTTTTTAAATGAATTCATCTGTTTTCTAATTTTTCTCCATGAATGTATATACAGTAAATGAGTGTTACATTACCAGTTTTCTTATTTTTGTGTTTTTTGTTGTTTCATAAACATCTAATTTTGACATTGCAGATTGGTGGTAGGATCTTTGATCTTTGAAATACCCGAACGCCAAATGATCTTTTGTGTTTTGTGTTACATTACATGCAAGTACAATGGTATGGTGTCTTTAACAAAAAAAAAAGTATAATGGTATGGTGTATACTATAATCAATGAAAGTGTTACATTACCAGTTTTCTTATTTTTGTGTTTTTTTTGTTTGTTTCATAAACGTCTAATTTTGACATTGCAGATTGGTGGTACGATCTTTCATCTTTGAGAAACCGGAACACCAAATGATCTTTTGTATTTTGTGTTACATTACATGCAAGTACAATTACAAGTATTCTTATTTTTGTGTGTTCTATTTTTTTTTTCTTCTAATTTTGACGTTGCAGATTGAAGGTAGGATCTTTGATCTTTGGAAAACCCGAACGCCAAATGATCTTCTTAGTTTATTAACAAAAATTATGATCTTCCGTATGGTGTAGTTTTTCAGGTAACTGATCGTTTTATCCTTTTTCATAGAGATATTTATTGTTTGTTTTCTTTAAGTCACTTATAGGTCAGCTATTGGATTTTGGATCTTGCACCAAACGGAATACGACACTTAAATCTATTCACTTGGATCTTGGATCTTCATTTGTAAAATCTAAACATGTTATTTTAAATATTTTTTTCTTGCAGATAGAACCGTTGACCAAAATTTATCCATCTGTAATAATTAGGTTGTGGAGAATGTAGAGAACGGTTGCATAATAAGCGTGTCACCGAGACTGCAACGTATTTGCTAATGGTGCAAGTGTCTAATCAACCGCCGTATTCATTGCCGTCACACACGGTGTAGCGATCCCTCTCTCTTTAGATCACAAGGTAACTAAACATGTCACTATATAGAATCCGTTTGTATGAATCCTAAAGAGTTTTGTTGTTCTGTCTTGTGAATTTGTGATGAACAACAGTTACAGCACCCGATTAATTGAATAAGATACAACAAGCCGGCGAGCTACTGGGACGAAGCTAGGGTTCTGGGAGTTCTTGCCATGTCTAGAGTGGACACATATATAAGTTATCTAAGATAACTGTACGATCTGAAGAGAGAGTACTTGACGAGTGTATTATAAAGAAACTGCAATCAAGGAGAGTTTGTGAGGGTAATAGAGAATGAATTGGAGCAATGAAAACTTAAGAAAATATATTTGAAAAACCAGCTTAGCAAGTATCAGTTCTTTCTATCAAAAAGATACAGATCATGTACTTATTCCATATTACGATTTTTTTGTTTTATTGCGACGGCGGAGCTAGGTGGCGGCTCACCTTTTCCACATCAAGCCTAATGTAAACATGTGTACATTCAAAATGAAATGATACATGGTTAGACGTTAATGAAAGTTTTCGTTTTATTAAAAGTTTTGAGATGTACATTCAAAATGAAATTCTACCTATTTAGACATGTATTCTTACCTTGGATCTTCGGACCCCTGTTTGTTATCTCGAAGTTGATTTCCCTTGAAATTAGTTCTGGTTTCATAACCTTTCACATGATATATGTGTTTTTTACCCTTCTTCTATATGTTCGATGCCTACTGGTGTCCTTTGTCAAAACTTATGTCGTCATTTAATGAAATTTAATGAAATTAAGTGTTAAAAATAAACTATGAAGAAGAAGCATGGAGAGGAGAGACTACCTAACCGATCCACAAAGCTCTGTTGCTTCCGCCGCTCCCTAAGTCTGCTGCCGAGTCTTGGTCATAATGCAAACCCAACATAGTTCCTTCTTTTAGTTATAAACACATAATCATTAGAAACAAAATGGCTCTTTCTGTCAAAATTGTTGGAGCTTGAATTTATTTTTCTATTGATGGTGTTAAGCTCTTAATGTTGAGAAGCTTAGTTTTGGAGAAAACAATGAACAAACTCCCCTTATATTTGTCTAGGTCATTGGCCTTATTATGTAGTTAAAACACACAAAAACACAATAATAACATATTCTTCATATTTTAAGATCTTCAATTTCAATTTTATGCCCTTTGCTTAGCGTAACATCCCGAGAGTTTTGAGGTGCCGAAAACAGTAACCTACAAAAGAAACAGAATCAGTTTGTTAGAAAGACAAGTCCATAGGTGTACGACTGTCTGCCAATGCCACTCACAAATTGAATAGATTCGATGATGAATTAAGGTTTATACGGTTTTACCAAATAAAATTGAGAAGATCACATAGAGAACGAGAGATTGTGGATGACAAGTAAAATTAACTCAATCATCATGCAACTCATAACTGTTGTTGAGAAAGATACATATTTTCAAAATAAATCAACGGAGGACAAAAGTTTTCAGAGCATACGTTGGTAAAAATAAGCGAAAGGATATAAATTTGTTACCTTTAACTATTCTTAACAAAGCGCGCTTCATCTCATCTTATTATTTGGTAATAACTTTTCAACTTTAAATATGTTTGCGGGAAATTTAGACTTAAATTATGATGAAAATCAGCAGAATTATATTTTGTATTAAAACTTAAAAATGTTTTTTTTCGTACATGTATTTTAAGTGTAATATGTAGTAGAAATTGCTATTTGCTTTCTTAATATAAATTTTAAAGAAGGTTTACCTTGACTAAATTTTATTAGCAATATTTGTAAAGGTTTTTTAGATTTAGTTAAATTATAATCTTTTGAACAAATCACATAATTAATGTATTTTGAAAATAGGAAACAACTTACATATAATAATAAACATAAATAAATAACCAAATATCTATCCATTATTCAAAAAAGCTACAATATTAGTAATCGAGACAATATGCTTATTATTCTATTAAAAATATTGATATGGATTGTTAAAAAAACAAAATAAATATTAATCTAAAAATAATATAGAAAATGACATATATCCATTCAATAATAATCTATTTTAAATATGAAAATTTTAAAGTTCAGGAAAACGAGTTGACCAACCTTTCTTCTTTGCATTTCCTCCTTCACTTTTATGGTCAACTCTTTTGGAGTTGAGATTGTCTCTCCTCATAGTGAAGGACTGTATTCGTGCTTCCGTAGTCTGCAAGGTGTGGTATAAATCAAGATTCTCTATTCGTATGAAAGATCAACATTTATTGCTTATTAAGTATTATCCCTTCTCCTCAAGAAGCATTGGGTGAAATGTACAATCCTTCTCAGGATGTGACACACACAATGGAGATTCCCGAAATAACAGGCAAGCTGCATGTTACTCCAAAGATGGTTGGTTACTTATGCGCCAAGATAGATTATCTGGTTTATTCTTATTCAATGCATTCACTCATAAGATCATCAATTTGCCTAATTGTGAGTATGATAACGATTGCGTTATTTTTAGTTGCGCTCCTACATCCAATAGTTGTTTGGTTTTCAGTTTGGGGAACATCGATGAAAATATTGTTGCAGTAAAAACTTTTAGACTCGGTGAACAGAGTGGAGAGTACTCATGTTCAGAGCCCTAAGCCATATTTTTCTTGGCACAACAAAATTATCTTCTCGGGAGGTCTCTTTTACTGGCTTGGCAGATGTGGCAAGCTAGTTTTTTTCAACACATGCAAACAAACTTGGAATGTTCACAACCTAAAATGTGACAAAAGTTTCACATCTTCAAAAACTATGTCGTTTGGCAAATATTTTGTAGAGATTAAAGGAGATTTGTTTTTCATAAACAATTTGGGTGCGGATGAGAAGCTGCAAGTATTTAGGCTAAACTGTGTTGAGGGTTGGATTTGGGAGAAGAAGACTAGAATTGATGAGGGGTTTGTGATATACCTCTATTTTACCTACTTTTTATGCTATTTTACTATGGTTTTCTAATGGTTTTCTAGTGGATTCTTGTGTTAAAAGGTAGTTTTTATGGATTTATAGTGCAAAGAGTCATTTTAGGTAAAAAGGTGCATTATGGAGCAAAACAGGAGATTTGGACTCTAAACCAGTTCAATGCCCCTGCATCAACTTTGGATGGAGCTAGAAAAAGATCTACTCAATGGATTTCATCAAGACCAGTTCCCTGCGTGCTCTGATTGAGTTAACTTTCCAACGCAACTGGAATGGCTTCATTTGGATGAGTAGAAAAGGAGTTATAGCCAAAAGAGTGAAGGCTGCTCCAGACAGCTATATCGAGAATCAGCGCCGAACGCGCAGTCCGGCTGGCCGAGGAACGAATGTTCCGCGCTCGGCCAAAACCGTATCCGTCCGACTGAAGTCTCGGCCAAAGTAACCGTTCGGCCGATCACGCAACACGACCCGGGAAACATTGTCCCGCGGTCGGCCAAGTCTTAAACGTTTCACGCCACGCCGCGCGAGCCGGTGATGGCGGGTTTAGATTGCCTCAAATTTTCACAATTTATAAACCCAACTAATGAGCTGCAAGTGCACAGCCGTGTTGTAGTCGGGGTCGAACACGAGGAGGAAGTGTTCTCACTTAACACCTTGTGAGATTGGTTTGTAGCTAGCTCGCAATATGAGGTGGTTTTGGACCTAGAATGAGAAAACAAAACAAAAGAAATGTGAGTGAGTTGTAAACAATTTAAAACAAGAGTTAGGCAAAGGACAATCATATGGAGCAATGATGAAAAGATAGTTGCATGGGATGTGTGTAGAGCCGTCTTGAACATGAATCACTAGTGTATGGTCTTTCCACTGTCGTGGCTCCAACCACTATGTTTAAAACAACCTAATATACTCAGCTTTCGTTGGCTATTAGAATTGCAAACATGCATTAAAGGTTCAAGATTCAATTGTTCACAATAAACCATAACTCAGCTTTCGTTGGCTATGATCTATTGCTCACCAAATACTAGTTTTGAGATCTAGATTCAGCACTGTCGTGGTTCTATTTCTCTAAGATCAGATTACTAGATGTACGGTAGAGTAATCATGCATTAAGCTCAAGTAAAGGTGAAGATCCATAAGATAAATCCCAATAAGTTGCAACACAATCAAATCATCACGGCCACCATAGATCTCCTCGGCCTAACTAAGAGATCTACTCGGCCATGATGCAAACAAGCAAGCAAAGCATGATTGTAAACATTATGCAAGTATTAAAAGAGATAAAGGGATGAAGAAAGCTTCTCTATTGATGAACAAAGTCGGATTCTCCCTTGAAAACTCTTAAGATCAAGTTTATAGAAATGGAAACAATGAAAAAGAAAGAACAAGAGTTGAGCGGCGCCTCCTTCTTCTTGGACGATCTCCTAGGGCTTCTCTTCTCTTCTCTCTCTCTCACACGTGAACTCTTTGGTAATTTTGGACTGGACTCGATCGATTCTTCTCTCTTCTTCAGCGGCTAAAAACATGTATATATGGGCGAAGTCGCGTAGGGTTTTCTTCATGCAAGAAAAGGAAAGTTTCTCATGCGCCGAGCCTTCTTCTCCACGTCGTGTATGGGCCGACATTGTACCAAGGAAAGCTCCAAACATTAGCCAGGCCTCTTCTCTCTTCGATCAAGGCCTTTGGCGCTGCTGCTCGGGCCATTAGACACTCCAAATCCTCCATGGGCTTCGTTTACTCGCTTACCGGACATGTCTCGGTAGAAAATAAGTCTAGGCCTCATAGTTGATCCAAATGTCTCGGTAGGGTTTTACTTATAATCTCCATCTTTGCTTATACTTAATGCTTGTTGTTAATCTGGCCAATTAGCATATGCCTTTAGGTTGATTTGAGCCTCGACAGTGCTGTATCATTCGCCTGAACTAGTATTTGGTGGGCAATCTCTTTTAGACTGCGACAGTTGATCTACTTGTAGGTTGTGAACAATTGATCTTGATCGAACTAATCCTTGATTTAATCACCTAGGGACATACCAAAAGTTTAGCGACTAGGTAGATTAACAAAGGGGTCGGAGCCACAAATTTCTTCAAAAGCATCAATATGTTCCAAAGGATTCTCTTGGGGTTTCCCTTGGAACTGGTTTTGTTTCACCAAACCAATAATCTCCGGTGAAATCTCATAACTTCTTCCTTCAGGAAGTGGTGGTTGGATGGGATTCCGATCTATTAGCAGTGTTGGATTGGAATCGAAGTCTCCCATGACTTCTTCATTGTGTCGCGCTCCATCGTTGGCGCGATTGTGCGCGGCGTTCAGATCCGGCGGATCTTCGTGCTGCTCGGCCAGCATGATATCGCTCGCGGCCAAATTATCTCTCTCCTCTTGATCTTCCAAATCACTCATATTAGGGCTCTTCTTTCAAGCTTAGTACCTGAAAGAGATAGAGGTAAGGTTCTTTAAATAGAAAACAGCAAAAAAGGAAAATCAAAAGTTGAAAATTTGCAAAAACAAAAAGGAAAAACGAAATTCTAGGCTAGACTATAGTTGGGAACTCGAAGGTAGCTGTATTGCTCCCCGGCAACGGCGCCAAAAACTTGATCGCGGGATCAGGTCTTCCCTTTTCCTATCCCTGATTCTGCAAGTGCACAGATCAAAAGTAGTAAACGGGTATCGAACACAAGGAGCAGATAAGTACACTTCGAGTATTGCAAGTCTAATATAGCTAGAAAACAAGTATGATTTAGGGTTTTGATTGTGTAACAAGTAAATCAAACAGCAGATTAAACGGTTTATGAAAATCAATAGAGGGAAACGCTAGGCAATGAGAAACTCGCAGAGATTCAAGGTTAACAAGATATTAGAAGGTTCGCTAGGGTTTGCGCTATCTAGAACTCAGGTCACGATTGTATGATCTTTCCACTGTCGAGGCTCCGACCCCTTTGTTAATCTACCTAGTCGCTAAACTTTTGGTATGTCCCTAGGTGATTAAATCAAGCAATAGTTCGTTCAAGACCCAATTGTTCACAACCCCGCATAGATCAACTTTCGCAGTCTATGAAGTTTTGCTCACCAAATACTTAGTTCAGGTTATATAGCAAGCTTTTGGAGAGTATATGAAACCTAAGATCTGATGCTAGTTGATCAGAAAAGCAAGCAGCAATGAATTCAAGCAGAGGCGAAGATGCGATATGATAAACCCTATGTGACTTCTAACAACCTATCAAACCATGAACTCTTTGATAGATCTCACAACCTAACTAGTGAATTACTCAGACATAATCAAAGCAAAAACACAAAGAGATGAAGAAAACATGATTGCAATAAAACTCAAAGTATGAAATCGTAATACAAGGGCGGCTCTCTTTCACAAGAGGCTAAAAAGCTATATATATAGTGCTAGGTCTTTTGAGGCGGCTTAGGGTTAAGCCGGGCTTGAAAATATGAAATGGGCTTCAAAAGGGCTTCGGGTCGACCGCGGCGTTGGGACGGTCGTCGGGACGATCGGCCGGACAGTCGGGTCGTGGCCGAGTCGGAACGGTCGGCCGGCGTGGTGGACGGACGAAGATTTGGCCGATGTTTCTCGGCCGGACGTGGGACGTTCTTTCCCGGCTCGGACGGATGCATCGGCCGTGGCACGGAAGGTTGCGCGGCCGCGAGGCTTGTTTCCCGGCTCGCGCGCTTTGGTCGTGCGCGGCGTGGCGTGAGCGTTTGGCTTGGCCGACCGCGGGACATGTTTCCCGGGTCGTTGCGTGATCGGCCGGTCGGTTTGGAACTTTGGCCGAGACTTCAGTCGGACGGATGACTTTGGCCGAGCGCGGAACATAGTTTCCTCGGCCAGCCGGACTGCGCGGTTGGGCGCTGTTTCTCGATAGAGCCGTCTGGACAGTCTCACTCTTTTGGTTATAACTCCTTTTCTACTCATCCAAATGAGGCCGTTCCAGTTGCGTTGGAAAGTTAACTCAATCAGAGCACGCAGGGAACTGGTCTTGATGAAATCCATTGAGTAGATCTTTTTCTGGGCCCTCTTAAAGTTGGTGCTTGTGCATGGAGCGGCTTGAAGTGCAAATCCTATGGTTTTGCTCCAAAATGCATCATTTCACCTGTTTAGACTCTAGACACTATAAACACAGTAAAACTACCTTTTTAGATAGAAAACCTGCCAAAAACCATTAGAAAACAATGCTAAAACAGTATAAAAAGTGGGTAAATTAGAGGTATATCAACTCCCCCAGACTTAGATCTTTGCTTGTCCTCAAGCAAAAAGAATCTAAATCCGTGAAAGAGGTTTGAAAACGTGGAAGCTCCCTTGCTCTTTTGAATATCCTGTGAAAGGTTCCTTTCCTGTATTCCACTATGAACATAGACAACATAAGGTTAGCTTCACATACACCCTGCAAGTTTAGCGAACAATACCAACCCAACTAGTCTCATCCAGCAATCCAAACTCTCTATTGCTAACCTCTTGCATAAATTTAAAGCGTGAATTCTTTATCAAGGGGACATCGATCAATTGAACTTGTTCTTACCCACTTGATCCTCTCCAAGATTGTCTTTAAGTGCAATGAGTTCTTTTCCTCTCTCTTTCTCACATCAGAACTTTGAAAGGTCAATTTCTCCCTACTTTTCTAGGGTATCATTTTATTTTTTCTATTGACCCTTCTTTCAACCACAGGATAAGTCTTTAGCTTGTTCCTTGTTTGACTAAGGTATTCCATAAGACATGAAGGTACAGACATATGCATTCCTCATGCTTACTTGTTTTCCTTGTGCTCTTTGAGCTTTTTCTCATAAACATTACTTACCATTTGGGATGGGAGAGAGAGGAGAACTCTTTAAAGATTAGACAAATCTTATTGAAAATCAAGCAAGGAACTGTCGACATGTATGCCAACCCCCTTGACAAGAGTAATTAAGATTGATTAAGGTGAGGTTAACTCTAGATTGCTTGGTTACCTTAGAAATTTTGCTGAGCTAGCATGTCGATCCACTGTAAGAGCTTCTGTTAGGCTTGTGCCTTTAGCTGGTTTCTGCTCTAGGGTCATGGATTGTTAGCATAACACTCTCAATTCTCAAAGCAAGTTCATAACTTCCGGACTGGTTTTTGACTCAATAAAACTTTTTGAAAAACATGAAACAAAGTGAATAAAACATAAGAAAAGAAAGAAAAATGCATTAGTAACACAATAAAACTCCCCCCAGACTTAACTTGCACCGTCCCGGTGAAAGCAAATCACATTAAGGTGAGAGGTAATATTCAAAACAAAAGAAAATTAAAGAAAGAAAATGAAAAGAAATGACCTTCAATGGGTTGCCTCCCATTCAGCGCTTTGTTTAAAGTCTTTAGCTTGACTGTATGGCACTTCCTTAAGGATCTGGTGGATCGCCAAGAGCTAGTGTGGTCTCCTGTGGTATGGTGGTGGAGGCTAGGTAGGTTTTAACCTTTGTCCATTGACTGTAAAGTCTCCTCCCATTGGGTCCCATAGTACCACTGCTCCATAGGGGCGAACTTCTTTAATCCTGAATGGTCCTGACCATCTTGAGCGAAGCTTTCCTGGAAAGAGTTTCAACCTTGAGTTGAATAGTAGAACTTGGTCGTTTGGCGCAAAGTTCTTTGGGATGATCTTGCGGTCATGGAAAGCTTTGGTTCTCTCCTTATAGATCTTTGAATTCTCATAAGCCAGATGCCTAATCTCATCAAGCTCATTCAGCTGAATCAATCTTCTTTCTCCTGCTGTCTTTAGGTTGAAGTTCAACTCCTTAATAGCCCAAGCTGCTTTGTACTCCAGCTCCACAGGTAAATGACATGCTTTACCATAAACAAGATGAAAGGGGGTGGTACCAAGTGGTGTTTTGAAGGCAGTGCGGTATGCCCATAGAGCATCATCTAGTTTGGCACTCCAATCCTTTCTTGTCTTGCCTGTTGTCTTCTGAAGTATGCTCTTGAGTTCTCTGTTTGAGATCTCAACTTGTCCACTAGTTTGGGGTGGTAAGGAGAGGCAACTTTGTGAGTGACTCCATGCTTCTTCAAAAGGTTGGCAAAGATTCTGTTTATGAAATGTGAACCTCCATCACTTATGACTATCCTAGGCACTCCAAACCTTGGAAAAATGATGGATTTAAACATCTTGATGACCACTTGTGCGTCATTAGTAGGGCTGGCAATGGCTTCCACCCATTTGGAGACATAATCAACTGCCACTAGAATGTATTGGTCACCAAAAGAGGTTGGGAAGGGTCCCATAAAGTCAATGCCCCAAACATCAAAAACTTCAACTTCTAGTATAAAGTTCTGTGGCATCTCATTCCTCTTGCTTATATTTCCCATTCTTTGGCAAGCATCACATCTTGATATGAATGCATGAGCATCCTTAAACATAGTTGGCCACCAAAATCCAGCTTGTAGGACCTTGGATACTGTCTTGTAAGTGGCAAAGTGCCCTGCATAGCTAGAACTATGACAAGCAAACAATATTCCTTCTACCTCTTCCTCAGGTATGCATCTTCTAAACATTCCATCTGAACATTTCTTGTATAAGTAAGGTTCATCCCAGTAGTACCTTCTTACATCACGCAGAAATTTCTTCTTTCTGTAGCCAAAGAAGTTTGGTGGTGGGTATTCAGCTGCAAGGAAGTTTGCTATGTGGCGAAACCATGGTGTGTTTGATGATGAGATCTTTGTTCCTGGCCTGTGATGGCCTAGTTGTCCATGCTTATTGCTAGCTTCAGCTGCATAAACTGATTCTTCAGGTAGCCTATCATCAAGGGTAGATTTTCTTCAACTCTCATCCTTGAAAGGTGATCAGCTACTCCATTATCTGCTCCTCTTCTATCCTTGATCTCAAGATCAAATTCTTGCAGTAGTAGTATCCATCTCAACAATCTTGGCTTGGCATCTTTCTTAGATAAAAGATACCTTAATGCTGCATGATCAGATGAACTATAACTTTTGATCCCACCAAGTATGATCGAAATTTCTCAAATGCAAAGACAATAGCAAGAAGCTCCTTTTCTGTTGTGGCATACTTGCATTGTGCCTCATCAAGTGTTCTGCTGGCATAGTAGATCACATGTAGCTTCTTGTCTTTTCTTTGTCCAAGCACTGCTCCTACTGCATAATCACTTGCATCACACATTATCTCAAAAGGTAGTTCCCAGTTTGGAGGTTGAACCACTGGCGCACTGACCAATGCCTCTTTGATCTTAGTGAAAGCCTTGTGACACTCCTCTGTGAACTCAAAGTTAATATCCTTGCATAATAGGCGTGTTAGCGGCCTTGCTATCTGTGAGAAATCTTTAATGAACCTCCTGTAGAACCCAGCATGTCCTAGGAAGCTTCTGATATCTTTAACTGTCTTGGGCGGCTGAAGGTTTGTCATACTTCAATCTTGGCCTTGTCAACTTCTATGCCTCTCTCTGAGATTCTATGTCCAAGCACTATTCCATCTCTAACCATAAATGGCACTTCTCCCAATTTAGAACTAGGTGCTTGTCTTCACATCTCTGTAGCACTCTTCCAAGATTCCCAAACATGATTCAAAGGAAGAACCATATACTGAGAACAAGTAAAGCGGTCTCTTCTTTTGTTAGTGCAGCATTAACAATAACAGGATATGTTTCATTAGGACCAAGATATTCATACCTTAGACCAACTGGGAGTTGTTTGAGCTCGGCTTTTGGAGCTCTAAGTGGGCACCATGGGTCGAACTTAACTTTGGTTTGTGATATTTCCTGATTCTTGTCAATGTCTGGCTCTTCCTCTTCTCTCTCTAAGTCCATATAAGCTATCAGCTCTTTATAAGCTTCCTTTGAATCCATGAACTTGACTAAGCATTGAGCTTCTCTTTCCATGTATCCATACTCATTCTCAGCTTTGTCAAAGCTAGCTCCAAGGGATCAATAAGAAGGAGTTCATCCAGCACTTCTTCTCTTGTCTCTGCGAGCTCTCCAATCCAAAAAGCTTGACCATCTACAGTTGGCTTCTCCATAGACTTGTTTACTTCGAAATTCATCACTATATCTCCAAGATGCAAGTCAATCTTTCCATTCTTGACATCTATTATAGCTCCTGCAGTAGCTAGGAATGGCCTTCCCAAGATAAGAGGGTCTTTAGGTTGGTGTTCCAGCTCAAGAACTACAAAATCAGCAGGGATGTAGCAATCTCCAACCATGATTGGAACATCCATAATAACACCAACAGGGCGGCGAACAGATCTGTCTGCAAAGACTAGAGAGATCTTTGTAGGTTTGAAGTCAGTGATGCCCAATAGCTTGGCCACTGAGTAAGGCATTAGGTTCACACTAGAACCCAAATCACAAAGTGCTCTATGGAAGTGTGTAGAACCGATCTTGCAAGACAAAACAAAACTCCTGGGTCGTTCAGCTTCTCTGGCATGCGATTCTGAAGTATGGCACTACACTCCTTTGTAATCATCATTGCTCCTTCTTCAAGACTCACATTGCTTGTGAGTATGGCCTTCATATACTTCCTGAGAGATGGAATTATTTGGCAAGCATCAATGAAAGGTAACCTTACTGAAAGTTGGCTAACAAGATCCTTGAGCTTTGCTTGCTCCTTCTCCTTCTTGGGTTGAGAAAGAACATTTCTGTATGGGATCTTTGGCTCATACACTCTTGGTTCTTCAGGTGGCTTCTCCACTTCCTCCTGAGTTCCTGGTTCTATTCTGACATGGACTTCCTTAGGTGGTTCAGTCCATCTCCAATAATGACATACTCCATTGGTTTCTTCTTGATTGGCGGCTTTGCTTCCTCTTGATCTGGGTATGCTGGCGGCTCATACCCTTTTCCATTCCTAAGAGTGATAGCTGCTACAGCTGCTCTCCTTGGATTGATTTCCACTTTTCCTGGTAGCACACCTTCTTCTCTCTTAATAGAGCTGGCTATGTTGGCAACTCTAAGATCCAAGTCTCTTGTGAAAGAAGAAATAGAATCCAACTTCTCATTCAATCTCGTGAAGGCTGACTCCAATCTCTCATCAATCAAGGCTGTGTGCTCTCTATGAGAACTCTTGATGAAAGTTATCAAATCTTCAAAATTGCTCCTTGGCTCCATTCTTCTCTTGTGAGGTGGTTGCTGATAATTTCTTCCTCCATGAACATCCCTCTTCTCATTGGGTGATTCTTGAGTAAAAACATCATGCTCTCCTTTCCAAGCTTCTTCTCTATGTGCTGATCCATCTATTCCAACAAAGTTTACTTCTTCTTGGAAACTTGGAATCAAATCTCCAAAGTAATCTTGAATTATTGTGGATTCAACTCTATAAGCTTCTCTTTGTCTCTCCACTTCTCTTCCTTGGTTTCTCAGTATCTCAGCCATCATGGCTTTGATTCGCTGTATCCATCTCTGTATGGATCAGAATTTATGGCCTTCACTGCTCTCTCATGCCCAATGAAGTTGTCACTGTCGCTTGAGGCTAGATTTTCAATCAAAATCTTTGCTTCAGTAACTGTCTTGGTCATGAAATTTCCATTGCTGGCTGTATCAAGAGAAAATCGACACTTCCCACTTATTCCTCTGTAGAAAATGTTCCATAGACTGCCCTCAGATAGTCCATGTTAGGACACTCTCTTGTATAGTCCTTGAAGCGCTCCAATGCTTCATGAAAAGGCTCCACCGGCCCTTGTTGGAAACTAGAGATCTTTTCTCTCAACAAGTTTGCTCTCTGCTTTGTGAAAAAGTGACCTAGGAATGCCACCTTGTACTCTTTCCATGTGGTTATGGATTGAGCTGGAAGAGACTTAACCCAGCGCAAAGCCTTCCCTGTCAAAGTGAAAGAGAATAGTTTGCACTTTAAGTACTCCTTGGGTGCACCTCCTGCACTGATGGTGCCACAAATTTCTTCAAAAGCATCAATATGTTCCAAAGGATTCTCCTGGGGTTTTCCTTGGAACTGGTTTTGTTTCACCAAACCAATAATCTCCGGCGAAATCTCATAGCTTCTTCCTTCAGGAAGTGGCGGCTGGATGGGATTCCGATCGATTAGTAGTGTTGGATTGGAATCGAAGTCTCCCATGACTTCTTCATTGTGTCGCGCTCCATCATTGGCGCGATGTGCGCGGCGTTCGGATCCGGCGGATCTTCGTGCTGCTCGGCCAGCGCGATCTCTCTCGCGGCCAAGTTATCTCTCTCCTCTTGATCGTCTGAATCACTCATGTTAGAGTCCTTCTTTCAAGCTTAGTACCTGAAAGGGGATAGAGGCAAGATTCTTTAAATAGAAAACAGTAAAAAGGAAAAACAAAAGTTGAAAGTTTGCAAAAACAAAAAGGAAAAACGAAATTCTAGGCTAGACTATAGTTGGGAACTCGAAGGTAGCTGTATTGCTCCCCGGCAACGGCGCCAAAAACTTGATCGCGGGATCAGGTCTTCCCTTTTCCTATCCCTGATTCTGCAAGTGCACAGATCAAAAGTAGTAAACGGGTATCGAACACAAGGAGCAGATAAGTACACTTCGAGTATTGCAAGTCTAATATAGCTAGAAAACAAGTATGATTTAGGGTTTTGATTGTGTAACAAGGTAAATCAAACAGCAGATTAAACGGTTTATGAAAATCAATAAAGGGAAACGCTAGGCAATGAGAAACTCGCAGAGATTCAAGGTTAACAAGATATTAGAAGGTTTCGCTAGGGTTTGCGCTATCTAGAACTCAGGTCACGATTGTATGATCTTTCCACTGTCGAGGCTCCGACCCCTTTGTTAATCTACCTAGTCGCTAAACTTTTGGTATGTCCCTAGGTGATTAAATCAAGCAATAGTTCGTTCAAGACCCAATTGTTCACAACCCCGCATAGATCAACTTTCGCAGTCTATGAAGTTTTGCTCACCAAATACTTAGTTCAGGTTATATAGCAAGCTTTTGGAGAGTATATGAAACCTAAGATCTGATGCTAGTTGATCAGAAAAGCAAGCAGCAATGAATTCAAGCAGAGGCGAAGATGCGATATGATAAACCCTATGTGACTTCTAACAACCTATCAAACCATGAACTCTTTGATAGATCTCACAACCTAACTAGTGAATTACTCAGACATAATCAAAGCAAAACACAAAGAGATGAAGAAAACATGATTGCAATAAAACTCAAAGTATGAAATGTAATACAAGGCGGCTCTCTTTCACAAGAGGCTAAAAAGCTATATATATAGTGCTAGGTCTTTTGAGGCGGCTTAGGGTTAAGCCGGGCTTGAAAATATGAAATGGGCTTCAAAAGGGCTTCGGGTCGACCGCGGCGTTGGGACGGTCGGTCGGGACGATCGGCCGGACAGTCGGGTCGTGGCGAGTCGGAACGGTCGGGGCCGGATGGATTCACGGTCGGCCGGCGTGGTCGGACGGATGAAGATTTGGCCGATGGTTTCTCGGCCGGACGTGGGACGTTCTTTCCCGGCTCGGACGGATGCATCGGCCGTGGCACGCGGAAGGGTTGCGCGGCCGCGAGGCTTGTTTCCCGGCTCGCGCGCTTTGGTCGTGCGCGGCGTGGCGTGAGCGTTTGGCTTGGCCGACCGCGGGACAATGTTTCCCGGGTCGTTGCGTGATCGGCCGGTCGGTTTGGAACTTTGGCCGAGACTTCAGTCGGACGGAATGACTTTGGCCGAGCGCGAAACAATAGTTTCTCGGCCAGCCGGACTGCGCGGTTTGGGCGCTGTTTCTCGATAGAGCCGTCTGGACAGTCTCCACTCTTTTGGTTATAACTCCTTTTCTACTCATCCAAATGAGGCCATTCCAATTGCGTTGGAAAGTTAACTCAATCAGAGCACGCAGGGAACTGGTCTTGATGAAATCCATTGAGTAGATCTTTTTCTGGGCCCTCTTAAAGTTGGTGCTTGTGCATGGAGCTGCTTGAAGTGCAAATCCTATGGTTTTGCTCCAAAATGCATCATTTCACCTGTTTAGACTCTAGACACTATAAACATAGTAAAACTACCTTTTTAGATAGAAAACCTGCCAAAAACCATTAGAAAACAATGCTAAAACAGTATAAAAAGTAGGTAAATTAGAGGTATATCATCCACACCAGAAGAGGAGATTAACCCTGAGCTGATCGAGTTCGTGAAGAGAGATCAATTCCATGATCTGTTTTCAGAGTATGCACTGGAGCACATAGATCACTTTGACAATCTTTGTGATTCCTATGGAGTTTTTGACTTTGAGAAGAAGATGATGCTATTCAGCACATCACTAGCTGGACCAGCACTAGATTGGGCGCAGCATGAGCCACTCTCTACAATCGAGTCATGGATCGATTTTAGAGAAGCTTTCTTGGAGATTTGCAAGGAAACCACCTTTCAAATCCAAGTACCACCACTACTCTCATCAGCTGGAGAGAGAGCGTGATGAAGAAGAATGGGGAGGCATACCACCCCATCCTGAAGTTTGAATGAAGAGCTAATCAAGCATGTGGAGAGGAATCCTTTCTACAATTCTACTTCAGAGTGTGCAAAGGAGCATCTATGCAACTTTGAGCAGCTTTGCCACGACTATGGACTTGGAGACAACCCCAAGAAGATACAACTTTTCCAACTATCTCTAGCTGGACAAGCCAAAGACTGGGCTAAGTTCAATGCCCAACATGCTTTCAAGACTTGGAATGGATACAAAGGAGCTTTCCTCCACAGATTTGCAAAGGTCCTATTTATGTCCCACCACCACGCCCAAGCTATTCACAACACCATCCATCATCACCAGACATAAACAAGACACCACTTTTCCCAAGGGAGAGCTACCAAGCTGCGCGCCAAACCAAGATTGAAGATGCTTCAAGAGTACTTGAGAAATCAAGAAGAGAGTACAAAGAAGATGGAGAGAAGAATCGATTTCATCCATGAGAGCCTTGGAAACAAATCTGAAGTCCTATTCAAGCAAGTGATCAAGCTTGATGAAGACATTAAGAAGTTAAGAGAGGATCATGATCGATCTTTGACCCTAGTTAAGCTTGATGTTGCTTCCAAATATCAAGAGTTGCTGAACAAGAGCATGAGAATTGAAGATACTAGCTATGGCAATAGCAAACATCTTGGATCGATCTACAACCGCCTACAAGCCCTTGAAGGATCATCTCATGCCAATTACAAGAGAGAGAGGAGTCCAACACCCAACCACCCTCCCTTTTATTGCAATGCCATCACAAGAAGAAGCACTACTCAAGTCCATGAGGACAATGAAGAAGAAGAAAGAGAGTATGAGGAACAATTGAATGATGAAGATGAAGAGCAGAGCATCGACATCAATGCTTCCCCAAAACAGAGCATGGATACACCTAGCCCTAGAGACCCTCGTTTCTCACCAAGAAGTCAAGCTTCTACACTTCCAAGATTGGAAGCAATGCAAAGACCATCACCACCTACTGAAGAAGAAGATACTTGGCAGTATGATCCCATTGATCCCAACAAGATAAGCCCCATGAAGCTTAAAGAGTTCAATGCTAAGGTGAAATCACTTCCATTCTATGTCACTTTTGAAGAAGCTTGGGATAAACATGGTCTAGTGGAGTTCTTTTTCACAACTAGTGAAAACAAAGAAGAGATACACCAACTTTTCAGGAAGGCTCGATTTCCCATTGCCCCTCATGGAGTCAATCAACCACCATCACCACCATCATCACCACCACCCAGTGGTATGTCAATTCCATATCAAGAGAGAAGCTTGCTGAGTTCAATCAGTTTGTCCAAACTCTTCCAGCCAGCATGTCTTTCCAACAAGCTTGGCGCCACTACCCATTCACCACCTTCTTCCACAACTGCAAGAGACACCTGAGGACATAAGAGAGCTTTTTGAGAAAGCTAAAGTTCAGCCAACCTTCAAGACCCTCTACAAGATTGAAGACCCAGGTCAATTCTCTATTCCCTGTCAAGTAAATGGTCATTACTTTGATAGAACACTATGCGATTCTGGCTCTTGCATAAACCTCATGCCAACCCAAACCGCCAAACTCCTTGGCATCACACGCTTGCAACCTGCTCAAATTAGTATTGGACTTGCTAACCATACTATAGCCAAGCCAAGAGGAGTTGTTGTTGATGTTCTTCTAGAGATTGGAGATATCAAGATCCCGGTGGACTTTCATGTCATAAACATTCAAGGAGGATGTGACACACCATTGATACTAGGCCGACCCTTTTTGGCCACTGCTGGAGCTGTCATGGACCTTCCAAACCGGCGAATGTCCTTAGCCAATGTGACAAGACAGTCTTTTACAAGACCATACCATTCATCTCACCAAACAAGCTGTCTTACCTCATCACTGCCCAAGGCCGCCCAAGAGAGCCACCAGACCACACTCAAGGTCACAATGAGACAAGAACTAAAAGACTATGTCTCAGGCCGTGCCCTTACCCCATCTCCAACTAAGAGATCCTATCAGTCAAGCTAATGACTAAAAAGAAGCGCTGCATGGGAGGCAACCCATGAAAGGTGTTTTTCTTTACTTTTCTTTTCAATTAGTTTTAGTTAATGTCTAGTTTTGTTTTGAGTTTTGGAACAGGAATCTAAGAACCACACAATGGTAAAGAAGATATACCACAAAGAAGAATGTCATAGTTGGCGTGACTTTGATGGCTGATGTACTTGCATTTTACATAGTTTTAGCACATCTTTTATGCATCTTTTGCATAGTTTTAGCTTTCATTTGCATTATATCTTGTTCCTTTTCTCTTCTTATGCATTCATGTTAGTTTTAGGTTGCATTTGCATACATATGCATGTTTGGCCCTTTGAATTAGGTCTTTTGGAGCATTCTGGAGCATATGGGACATAAGGAGCATGGAGGGACTTGGCACATGGAAGCAGCTCAACTGGATACGCAAAGGAAGAAGGGAGAAGCCATCTTGAAGACCAGCTCGACCGTCCACTCGACCAACCGGTCGAGTTGAGGAACTCGACCGGCCAAGCTTCAACTCGATCGAGCTGGGGAGTCAAAGTCAAACCCGAAAAATGTTGCTTCCCCCTTGACTTTCCTTTGACCCTAAACCTAATCCTCTTTGTATTTAAAGGCTCTTAGCCACGAAAAAACCACCAAGCTTTAGATTACTTTTGTTTTAGTCTCTTTTAATTTATTGTACTTTCACTTTTTAGAGATCTAATCCCATCTTTGTGTTCTTGAAGCTCTTGCTTCTTGAATCTTAGATCCTGGATAATCTCTCTTGTATTTGCACTTGCTTATTTCAATAAAAGTTGTTTTATTTCATCTCCTCTTTCTTATGATGTCTCTTTTATTGCATTTGCTTGTGTTTACATTCATGTGTAGTGAGTAGTTACCCATTGGGGCTTGAGATGGGATAGATTAGAGGTTTCTTATGCTTAATCATTCCTTGGTTGATAGCCCCCTGTTTCTGAGATCATTCCTTGGTTGATAGCCTCCACCTTGGGAAAGGGTTGGCTAGGCATTGAGAAGCCTAATATCAAGAGAAGCCTTGATACAAGGAGTTTTAAGAGCTAGATTGATTAAGTGTAGATTCCTTTGATTGCAAAACCCTGTCTTGAACCCTAATTCTCTCTTTATCTTGTTAAAGTCGTCACCTTTAGCTTTGTTTGTCTCAACTTGTCCCTAAACTCGATCGAGCTGGAACTTTGCTCTGACTCGACTCGAGCTCTTGGTCGAGCTGACACTTCACTGCTTTGTTTACTTTTAATGCACTGCTTTTCATTTTGTTTAGGTTGTTAGTGTTACTTCAAATCTTTAACTGCTTGCTTGACTTCCTGGTTGTTTCATATTCTCAAAGAGTGACAAGTTTCCCATTTTGGATTGATAACCTCTTATACTTCAATGACTATGATGGTTAAGAGTGATTGATTGTGATTGCGCCATACCATCTCATCTCTATTCACCCCTGTTTGCATTCCACCTCATTTTATATCATCCTTCATTCACTTCATCCACGCAAAATCCTATCATCAATGGCCGAGCAGAACCTCTCCAAGCTCGCCCATGTCCTCTCAAGCGCCCAACACACCATCCCATCTCATTCCATCTGCATCTCACCCATCCCACCTCACCACACTTGCATTCCATCACTACCATCATTCCACTGCATTCACCATTCTTCAAGTAACACTAATCAGGTTACATCTTTCTTTTTACATTCACAACCACTTTATTACCTCTTTCTTTAACTCCCTTAATTGGATTTTCTTTCACCGGGACGGTGCAAGTTAAGTCTGGGGGGATTGTCGGTACTAATGTGTTTGTTCATGGTTGTTTTGATCTTATAATTGGTTTTTCCTAACCCACTTTTTCAAAACTTCTGTTTTATTGAGTCAAAACCAGTCCGGAACAATGAACTTGCTTTGAGATTTGATAGTGTCATGCTAACAATCTATGACCCTAGAGCAAACATCAGCTGAAGGCACAAGCCTAACAGAAGCTCCTAGAGTGGATCGCATGCTAGCTCAGCGAAATTTCTAAGGTAACCAAGCAATCTAGAGTTAACCTCACCCTTAATCAATCTTAATAACTCTTGTCAAGGGGATTGGCATACATGTCGACAGTTCCTTGCTTGATTTTCAATGAGATTTGTCTAAAGAGTTCACCTCTCTCTCCCATCCCAAATGGTAAGTAATGTTTATGAGAAAAGCTCAAAGAGCACAAGGAAAACAAGTAAGCATGAGGAATGCATATGTCTGTACCTTCATGTCTTATGGAATACCTTATCAAACAAGGAACAAGCTAAAGACTTATCCTGTGGTTGAAAGAAGGTCAATAGAAAAAATAAAATGATACCCTAGAAAAGTAGGGAGAAATTGACCTTTCAAAGTTCTGATGTGAGAAAGAGAGAGGAAAAGAACTCATTGCACTTCAAAGACAATCTTGGAGAAGATCAAGTGGGTAAGAACAAGTTCAATTGATCGATTTCCCTTGATAAAGAACTCACGCTTTAAATTTCTGCAAGAGGTTACAATAGAGAGTTTGGATTGCTGGATGAGACTAGTTGGGTTGGTATTGTTCGCTAAACTTGCAGGGTGTATGTGAAGCTAACCTTATGTTGACTATGTTCTTAGTGGAATACAGGAAAGGAACCTTTCACAGGATTTTCAAAGAAGCAAGAGAGTTCCCACGTTTTTCAAAACCTCTTCACTAGTTTAGATTCTTTTTGCTTGATGATTGATCACAATTAGGGTTTTACTTATAATCTCCATCTTTGCTTATACTTAATGCTTGTTGTTAATCTGGCCAATTAGCATATGCCTTTAGGTTGATTTGAGCCTCGACAGTGCTGTATCATTCGCCTGAACTAGTATTTGGTGGGCAATCTCTTTTAGACTGCGACAGTTGATCTACTTGTAGGTTGTGAACAATTGATCTTGATCGAACTAATGCTTGATTTAATCACCTAGGGACATACCAAAAGTTTAGCGACTAGGTAGATTAACAAAGGGGTCGGAGCCTCGACAGTGGAATGATCATACCATAGTGTTTCAAGTTCTAGATTAGCACCTAAGTGCGGTAACCCTAATTGATTGATTTCATGCTTCTTGAATTGCTTATCTCAAGACTATCCTATTGCTTAGCCTTTCTCTCCTATTGATCTCACTTTCTTTATTACTTGCATGCTTTACTTTCTCTGCACTCAACCAACTTATACTTTTGCCCTAGCTTGTTCTCAAACTCATAACTTGTAGTGTGCAATCTGGTCCTTGTGTTCGATACCCGTTTACTACTTCTGACCTGTGCACTTGCAGAATCAGGGATAGGAAAAGGGAAGACCTGATCCCGCGATCAGTTTGCAATTTTTGGAGCTTCTTGTGCATCCGAACCTAGATCATGCATCACATGCAACATGAGAAATAAACTATTTTTAGCCGAGTCTTGGACTATTGTCATCTGGTACTGCAAATTTATGAGTTTAATGAAGAAAAGTATCTCCAGGATAATTTATGTGTTACATCTTGAGACATTTTCAAAAACGTTTCTTAAAGCGTTTGGACTGAACCGCCAAAACAGCTCTTAGAGTTTCTATGAAGCAATCATTCAACGAATATAACTTTGCAAGACTTTTGGCTTTGTCATTTTCATTTTTTTTCTTTGGATTTGCTGTTTTCAGTTAATACCTCAGTTTTAAAATGTATTTCAATTATATCTATATGATAATTTCCCAGTTTCTGACTAAACAAAAAAAAACTCAAAAAAGAAATTAACAATTAATTTTATAGTAGTTTAAATTTGTCATAATCCATAACAAACATTTTACTGTAGACATCCAATGAAATAAATCTTTGTTTTTGGAGATGAATTTTAAACAAATTAACTCATAGAACAAAACTTGCAAACTTAATGACTATGGCCATGAATGTTTAGATTTTAGATTTTGGTTTTTAGATTTTAGTTTTTGATTTTGGATTTTGGTTTTGGATTTTGGGTTTTCTGTAGATTAGTTTTTAAGAAATTTAAATGGTGAGTTATTTAGTTTTTGGCTTTTTCTACATTTTTTTTTTATAAATGTAAAACTATGGATTATTAAAAAGAAGATATTATTCCTTACAAAATAATAAATTATACTATGAAAGACACGTATAGTAAAGCACATAATTAATAGTTATATTTTTAAAACAAAGTACTTTCAACTAAATTTATTTCAAGAACTATGGTCAAAATATAGAAAAACTATTTTGAAAACCCCTACCAATCAAAGGCTAAAAATTAAAATGCACGTTAATTTATGAATAATTTCCATTCATAAATTAAAAGAAAAATAAATGATTGTTTAAACTTTCATTTAAAGTTATTTAAATAAATATCTAATTAATATAACTTTACAGAAAAATATTTGTTACTCACAACATTATGAGATGTCTGTGTGTGTAGAGAAGTAAGGGATTTGTGATCTTGTGAAGAAAATATTAATGGGTAATAATAGTAAATTGAAAAACAAAATCTATTTATAAAAATGTTGTCGTCAATATTTTCCGATAGAAACCCAAAAGTTATGGATTTTGGTTTTTGTTTACCAATTGGAAGTTATTTGGAAAAACTAGTTTACCTAAATTTTAGGAAATCCATTTATTAAAAATCTTGATTGGTTTACTTACATGTAAGTGGTCGGAAAGAATAAAACTCCTTGTCCGCACGGGAGAAGAAGAAGAACTGTCGGAGTTTCTGTTTACAACCATCAAAATTCGAGAAAATAAGAACAAGGAGCAGAATTATGAGAACCGGAGTGAGAAATAAGGGTTATTACCTGAAAGTGGTCGGAATCGTCGAGATTCGACCTTAATTGGAACTAATCGCACTCAAAATCACCGAGAGAGAACACAGAAGATTTTTTTTTTCTTTCTCGAAATGAAAGTGTGCAGCGACGAAAAGAGAGAAGTGAATTTATAAATTAGGTTAATTTTGGGTTTTTTTTTTTTGTTTAGTTTAATTTTTGGTTTGTTTTAATAGTGTTGGTTTTCGTTTTGGTTTGGGAAATGGAATGGCAATTTTATAATAAAAGATTAAAAGGTTTCTAAAAATTTTTACATGTCTTTCTACCCTTTTTTGGATTCTGAAAAATACAAAATTATTGTAGTTTTTATATATCTAACTTTCAAAGATTATTTTACTCTATTTTCTTTGAAAAATCTTTGGCATCAAGTAAGTCAGCTATATATAGGGTTCGATTGGTAACGTAATGGATAGTAGTGTGTTACAATTTTTTTGATGGTACGAAAAATAGCAGTACAAAAATAGGTGGTACAAAAGATAGTATTACAAATATTGGTTTTGTAAAATGACGGTACAAACATTAATTCTGATTGGTAACATCAGAGTAGTACAGCAGTACTATTGTAATAAAAATAGTAATTATTATAATAAAATTACGAAAAAAGAAGGATTAAATCAGGAAAAATATTTTATAAATAATAATATTTCATTTTCTATTTTATTTTCGAAAATATAAATTAGCAATACATTTAAGTTTAATTATATTTAAAATTTCCATAAAAGATTATAATGATAAAATTTTAAAAATATATTAAATTTTGATATATTATTATAATATATATTTGTCATTATGAACAAATCTTATTATAAAATATTTAACACTGATGTTTATTTTAAATTAATATTTACTAACAAATTATTATAAAAATATGGGCCCTAAAAATATCAATATATTGCTATTTATATTTGAACTAAAAACCAGAAAAGAAAATTGTGATTAAAGCAAAGAACAAAAATTCTGTACAATTCATTTTATATGTGTACCACTCCAAAAAGTAGCATTACATATAATAAAATAGTACAAATTGTAATACAGCATTTTGTAATATCCTTAGTTGTACCATCAAATTTGTAAAACTCATGTGATTGATTACATACTTGACATTACAACTTGTAATGCTTTGTAAAACTGTAACCAATCAAAGCCATAGTCTCACTCGTTACTAAGCAGGCTTACGATGGGCCATATATAATGTCTAGTGCATAGCTGTATTTGGGCATTAATTTTTTTTTTTGTTTATTTATTTATTTACGTTTTATGTTTTATGGATTTGAAGTCATATCTTTTTTGCTTCAAAAAAAAAAAAAAAACTTATTTCACGTTTCTTTTTGTAGCAGTTTATCCTTTGTTGATGGATTTATATTTTAGTGTTTCACATGAATCTGTAAAAGTAGACAACTGATTTTGAAAAACCTGAAAGTTTTTGTCTTTTTAATTATTAAAGAAAGCTAACATATTGTAGTCTAACTTTAATCGGAGGAAAAAAAAGGAATCATCCACAAATTGAAAAATGAAAAAGCACACATTGAAAAATTATTCTCATATTGAGATAACACAAAATCTAAAATTAGCAGAGTTCATCATCCGACACTAATAATAATTTCTCTAAAATGAATGCATGAACTTTGCTCAATAATCTGTAGTAATCGGCGTTTGAGAATATGTAATAAGTGGTGAGGAATAATCAAAATCCCAAACATCAACATTGTTAGTGACCGGAATTGGATAATGTTCGTCGCATCCTACTTCCATACCCATAACACGATCCCGAAAGTGTCACCACTGGCCAGGTAACCTAGTAAAATTAATATATTTCTATTGAAATTTGCATTTTTATGATATTTATTATCAAAAAGTAACTTTAAAAGCTAAAACATCAATGGAAACAAAAAAAAAAAAAAAAAAAAAAAAAAAACTTAAATCAAATATTAAGGAACGGAGAGAATAGTATTTATGAAAATTATAACAATCTTAAATTATTTAGTGTGAGATTTGGGGGTGTAATATAATAACACAATCCAGATCAGTTGGATGTCACAGTAATCTGTCACAAATTTAGTTGCAAATGAACAACCTGTACGTATGTAAAGTTTTGTAGCAGCTAGGACTTCGACCTAACGATTTCATTTACAAAATTCAAAAAAAAGATGAGTCAATTGAAAGGTTTTAGATTAATGTAGCTGGCAATATGCATAACGCATTGAACGTCATCTATTCTTCAAACAAGAATTATAAATTAGATTATGCCACTGTCCAGTGTCCACTACACCACGTCTCCTGTCTCCTCATTAATAATACAAGAGCCAAAGCTCAAGGGCTAAACAATCTCTCTAAATCACTGTGACCGTATTTTCCTAAACGAACTGAACGCTGACTTTTTCTTGTCTATGAACAGTGAACAGAGACAAATTTGTTATTACCGTCCATAACTAATTTTATAAACGACCCTTTTGTAATTATTCGAACTAAAGTTTTAAGTTGGTTAAAATAGTACTCCAAACAAATTCTGATGCGGTAATTATTAGCTTCTTTTGGTAGGAATTGCCAAATTGTGGAAGCTCCTTCTTTGTTAATAACCGTTATTAAGTGGAATTGCCAAATTATGGAAGCTCCTCCTTCTTAGAGATGTCAAACGGGCCAACCCACACCCAAACGGGCCAACCCACACCCAAACGGGCCAGCCCTCGGCGGTTTCACTTTGTCGGCGGATCAGGCGGGTCGGACCGCTGCGGGCCACGGTTTCCAAAAAGCTCGGCCCTAACCCGCACCGCATTATATTGGCAGTTAGGCGGGTCAACCCGCAGATCAACATATTTTGTATACTTAAAGCTCATGTCATCTTGTATAGCTTTTGAGACTGCAATTAACACTCTACATTGTCTGCAATTGTTTCTCTTGTTGCATGTATAAAACAGAACCAAACACGTGTTTATCAAGCTTGTAACTAATTTTAAAACGACTGCAAACACTTACTCATGAATCATGATAAAATAAACAATTTTTATGGCAGAGAGTGCGCTCCCAATTCCAAAAACTCCATGAAATTCCTTTACATAGTGTGATTTACAAGAAGGCTTCACAGTTTCCTTGAGACTCTCGAGACCAAGCTCAAGAGTCAAAGCCGGGGGCAATGTACGAGTCACACACACTTGGACCATCAAATCATCATCTTCATTCACCTCCAACATCGACCTCATACTCAATGTACAAAACAGTCAAGCTCAACCAACTTAACCAGAAAGAAGAACACATTCAAACAGTAAAAGGAATCACAGTTGTACCGTGGGAATTGAATCGGCGAAAACTTCTTTAGATTGGTCGATTGGAGAACGGATTTCAAGCTTCTCATGATTATTGGACTGAGATCGAGCTTTCCTAACCACAAGCACTTGCATGCAAAGCTCAATCTCGCTCAAACAAGGTCTAGAGATGATAATTGGCAAGAGAATTTTGTCGCTCTTCGTTCTGAAACGGGATGCCTTCGGAGAGAAAGCTTTTTGCGGATAACCCGCAAACTGACCCGCCGCGGATATGTCCGCTAGTAACCGCAAACCCGAACGGGCTGGACCGCAAGGCCCGCTAATTTTTGGGTCTAAATTTGTGAACCCTAACCCGCCCCGTAGCGGATCTAAACGGGCCAACCCGCGGGCCGCGGATAAAGGAGTCCTTCTTTGGTAGGTTTGATCGGTTTGGTTAACAACCGTTATTATATAATTAATGCCGTTCGTCTCGTGGAGGTTTCCACAATGTTTCAATATTGAAAACGGGTAATTAAATTCCTAATAAAAATCCAAAGACGTTTCTTCAAAGTAATTGATACGTTAGCTTCGTCTCTTTCTTCCCATATAAATAAATAACGTTTGTACTAATGTTCATCAAATCAAACACAAACTCCATAAAGACTAATACTTGAAGAGCTCTTTTATATATATCTTCGTGTGCAGTATCTAATCATGTCTATTAAAAGTGTGTTGTTTGTTATGGTAGTTCTATGCATTATCATCTCCGTTAATGCTCAACAACCACAGTTTCCGGCTCCATTTCCTTTCCCATTTCCATTCCAACCAATTCCAGGATTACCCGATTTAGCCAAGTGTTGGTCAACAGTGATGGACATCCCAGGATGCATTGCAGAGATTTCTCAATCTATATTCACGGGACAGTTCGGCAACATAGGTCCTGCTTGTTGCAAAGCATTTTTGGAAGCGGAAGCCAATTGCATGCCAAAAGTTCCATTCAATCCATTTTTCCCTCCTATGTTAAAGGAACAATGTTCAAGAATTGCTAGCGCAACTCCCCCTGCCGCAAAATAGAGTTCAACTTACCTTACAGGAATATGTAGTTTAAAAAAAAATCATTACATGTTTGACATTTTAGCTAATTCTATCTATGTTCTAAGAAAGTACGATGGTACAATAATAGTAGCATTTCAAAACTCATATATTTCTCAGTCATCATTCTAAGTTAATCAGTTAATCATGCATGCCATTAAAAAAATTATACTAATCTAAACTGTAAATCATAGACTAAAATATACTATCTGATATAAAATAACCGCATCAGAACTTTGTCTAGAGTTCTTGCAATCGAGTTGGATGTTAAGAAGTGAAGAAGAATAATGTACAAGATGTTAAGAATGATATAACAAAGTGATGAAGACACTCGTGTGGGTTCTTATATCCCAATGACAACAAAATTGACACACACACGGAGGTGCAAACCCAGTTCAAGATTTTGAAGTCATGGTCCAATGTGTTCGATTCCTAGAGAACGTGAAATCATGAATATTAGAGAAGTTGGTAGTGTATGGTAATTTTAGGAAAAATGTTATGGGTTCGACGTCTTTATTAACACGAACTAGAGATTATACCCCGCGCAAGCGCAAGGTTGTTTTTCGGTTAATCATCATTTATATATTTCTAAAAATATATTATATTGTCTTTTGTTATTCTATATAATACTCACGATTTGTAATAGAGACTCCTGTTATGTTTATTTTAAATGGTCTTTTCTGTATAATACTGAAGATCTGTAATAGATACTCCCGTTATGTTTATTTTAAATGGTCTTCTAATTTTTCCAAAGATTTGGCAACTATTACTAGAATTTGTTAGTATTTGCATGAATATTTATTATATATGTAGTACCAATAAACGGTTGTTTAGTGAACTTAGAACTTCCTCTAGTCATCATCGACCTTATGATTCTCTAAACTAGTCAAAATTCTTATTAACATCATCTTGAGCCATGTCCGCCTCTTAACTACATTCAACCACCGTCTCAGTCACCTTTTGAGCCGTGCTCTTTGCTATTTTTCGTTTGACATGAATCTTTTTATCTCTATTATAAACCTTTTTCAAAATTTTATATACAGTTACAAATAAACTTATAATTTTTTATATCCTTATTAATTTGTAATTTTTAGAAAATCTATGTTGTTTCATATATTATTTTAAACATGTTAATTTTTTTTCTTATTTGTAGTTATTTTTATATATTTTGAATTATCAAGTTATGTAAAAAATGTTTTGTAACTTTTATAAATCATATAATATCTATTAATTTTCTTAATTAATATTTTTAATATTTTATTTTGTGATAATATAATTTTAGGATTTTTGGTAAATAATATAATTTATTTAAGCAAATATAATAACAGTAAAGTGTGTATATTATTTTCATCTCTTTTGTTTTATAATTTTGGGTTAAATGTGGGACCCATTGTCTCTATAAAATTATGCTGATGTGGATGGCTTAGGAGGAGAGAGCAACTCCCTAATTATATATAAGATTATATCTCTATGAGATTAATTTGAGGGAGGAAATGATGTTAGAAAAAAAAAATGGGCATTGAAACTAGTGATCTCTTTTAGTGGGCATTGGGTTAGAGTCCATTTACATGTTTGTTTGTTTGTTTTTTTGTTTTTTTTTGTCGAAAGAGGGGATGAATCCCCCAATTTATTAAAGAAAAACTTAAAACTTACAACCGAACTCGGCGTAAAGTCAAAACTCCAGCAGAGTCCTCAAGAAACAAAGCATTAAGATCATCCGGAACATAACTAAAAGAGTGAAAACCCAATGGCAAAGAAAACGCATAGCTAGCTAATCCATCCGCTAGGCGATTAGCTTCCTTATATACGTGAGAAATACGAACTATCCAGTCCCTTGTGATAAAGTCATAGCACAAACGCACCAAGAACGACAGAGGATGCACAGCACTTCGCTAATCCCTGTCTTGAGAAATCCAACCACCATCTCCGAGTCTACTTCAACCTCCACTCTCTGAACCTTACTCTCCCATGCCATTAATAAGCCGTAGTATACTCCCAGCAGCTCCGCCATTTACATGTTTCTGGAAAGGTAGTGATCATTTAATAATCTTCGGGATTTAATTTTAGAGAAACTCAAACCATTATATAAGATGGGTCACACTTTGTAGTTGCTCTTCTTCAAAACGACAGATATACTCGTATACATTCCTAATATATTAAAAGAGAACAATATAAAATAAACCTTTGTGTCATGTGGTATTAATAAAAGTGCCATGCTGATGTGTCATCACAAGGTTCATTCTAAAGGTCAATTTTAATTAAGACATCATTTACTAGAATAACTAGAGTTTGACCCGCGCCTTGCACGGGGATATTTTCTCAATTTGATTTTATTAAAAGATGTCTATTTACATACAATTTTAGGAACATAGAGTGTTAGACAATTAAAAAAATGTCAATTTACATTAGACGAAATTTTGAGTGATGCATATTTTTTTAGCCTGGTTTGATTTTTGTCATCGTTTACAGTGTGGTAATCTAACATTTGCTTTAACAACAGTTTCTCCCTTTCCGAACCCACATATATATATATATATTTTAATACATTTAAAATAATTTTATATTTTGATAAATATAAAATGGCATATATATTTTATGTTTTTATCAATTTTAAATAACTAAAATAATTTAACTTATATGATAAGTTATTAGAATTTATTACGTTTAAAATTTTGATCAAACCAAAATATTAAAAAATACGATTTAATTATTTAATTCAATTAAAGAATCAAATTAAATCGAATAAAAGAAATTTTAAAGATTTCCAAACATGGTAAATTTTTCTTTCCTATTTGTGATTATGGTTGATCATTATTTGGATCCTATTTTATAATAGGTTTTTGAACTATTATCCCAAAATATAATCATGTGGGACATTTAACATTTTTAGAGATTTGCTTCATTTTTAAAAATTCAAACCATAGCATATGTAGAAAAAAACTAATTTTCTTTTTTTAAATATTTTGATGTGATGATATAATTTATTCTTGAAAGTAAAGCTAAACAAAAATGATAGATGAATAAATTAATTTTTAAACAATTAATATAATACAATTGAATAAAACTTTCCATATTTTACTGATTGATTGACTAATAAATAAATTTTCGTCATTACCAAATAAGGAAACTGAAAGAAAATAATTTTCATTAATAATTATTTTTCTGACTAAATTAATCATATATATTTCATTCTCTAACCAAATATGAATGGCATAACATGTAATTAGTCTAGTAATGTTTGTCTTAATTAAAACTAACCTTGAAAGTGAACCTGGTGTTGACACATCAGCATGACATTTCTGTTAATAACACATGAGACAAAGGTTTATTTTATAGTGTTTTCTCTTTTAATATATAAGGGATTACAAGTAATGCCACTCATATTTATTTGGTTAGAGAAATCACATACATCTTATTTAACTAACCATTTTATTAATATTAATGTAATCTAATATTTGTTCTTTCCTTAATTGTCTCATACGAAAAATTAATTAAAAAAGCAAAATAAGGTATCCAATTATATCACATTTATTAGTTTTAAAAATCATTATATTTTTTCCCATTACCTTTGTTTAGTTTTATTTCTTTTAAAAATAAAATGAATTGACATATGAAAAACATGATAAAAATAAAATCTAACTTTTCTGTATATACTGTAATTTGAATTTTTAAAAACTAAAAAGTTACTAAAACTGTTAAAAATCCCACATCAGAAATATTCTTAAATGATAGTTCAGAAATCTACTATAAAAAGATCCAAATCATGTGCAACCATATGAGTAGGAAAGCTCATTAGTAGGTATCCAAATATATAAGTTTTTCTTTATTCTATTTAATATGGTTTTTAAGTGAACTGTATAATTAGATTGAATAAAAGTAAAAAATATAATATTTTAATTTGACCAGAATTTTAAATTTTTATATAAGAAAAATTATTTTCATTGATCAAAACTTATTAGTAAATCAATCAGTAAAACTTAAATATTTATTAGTCCATCAGTAAAATTTTATTTCAATTGTATTATACTAAAATCAATTTATTCTCCTATCATTTTTTGTGTAACTTTACTTTTCAAAAATAAACTATATCATCACATCAAAATACCTAATAAAACAAAATTAGTTTTTTTGTGTGCAAATGTTATGGTTTGATTTTTTTTTTAAATGAAGCAAATGTTTAAAAGTGTTAAAAGTCCAACATAGAGTATGTTTTGGATAATAGTTCAAAAACCTATTATAAATAAATACCAAATAATGATTGACCATGAGTAGAAAAACCAATTTAATAGGTTTCCAAACTTTAAAGTTTTTATATTTAATTTAATTTGGTTTTTAATTGAGCTGAATAATTAAATTATATATCTAAAAAAAATTGTAGTTTGAAATTTTTTAAATATAATAAATTATCATAACTTAAATTATTTTCATTATTTAAAATTGATCAAAACATAAAATATCTATACCAATTAATATTTATCAAAATATATAATTATTTTATAACTTATTAAAAAATTGATATATATGTGTGCTCAGAAATCCACTCAAAATTTGTGAGTATTATTTTGTAACAGAGAAATTGCGGTGGAATCAAATGTTATATTCTCAAAATGTAAATAATGACAAGAATTAAACCAAACTAAAAATATGTATCCCTCGAGATTTTGTCTAATGTAAATAGTGATCTTTTAATAACAAAAAAAAATCAGAAAATATCATCCCGTGCAGGGCGCGGGTCAAACCCTATTACATATATATATATATATATATATAAGTTGGTAATTTTTAGTCATCATTACAACTTGTGTTGTGGCATATTATATACGGGCAAAAAAAAGCTTCTCAATTGTTAGGAGGAATATGTAAACGCATAGTTATAAACTTATAACTTGCGAACAATAGCACGTTAAGAAAAATTGATATCTAACAAACCAATACTTAATTTGGTTATTTAATTTTCAAGTTAATGTTCGTTAGAAAGAATGGTATGACTTCTATACTAAAAAATGTCAACAAGATGACATAAAAATGTAGAAATGTGGTGGCAAGGTCCGCAACAAATTGATATAAGAGGGTGGCATGTTAAGCGATTACATGATTTTGCTGTTCAGAAGTCAACATTCGCCTTTAATCAGTTTTTTACTTCTTTTTTTTTTCAAATCAAGAGCAACATTTGATAACATAAAAACTTACTTGTATGTTTATCCTATTTAGTTTTGTGGTATTAGTAATGGCATGATTAACTTAGAAACATTTGGCATGGTATTAGTAATGGCAATGCATCCTGGGATGTCCATCACTGTTGACAAACATTTGGTTAAATCGGGTAATCCTGGCATACCAAGAATTGGTTGAAATGGAAATGGGAAAGGAAATGGAGCTGGAAACTGTGGTAGTTGAGCATTTACGGAGATGACAACGATATGACCACCATAAGGAAAAACATATTTTTGATAGACATGATGAGATATTAAACAAGAAAGAAAGAGATATCCCTTCAAATACTGTGTAAGTCTTTTTGAGTTGGTTTTGATTGATGAAGAATACTTTTCCAATTGTTGTTTATTTATACTGTGAAAAAATGAAGTTACCATATCAATTACCTTGAAGAAACGTTTTTGGAACTTTATCACGAATTTAATTAGCCGTTGTCAAAATTGCGACACAGTGGAAACCTCCACGAGAGGATGAGACAAATGACAAATGTAACTGGCAGCCCTTAACCAAACCGATCACATCAGTTTAATATCCTTTGGTTTTTGTTTGTTTCAATTCAGTTATGATCAGATTAAATCATGTGTAAGTCAAACCGCACTAGCTCTCTTGAATTAGGATACAATCTACCAGTTTCTAGAGTCTCTCTAATATTTGGCTCGCTATATGGTTATGGTCCAAACTCTTTATTCCCTAGGCCAAAAAGATATAGAATACTTAAAATTTTGATGAGGGAAATGTTGGATCCTTTCTCTCTGCCCTATTGGTTATGATTTTGTGAGTAGAACTGGATTGAAAAGAACCTTTCAATGGCTTGATCACTACTCACTGGGTCCTTTATGTGCAAACCGGACCCAGTGTTATTGGTTTGATGACTTTTAAAATTCATAAAAATCTTTGTTATTGGGAGATAGATTTTAAACAAATTAACTTATTCAAAATACTACTTATAACCCTTAGATTCTCAAAGTCCATTACAATAAAATATTTTGATTGATTTTCTAAATTTACATATTCTTTCCAAATCTAACAAAAACTCTTTATAAATTTAACAAATTTCTTGACTTTTAAAATCTTTAAAATCCACACAAATTCTACTCCCAATAGCCCCCCTTAGTTCGAATTATTACAAAAGGGTCGTTTCTAAAATTAGTTATGGATGGTGATAACAAATTTGTCTGAATTCATAAACAGGCAAAAGTCAGCAAAAAACTGGCGTCGTTTAGGAAAATACGTACGGTGGCAGTGACTTAGAGAGATTGTAGTTGAGATGGAGAAGTTGTAAATGAATCGTTAGGTCGAATTCCTAGCTACAAGCCTACAACCTACAGGTTGTTCATTTGCAACTAAATTTATGACATATTATTATGACATCCAACTTATCTGGATTGTGTTGGTTTTGTTAGGTTCGAATGGGTGTTTGGGTAGAGTGTTCACATGTTTTGATTTCATTTCAGTCTATATTACTCCTTCCATTTCAGTCTAAATTACTCACTCTATTTCATAAAGAGTACTCCCTCTGTCTCATATTAAAAACAGTTGGGCAAAATGAATTTGAAAAAAAATGGATGAATCTGGATGGAATTTCATCTAGATACTTTCACTTTTTTTCAGATTCATTTTGCCCAACTGCTTATAATATGGGACAGAGGGAGTATCATTTTGACATCTTCACACCAATTACGAAAAACTTGAGGAAGCCATAAATCTTGGTTGACTGAATACCAAATAACGATTGACCACTTAAATTCATTACTAATTAACCGTATTCAAACCAATTACAACAACAAAATTCTATAACCAAGCCAGTTTGACGTAATGCTATCTTCGCCATTGCTATTTTCATTAATAAAGAAATGAAATGCGATAATATGCTTTTTACTTCCCAAAGTTTTTTTGATAAAGGTTCTTACTTCCCAAAGTTTTACTTAAATGTTGGAATTTGTTAGGGCTAACGACCCACCCCATACGTACTTATTATACACATGCAAGAGGAAGATGGAAAAAAAAGTGGTAAGTTGGTAACGGACAAAAAGCGAATGGATATGTAATGTATGAAACCAAAGTGTTGGTTATTGAGTAAGAGAACTTTCACTGACATTTTTCTCTGTATGGATTCTTGACAGTTATGGACATTAACTAAAGAGCTTCCATCCCATTAATGCCCACATAAGATCAGCGATCAATGTTTTCAAATATCATATAGCACCACACTTAGCAAACAACAGAAGACACCAAATTTTCTGCGTTAGAAATAGAGGTGCGGATTGATGGCTTTTCAGTTGTTTTCGTAACACTTTGTAGGTTCCCTTTTATGTTTTTAATTTTTTTAATACCAATCACTTTATAATTGAGTAAATGTCAAGTTTAGTGTGGTTCATATAAAGAGGGGAAGAAACGTCCCACCGTCCCCATTCCAAGGCTGTATTTCAGTATTTGACAAAGCAAGCTTCTACACGTAAAGGTTACACAAATATCACATAGAAATAGGACCACAGAGCCTTTTTACTTTATTTTACTTTTTGGTATAAGAAAAAAAAAAAAAAAAAAAAAAAAAGAAGAGGATTCAATTTGATCAAAAATATCTAGCCGACAAAGTTTTACTCTTAACCGCTAAGTGATTGGTAGCCATCTTCCCGGTTCTGTCTCCGGTATACCACGGCGGCTGTTAGAACCACAACCGAGACCACCACCATCACTGCAAGAAAGGTTAAAAAGCTCACGCTTTTCGCCTGTGCCTACAAATAAGTGGAAAAAAAAATACTAACGTCAGTAAAGTAACACATTGCAATCTTTCCCAAACCGTAAATGTATTGAAACCGGTTTGGCCTAAACCGAGATCTGGTACCTGAAAAAGTGCAGGCAAGGAGATCTCCGGTTGAGGCAGCTGCTGAGTAACGAAGAAGTGAAAGAGTCCCATAACTCCTGTATGACCAACGGCATTACTAAAGTTAAACTCCAAAGTCAGAGTCTCTCCATAGCTCACTTTCACTGGTTTTTCAGGATAACAAGACGTCATTCCAACAATGTAACCAGCTTCATTTCCTGGTTCAACTCCATTCCCATACTTTGGTATCGAAGTGCAAATTCCCTCACTCTCCTGATCAAAAGTCTCAGTATCCATTAAAAATTTGCATTAGCTTAATCACTACAAGAAAAAAGTAATGTGACAGAAAACTTGTGACAAATTATAGTAGAACCTCTATAAAGTAATAATCACTATAAGATAATAAATTTCTCTGGTGAAATAAAATGATGAAATAATAATATTTTTGAGACTCCTATGTAAAAATATGGTCCTCAATATAAGTTAAAGTAATATTTATATAAAACTATACATTGTATATGCCTAAGAAAATTATTAAACTATGAATTTAAATTTATCTCTAACTTTTTATTACTTAAAAAAACTCATAATGCAATTTTTCTATACATGTAAAATTGTTAAATATGTTCTAAACACATTATTTTCAATTTCATTAGTAGCTATAATTTATTCCAAACTTTTAATTTTTATCATGTATAAAATTTTATAGAAATATTTATATAAGCTAATAATATATGTTTTTTTACGATATTCAAAGGACTTGATCATAATTTTAAGTTTATGTATGTCATATTAACAAATAGATTATTTAAACTCTTAATACATTATCATATAAAGAATAATTTTTGAAGATTATGAATTAAAAAAAAATGTTTATAAATTAATAAATATTGAATTTTTATTTATAAAGTAATATCTCTATAAGATAATAAATTTTCAATATCCCAATATTATTACTTTAGAGAGGTTGTACTGTATTTTGTGATTTGTGGCTGACTCAAATTGTTACCGTTGTTAATCGTCACAACTTTTTGTGACGTTTCTGTGACTAAAAAGGATTTGTGACGATTTTATTGTGATGTTCTGTAATTTGTAGCGTTTTGGTCACAATAATTTTTTTGGTGAGGGAATATTCTGACAAAACAATAATCACTTGTAGTGATCATTTTTAATTACCTCTCGGGACAGAGAAGCGCCGAGACCACCAGAGTGCTGGTGAGCTCACCGTAGACAATATATCCACTAAACGGCATCATTAAGCTCTTCTTCTTGACATCAACGCATCCATCGCCGTTGGTTGCACGGTTCACATCGTATTCCACCTAGAAAAAGCATAAGATTTTAGAAAGAAAATTACTCCGAGGTAACACTACCACTAACAGAGAGATTTTAACTCACATGGCAATCATGTTCTTGGCTATCTCCTGTTGATCCCTCTTTTCTTTCCCAAGAATCAGTAACATCGAGAATATAAGCCTTAACCGGTATAACCGAGCTGTCCCAATCAACCCATCTCACGGTATACTTAAGAAACAGAGTTCTTGTTTCTCCCCATTGTCAAATCCGTTTCTCACAGGACACTGAGTCTTATCGTAGCAGCAGTTTAAACCTCCTTTGTAATCAGGTTTTATTTCTTGACCCTTCTCATCAACGGTCACGTTATACAGATCACACCAGCACTCCGTGCATCCTGTTTTGTCCACACGCCTCTCGTGTCTATGGCGTGAATGTTTAGAAACCATTGCAGTTCAAATCCGTCAGGTCTTTCCTCGGGGTTGTCGATTTCGATCGCGTAAGGATCAGGAACGTACGTGGAGGTTTTTCTTGTCTCTGATCCTTGTCCAGTGAAATGCCTGAGCTCGTTCTTGCACAGCCCTGCGTTGTCCACAGGAACATAATAATCGGGATCTTGCGCCTCCATGTCTCGCTGCGAAATCTTGAAGCCTTTACGGACGTAGTACGGTACGACAGCCCAGTGGTGAATATAGGTCTCGTGTAGAGGGACGGAGTTTCCTGATTCGTCGACCACTTCAGCGTTGAAACTTTTGTAGCCGAAGTGCCCTCTTGGGAAATCCATGTCGAAGAAGTAAGAATTCGTGACTGATCCTGGATTCATCACCAGTTTTGGTGATAAGAAAACTGCTGATTTGATCTTTTTCTCGGTGCCGAGAAAGCCGTGGCTTGGTGATATGGCTAATGCGATCAGAACAAGAGCAAAGGAAGAGATGAGCGATCTCCCTCGATAACGAGCCATTATCTCCTGTTAGTACTAGATTTTGGAGAAAATTGTCGGTGAAGCCCTCTTCTTGAATTTGACATGTGGATGAGGCGTTGAATGCTTTGTAGATGGTGGTCTTATGAGATTGTATCACTCGTGATCTTGTACTGTAGCGAAATATCTGCCACAAACTTCCCTGGACACTTGCCATTATTGGAGAATTGTCTCCATTATTTTTTCAGGACCTACTTCCAAGTTCCAATGATTCCACGTACACACATAAAACACCAGTCACATGACGCCGGTATGGTTTGGTTGAATCACTACAACCTGTGTGTCTAAGTGTCGGTGATACTTACTGGTTGGTTTGGTTGAATCACAACAACGGATCAATTTAAACCGGTCTGGCTGCTTTGAACCAGAACAGAGATATAATTCGTGTTAAAGAGATATTATCACTTTGTTATATCACGTTTAACATCTTGTACATTATTCGTAACTTCTTAGAGCATGTGCAGTGGAGAAACCCCTCTTGGTTTCTTTAAAATTTTTGAAAAAAAAAATAAAAAATAAAAAAAAGGAATAACCAATCAGCTTTCGACACGTGTAGAGACTTTGTCAGAAACGGGCTCCAGAACTCTTCCCACAGAGACGTTTCTCTCTTGAGCTCTCCACCTCACCGCCACCTCAGCGCGCCACATCAGAATTTTCTTTTTTTTTTTAAATTAATTTTTTTGGGAAGAAACCCTGAAAAACTGTCCGCTGCACATGCTCTTAGCATTCAACTTGATTGCAAGAACTCTAAAAAAAAATCTGATGTGGTTATTGTAAATCAGATAGTATGTTTTAGTTTAAGTTTTACATTCTTAGATTAGTTTTAATTTTTTTAATGGCATGATTAACTTAGAAAGATGACTGAGAAAAATATGAGTTTTGAAATGCAACTATTATTGTATCATCGTACTTTCTTATAACATAGATAGAAGAATTAGCTAAAATGTCAAACATGTAATGAAATATTTTTTTAAACTACATATACCTTTTAAGGTAATTTAAAGTCTATTTTGTGTTAGGGGGAGTTGCGCCGGAAATTCTTGAACATTGTTCCTTTATCATAGGAGGGAAAAACGGATTGAATGGAACTAGCATGCAATTGGCTTCGGCTTCCAAAAATGCTTTGCAACAAGCAGGACCTATGTTGCTGAATCGTCCCATAAATATAGATTGAGAAATCTCTGCAATGCACCCTGGGATGTCCATCACTGTTTACAAACATTTGGTTAAATCGGGTAATCCTTGCATACCAGGAAATGGGAAAGGAAATGGAGCCGGAAACTGTGGTAGTTGAGCATTTATGGAGATGATAACGCATATGACCACCATAAGGAAAAACACATTTTTTATTGACATGATGAAATATTACACAAGAAAGAAAGAAAGATATATCCTTCAAATACTGTGTAAGTCTTTTGTGAGCTGGTTTTGATTGATGAAGAATAGTTTTCCAATTGTTATTTATTTATATGGGAAGAAATAAAGTTACCATATCAATTACCTTGAAGAAACGTTTTTGGATCTTTATTACGAATTTAATTAGCCGTTGTCAAAATTTGCAACACAGTGGAAACCTCCACGAGAGGATGACACAAATGACAAATATAACTGGCAGCCCTTAACCAAACCGATCACATCAGTTTAATATCCTATGGTTTTGGTTTGTTTCAATTCAGTTTTGATCAGTTTAATATCATGTGTAAGTCAAACCGCACTATCTTGAATTAGGATACAAACTATTTATTCACTAAGCCATAAATATAGAAAATATCATGAGGCAAATGTTGGATCCTTTCTCTCCGCCCTACTGGTTATGATTTTGTGAGTAGAACTGGGTTGAAAAGAACCTTCAGTGGCTTGATTAGTACTCACTGGGTGCTTTATGTGGAAATTTGTTCAAGTTTGGAATAGTACTCCAGAGTGTAAGACTTCTCAGTTTGTTCTACTTAGATTAATAGAGAAGTTTTGCTTTGTACTAGCATAGATCGTAGAAGGAACTGCCCATAAGTACTAAACTACTAACCGTACTCACTATTATTGAGAATTCATGGATTTTATCAATTTATAACCTTTTGGTATGATTTTGCTCGAATGACAAAATTTGTTTTTGAATTTTGAACCAATTTTTAATTGAATAATAGTGGAAATATTCACCATGCATGTATGTTATGAAATTATGTTAAAGAAATCGAATGCACAAGTTTGAGATAGAAAAAGGAGATGAGACATGTTCCAATCTATACGCAGGTTTAAGTTTTACAATTCAACTTACTTTTAAACTTTTAAGAGACATGATTATGCTTCAGCATGACAGGAAACAAATATGAATTCTAAAGTGTTACTATTATTGTATCATCGTATTTTCTCATAGCATACATAGAATTAGCTAAAATGTCAAAATAAGATGAAAGTAAAAAGTGACATTTATTTATAAAAGTAATTTAAATTCTATCTTGTGGTAGGAGGAGTTGCGCTAGCAATTCTTGAACATTGTTCTTTTAGCATAGGAGGGAAAAAATGGATTGAATGGAAGTTTTGGCATGCAATTGGCTTCAGCTTCCAAAAATGCCTTGCAACAAGCAGGACCTATGTTGCCAAACCGTCCAGTGAATATAGATTGAGAAATCTCTACAATGCATCCTGGAATATCCATCACTGTTAACCAACATTTGGTTAAGTCCGGTAATCCTGGCATAGCAGGAATTGGTTGAAATGGAAATGGGAAAGGAAATGGAGCCGGAAACTGTGGTAGTTGAGCATTTACGGAGATGACAATGCATACAACTGCCATAACAAAAGACACACTTTTAATAGACATGGTTAGATATTGCACACAGAAAGAAAAAAGGAAAAAAAAAAAAGAAAGAGCTCTTCAGAGTATTAGTCTTTATCGAGTTTGTGTTTAATATGATGAACATTAGTACAAACGTTGCTTATTTATATGGGAAGAAAGAGATGAAGCTATAACGTACCAATAACCTTGAAGAAACGTCTTTGGATTTTTATTAGGAATTTAATTACCCGTTTTCAAAATTGAAACATAGTGGAAACCTCCACGAGACGAGAGGATGAGACAAACGACATAAATTATATAATAACGGTCGTTAACCAAACCGATCAGACCGATTATTAAGAGAGAATGAGCTTCCATAGTTTGGCAATTCCAACCAATAAAAGCTAATACTATTTTAACCAACTTAAATCTTAGTTCGAATAATTACAAAAAGGGTCGTTTCTAAAACTAGTTATAGATGGTGATAACAAATTTGCATGTGTTCATAAACAGGCAAAAGTCAGCAGTGACTTCGAGAGATTGTAGTGTAGATGGAGAAGTTGTTTAGCTCTGAACTTTGGCTTCGAGAGATTGTAGTGTAGATGGAGAAGTTGTTTAGCTCTGAACTTTGGCTCTTGTATTATTAATGAGGAGAGTGAAGTGGACAGAGGCATACATCTAATTTATAATCCTTGTTTGAAGAAATCTAATTTATAATCCTTGTTTGAAGAATAAATGACGTTCAATGCGTTATGCATATTGCCTACATTAGTCTAAACCTTTCAATTGACTCTTCCTTTTTTCTGAATTTTGTATGAAATCGTTAGGTCGAACCCCTAGCTGCTACAAAACTTTACGAACATATATATAGCACTACAGGTTGTTCATTTGCAACTAAATTTGTGACACATTATTGTGACATCATCTCGATTGTGTTGTTTTGGTTGAAAGATGGTTGGTTTGGTTGGGTTTGAAGGGGTGTTCACATGTTTTGATTCCATTTCAGTCTAGATTACTCATTCCAGTTCATAAAAAATATTAATTATTTTGACATTTTCACACAAATCTTGGTTTACTGACTGAATACCAAATAACCATTGACCGCTTAAATTCAATACTAACCGGATTTAAACCAACCACAACAACAAAGTTCTCAAACCAAACCACTTTTACCTAATGCTATCTTCGCCATTCATTAATCATATATATGAATAGGGCCAACTCTCTCCATTTATGTGACATGTGGACACTTTACTGATTGACATATGGTATAACTTTTCATATTCTTTTCAGTTACTCTAAATCTTATTTATTTGCTAAACATTTTAATTGATAATAATTAAAACCACTCTATTGCTTTAAGGCTATTACCCTTTGACTTCCATCTTGAATTACTATTAAATATCTAAATCTCATAACATACAGTCTAAATCTCCTAATATACAGAGAAACAAATTTAGTGAAAGAAAGATGAAAGGAAGCAAAGTCCGTTAATATGGCCGGAAATAAATAAAGAGAGTTGATGGTATAGAAATGTATGATCTGTAGAGTTGATGGTATAGAAACGTAGGATATGTAAGAGTTAACAGTACAGTTGTTAATTAAGTAAGTTAGAATTAAAATGCCAGAGTTTATAATATTAATCACAAATCTATAATTATTTTTCATTATTTTTAAATAAGTTATAACAGTAGAAAAACCCGCGCGTAGGCGCGGGCAAGTAAAAAATGAAATGCGATACTATGCTTCGTACTTGCCCAAAATTTTAATTAAATGTTGGCATTTGTTAGGGCCAACGACCCGCCTCACATATATATTCATATGCATGTGTATAATACGTGCGTATACGGTATGATGAATGTATGTGTGATATTTCGGTTTCTTATGAATATTTGTTTTCTCTTATGAAAATTTATTGAGCAGTAATGAAAAAGCGAATGATAATAACTCGTTGCAAGGACAACCATTTCACCAAAGCTGGTCTGTTCAGAAAGAGCTGGTCTGTTTTCCCTCTGACCAGATAGAAAACTTCCTCTTTTGCGATATATAAAACTTCTTTTTGTTCTTGATTTCCTTTCATTCTTCAGGTTGAGGTCGGCATGAGGGTTTGTTTACATTTTCTCATGGACTGTGCCTTCCTCTTCAAGTTTTGCCTTTTTGTTGAGGAGGTTAGGCCTAAAGTCAGATTGGGCTTTGTGACTTTACTAATGATGACGGGCTCAAGGAAATGTGCTATATTAATGTAATATTATACATTTTCCTTTTTTTATTTTCTGTGGAAATCAACTTTGTATTGTTTTTTTCTGTATTGAATATAACGAAACAGTTTTTTTCCTAAACTAGAATTTTTAGCTTTTTGGGTTTAGGGTTTAGTTTATAGGTTTAGAGTTTAGATTTTGGGTTTATATAGGATTTAGTTTTTGAGTTTAGGGTTTAGCTAACATGTGGTTAATAAGTTTGTAAACTATATCATTTTCTTTTTGTGGATAGAATATATGGGCATAGCGATCACTTTATGTGGTGTTATAGTAATGAATAAAATGTTTTTTTTTTGGTCGGATAATGAATAAAATGTTATAGCAGCGTATCAGTGACTTTATGTGAAAACATATGCAAGATTTAATGTTAACTAGGAGAGAACCCGCGCAACGTGTGGGATTTGATTTTATAAATTTGATACTGGTTTAATGTTATTAACTTTCTAATATGCATACAGTAGACAAGTGAGAATACATCATTATAAAAAATGTGTTTTTGCTAACTTGTGTTTTCTTTTCTTTCGACTTTTCACATTTTTTGTTGCTGCGTTTACATTTTCTTTGTTATTAAATTATAATTGGTATGTTTGAGTAAAAAAAAAAATTATAAAACCAAGTACCGTAATGAAAACGATTGATCTCTGGTCAAGCCAATGCACATCTTTAAAATGAAAACGAAATGTGAAGCTACATAACTTAAGTCCACAAGCAACAATGGTCACTGCTTTGTACTATAAATATAGATCTCTGCAATGCTTAGCTGGATTTATCACTGAAACAAAGATATTTACAAGCTTAAGCTACTTTCCCAGACGGATTGCATATGGAAAGAAAGAGTCCGGATCAAACTGAGATTACAGACAAAAGTGTAAAACTTTGGTTTTTGCAGAGATTCATAAATAAAAGCATATTAATTGACATTGACAAAGCCTTATCATTCATGGAACAACATCTTCTCCGGTGAAGATAGCTATCAATGCAGCGACAAGCCAGGAAACAGCTTCTTGTGAGTGGGGAGTGCCTTTGAGGTCTATGAAACTCGTTCTCCATTAAAGACATCCATCAACTCAGGAAACAGCTTCTCATGCTTCATCACATACTGGTTTGAGAACGTATGTTTGGTCTTCGACATAATAGTCGACACTAAAGGGAGTTCACTTCCCTTTCCAAGCAATCTTTGGACATGAGAGCTTTGATAACGTTACACCTCGCAATGGTACCTCGGCTCCACCAGAACCAATAAGCTTAAATGTTTCAAGGTCCCCGAATTTTACAGTCTTATCAGCTGAACCTATAACCACGGGGCAATATGAATATTAAGAAAAACAATGCCGCATTATGATAAATATATGTCACCGGGGAATCTGAGAGCGTCAATGTTACAAAGCTTCCTAAGATTCAGACCTGTTGCCAGCAGATATTCATGGGGATGAAAATCCAGACTCTTCAACTCATGCAACAGTTTTCCAGCGATCCAATACCACAACTGGTTAAGGCAACCTAAAATATCAGATCCAACATTAAGAGAGCAAACGTTGCAGGCAACTATCTTTTTATGATTATAAAAAACAGTAAGCAATACAAACCTTGACAACATTGTCTTCTCCTCCAGATACAACCCAACGACCATCTGGGGTGAATCTGAGTACATTCAGACCTGAATAGTACTTTCAAGTGTATAGAAGAAGAGAGGCTAGAAGAATCTCGAATCAATTTCCTTTAAGCTTGAATCATCTCTGTTCTTACTCTGTAACGCCACACATTCCTTTCTAGTCTTGACCTGCACTTGCTTTTCACGATCTTTAACCCTCCCATCTCGGCTCAGCTGTCTTTCTTGGAGTGACTGCTAGGTCCTCTTCACGTAATCATCCCTAAAAGCCATGTCATTGTTCCATTGAGTCATGAATCTAAGAACCGATACAATAAAAACATAGACTTCAGGAACAGATGATACACACAGAATCAATCAGGAACAGATACACACAGGTACAAACCTCAGAGCTGGCAAACACTTCAAGATCTCTAACGTTTCCAGACGCAGCTTTCCTCATCACAGCAAGGCTCTGGAAATACGCCGCATTCTAACAAAACACACAAACATAACTTCATATTATTACATCTTTAAAAATCATCTATAAGCAAAATTAAAACAGAGAGACAAAGATCAAATACCCCTCTGTCTCGTCTTACCCTCAACATCTTGATCCTTTCATAAGATCTGTTTCTCTTGTCACTCGTCACTGCCTTTTCAGCTGTCATTAACATAAACACAGAGGAAAAAAAACTCAAAACCAAATTAAAAACCTAAACTTTCATATTAGAGGCAAAGAAAACATTCAACATTATCCTAACAAAACATCATTTTTAACCCAAAATGCAATCCGAAATCACCATAAACAAATCAAAAATTTCATCTTTGCAAATACCGCCGTAAAACCAGAAACCCATAAATCAAAATCCACAAAAAGATAAATTCTAACTAAGGAGAACCGTGTCTTCCGTGATAAACTTCATGTGATGCATTCTTCTCTTTCTAACCTCAATATGAAATTTAAAAACCCATTAGAGTAAGAACACAAAAGGCTCTAAATTATTAAATTTACACTGAAGCACAAGGACTATAAATTGTTAACAAAGATAAACAGCACAAATCTTAATTCATCAGGATAAAGTAGCTAAATTGGATACTCAATACATATTCATACTCACCGGAGAAGAATCAGTGAAAATAAGGAGTATGAAAGTGAGGAGATCCGATTTCGGAAGTGAGGAGATCCGATTTCGGAGAAGCAAAGCGAAAAAAGAAAGGGAGAAGAGAGTGGAGGAGGGCTTATATAAAGGATCTGGAATTGGCAGGGATGGTCACAGAAGCGGCACTTTGAATGGATATCATTCATACCATTGATAGCAGAAACGATCATCGGAATCCGAAAAGACTGTGGAATCGGAAGAACGAAACGGAGAAACATTACAGATATGATGAACCTCTCGCCACTGACCTATGGAGACTGTGGATACGGCGCCGTTTTCCGCATGGCGGCGGAGTAAGCACAAAGCTACGGAGTACGAATCGTTTAACAATTCGGGACTTAAACGGCGTCGTTTTGGAGGGCACCGGAAGTTGGAGGAAGTTGGAAACGGTGTCGTTTTGGCGCACGGTATGAGCGTACAACGCCGACGTTTTACGGAGAGAGGAAGGAGTAAATTAATAATTGAAGGGATGACGTGGCATTCTCTGGGGTACTGATGTGTGAGCAGCTGGAAAATGTTACAAGCACTTTCAATTATATAGATTGATGGGACGGCATATACAACTTCAGTGGCCCGTGATTAGTTAACTTGCATGGGACTGATAATAGGCCGTATGTTTTAAACTTTAAAGCCCATGCTCAACATATGAAATATTTATACTCTTCAGGTTGGGTGTAAATACGGTGCTGGTGCGCCACAAATGCGTTATCGGTATCATTCAAGATGATCAAACAAAAGAAAATAGAGTGGAATTATAAACTAATTTATAAGAATATGATTCATAAACGACAAAATAAGTACCGTAGTCTGTCCTCCTGGCTCCTACTAGTACATAAATAGCTAGGAAATGAATATTAGGTGTGGTATTAACAATAAAATACTATAAAGTAATGAATAATTATATCAGTGGAATTTGCTTTATATTACACTTATCAACCTTATGAAAGTAAGTGTGAGAGAATCTAATACGAGAACCGATGTGTTTCGACATAGGAGACATACTGTTGCCTCGTGGCCTTTTTAAGATCTCTTATTGTAAAAACAATGAACCTAATGATCCGAGAACTTCATCAAACGTGTAGATCAAGCCTGTTCTTTGATTAACTAATTACAATTAATGTCAAGTTGCCAACTGTATGGACTGTTATGTTATTTTATCTTGTTTTATAGTATCAATAATTAGGGGCCTGGTGCGCCACAAATGTTGTTCCCTTTTTTGAACTCATCCCATGTGACAAACTCGATGATTAATATAGTGTTAAATTGTAATCATACATTAGGAACTCTACAAACTATCGTACGGAGGCATGTAAATTACTTGGTTGGAGTTGTGAATTGTGATTGCATCGGTTTCTCTAAAGATCGTATATTGCAGACTCTCGAATTTAAATTCAAACAGGGTGATAAAAACTGATCACTAACTATAATAGTAAGTAGTAACCGACCGTGTATATCATTAATTTGATTTTATGGAATATTTTAGAAGTTATGATCTCCAAACAAGTAACAAGAAGCCGTGTACTCATTCGTCGAGCCTATATTAAGTTTTGAATCTGTATGTATAGTTTCATAATTGATTAAGATTTCGAATAGTCTCATAACTTGATTACGACTTTGATTCATAAATACTTTCATTTGTATCTTTAACATATAAAAAAAATACCATCATGTGTATATTATTTCGCCATAATCTCGATAGCGTACATATATATTATGTTATATGATACTAATATATTTTACTAGTGAGTGACTCGATCTTTTATTGATTTTGTTTTATAACTGTTTTTAATCAAACCTGGTGTACTATTAGACCTCGGGCTTGAAGATTTGTTGAAAATTCAAAACTGGACTGAAAATATTGATTACGTGGTCTATATAATATATTCGTTATAATATTAATGTTGCTACATTGTTTCGTTTCATTGCTTGTATAGATTCATAATATTCTTATAGATACATTGCGATACATATAAATAATCCTCTCTCTTCATGTTGACAAGAACTGAAGAAAGTACAGTAAAATTAGGGGAAGACTTGACTTGGCAGATTCGTTTAAATGGAGAGGGGCCCAGAATAATGATCGAACGATGGAAAAACGCGTTGAATTTTTGAACCGTTCATCTTGGAAACGAAGGACAGAATTAGATTGACCGGGTATGTAGACAAGCACTGCTCTTGTAACTTGTATTTGTAAGGCGTACGTGTCGCGATACGCCAAGTATTGGGACACACGTGTGTCTCGTGTGAATCTCGAGAGAATAAATATACATCTATTTATAAATAAATCAACGTTTATATGTTTTTTGTTGAACGAGATTCCAATTTTTCTTGAACTGATTATATGTTTTTTATTTGGTTGGAAGGCCTCGCAAGGAAAAGGGAACGTTGCTTTCCTGATATAGCGATTTGCTAAATCAACAACTTATCATCAATTTTATCATCGAAATTCAAAAACTAACCCACTGAAAAGATTCAAACCAGGCTTTGCCATTGAAAAACAAAACCGGAAATATAGTAAAACCACCAACAACTTGTTTTGTTTGGAACTTCGGATACATAAGCAACGAATTAGTCATTAATAAGTACTTGTTGTTTATGTTTATATTTTATAATACTTTTAGCCGCTCAACCACTACAATATAGCCATGAATACAATATAGTCTAATTCCATTTAATAACCATTATAACATCAATCAACATATATCGAGCAGTATATGTGTTATATTGGTAACTTACGATATACAACCGCATTTTGGTCACCGATTCCTTTATTTTTTTAATGCAATTCATTGTGGCGTTTAATCTTGTGCAGATTATCCGTTATCGACGACAACATAGGTGTCTATACAAATCAAGCGAATAAGAAACCAAACAACGGTCCAATGAAGGCAATGGCAGGGTATGTAAATAAGCAGCCTAAGAAAAGCGAATCGGGGACCTTTCGATCCTGTGTGCTAGGAAAGGTGGGTCCACAGGATTTATGCAGTTGAGAAAAAATGACATAATTTCCTTTTAAATTGTAAATGGTTAATATTTTTACAAAATCTCAAAATGAAGGACAGTGACGTGTTCCCATAAAGATATTCTTTTGGCAGATTACTGAAAATGAAAATATTTTGGAAAGAAATATTTATTCAGCACCAGAATTGAATATGGCAGGATCGGTCACGAGTAATATATTTTTTGCAGGCGCCTAATATAAATATAAAGTTATTAATTGAATTTTAAAGTGAAAATTTGAAATTGATATAAGAGAAAGAAAAAAAGACTTTAAGGGACAGCCGGACAGGTGGGGTAGGACTTTGCGAACTTCCGAGCCTTGCGCAAGTGTACGACGTTTACTTGTTTTAAAAATTGCTTACACGCATCCTCTGGCGCGTGTTTCTCACTTCAAGGAGGGTCCTCCTTTTTTAGTTTTTGTTTCCAAGGAAGTCCAATAATAATAATTTGAATTATATTTTCTTTAATCAGATTATTCAAATCCATCAATATTTCACTTAATCATATACTCCATCTTGTTTATATTTCGAAGAAACTTTTCTTTTTATTTTTGGTGAAAGAAATGAAGAAAAAATTATAATCGAACTGTCAAATCGAGATTCCACCCAAGTCTTCCAAAAACAAAAAGTTAACAATTTTAAAGCAGAATTTAGAATATGAAAATCTAAAGGTAATGAAAACGCATAATTCATTAACCTATTTGTAAGACGATTAGTTTCTCTATACATTAAAAAATACTAACACTATTGAATCATTTGATTTTATAGCTATATCACAAACACACCAGAAACGATACCATATTCACCTTGCATATCCCTTTTTTTTATGTGCAAAAACTTGATTTTTATTCAATTAAACTGATTCAATACAAAGTTCAACTAGAGCCTGTTTAGGAACAAATAAAAATAATTTTTTTTTTCAAACACTACTAATAAATCCAAGATATGGTGGAGAATCCCGTGGAGCTCTTTTGTGAAGATTTCCTTGTTGATTGCCTTGATCAGCTGCTACAAATCTGAGACGACTATGAGTTGTTTGATTCCAAGGTCTCGTGCTCGTGTGAGCGCCAGGCCGGCAAGAACTGGCGAGTTTCCGGCAAATAGTCTGGTAGATTTGACAATAAATTGATTGAAAATGTGTCGACCGCTCCACAAAATCATGAGAATGACGATGCTTGAGCGGGAACCAATTATTGGGTTCACCACCTCTGATGGAGATTGGACGTTGGCTAGCCAAGGGGTTGAGGCTGTGGGAGGGTAAGACTCGAAGCAAAACACAGTTGAGAGAATACCATTAAACGTGGTGTTGTATTGCTGCAAAAGCCAACACCTTACATATCCCTGTCTTAAGAAAACCAGCAACAACTTCCAAATCCACTTCCAAAGAAAAAGTTTGATACTATCATATTTTAACAAATATTAATAAATAAGGGGTGACCTGTGCTTCGCGCAGGAATTTAAATTATTATTTTAATTTTATTGTTTTTCCGCAAATCTACTTTATTCAATGGTTTATTATTGTTTCAAAAATATTATAAACATATAAATCTTATATATAATTAGGGAGTTCCTCTTTCCATCTAGAGTGTCCACATCAGCACAAATACATTAAACTGTATTTAAATATTTATTAAATGACTATTCATATTTCTTTACATTTATTCATATTTTAAATATAAATAAAAGTAAGAAAAATACACAAATAAATTAATTAATTTATATATAGTATGTGATAACTTGATGTTAAAAGTTATCAAAAAGTTGGAATATAAAATGAAGATGGAGTAAAGAAATATTTAACTTGAAATAGTATATATTTACCCTTTTATTCAAAGGATTTATCCTATTTAAAAATGTTATAATGTGTTTACAAGTTAAAAATTGAATATAATTATTAGATAATAGAAATCTAATGAAAAATTAGAGTTAGATTTTTTTTAAACAAATAGAAGTCGAGTTTTGATAGGTAAATTTAATTGCAGAGAAAAACATGAAAATTTTAAGGATTGTGATATGTTTGTTTCAAAAATATAATTTCTATTTACAAAACTAACATAATAAAAATAATCAATGGTCATGAGCTCACATTCTACCACAACAAAGTAGATAAAAAGTATACATATTATTTTTTAATCTTATTTCGGGTGCAAATGCGATGTTACATTATGTTTACAAATTTTTACGTTGATTCAAATTTATATGCATGTTTATAGTCTAATAGAAGTAAACAAACGTAATATTTACAACATGCTAAAATTTTAGAAATAGATAACTCGAGATAAAGTGAGGTGTTAATATCCTAATAAAATAAAATAAAAAACAAATTGTTCATATTTTTAGTGTAATGGTTGGTTTAACTCAAAATATAACAAAAACATGAAAGTTAATACAAAACCATACATAAAAAATATCGCAAGCAACCCCGCGCTTGCGCGAGGCTTCAAACCTAGTTATATATAATTAAGATAGGCAAATTTCTCATACTATCCTATCTCATTTCATTCCTTTTCATCATGTCCGTTCTTTTCCTCCCATCCGTCATGTATGTCATGTCCCGTCCAGTCTCATCCTATCCCATTATGTTCATTTCCGTTTTATCATGTCCTATCATGTTCGTTCCAATTCTTCTCATCTCGTCCCTAAATATAATTAAGGGTAGGCAAAATTCCCGTCCAGTCCCTTCCGTCAATTTTCGTTCCTTTTCATCTTATCCCATACTTTCCCCTCCAAGTTTGTCATGTTCGCTCCGTCCAGTCCCATATCCCATTATGTTCTTTTCCGTTTTGTCTTGTCTTGTCCCTTCCCTACATATAATTAGGGGTATGTGAAATTCCCGTCCCATTCTGTCACTTTTCATCTCGTCTCATTATGTCCATTTTCATCCCGTCTTGACCCATTATGTTCCTTTTCATCTCATCCCGTCCAGTCTCATCCTATCCCATTATGTTCCTTTTTGTCTTCATATTCTTTTTGTTTCTTTCCATCCCATCTCTATATATAGTTTTCCCTCCTGTCTCATTTTGTTCTCTGATATACTCAACATTTGCATACATTTAGCCTCACATATTGCATAGTTTGTGTATAATTGAGTCCCATTTCATGGCATTTAGTGTAGATTTAGTCTACTTAGGATCATTTAGCCTTTAGGTTAGCATTTTGCATTTCCATTGCATTTGGGGTGCACTTATCAGGTATTCGGAGTTTATGGCGAAGGAGCAGACTGGAGTTGATGATCGGAGATGGACCAGAAGGAGATCGAAGTAATCGGATGGCAAAACGAGCTAGACGGAACAGAGCCTTGAGCAAGAGGAAAACAGAGTGTTTGAGGAAGTTGCTCAAGCTGCGCGCATCTGTGAAGTCAAAGCAAAAACGTTGACCGAGGATACACTTTTCCCTTCTCTATATAAACCCTTACGACCTAATTTCTTAGGCAATCTTTATGGGACGAACCATACCTGTTCAAGAGAGGATCGGATGGTCTGTTTAGAGGTGCATAGCTCAGGAGGAAGTAGAGGAATACTCGAGCATTGTCACGGATCGAGCTACGGAGGTCACTTTGCGACTTTCAAAACGCTTCCAAGGTTCTTCAAGCCGGATTCTGGTGGCCAAGCCTTTTCAAAGACACTCACGACTTCATTGCAAGGTGTGATAGATGCCAACGAGAAGGGAGCATTTCCAAGCGCAATGAAATGCCACAAAACCCGATACTTGAGGTGGAAGTGTTTGATGTATGGGGCATCGACTTCATGGGCCCTTTCGAGCCACCTTCTCACGGGAATAGATACATCCTGTGGCGGTTGACTATGTGTCCAAGTGGGTCGAGGCAATCGCTTCCCCAACGAACGATGCCAAGGTTGTGCTCAAGCTGTTCAAAAGCATCATCTTCCCGAGATATGGAGTGCCAAGGGTTGTAATAAGCGATGGAGGAAGCCACTTTATCAACAAAGTCTTCGAGAACTTGCTGAAGAAGTATGGAGTCAAGCATAAGGTAGCGACACCATACCATCCTCAGACAAGTGGTCAAGTGGAAGTGTCGAACAAGCAGATAAAGGGGATCCTCAGGACGATTGTGGGAGTCACCAAGAAGGACTGGGCAGTTAAGTTGGACGACGCTCTCTGGGCTTACAGGACCGCCTATAAGACGCCAATAGGAAGGACGCCTTTCTCGCTCCTTTACGGGAAATCGTGTCACCTTCCGGTGGAGATTGAGTACAGAGCACTTGGGCAATCAAACTGCTCAACTTCGACATCAGGTCTGCCCAAGAGAAGAGGGGTTTCGACTTACACGAGTTGGAAGAGATCAGGCTGGACGCATATGAGAGCTCCAAGATTTACAAAGAACGGACTAAGGCATTTCACGACAAGAAAATTGTGCCTAAGTCTTCAAGGTTGGAGAATATGCGCTGCTTTTCAACTCGAGAGCTAAGTTGTTCCCTGGGAAGCTCAAGTCCAAGTGGTCGGGCCCGTTTGAGATTAAGGAACGTCCTTCCTTATGGAGCTGTCACTTTGCTTAACCAGAATGGCGAGGAGTTCACGGTGAATGGCCACAAGCTCAAACCGTATTTGGGCCAACGCATTCAAGGAGAAGGAGTCTCAACTCCTCTTCCGGACGCCCCTTAGCCTAAAAGGTTATGAAAGTCAAGCTATGGGACTCAAAACAAGCTCACTTGGGAGGAAGTCCCATGGTTATCTTTGTATATATTTATTTTTGCTTAATCTTTCTTGTTTTAGTTTTATAAGTGCTCAGGTGTATAGATGAAGGAAGTGTTCAGTCTGCCTGACGATAAGCTTGAGCAAATGACCAAGAAGAACGATGCAACGATTTTTGAAAAGACTTAGGTTTTCTCAAAAATCGTTGCCAGGTAAGCCCAGTCCCTGTTTATAAGGCCCAAATGAAAACAGTTTTTGATCGAGTTTTATCCGGAATTTTGTCTCGGTTTGAAAAGAAAAAGAAAAGAGGAGAAAAGGAACGTGGGAGAGAGAAAGTAGTCAATTGGGGAAGTTGTGATTTGACAGCGGTTTTAATCCAAATCCTTCCCGATTTTTCCGCAACCCCATCTCTCTCCTACTTTACCTTTTACAAAACCGAGACAAGCCAAACTCTCTCTTTCATACTTCTCCTTTTTCCCGATTTGTGAAAAGAAAAATCTCCATCTTTCTCTCTACTATTTCGCTCTTTCTTCTTCACTTTCAAACCGTTTTCTGCGCTCAACCGGTAATTTCTCCGACTTTGGCTAGATTTCGTTTGGATTTTTTCGAAAACTGTTTTGCATGTCTCTGTTTTTCCGAGATTTGAGTTCACCGCCGGTTTTAATCGACCTTTTTAGTTGAGATCTGTCTAAAGCTTTGATTTTTATCTCGAATCTCAACTTGCTTGATCTGTTTCTTCTCTAAGCCTTGCGAGTGACATTATTTGGCTAGAGAACTTACTCTGTTTGTGAGTTTTTGTTTGTTCCACAGGAACAATGGTGTCCACAACAAGAGGAACTCTCTCGAGAGCCGCGGCGGAGAAGGCGGAAGGAAAGAAACCGGTGACAGAGGAAGGCTCAGGCAGTAGGAAAAGCGGATCCGGGTCATGAAGAGCAAGGACTACGCCGAGATCTTCGACCAGATGTCTTTCGTCGGGACGAGATACCCTGACCTGACGATGGCGGACTGGGATCTCTCAGGATTCACTACCTCTTCGATGAGATGCAGCTTACGAGGCTGATGATGAACCCTCAACCTGCATACCAGAAGGAAACCATCGAGTTCCTCTCCACTCTCCGAGTTAACTTCTACGAGCCTGACGAGATCGTGCCTGAGGGTCATGGAAGTGGAAGGTTCTCCTTCCGAATCAACAAGAGGAAGTACCGGATGAGTTTCAAGAGCTGGAGGATGTGTTTCATTTTGAACACAAAGATGGGCGAGAAACAGAGCCTGGAACGCCACAAGGGAGCTTCAAGCCTTCTGGGCAATGATCGGAGTTGGCGAGTACATGCTAGCACTGCCAAGAGCACACACATCAGGAACCCCGTGCTCAGATACGTCCACAAGGCCCTCGCTCACACCATCTATGCGAGGCGCGATTGACTGGTGTCACCGAGAAGGAGCTCTTCTTCTAAACGAAGGGATGAAGAAGGATTATTCGCCGGACTGAGACCGGATGGAACAGAGATGGTCAGGGGACAGATCAGGGAACAGCGTAGTGGTCAGCTGAGCTGTGGAGGGACTCATAACGCCGATCCTCATGAACTGGGAATCACGCTTGAGAAGCCGGTCGATCCTCAGGCGATAAACATCCAGTACCTCCGCAAGAGCACCTACCTCGCGGGTAACCCATCAGCGGACGCCACAACTATCAGTTCGCCTATAGGCAGTTTGAATACCAGCTGGCGAGTTTCTTCCTGCCAAACCACCCTTGACCTACATCACGGTCAGGAGAACATAGACTTTGAGCCTCCTATCGAGACATTCTCGAGCAAGGCCAAGAGGAGGAAGACTACGCTCACCCTGGAGCAGCTGGCGAAGGTGAGAGCTCAGGCGACGTGGAGAACCTCATGGACTACAAAACCGGAGAGTTCCACTTCAAGAACCACGAGATCAAAGGGAGGAAGTCAGCGGCTAACACCGCACTTGAGACGCATCCACGCTCAACAGCTACTCCAGATTCAAGCCTCTACTCCATCCACGACTCCGACAACGGCGACAACGTCCTGTCGCCGATTCCGAAGAAGGTGATGAAGGCTCCTCCAAATTCCAAACGGCAGAGACCTCAACCAGGAAGAGGAAGGCCTCGAAGTCACCTCAAGCGAGCACAAAGGATGATTCCACATCATCCTCCTCCTCAGATTCTTTCTGAGAGGTATGAACCCCAACCATGTAAATAGCATGCATTTTTCTTTTTATTTTCACTTATCTTTTGCTTTGATTCTCTCTTCCGCCTTCTTATCACACAAGGGACCGTGTGAACTAAGTGTGGGGGAGAGGGTCAATGGTATTTGACGAAGTGCTTTATGTTCTTATTTTATATTTTGCATAACCTTGAGTCTCATGCATTTGCATCTTTAGAAAATCATGTAAAATTTTCATTTTTGCATTGCTAAAAAAAAAAACCAAAAACAGAGCATGTAGTTAAGATCATTTCATTTGCATCTGAGCAATGTTTGTTGAGCTGATTGATTGAGTTGCGGAATTGCTTCAGTGCCCTAGTTCTAAGTTGTTTGGCGCTTTTGATAGTTCTTGAAGTTAAGGTAGAACCGCATCATCAAAAAGCATCATGACTGTCTTAGTAAAACCGAATGCATTGCGATTTGAATCTGCTCCTTGTCTAAGTGAAACCTGAACCTGAACATCAATTATCATGCTCATGCTTGTTAAGTTCAACTCGTGGATTATACATACTTGAATCATCTTTGCATTATTGTTCATCCTTCTTTGTTGATTCAAGTAGAACTCCCTGCCCTTAACCAACCCTTCCTTTCAAACCAAATGTTGTTCTTGTGTGTTGTGAGGCCTTTGAAAAGCTTGGCATAAAGTGTTAGGTCTTGAGCCGACAAGGATAGGTGATCATGTAGATTCTGGTCCACGCTTTTTGGGCCAGACTAGGTTAGGACTTGGGTTTGGGAATGTCTTGGGTTGGGATTCAAAAAGAAAAAGAAAGAAAGAGCTTGTGAGCAAAAAGAAAAGAAGCGTTTCAGCTAAGGTAGATTAAGAGCTTGGTCTGTGAGTTTAAGAAAGCCCCCATCAGAAAAAAAAAAAAAAAAAAAAAAAAAAAAAAAAAGGAAAAGATGGGTTAGGGCAAGAGTTTAGACCAAGTCTCTCGGTTTATCTTTCAAAAAGCCTTAGAAAAATTCGCTAAAGTTTCAAAAAGCTCTAAGAAAAAGGAAAAGAAAAACCCAAAGGGAAAAGGGTAGAAATAGGAAGTTTCGGATTTGAGAGTCACCAAAAGGTACTTGGGGTTTCGGGTAGATGATCATTTGTCCTTGTACCTCCCAATTGGTTCTCGCCTTTAGCATTATGCCGAAGCTGTTTCACTTCTTCTTGAGAGAACCCTTCCTTTGTCATTTGACATGAGCTTGCATTGTGATTTGCTCTCTCTCTTTCCTATCGGCCAAACGAGTTAACTTGACTTGCATGTGTTTTGATTCACTGTTTTGAGCTTTAATGAATGTTAAAAGGAGTAGAGGATTTGAATGCATGTTTAGGTTGAGCTAGTTGTCATTGATTGTGATTATGAAGGTGCGGCTAAGATTTTTGAAGTAGAGAACATCTTTTGCGCTTTAGACCTTGGAACTAGGTTGTTGATTCAATTTCTCTTCTCGGCTTTCACTTGACTCTATTGCTCAGAGAACACTCTTATGCTTGGTTGATGTTTGCTTGAGGGCAAGCAAAGACTAAGTGTGGGGGTGTTGATGTACTCAACATTTGCATACATTTAGCCTCTCATACTGCATAGTTCTGTGTATAATTGAGTCCCATTTCATAACATTTAGTGTAGCTTTAGTCTACTTAGGATCATTTAGCCTTTAGGATAGCATTTTGCATTTCCATTGCATTTGGGGTGCATTTATCAGGTATTCGGAGCTTATGGCGAAGGAGCAGACCGGAGGTGATGATCGGAGATGGACCAGAAGGAGATCGGAGTAATCGGATGGCAAAACAAGCAAGACGGAACAGAGCCTTGAGCAAAAGGAAACAGAGTGCTTGAGGAAGTTGCTCAAGCTGCGCATCTGTGAAGTCAAAGCAAAAATGTTGACCAAAGGATACACTTTTCCCTTCTCTATATAAACCTTTAAGACCTAATTTTTAGGCAATCTTTATCTTGTAACCAGTTTCTCTCCAAGAAAAACAGTTTGTTCTTGGAGATCTTTTGTAAGCTTTTACTTTGAATCTTTTAAGTTTAAGAAGTACTTAGTTTGCTAATCTTGTCTTAATGATGATTTCTAGCTTTCTTTACCTCTTTGCTTTCGGTTCGAGTATGAGTAGCGAGTAGTTCTTTAGAGGTTTCGAGGGTGAGATTAGGAAAGGTCAGAGCTTTAGCTTCCTGTTAACCTCTTCCTTAATCTCCCTTGACCAGCTTTTCTTTAGCTAGAGCTTTATATCTCGGCTTCTTCTTGATCACTTGAAGTCGCGAATCTAGGCTAGTACACCTAGAAGGTGTTTGCGTTAATGCCTAAGAGAGCTAGCGATAGAGAGAAACATTCCCAACCTAAGAGATTGGTTGTTGGGATGTATCTTGTGCACTTTTAGACTAGATCTTGTGAAAGCTTGTAACTTTGAGTCCACTAGCGAGAGCTAGCTTTGGATTCTCAGCTTGCAAAGCGATCTGACCACGAGAGTGGCAGATTTACCCAAAGTCTAAGCACAAAGCTTGAGTCTTGGTGTGTTGAGAAAGGAAGGTTGAGCTCGTTTGATCCCAACTAATCTCACCCAAGACGCCTCCTTTATCTTTTATTGTTAAAGTTTAAATCTTTCTTTCATCTTGTTAGCTTAAAGCATAGATCTTTACAAAACAAAACCCAATCTTTTATCAAAACTTGATCTTTGCCTTTTCTTTATTTCGATAGTTTAAATCTCCATTGGATTGACATCTCAAGTACTACAATGACATGAGTGGTATGGATTGAGAGTAGTTGATACAAAAATCCTACTTATCATCCTCTTCCATTTTTTTACATTCCGTCTCGTCACTTAATATAATAAGAAGTAGGCAAATTTCCCTCTTTTTCCGTTCTTTTTTTTTGTCCCGTCTGGTTTCGTCTTATTTCATCCTAAATACTTTAAAAAAATCTCGTCACTTAGATAGTAAACCATAATACTTAAAAATACATAATAAACCATATAATTATATTAGTATAAAGTATAAACATGGTAATTAAATAGAAAGGATATGCAATATTTCTTGTCTCGTTTTGTTAAATAAAATTAAAGTTGGACATAATTTTGGTCTTGTCCCATTCCGTCATGTTTCTTCCTATCTTGTTCTGCCATGTCCCATTTCTATCCCGTTTTTCCTCATCTCGTTAATTTCCTTCCCTTATGCCTCGTCTTGTTTGTTCCAGTCTTGTTCCGCCCCATCTCATTCATTCACATTCTGTTTTTCTCCGTTCATTTGTTTTTCATTCTACCTCAACTTGTTTCTTCTCGTCTCGTTCCGCCCCGTCCCATTCATTCACATCCCGTTTTTCTTCGTCCCATTCATTTTCTTTCCATTCTACCTCGTCTTGTTTCTTGTTTCTTGTCGTTTCGTTCCGCCTTGTCCCATTCATTCCCATCCTATTCTGCTTCGTCCTATCCATTTCCTTTCCGTTATACCTCGTTTGGTTTCTTCTTATCTCGTTCCGCCTCATCCTATTTATTTCCATCCCGTTTCATCGCGTTCATTTTCTTATTATTTCATTATTTTTATTAAACTATTTAAATCAATTGATAAAACTAAAATTATTAAATTAGAAATATTAATATATAAATTATTTTCTCATAAAAATGAATTTTGAAGTTCTGTTTGAATCTATTGATTTAACAAATGATAGTTATTACAATGATAATATAATAAATAAGAAGTTTTAAAGAGATTTGGTTTGGACGTGGCGGCCCAGAAGAGAACAAACTATATTATATATATATATATAGATTCTCACATTTACTATCAAAATATTTTTAATTCGTTTTATATGATCACTATTTTGTTCCATCTCATATCTTTTTTTTTTTAATTTATAAAACGAACTTTAAACCATCAAAACTAACCCCAAAATTTCAAAACTAAACCTTAAATACTAAAAACCCTAAATTCTAAATCCAAATCAAAATATTTAAATGATAAACCCTTATAAAAATGCTATGATAGGAAATTAAAAAAAAAACACTTTCATGCTATATGATGGATTTTCTCTCAATAAAATATATCAATAAATTTCTTAATATTTTTCATTAGATATTAGGTTAAATTAGAAATTTAAAACTAAATTTATATTAAAAATAAAAGCAAAAACAGAAAATTAAATCTAAAATGGAAACTAAGGCCATGAATGTTTGGGGGTTTGTAGATTTTGGATTTTGATTTTTAGATTTTGGTTAAAGATTTTAGATTTTGGTTTTTGATTTTGGTTTTGCTGTAGATTCAGTTTTTTAGAAACTTGAATGGGTGACTTATTCAGTTTTTGGTTTTTGCCTACATTTTTCTTCATAAAGATAAAACTATGAATTTATTAATAAGAAACTAAATTCAACTATGGTAAAAGTATAAAAACAAAATTATGTATTGAAAATATCAGGAAATATTACATATAGCTATATTTTTAAAATACAAAACTAAATCACACTGTACCATATAATACTTATGATTAACAAATTCAATTAACTATACTATAATAACTACGGTAAAAGTATTGACTAAGAATTAATTAACTAATTACCCAGAAATCTTCATGCTAATGTGCATACAATATCGTTTCTTATAGAGGAAATGATTATACCTATAATTAGTTATTTTTTGCAAAAAATAAGGGAAGAAAAAAGGTTAAAAATATTAAGTGTATAGTCCGGTTATATCCGGTTAATTACTTGTATGAGTTTCTTTTAGCTTATCAAGTATGTTTATAAGCTTCTTTGTACATTTACATTGTGATTAATGAGAAATAACAATTACACTTTTAATATGGTATCAGAGCGAAATAACAAACTTTCTCGTTCTTTCTTCCGCTTTCTCATCGTTTCTCGGCACTTTCTCGGCTGAATTTTCTTCGATTGAGCTCGTTTCTCATCGGATTTCCTTCCGATTTCTTCAGATCGATGAGTATCTCACCGATGCGTCTACTCTCCGAGCTCACGATTGGATTTTCTTTGCTGATTCTTTTTTATCTTCGCCATTTTTCATTTTGCGTCTTTCTTGCCATTTTCTTCTTTTGTTGACCTCTTGATTGCTGCTTTCACTTTCCTTTCGGCACAATCCCTCTCTATTAATGGCTGCTCCGCCTCAATATCTGGATCAATACGAGAATCCATACTTCCTGCACAGCTTCGATCATGCCGGATTGATTCTCGTCTCCGATCGTCTTCAATCTGGTGCTGACTTCCACTCATGGCGTCGCTCTGTTCGGATGGCGTTGAATGTTCGGAATAAACTGGGTTTCATCGATGGAATGATTCCGAAACCTCATGCAGATCATCGCGATGCCGGCTCTTGGTCACGCTGTAACGACATGGTCGCCACATGGGTTATGAATTCGGTTAGTAAGAAAATCGCTCAGAGCTTGTTGTTTATGAGTACTGCTGAATCGATTTGGAAGAATATCCTAGCTAGATTCAAGCAAGATGATGCTCCTCGTGTTTTTGAGATTGAACAACGTTTAGGATGCTTGCAACAAGGCTCTATGGATGTTAGTAGCTTCTATACCGAATTGATGACTCTTTGGGAAGAGTACAAGAATTATATGAGTTTCCTGTGTGCACTTGTGGTCGCTGTGAATGTAATGCGGCTGCTTTATGGGAATCGTTGCAACAACGGAGCAGAGTTATGAAGTTCTTGATGGGATTGAATGAAGCATTTGAACCTACTCGTCCTCACATCTTGATGATGAAGCCAATTCCTTCGATTGAAGATGTCTTTAATATGGTGGCTCAAGATGAACGCCAGAAATCGATCAAGCCAAGCTCGCGACAGGACAACGTTGTTTTCCAGAACTCTGGCCCTCATGATGATACTCAATCTTTGTCATCTGAGACTCTTGCTGATAATGCTGCGTTTGCTACTCAGTACAACAATGGTTATCGTCCTCGCCAGCGTCCAGTTTGTACCCACTGTGGTCAATTGGGTCATGTTGTTCAGAAGTGCTTCAAGCTTCACGGATATCCTCCGGGTCACAAGTTCCATACAGCTTCTGGTCAACAACAGTCTCAGACGTCTCGTGGTCAACAATCTCAGTTGTGCATTCACAGAACCGTTCTCAGGCTCAAGGTTATCAGGAATCCAACACTGTTGCAAATGTGATTTCTGGTCCTCTCTATATGCCAGCTCCGGCCACGAATGCGATCAATATTGACTTGAGTCAACTCAACACCGATCAATTCCAGACTTTGCTTCAACAGCTCCAAAGTCACGTTAAGCCTCCTGAGTCTCATGTTCCCGTTCAACGCGCGTCTATCACTGAGGGAGGTCATATGGCTGCTGAATCGTCTGCTGGTATCGTCTCTTTTCTATCTCATAACATTCCTTTTCCTTCTTCAAGCCTTCGTTTTGAAAACAATTGCCTCACTTTTCAGCATCAATGCTTATCTTCTCTTTATAATTCTTTACCGAGTGGCTCTTGGATAATTGACAGTGGAGCCACGACTCACGTTTGTTCTGACTTGTCTTTGTTTAGTGAGACCTTTCCGGTGTCTGTGTTACAGTCTCTCTCCCTAATGGCATTAGAGAATCTATTAGTCACACAGGCACTGTGCATATACATTCATCATTGACATTGCATAATGTTCTGCATGTTCCATCTTTCCGATTTAATCTCATCAGTGTTAGTAGTTTGCTTAAACATGATGATCGTTCTGCTCACTTTTATGCTGATCATTGCATCATTCAGGAGTCTACTCAGGGCTTGATGATTGGTAGAGGAACTCTCATCAACAACTCTATATTCTTCAAGTCACTGCTAATTCTCCTTCAAATTTCTGTGGATCCTTGCATGATGATGGTCTTCTTTGGCATCAGCGCCTTGGCCATCCATCTTCTGCCAAGTTACAACATCTTTCTGGTATTCTGCATTTGAGTAAAGCTGCTAGTTCTGATCATTGTTGCATTTGTCCCTTAGCTAAACAGAAACGTTTATCTTTTCCATCAAATAGTCGTTTGTCAAAAGCTCCATTTGATCTTGTTCATTTGGATGTTTGGGGTCCTTTTTCAGTAGAATCTATAGAAGGTTACAAGTATTTTTTAACCATTGTTGATGATTGTAGTCGTGTAACCTGGATCTATATGATGCGTAATAAAAGTGAAGTTTCTACTATTTTTCCATCTTTTGTGAAGCATATTCAGACTCAATATCAATTGACAATTAAGATGATTCGAAGTGACAATGCACCTGAACTTGCTTTCCCTAAACTCATTCATGATTTTGGCATTATTCATCAGTATTCTGTGCATATACTCCACAGCAGAACTCAGTTGTTGAACGTAAACATCAGCATTTCTTAATGTTGCTCGTGCCTTGCTTTTTCAGTCGAATTTACCTTTGGTTTATTGGAGTGATTGTGTTTACACTGCTGTTTTTCTTATCTATCGCACTCCTTCTTTGCTTTTGAATAAGCTCAGCCCTTTTGAAATTTTGGCAAAGAAAACCCGTGATTACTCTTTTCTACGTTCTTTTGGTTGTCTTTGCTATGTTTCTACATTGCCTAAAGATCGTCATAAGTTTTCCCCTCGGGCTGATGCTTGTGTTTTCTTGGGTTATCCATCCGGTTGCAAAGGTTACAAAGTTTTACATCTTGACACCAATTCTATTTCTATTAGTCGAAATGTGGTCTTTCATGAAACTGTTTTTCCTTTTAAAAATGATTCTTCTAATGTTTCCCCTGATGTGTTTTCGAAAACGATTTTACCCTTACCAATTCCGGTTGGCCTTGACTTTCATTCACCGGTTTCTAACATTGCTCCTATTGCACCTGATTCTCATGTTGTTCCTGCTGCATCTCATGTTCCTGCTACATCTTTTGTTCCTGCTGATTCTCATGTTTCTGATGCATCGCATTCATCTCATGCATCTGCATCACGCTCTAATGCCACATCTATATCACGAGAGACTGTTTCACAGGGCACAGGACAGAGTCGGCTTCTCAATAACATGTCACGACCTAAACGTGCGCCTAAGGCTCCTGGTTACTTATCTGAGTACCACTGTTCCCTCACTCAAATTTCTAAGCCTTTTGCTACTCCTTTTGATATTCCTTCTCCTGATTCTATTCCTTCCACCACTGTCTACCCTCTCTCAAATGTTCTCAACTATTCAGCCCTTACCCCACTATATCAGTCCTATGTTCTTTCTTATTCCCTTGAGACGGAACCAACGACGTTTAAACAGGCTATGACTTCTCTGCATTTTAGACATGCAATGAATGAAGAACTTGAGGCCATGGAAGTCAACAGGACTTGGACTATTGAATCATTGCCTCCTGGTAAGAACGTGGTGGGTTGTAAATGGGTTTATACGATCAAGTATAAGGCTGATGGAACTATAGAGCGGTATAAAGCTCGTTTGGTTGCAAAGGGGTTCACACAGCAGGAGGGTGTGGATTTCACTAAGACCTTTTCTCCTGTTGCCAAGCTCACAAGTGTGAAGCATCTTCTTGCTTTGGCGGCTATCAAAGGCTGGAGTCTCTGTCAAATGGACGTGTCCAATGCCTTCCTCCACAGTGATTTGGATGAAGAAATCTACATGAGTTTACCACAGGGCTATACACCTAGCTTTGGCTCTCTGCCTCCAAATCCAGTATGCCGTCTTCACAAGTCTTTGTATGGCTTGAAACAAGCATCACGGCAATGGTATCATTGCTTATCTGATGTGCTTCTTCGCTCGGGTTTCAAGCAGTCTGCCTCGGACAACACACTTTTTGCCAAACAAGTTGGTGAAAAGTTCACTGCGGTGTTGGTCTACGTTGATGATATCATGATTGCTAGTAACAGCGAGGATGAAGTTACCTCTATCAAATCATCTCTCAGCTCAGAGTTCAAGATTAAAGACGTTGGCGAACTCCGATTTTTCCTTGGCCTTGAGATCGCTCGTTCTTCTCTTGGAATCTCGGTGTGTCAACGGAAATACGCTTTGAATCTTTTATCTGATGCTGGTCTTCTGGGATGCAAACCAAGCTCTGTTCCGATGGATCCCACCGTCAAACTAACGAAGGACTCAGGCACTGCACTCTCGGATCCTACGTCTTATCGAGCTTTGGTAGGTCGTCTTCTCTACTTGACGATCACCAGACCTGATATTACCTTTGCTGTGCACTGTCTCAGTCAGTTCATGCATTTCCCGACGGATGTGCATCTTGCTGCTGCCCACAAGATACTGCGTTATCTCAAGAATAATACGGATCAAGGTCTCTTCTACTCTGCTTCCTCACCAATCTGTCTTAATGCCTTCTCGGATGCTGATTGGGGAACAGATACAGAGTCTCGCCGTTCTATTACTGGGTATTGTGTCTATCTTGGCAAGTCTCTTATCACCTGGAAATCGAAGAAGCAGGATGTGGTGAGCCGTAGCAGTACGGAGTCTGAATATCGGAGCATGGCTCAAACTACTTGTGAGTTGCTTTGGCTGCAACAGTTGCTCACATTTCTCCAGGTTGAGGTATGCACCTTTGCGAAGCTTTTCTGTGATAACAAGTCGGCTATATACATCGCCACAAATCCGGTGTTTCACGAGCGTACGAAACATGTCGAGATCGATTGTCATACCGTTCGTAATCAAGTGAAGAATTGGTTTTTGAAGTTGATGTCTGTTGCCAGCGAGAATCAACACGCTAACATTCTCACTAAGCCGCTTCATCCTGGTTCTTTCTACTCTCTTCTCAATCGTTTCTCAGTTTCAAGTCTCTTTTCTTCGCAACGAGGCTCTGAAACAGTGACTTGAGGGGGGTGTATTGAGTGTATAGTCCGGTTATATCCGGTTAATTACTTGTATGAGTTTCCTTTAGCTTATCAAGTATGTTTATAAGCTCCTTTGTATATTTACATTGTGATTAATGAAAAATAACAATTACACATTTAATAAAAAAAAAATCTATGGGTGCTAGTATTCGGGGAAAAAACCAAATAATAGAGATTTTGGTTTTTATGTTGAAAATGGCAAGGATCTGAAAAAACTAGTTTCCCTAGAAAATAAGGAATTTATTTCAGCAAAATCGTGATTGGAAAAAAATTAGTTTTTTCAAAAACAAAAACGAGAATCTAATCTAGAATCTACAAACAATCAAGGCCTAAATCGAAATAAATGAAATTTATACAGAATATAGTATTAATTTTGACTATCATGAGAAAAGGTAAATGTACATTTTACTTTGGAAATCAAAATTTCAGTTTTAATGGACAAGATTAAATAATTTCAAAATCTTTTAGTGCGTATCGTTACAAAACGTCTCCAAAGTCATCGCAAAAACGTCATTCATCACGAAAAAACTATAAAAAGAGAGAAAACGACATCGTATATATTCTACTAATAATTAAAGTGTCGTCCCAATAAAGAGAAGACACAAGTGGTGTGAGTTTATTACGTAACGCGCAAGACCACGCGCGTGTGGTCCCCACGATCCAATGACTTTCTTAACGTCCAAGTGCCGGTGGGACCCATGTTTTATGGAACCGTTTCGAAGATTTTCTTGCAGGTTTTTTTCTTTGTTGGAAATTACATTTATATTCCTCATTCCTAGCTTCAATTACAATGTTGCCATTTTCCTTGAAAGCCAGTAACATTTTCAAAGGGTTAATACTTACTAGTAGTATAATAATAGCAGTGAATGACGATGCTAAACACTAGGATTAATAAATAGACAACAAATACTAGTAGTATTTTAGTTTTTTTACATTAAACTTTTGTTTTAGTTCATAAAAAACCATAGCCTATTAGTCTCGGATATGCATAATTGTTATGGTCAATGTGTCAATGACAAAGTAATTTCTGTCAAAACTCTTTCAAAGATGGTGACTTGTTTAAAAAAAAACAATATTTTTAACATGTTTTTTCAGAAGTATGAAAATTTGAAGAGTTTCCTTGTTATTGTCTCCTTTTTAAATTCAACATAACTTTGATTAATTTGTGCTTTTGCTGTTTACATTTTGCAATAATCAATCAATTTGTAAAATTAGTTTTTGCATCTGTTACAAAGTACAAACAAGTATTTTCAAAATAAAAGAGCCTTTCACTATTAATCCACAATCATACCATTGATTTGATTCATAAGAAAAAAAATTAGTGCCTCAATTATTCCTCATAAATCATAATGGTTAGGTAGTCAGAAATAATAAGAAATTCAATAAAGCAAAGCAAAGAAAAGAAAAAAGTGGTTTTGCAAAAACAAAGAAGCCAATAGATTCTCTCTCCATCTCTCTCTCTCTTCACATTCTTTCCTCAAACTTTGCTGCATTTCCTTACTTTCTCTCTCTTAACCAGAGAAAAACCTGTCCATCTATTGCTATAAAAGTATACTCCATTCTCCTTCAAATCTCCTCCACACCAAACCTCTCTCTCTCTATCTCTCTCCTCATATTAACAACAAGAAAGAAAGAAAGAAAAAGACAGAAACCAGAAGATGGAGGTTTCGACGAGAAAGCCTTATTTTATAGAAGAAGAAGAAGACGATGGAATGGCTTCTCTAGCTGAAATGGAAGCTGGAGTTTCGAGTCCTTCTTATTACAACAACATGACGAAGATGAATCACTTCCATCCTCAGAGCTATTACTACAACCAGTACTCTGTCTCATCGCCCAGATCTGTTGTTGTTTCTCCAAAATCCCATGATTTTCGATTCGACAATAGCTTTTACTACGGACAACCACTTGCTCATTTCTTGGACTCTTGCTCCCTCTGCAAGAAGCGTCTTGGTGATAACAGAGATATCTACATGTACAGGTAAATAATTGTTTTGTTTCTCTTAGATCTTAGAAATTCGATCATGGTTATGGTTTTGCCATGTTTTTTGCTGTGAATTCAAGAAATGGAATAGAGATCTATTGTGTCTGATTTAAAGTGTTGTTTTGAAACAGAGGAGACACACCGTTCTGTAGCGAAGAGTGCAGAGAGGAACAGATAAAGAGAGACGAAGCAAACGAGAAGAAACAGAATCTGTCTTCTTCTGTGAAAGCTATGAGAAGAAATGAAAAAAGAAGCTCTTCATCTTCTCCAACTAGATCTCGTGATTATGCTTTTCACAATGGAACTGGAACTGTTGCTGCTGCTTAAATTCAATTCCACATTAATTAACGCCCATTGTTGTTAAAGCGGGTTAATGGTTTATGGGTTTTTTTTTTTTTTTTTTTTATTTCATCTAAAGAACAAAAAAAAAGAAGAAAAATGGTAAAAGGAAAATAAAAAGCGAAGAAAAACCTCTCTTTTTCAAGTGGTTTGTCCTTTCTTTTGTTATTAGCTTTATTTTTCGAAAAGAAAGAAAAAGAAAAACATGCAATTTTGGGAGTACAAGAAAACTATGGCCAAACGTCTATGTGAATTTGGTACAACTTTTTCTTTTGTTTGTTTAATCTGTGAAGAAAACAAAATATAGTATGTGTAAGATGAATCATCAGCCTTGCTCTTGTTTTATTTTTGTAACGGAAAAGGTACAAAATAATAGTTTAATTTTCTTTTTTATATTCAAATGTGATGCAGTTATGATTCGAAATAAATTCGAGGTAGTGGAATCAACTCTTTATGGAGAAGTTCTGATGTTGTCATGCCTCAAGAGAATAATATAATGGTGTATTATTAGACCTCTTTTTCTGCGCATGTTCTGTGACATCATTTGTGCAGTACAAGTTTTTTTTTGTTTTTTTCATTTCCTTCAATCAGTAGTACAATTAGTTCGTTAAAAAGAAAGCAGTACCATTTTCCTTTTCACAAAAAGGTGTTTAAACTTTTTTCATATCCTGGTTTATATTCACAAACGTAGGTTTTTTTCTTAACCACAAATTCCTTTTGAGAAGTTACATTAGACCATTGGTTAGGTTTTCCCTAAATACATAATAAAAAATGAGACTCATTTGTTACTTGTTAGTGGGCTTAATATTACTACTTGGGCTTTTCCCGCCCTTTTATAGTTGCGCATCAAACACAACATCGTTATTATGTCTCTATTAATCTGGAAAACGTAGATCAAGATCCTCTTTAGGCTCTAAAAGCCCCTCTCGTCGTCGATTCTACTACAGAACTTGTCACATTTCCGGAATCTGAATCCTCAATGATGTTCCTAAGAGTTTCAACGATAAAGGCCATGGTTGGTCTCTCTTTATCGTTCTTCTTCAGGCAATGATCAGCCAGTTTAGCCACTCTCCTGACCATAGCAACATGGTACTTGCTTCGTAGCCTAGAGTCGACGATCATTCTGAAGCTTTTGCTATCAGCAGGATGTAGTTTAACCCATTCAAGAAGCTTCTGTTCAGCCAAAGGTTTCAATCGCTCGATTGTGCGACGACCAGTGATGATCTCGTAGAGAACAACTCCAAAGCTATAGACATCGCTTTGTGTCCTGAGATGACCAGTTTCTACGTACTCTGGAGCTGCATATCCGTTTGTTCCGACTCTCTTTTTTTTTAAGAGGATCATGAAAGAAGAACAAGAATCTGTTACTTGTGGATCAAGCAACTAATGAGAAATATGAGAAATGTTACTTACTGCGGTTGTAACGTGAGTATTATCTCCTTCGGGACCTTCTCTAGCGAGACCAAAGTCAGATAACTTCGGGTTAAAGTCATCGTCCAAAAGCACATTTGATGTTTTGAAGTCTCTGTATATAACCTGTCCAGAAAACAAACAACATGTAGCGAGTGCTAATTAGGTTTTTGGGTTATGTTTGGCTCAAAACCCTAGTCTTGCATGCAAACAATCAAAAGGTTTCTTTTGTTGTTGTGATGGGGTTTGGGGAATAAAAATAACCTGGATTTCGTGCAAATAAGCCAATCCTTGAGCTGCACCAAGAATGATCTCAAGCCTTTGTTTCCACGGCAGAGTTGGTGGTTTTCGAGTGAAGAGATGATCCTCTAAGCTGAGATTAGACATCAGCTCGTAAACCAAAAGCCTCTCTGAGTCCTCTGAGCAGTACCCTAAGAGCTTCACTACGTTGGGGTGATTCACTACGCCCAACAATTCAACCTCTGCTAGCCATTGCTTGTGCCCCTTTGATTACAAAACAGGGGATCAATAATAATGTTCAAGATACAAGCTTAAACTACATTATACAACAAAGAAACAAATATGTCAAAACTACATTATTCAAAAATGGGAGAAATCCTGTTCTTGGTTAAAGTTCTAATCTTTTTGAAAATCAATCACACAATAAAACAGAACAAAATTTAACCGAACGGAAGTTACCTGTTGACTTTGTCGATTGAGTTTCTTAACGGCGACGGTAAGTGGTGAAGAGTGAGAATCTCCTCCGGTGGGACTGTGAATGGTGGCTTTGTAAACACTACCAAAGCCACCTTCTCCGATCTTAAGCTCTCTGCTAAACCCACACGTGGCGTCACTGAGTTCCTTGTAAGAGAAAACCCTCAGATTCTGGTTTTGTTCTCTCTGTGTGTGCAAGTCTCTGATACTTGCTGGAGATGGCAAAGATCTTGCTGTTGGTAGATTGAAAGACAAAGAACTGGTCTCGTTGTCCCTTCTCCTTGTTAGTTCTGGTGCTGAATTTTGTAAGAACTCTCTCCCTCTTATGTCTTTGGGTTTCTTGGACTTGAACATAAACAGACAATTCATGTTCTCCTCTGTTTTTTTCTTTTTTGCCTTTCTCTTTGGTTAGTTTTGAGGATTTGGGTGTATGTTAAAACTTCTTATACACAAATTATGAAAGCATACAAAATAATTTATAGGGAAAAATAAGGAGAGAGACCAAGAAAAGTCAGATGCTATGAATGAAAAACTGAGACTTTATTTTGTTTTGTTTCTAAAAGAAGGGAAGATTTGTTTTCTGGGGAAGAAGGTAGGTGATTATTTATATAAAAAACCCTAAAATGGGTTTTGGATCATATGACTCAGAATCAGTGGAAGATGGGTATGAACACTTACACAAGAAACGAGAGAGAAAGCTGGATGAAAAACAGAAACTTTTCTATCTATGGAAACACAAGTAAAGGACGTAAAATGAAAGATTTTGCTTTATAGCATTAAAGAGTTTTTCTTTTTGACTAAGAAGAAGAAAACGAAAGAGAGAGAAATCGGCTAACTATGTAACGTATAAGAGTCAAAAAGAGGACCAAGAGTTTATGTACCTATGTATTTGACTAAACTGAGACTTTAGTCTATACTCTATAGCAATATCTATCGAGAGACAAAGACCAAACCAAAGCTATAATTTTCTTTATCAAATGTTTGTTCATTGTTTTTCTTTTTTTTTTCTTATTGAAAAAACATACTAAAAGCTCAAGTCAGTTTGCGTTTATATGTGCATTAGAAATTGTTCGTGTATCGTACAAAGGATATTATAGAATAGAAGATCCAGTTACGTATTATATCCAATTCAAACATCAAATACTTAGATATGGTAATAGTTTTGATTTCAAAGCTAAAAGCTCATGAAATACATAGAAGCGTGTGATAAAAGTCAAGTCAATACTCTCAAATGTATTGAATTTGGGTCATACTGATAAAGATGCTCATAGACTCTAGAGTTATTGTTCTAAGTCAATGACTCGGTTTTTAAACTACAACAGCATCTTGGAAATCTGACCTTGTAACTTCGAATTTGGTAGATACATATTATAATGTTTGAATTTTATAGTTTTGTAACTTTGTCACAATCATTATATCTAAAACAAAACCCAATAATAATATACACGGTGTTATAATTATATCATATATTTTATATGTGTCTGAGAACTATATTTGTGTTGAGAAATATTTGTAAAAGGAAACTCTCGGAAAGATTTTGTGAATGAATCTATACTAAAGAAAGAAGTGTACCAAATAGGAGGAAGAAGGACAATTTTGTATTGCCTTAGATGTGTCTTACAAATGAAACGAATGACTCAATTTATAGAGCCATATTCGACAAGAGTTACTGTGATGGAAATTATGACATGGGCTCCAATTTATACACGCAAAGTCTTGACTTTTGTAACACTCCCCCTTGGAGTCCATCGTCATATGTATTTGTAGTTGTCTCGTTAAAAATCCTTTCCAGGAAAACCCATGGGAAAAACCATGGTAAGGCAAAAAGAGTACAACTGTATAATCTCCCCTCGAATGACTTGGTTTCATAGGTCTCGTTGATGACGCATTCCAATGTTATGGATATGTTTCTTAAATGTTGAGGTAGGTAGTGACTTTGTGAAGAGATCTGCTGCATTCTCGGATGACCGGATATATTTCACCTCAATAGCTTTGTTCTTCTCAAGTTCTTGGGTATATGAAAAGAACTTAGGTGGAATATGTTTGGTTCTATCGCTTTTGATATATCCTTCCTTCGTTTGAGAAACACATGCAGCATTGTCTTCATATAATATGGTTGGTTCTGTATAGACTCGGATTCCACTACTTGATTGGATATGTTGACTTATTGACCTAAGCCAAACACATTCTCTACTTGCCTCGTGGAGCGCAATGATTTCAGCATGGTTTGAGGAGGTGGCCACGAGAGTTTGTTTCTGGAGCGCCATGAGATAGCGGTTCCTCCGACAGTGAAAACATACCGGTTTGTGAACGAGCTTTGTGAGGATCAGATAGATACCCAGCGTCTGCAAAACCAATCATTTGGTCATCTGCGTTTTTAGGGTAGAATAATCCTAAATCAATCGTCCCTTGAAGATAGCGAAGTACATGCTTAACTCCATTCCAATGTCTTTGAGTTGGAGATGAGCTAAATCTTGCCAAGAGATTAATGGCAAATGATATATCAGGACGTGTACAATTCGCAAGATACATAAGGGCACCAATAGCACTTAAATATGGTACTTCAGGACCAAGTATCTTTTCATTTTCTTCAGGTGGTCGAAAAGGATCTTTTTCAACATTAAGTGACCTAACTACCATAGGTGTACTCAGGGGAGTTGACTTATCCATGTAGAAACGTTTTAACACTCTTTTGGTATAAGTAGATTGATGTACAAATATACCCTTTTCAGAATGCTCAATTTGTAAGCCAAGACAAAACTTTGTCTGTCCGAGATCTTTCATCTCAAATTCCCCTTTTAGATAATTAGTTGCTTCATGTATCTCTTCATGAGTTCCTATAATATTTAGATCATCAACATACACCGCGATAATTACAAATCCGGATGATGTTTTCTTGATGAAAACACATGGGCATATAGGGTTATTGATATATCCCTTTTTGATCAAATGCTCACTTAGGCGATTATACCACATGCGCCCCGATTGTTTTAACCCATATAATGACCTTTGTAATTTTATTGCACATAATTCTCTTGGTTTAGAACTTAATGCTTCTGGCATTTTGAATCCTTCGGGGATTCTCATATAAATATCAGTATCTAATGATCCATATAAATATGCTGTGACGACGTCCATAAGACGCATTTCTAGATTTTCACTAGCCGCTAGACTCATCAGAAATCTAAATGTGATTGCGTCCATGACAGGAGAATAAGTTTCCTCATAATCGATTCCAGGCTTTGAGAAAAACCTTGAGCCACGAGACGAGCTTTATGTCTCATAATCTCATTATTCTCATTTCTTTTTCGAACGAAAACCCATTTATACCCAACTGGTTTGAACTGATTTGGGTATGACTACGATAGGTCCAAACACCTCTCGCTTATTAAGCGAATCAAGTTCGACTTGAATTGCATTTTTCCAGTTTTCCCAGTCATGTCTCTTTTGACATTCAGATAGTTACCTGATGCGTTTACTGATACCAAATTGGTAACAAAATCACACATACCAGCAGCAAATGCTCCTGCTCGTATTGAAATGCCACATGAACGTACAAAGGCAGACGATACACGTGAGTCTAAAACACGCTTGAAGCGTGGTAGACCTGTTGGTTCTAAGGATAAAAATCCTAGAAAGCGAAAGGAAGTTGAGAAGTATGATGATCCTAAAATAACAGAAAGTATTTTAGGAGAAACAAGTCATGAAGCCAATGAAAATATCGAACTTCCCGAATCCGAAGAAAACCATGAGATCTTTATCAACTACATTCATAATGGAAAGATATGGAATCGAAATGACATGGATGACGTTGATGAGTTTTTCTCATATCTTGTATCAAACGAAATAAATGAGTAAAACGAAGATCCATAACTAAAATCTTCACCGGCGATTGTAGCCGAGAAACTGGCCTGCGGTGGTGATGGCTTAAGCGGTGACGATGACGTTCCACATCCAACGGAAGCCACGTATCAGAGACATTCTAATTAGCTTACACGTGTAATCGATGAGTTAGATTATAGTGTTGGGCTTTTAGAGCTTTCATCTGTATTTGTGTACACTGTAATTGCCCATTGCGCTTTCAATGAAATGGCTGGCAAAAAAAAAAAAAAAAAAATTTGGTTCTAGTTTCGAGAATTTTGTCCAATCGAATCGTGGAATCCATCATATTTGATGCTCCTCCATTCTTAAAAGATGAATTTTCTAGTAATTTTTTGATATTCCACAAACATAATTTTTTTTAACTTTTCAGATGCATTTTTTTAGATTTTAAGAAACATTAATTGTATTTGTTGGATTTTTATTGGTTTAAAATTATAGAAAATTGTTTTATTGCAAAAATTTGTACAATAATAATTGAAAATCAACTTTTTCTTAATCTATGTGAAAAAATTAGAAAAAAAATATCTTTAAAAAACGGAATAAATATTGAATTTCATTGGAAATCAAGAAACCACTGAAAATTGCCATAGTTTTTTTTTTTCTGAACTTTGTTGGGTATATTTGTTGGGTATAACGATGCAAATCGTGATGTATTTACTATTTTATTTAAAGCTGGATGTTAAATGGTGAAAGTATGATAATATTTTCTTTTATAGACCCTTGGGAGAAAAGGGTTTCGCGAGTGGAGATGGAAATAGACTCTGAGTTGGTGGTTGGCTTCCTCAAGAATGGGATAGGGGAGGCGCATCCACTATCGTTTCTAGTACGGCTGTGCTATGGCTTGATTGCAAAAGGCTGGTTAGTTCGAATCTCTCACGTGTATAGGGAGGCCAATCGTCTAGCTGACAGATTGGCTAACTATGCGTTTACTCTTTCTTTGGGTTTTCATTTTTTCCCTTTGGTTCCTGATAGTGTTAACTCAATCCTACAAGATGATGTACTAGGATATGAGTGTCCGAGAGACATTATTGTTGTTTAGTTTTTCTTTTTATGAATAAAAGGTAGGAGTCATTCGATTCCCACTCCACTTACCAAAAAAAAAAAAAATCAACTCGATATATACTGTTTAATACATTTTTCATTATTCAAATCTATATATACTCTTTAATACAGATTTTAGACTTTGATTTAATAAAATACTATTATATAACTGTTTTGTTAGAAACAATTCATTTCGTTTTTTTTTTTTTTTTTTTTTTGGAAATTTCAGTTATAGTTAATGCTTCAAAAGATTGTACATTTATTACCATAATTTGTTCTCGTAATTCTTACATTAATTGTACATTTTTCCGTATAACTATTTTGAGTACTCCAAAAAAAATGTTTCGAAAGGTTGTGTGTACAGTTGAGGTGCCCGCTATCACGAGTTCGAGTCTCAGCCACCCGGACTGCCTTAAATGGTAAGAATACGTAGACTGCCATAGACCTCGTGGGATTAGTCTTGGGCCTATAAAGCCTTTGGATCACCCACGGTTAGAAGAAAAAAAAAAAAAAGGTTGTGTATTTTATTTTTTTGTTTTGAAGGTTGTGTGCATTTCTCATAACTATTTTAGTTTCTTTTAAGAATAACTATCATAAAATATATTTTTGGAGAATTACATCTCTATATCATAACTCTGTAGTAAAAAAGCATCTATTACTAATAAAAATTGAGCCTCCACATAGGATTTAAAAGGTTGAATTTGATTGGTCCATGTCATTATTCCTTTTTCCATTGAATAATTAATTTCCTAATTTTCTTTTTCTTTTTATTAGCAAATTTTCCTTTTTTAATATTCATATATTTTATTTTTTTCAACATTAGTATTATTACTTTTACATATTAATTTTAGTAAATTTCCTATTTTACAAATATTTTATTAATTAGATTTTAATAATTATAATTTTTATATAGATTAATTAATAAGAAATGACATTAGAATTTGTCTTTTATATTAGTAGAAAATTGATTAAAAATCTCATACAAACTATTATTGCATATTCAAACATTCATTTTAAAGAAATCTCAAACATAAGCATCTATATTAAACATTTTTTATTGCAAATGTACTAAGTAATTAAACTTCTATTACTAATAAAGTTTGACCCTATAGACATTAGATGATGTCATTGTCCACATAGAATTAAAAAAAAAAATAATTTCATTGGTCCACATAAACACATTAAGATAGTTTCCTTTTTAACTGTTATTATCATATTTTCGTAATATTTATTTCTACTTTTATTCATACTAAAGTGTTTAGAAAACCCTATAGGCATTAGAAGATGTCTACATTGGATTGAAAAAATTAATTTAGTTGGTCCACACTCCACATAAACATAATAATTTTTTTTTAATTATTATTATGATATTTTTTTAATACTTAATTCTATTTTTATTCATACCAAAGTGTTTAGAAAATAGAAAAAAAAATTCTAATGACATAAAAAGGATAACCACTTTAATTTCGTTTTTCTTAATATATAATATTTAAAATTTAAAATTTATATTGTTAATATGCTACATGTTCATTTTATTATTATGAACAAATTATTTTACAAATTATTGTTTTTAAAAATTATATGTAAATACATATGGAACATAAACAAAAAATATATATATTGTATCGAAGCATCAGTATATATTAATTTGTTGATTTATATGCACTATATCATGTATTAAAGGGGAAATAATATTTTGTTTTGAAGATACATTGAAAATAAAAATTGGAACTATCTGTAGTTTTTAAAGCTATTGCATAACTGAAAAATGGACCAACATGAATGATCATTAGCTGAGTTCGAAGACATGCCAAAACAATATATAACCGATCTACAATAAATTGACTATATCTAATGTTCATGGGAAAGATAAAATATAATATCTTATAATCATCATTTAAGTCTTTATCTAAAGAAACTGATACTCCCTCCATTTTATGTTAGTTTTTGTTTTGAAAAAATGTATTTGTAATGATGTTGATGTATTAAACTCAAAACACATCTAGATACATCCCGATACATTGCAGTTATATTTTCTCAAAACGAAGGAGTATTAGTTTCTTTAGATAAAGACTTAATGGCAAAGATAATAAAAAAAAAATCAATAACTAACAATTATCAATTGCTGAATATTAGATATCTATATAAAAAAATCAACAATTAGAGGTTGGAATAAATATAGGGAATGATAGATCCAATATTCAAATAAAACTCAAAATAAAATAAAATGATATATGACAATTGAGTTTAGATAATATCTCAAAGAAATCTGATTGATAAAAACTGCAGTCAATTAAATGTAAATAGCGGATGTTTGAAAATTATTCAAAATATTTGGAGAGTGTAATTAGTGGGTGTTTGGAAATTATTCAAAACACTTGGGACTAAGAGGATTTGATATGAATGGGTGACCTTTAGTGACATGCAATCTCTAACATTTTGAAACAAAATACTTGGTAGTGTGCATATAGTTAAAGAAGAGGAGATGTAAAGTGATAATAAGGATATAGGGATTTCGACGAAATTGGGTTTTAACTGAGATTTAATGTAAGGTTTTTAAAAACACAATGGCAAAAGAGTCACATTTTTGAATCTTCATCTTTGCATTTCAAAGACAAAGACACTGAATTTCATATATCAAAGTGATGATTAAATCTAAAATGTGACAAAACCATACTCATAAACAAAAAATTGAAGATTTGGTTATGTATACTCAATTAAGAAAAAAATAGTGCCATAAATTTAGGGATTAATGTAATTTCTCCAATGATCAGACCTCTATACCTTACGAGAAAAATGTGAGAAATGTTTGTAATATATTTTTATTCAAAATTTATCATAAGAGTGAGAAATGTTTGTAATATGTTTTTATTCAAAATTTATCATAAGAAAATTCCTTTTATTATTATGACTAACTATACAAGAATTAAAATGATTCGTTAAAATAAAAAATGTAAAGAAATTATGAAAAAAATGTAAAGTATTTGTATTAATGAATTTTTAAAGAATTAAAAATTATAAAAATTCATAATTTATTTTTTTTAAACATAAAAACGGAACCCGCGCTTAGCGCGGGTAAAATACCTAATACCAATCTATCTATACTAATGAAAGCAGCTGTTTGGGGCTTCTCAGGCCATCCCAGAAGAAATTCTCGCATTGCCACGTGTCATTTTTAAAAAACGAAATGTTATGGGTTTGGTTTGTTTAATAGGCCCAATAAAATCATCTATTCAACGTTAGATGCAGGTCCATGTGGTTAAAGAAACACTCTTCGGCTTCTTCTCCACTTCGTGAATTCAATTATCCGATTGTCAGTTACACCTTAAATCAGATATATAGATAGACACCCTTTCTTTCCTCCTCTTCCACTGCACTTCTCATGTCTCCTCCAATGCCTTCTCAATCCTTCAGGTTTGTAATTTTCCTTGATTGCACTAAACTATGTGATATAGATATTGAGTTCTCAGATGATCTTCCGTTAATTTCCGGATTTCACTTTCTTTGTTAGAGATGGAGGAGTTGGTTTCGGGACGAGATTCTTCTACTGGAGCACCTCGATTCCACCGAATTTAGACATTGACCTCTCTAACAAAGAGAATAACAGGATAACGACCAACATGTATGACTTAATTTTGGATTCTACTTTCTTCCGGGAATACTTAAAAATGTTGGTGATTCTGTGTTTGAAGTCTTTGTGTGAATATATTATTATATTGGAGCAAGCAACGAGGGTTTCGAGAACTCGATTTGGTTTTGGGAAATAGGGAATGTCAATCTCATGGACGACATCGCTGTCGAATCACTAATTCATGTCCTTGATTTCGTACGTATCACTGAATCCTATCACATAATTTCCACTGTTTTTGGGTGTTTAATTACATGTGGTATCTGCAAATCTCTTGCATATATGCATTCCTGCATATTTTGAGACTCATAAAGATGCAATGTAATAGTAGAGTTTGAGCCTACTAATTTACTAATTTTGAGGTATAAAAACGTATATGTATCTTCTTATAAGACTATGGGGAAGGTTGAGTATATATAACCTGAAAGGAGAAGCATGAATCTCTAAGATCAATGTATTACCTTCCGGAACAGAATTGGTTGACAATTGTTTTTTTTGTTGCTCTTTACAGGAACACACTGATCTTTGGAAATGGTTAACTGCTCAGGAACAGCCTCCAGAGGCAGTGAGCTCAAATCCGGTAAACATTATTTCATAACAAGCCTATGTTTTAATGTTTAGTACTATATATAGACCTTCTTCTGATTGGCTTCATTGCAGAAGTTACATATATTTTGCTTTGGTGCTCAAGTTGCTCTCTCTTGATAGGATAGTGGAGAGAGGTCATTACTCTGAGAGAGAAACTACTCATTTAGCTAAGCTGATACTTGGTGTGGTCCATACTTGAGCTTCTGGGCTTCTGGGCTCTAACTCTTCTGATGAACAGCTTATTGGAGCGAGGATTCTCAGGCAGTTCTCAGTGAATGAACGTTACTCTGAGGATACGCTTGAGAAGATCGGAATCAACTTTCCGGTTGTTGAAAGGTTTGGCCTTTGGGGAGACAGACAAGCTCATGGTAATAGATGGGGAGACAGAAAGTAAGAGTCGATGAATTGAAATCTTCTCATTCAGAGTTTATTGAGATTATGCTTCTCAATGGCGGTGGCGATGAGGAGGTGTACGTTTAGTGTGAACGGTTTAGGAGGATTACTAAACGTACGTTTACTCGCATTTGGGGCTTCTCAACGGCGATGTGAGATTATGCTTCTGAAAGTACGTTTACTCGCATGTGCAGGTTACAGGTTGTCGATCCAAACGTTCCTGTTATTTGAGTCGGTAATTTTGGGCCTATTGCTTTCGGACCACATTTATCTCTTTTCTATTTGGACATTGCTTTGACTCTTATAACAATCCTATGAGATCAACTGTGCAGAAGAGAGTCTCATGATACCTTATTATTTTCTGGGTTGCGAACGGTTCCTAGGGATTTCCACTCACAGGTTTGCATGTTGTTTTTGTTTATTGACAATATCTGATTGGGAACATGAGGATAAATTGCGTTCTCTGTTTTGTTTTTCTTTAGAGAACATGAGGAGAATCAGACCAAGTTTAAGCTACTGAAACCTAATTAATGAGGCATACCAAAACGAACTTGCAAAAGAGATCTTGAGAAGCCACAAAAAGACACAACAATAGAAAGGCTTCTACATGGAGTAAGCTTCTGATTACAATGATTTATCTTTTTAAGTATACCACTTTCCTGATTTTAATGTTTGAGAGCTTCTAACTAAATGCAGGAAAAGGTGCCAAATCAGGCTGTGATGTCGAAGTTATATCTTTCGAGCTCTTGTGGAGTCCCACCAGTTTGGTTCCCGGTGAGTTTATAGAAAACTTAGATAATGAATTTACACAATAATCTTAAAGAGCTCAATGAATTGACAGGGCTTAGTGAATTGAGCTTAGGCTATATATTGAGAATCTAAAATCTCTCTAGACAGTTTATTAACTTAATGAGGATACAATTTTCAAGCAAGAGATGATGGTGCACGAAACTTGAAAGGTAATGAGGTAAACTTGCTAATATTATATAATTCCCCCTCCTTTATTTTGCTTCAGTTTACAACGATCTCAGCCTTACGTTTAGCAGTAACATTTAAAACTACATATGCATCACTCTTAGTTTCCACATCACTAAAATACATTTCCTCTGTTTTCTTGGCAGTTTAACTACAGTCGACAAAATCATGGCCACCTGACGATCGATGCTTACAAAAGTATGCTTTTCAAGGCTTTCACATGTATTTTTTTTTGTTGATGATTGAACTTGATTTCAACTATATCTCAGATTGAAGACTAAAGTGACTACATCTTGAACTGATGTCAAGTTTGTTAAGCCAGTTAAGCGAGGTAATTCGCTCCCTACAGTTTCCGCTCCAAACTATTATTAAAGTAGTTTTTTCAACTGATGTTTTTATAATTAACAATTCCATATTACATAGCAAGTGGTCTATGGGTTTCATATAATCAGGTTGTTTTGTGTATTGGTTGATAAAAGTAGTTGTTTGAGTTTAGCCCGTAAATTTGTAATGGTATGAATTCTACCTTATTAGAACTTTGACATGTATATGTTGTCTCCTATAATTTTCTGAACCTCTTTCGTTTCTGTACTGATCATCTTCTCTGCTAGAATAGAATTTGGTTCTTATCATCAGTTCAAGAAGGATAGCGTAAAACACATTAATTTCTTACCTCTTATTGTAAAAGGAATTAAAGCTTTCGGCTACATTGGGAGAGTCTTAGTATATTAAGAGCTTCTCGACTTTGGGAGAGCTTAGAGAATTCTAAACGAGATAGATGAGAGAGAGCTTGAGTTGAGGAACACTAAGGAGTAATTTTTTTTATTACCATAAGTTAGCTCTTTAAGTTCATCAATTTCCCTGATTTTATGTTCCAAAGCTTTTACCAAAATAAGAGAGAGAGGAGAAGGATAGGTCGGGGTAGAGTGTGGCGTTGCAGCTCTTGCGGATGAAAACAGAGCTGGGAGTGGGAAACCAACGTTGAGGATTGGTGGGAGAAGAAGAGAAGAAGAGAAGAAGAAAAAGTCTCATCATTGTTACCTTTGTGTATGTATCTCTTTCGAATTGGATTGATGACTCTTCCTAAGACTATAAAAATAGAGTTTCACCACAACTAAACTCATGTTTATCATATGGTTTGTAACATGAGCATAACATAAGGAACCATGTTTAAATCTACAACTAAACTAGAGAATTAAACAAATCATCGAGATTATCATAATTCATAAACACTACGGGAATATTGGTGTGTACAAGGAGATTCTTAATATACAAACTGTCTTATTAGTCATAATGCATTTGAAAATTAAGATTAGTAGATAAATAATTTATCTAACAAAAACATTAATAAAACAATTTTAACAATAACCCCTAGTAATACATTAAAGCAGCTCCCTGGGGCCTCTTAGGCTATCCAAGTAAGCACTTTTTTCTTCTTTCCTACACTGCCACGTCAGCTGCACCACTTAAACCGTTAAACGAAGCCCAGCAAGCCCGTCGCTAAAACCACATAAACGAAGCCCATGTAAGCAAGCGCTTTTACAGAGCATCTCGAATCGATTCGTCTCCCACCTCAAGCGCTTATTATCTTCATAAATTTACTTCATGCCTTCAATTTTATTCTATGGTCGATGAGATTCTCTCATCTACTCCTCTATAAAACCCAGCCCTTTTCAACCCAAAACCCACTCCGAAACATTCTCCTGCTCCTACAAAACGTTTCCAGAATTCAAATGGCCACGACTCTGCAGTTTCAATCTCCTCTCATCTCCTTATATGTCTTCTTCATCTCTCAATTTTACCACCCTTAATTATTGATTGATTGGGTTTCATGATCCCAAACTCAGTTATATTCAGTTTCAAAACCTACGACGCTGTAGAATCCCGAAATTCGTTGGTAAGGTATCGCCTCCTTCTTATAATTCTTTTCAATTTACGAGTCTCAGATCTGCGTCTAACCCATGTATCGAACTCCTGTTTTTCTAGGCATCAACCTAATTTAAGAAGCATCGACTCACAGGACCTCCACGTTGACCAAATTAGAAGCGGAGCAGAACACATGAGATCTTTCGGTAAGGGTGAATGCATATTAGGTTTAGTGAGAAACATGAATTACCAAACAAGAGATGGTATTCTTGATCTATTATAACAGTCTTTTAGAGTTTGATTTTATTTTTCGTTTAGTTTGTGGAGACTTGGCTTCTCTGGATACAGATTTGTTGCGGCTGCAGAAGATGTTTCGTTTTTGCTTAAAGCGAGACCTGAATTCACTCAGAAGCTCTTCGACCAGTGGCTTTCGCTCGCGGAAGCTCATCGACAGGTAATTCGATTCAGAGTTTCCTCTTAAGCTATTCATTTTGGTTTCAGACTTTCAGTTCCAATCTTCAACGCCGCTAAGAATTTTGGCTGACGGAATCTATTATCCGGTGGTATGGTCTTTCGTTGTTATATGACCTCTAAGATATGCGAAGTTTACTGGGATTTGCTAGCTAAGTTCTCTCTTTTTTTGGTGGATTTTGTGTAGAGCAGATTTGTTTTGAAAGAGACATTTAGCTTCTTTTTCTAAAATGTATTATTGTGACGAGTCATTAGCTGAAGTCTAAAGTGCAAAACTATTTTCTACTCTTTCTTTAATCTGTTTTTCTTAGGTAACATCATTGCTTCAAGATGCGATGGCTGGAGCTCCTTTGAACGTTACTGGGAGTGCATCTGGTTCAGGACCTGCCACCACCACTTCTTTACCATCTATGTTTCCGGGAAGTGCTCCTTCGCTTTCACCGAGGAGTTGTGGTTCACCGCGTTCAGTGAAAACAGAGGGTTCCTTTTAAATTTGGTTCTCCGCTAAAGAGTCCATACCCCAGGTTTTACACTGCGACTGCAAATTAAAATAAGTGCATTTTTCTTACTTCTTTTAATATTCTAATCAAGTAGTTTAATTTTGAAATGGTCGCGCACCTTCAAGGGAGATAAAAGAGCAATGTATGTTTAGAATCAACCACTTTTTCTACGGCCACAAAGATGGACTGCAGATACAGGGTAAGAAGTGTTAAGCTTTCTAATATTTACAATGACATTCCATGGGCTGCCTTATTAACTTTATTTCAATACTCAGAATTCAAATTAGTCACCCGAGAAATCTGCTAGCTTCCATCTTTCTTCTTCACTTCACTTTTCAGGAAGATCGACGTCAACAATTCAGGTTTTGTTACTAGGTGTGTGCACGTTATAGACAAGATCATTCGGAACCGGCTAAGCTCTATTCGAACATTGGGAGATGAAAGTTACGAAGGAAGTCTCATTTTCTGGGTTTCTAGAAGAAACTAAGGAAGTAGATTCTTTTCTTATGTATTAATCTATCTCAAACAAGAAACATTTGATGTAAAGAATAGCTTTTGATTGAATATAATCTTACATTCTTTCAAAAAAAACAAGTCTTTTAGAGTTGTATTTTATTTTATTATAACAGAAGTAGGATATACATTACATTTTGGCATAACACGATGGGGAAGAAGATTGCATGTCTGTCTCTTATATGCAAACCCACATTATTTCTTGGTAAGATTACAGCTGGAGGAGAATGTATGTGCAGAGAAATATGTCAATTCATATTAAGAGAACAAATTCATTTGCAACAGAAATAAAGCAAGTTCCAAGCGCCGTGGAGCTACAAGAAAGTGACGGGCATGCTGGAAAAATATTAAGGCAAAACTCAAAATTCGTTACATGGATGGCAGTCAACAAGGCAATTAAAGAAACTGGGAAAGGGGCAGGGACGAATGCACCAGAATCTTATACTTGGGATAAATTAGGCAAAATGTGGAAACCCAATTTAAAAATACAGGAAACACAAAAGCGGGCCTTATAATTGTCGACGTCTTACGCACGAGATTGAAGCCAATCTTCTTTGCTTACCGTTCTTCGTTTATCACTTTGGACCATTGCTTTTTTTAAGTTATATTTACGTTCTTTGCAATGATTTTCATGCCTTCAGTTTATTTTAATATATATTATTGGTAACACCCTTTTCTTATCATCAGACTGTCAGACAACATACGTAAATCTATACGCAAATCATACTTTCAGTAAACCACATTATCACATTCTTTGCTTTCCACAAGAATTTCCAATAAATATGGACAATTTCATCCCTTACACGAATTATTCGTTACATTTTTAAATTTATACATACACAACATTGCAGCAAATATATGGTAATGTATCTACTGACAGCTAATACAGTTACACAACCCGGGCGTACGCCCGGGGATTCATCTAGTAAAAAAGAACACACAATATCTGGATTGGATTATTGGAAGATAGCAAAAAATAAGATGATTATAATTTTTTTTTTTTGGTGGCTTATTATGTTTGATAAAAAATGACTTCATTTCAATAAACTAGTGGTGGTTCGTCGTCGTCTTCTTCCTCTACGGCTGTCTCGGATCTTCTCATGGGTTTCTAATACGTCATTCTGAGCTCATTTCAAGTGTTCCTTCTTCACAGAAAACTAGCAAGCTTTAGTGCTTTACCATAACGATAAATAAAACAGGAATCACACTCTTATGTGGTCCTCGACACACTTTCATGAATCATGGTTCCGTCGACGGCTTCTGGGGAAACATGATTGTATTTTCCTCTACAGTTTCTTTGAAAATTCTCTCCACTCTCCTCCATTTTCTCTGTTTGGAAATCACTTCATTAATCATCTTTCTTCTATCCCGACGTATTCCGTAAATCGTCTCCTAATTGGAATGGGACTGTTATTACCAAGGAAGAAGGTCTCAGCCATCAAATCGTCAACGGTCAAACGGTGTCGAACGGTTGGAGAAAGGATTTGTCAGTAATTGAAGAACAGGTTGTACATTCGGCAGCTTTTATTCAAACCAAGATTACGGATGAGAGAAAACCTCATCAACAGTAGCCTGTTTGTTATGCTTACCGCTTACGTTCTTATCAAATACCTATTTGTTCATCATATACTTTGTTTCTTGTAATTTGTAACTCCAAGCTTATAAAGCTATAGTGATAGTTTACTATTAACGAATTTCTGTTTGAATTTCCATAGAATGTAATCTTTCTTCCTATAATATGGTCCTCAAAGACTTTGGAGAGGAATCACACTCTTATAGGGATCCGCACTTTCTTTTTCTTTTAAAATCTTCCTGATGAACCTTGAGCTTGAAGAATCACTCTCAACATGAAATCAAACCATCCCTCCTTTCGTTGTTGTTGTTGCGGTGCTTAGTCCCGAATCCTGAATCTATAGCTTGAGGGAGAAGAATAGGTCATAGGTGTCTCTTGTTTGTTGTTGACTGACGTTAGGATCTTCCTCTAGCAGTACCATCTTATCAAATTCATCAGCTAAACTTAATAAACCAGTCTCTTCTTCTTCTTCTTCTTCTTTTTGTTTTTGTTTTTTGGTTAAGACCACCACTCTCCTCTTTTTCTTCATAATTCGTGTGGCTGGCAACATTAAATAAAAGAAGTTTGTGGAACATGAACATTAATTCCAATATTTTTTTTCTCCAGAATTAAAGTTGGGCGATCCCATTCAAATGCATCGTGATTCACGACCATGATGAACTTGGCGATAGGGTAGTTGGCGGATGGCGGATGGCAACATTAAATAAAAGAATTTTGTGGTGGAAAATTGTAGAACAAGCACTATTTAAGCAAGTCTAGTTTCATGAGCTAGCAAGCATCCCATCAACACAAGCTGATAAGTGTTTCCCTCTACCAAAAACATGGAAAGCAAAACTGTGATTTTAAGTGTGCTCATAATGTGTCTGGTCATGGCGCAAACTCAAGTAGAAGCAAGACAGAGGGCATGCTGCCCTAACCTAGTTGCTATAAATAAATATAATGTCTGTCGTATAGCAGGTTCTCAGTCGACATGTGCATCAATCAGTCAATGCATACTCGTTGACGGGAGTTGCCCTCCAGGATATCCCTACGGAACTCTCGAATTAAACTCTGGTAAAATAAATATTTCTATAAATTTAATATATATATATATATTAAATTTATTTATGCCATGTCTTCTTTTTCCCTCTCCTTAAGGTGATGCTGTCAATGAATACTGCAAGTTGGGGTGTGTATCCTCTGTGTGTGGTGCCATAACCACTCTCCAAAGCTTTGGTAAAACGAACCCTCCCAAGTCCCAAGCTCGTTATTCATCTTATTTATGATGGAATAATAGACTAGATGTTAATCTATTTCTAAATTTTTGTTTCGGTTGTAGACAAAAGTGAGATTGTGGATGGAGCGGTTGAACAGTGTACCAAAGCATGCCTTACTTTGTGCACCAAAGGCTCTATTACTACACGTGGAACTGCCTAAACCAGCATATCGACAAAGATACCACATCTAAGTTTCAAAAGTGTTATTTTCATGTTTTCAATTATTGTCAAGTGAATGTGAAAAAAAATGCTAGACTCGTGCTAGTGTTTTAATAAGCTGTTTCTGGTTATTGTGCATGTGTGTTATAGAAGGTTGTCGATCATTGTATGTGCCAAATAAAAAGTGTCCCTATCCTCGACTGTTTTAATTTGTTCTCTATTTAAAATACAAGCTAGTCTTGATCGAACTCTTGCGTAATGAAGGGCACATATATAATGCGTAACATTAAGTTACTAAAACACTTTTAATTGTCTTAATTCTATATAATAAACTTTTAATTAATGTATATTAATTCTATAACTTTTATGGGGTCGTCAACGACTTTTGGGGAAACATGTTTGTATTTTCCTCTACAATTTCTTTGAATTTTCTCTGAAAACTCTATTCTCCTTTACTCGTTTCTTTGCATCTTCAATAATATCAAAAAGGACTTGTTAGTTATTACCTCCTCCGTAGATAGATTATCCAAAACCATTGCCATACTTTTTTCCTATAATCTCTCTTTTCTGTCATATGGCTTCCTCTTCTTCTCCTGCTTACGTTAAGAGATACCATGTCTTCCCGAGCTTCCACGGCGCAGATGCCCGTAGAGCGTTTCTCAGCCATTTACACAATTACTTTGCAAACAAAGGGATGACTTTTAAGGATCAAGAGATCGATAGAGGTCATTTGATTGGACCTGAACCTGTCAAAGCCATCAGAGAATCGAGAGTCTCGACCGTTCTACACTCAAGAATTACGCTTCTTCAAGCTGGTGTTAGATGAATATGTGGAAGGTTAACCATTCCTTAGGTCTCCCCAACTAAGAATTACGCTTCTTCTTGGGAATTGCCATTGCTTAGGTATCCCCAATAACAAGCATAAATATGTGGCTTAACCAGTTTCCAGTTTCCATTTTTTAATAACAAGCATACCAGTTTCCTTATGTCCTGGCGCTCCAGATATTTCTGCTAGGTTAGTGCTGTGAGTTTCTGCAGGAGATATGTAGTAAAAAGGTTCTTCATCTGTGTTCATCAAAGAAGCATTAAGGTTTAATGCTAACGTTCATCTCGATTTACATGAGACTTAGTATATCCCTCTGTCTTTAAGAAACTGGGTATTCTTGTTAGTTAAGGTAGCGCCGTCATTTTTTATTTTGAGTCTGGTGGTTATTTTGAAATTAAAGACAGAAAATCTGCAACGTTCAATCTCTATTTCTATCCTATCCTAGCTAGGTTCCTCTGTATGACTGCATCCTTTTACAATCGTTGAGGCCGATTAATTTACCTCTAGGGATTAATGGTGGATTATCGTTGTGGAGATTGACTCTCGTCAGATGGAGACCGTAATTTATTAGCACGGTCGCTAGAAACTCCTTCTTCTCCGTTAATGATGCTGCTGCTTGAGCAAGGTGATTCTTTGTAAAGCGTCCGTCTTTGGATAAAGTTGATCGGATTTTCTCAGAGATGTCACCGGAACCCTTGAGATTACTTCCTCTAAGGAGATGGGACATTGTCGTCGTCACTGATCTTCAACTTCCCACAAGGATCGGTGAATGAAAACTTAAGTTAAGATTAATGCCCTCAAAAGTTGAGTGCTCTCTGTCGATTTCCGACAGATTTCTTCCGGCTGCGGTGAATGAAATGGAGAACATGTTCACTTAACCGTAATAACGGAATTGTTTTAAATTTATTTTTTATTACACTGTTGAGTGGGAAAACCAAAAATATCACACCGTGACATAAGACAAGAAAAATATACATACGCCCAAAAATCAAATATCTGAACTGAACCGAACCGGAAAACCGAATCAGTAACCACATCAGGCTCGGCTCGTTTACGAAACTTTGGGCCCAGTTTTACGTAAATTTGATTTTTTTCCTAATTCTTTACCGAATTAATTAACTAAAAGTCTAAAACTCGGTTTAAATTTTCAAACCAACATTTAAATTGGGATGGATATCGGTTTAGATTCCTTATTTGAATCACTCTGCTGCTTCTTCTTCCTCAAAATTGTCTCCGATCTTCTCATGGATTCTCAGGCTGCTGCTCTGAGTTCACTTCATGTGCTTTTTCCACCGAAAAATGTTATGCTTCACAAAATCCATTTCCGATTACCAATGAAAAAGAAGCTTGTGGCTCTCGCGCGTCGACGATAATGAAATGGGTCCACAACGACTTTTTGGGGAAACATGTTTGTGTTTTTATTTTTCTGGAGAAGTTTCTCAGAAATTTCTCTACTCTCTTACGCGTTTTTTTTTTTCTTTTTCAAAAGATAAAAAGGAGAGGACCTTGTTTTCTCATCGATATATACTTTCTTCAACTTCCCTCTTACATCCATCTCTCTCATGGCTTCTTCTTCGTCTCACATCAAGAGATACCACGTCTTTCTGAGTTTCCACGGCCGAGACGTCCGTATAAAATTTCTCAGTCACTTGCAAAATCATTTTGCAAGCAAAGGTATCACGACGTTCAAAGATCAAGAGATCGAGAGAGGCCATTCGATCGCACCTGAGCTATTTAAAGCAATTCGAGAATCGAGGGTCTCGATAGTTCTGCTCTCGGAGATACGCTTCTTCAAGCTGGTGTTTAGATGAACTGGTCGAAATCTTCAAATGCAAAGAAGATCAAGACCAGGTTGTCATGACAGTTTTCTACGGCGTAAATCCTTCCGATGTACGGAAACAGATAGGAGATTTCGGACTCTCTTTCAAAAAAACATGTGAAAAGAAAACAGAGGAAGTGAAGCTGAGATGGAGCCAAGCTTTGACTGATGTTGCAAACATTGAAGGAGAACATTCCCTCAATTGGTATGAACTTGTTGTATCTTTCTCAAGAAATGGTGAAACTTTTGTAACATGATTTGGTTTTGCTTTTTGTTAGGGCTAACGAAGCAGATATGATCCAAAAGATTGCTACAGATGTTTCAAAGAAACTGAATGTTACACTGTCAAGGGATTTTGACGACATGGTGGGACTGCAAGTTCACTTGAGAAAAGTGAACTCTTTGTTATGCCTAGACTGCGATGATGTGAAGATGATTGGGATTTGGGGTCCTGCGGGAATCGGTAAGACTACCATTGCTAGAGCTTTATTCAACCAACTTGATAGCGAGTTTGGACTTAAATGTTTCATGGGGAACCTTAGAGGAGGGAGTTGTAGGAGCAATATGGGTGTTGATGACTATGATTCCAAGTTGTGTTTGCAAAACCAACTTCTGTCTAAGATTTTGAACCAAAAGGATATGAGGATACATAATTTAGGCGCCATAAAAGAGTGGCTACAGAATCAAAGAGTGCTTATCATTCTTGATGATGTAGATGATGTAGAGCAATTAGAAACTTTGGCTAAAGAACCTTCTTGGTTTGGTCCTGGAAGTAGAATTATCATAACCACAAAAGATCAAAAGGTTTTAAAGGCACATAGGATTACCCATATCTACCATGTGGATTTTCCATCTGGAAAAGAAGCTCTTGAGATGTTATGTTTATCTGCATTCAAACAAAGTTCTGTGCCATATGGTTTTGAAGAGCTTGCAAATAAAGTGGCAAAGCTTTGCGGTTATCTTCCATTAGGCCTTTCTGTTGTGGGTAAATCTCTGCGTGAGGATAGCAAGCACGAGTGGGAACTTCAGTTATCAAGGCTCGTATCTAGTCTTGATAGAAAAATCGAGGACGTGTTGAGAGTGGGGTATGACAGATTGTCGAGAAAAGATCAAGCTGTGTTTCTCCACATTGCGTGTATATTCAACAACAAGAATGTTGATGATGTGACAAGCATGCTCGCTCACAGTAACTTGGATGTCGAAAACGGGCTGAAGAACCTAGCTGTCAAATCTCTCGTGCAAATCGAAAACTGGGGGATGCATAATGGAACAATTGTTGTCCCTTTTCAAAAGATAGTGATGCACTCTTTACTAGAACAAATGGGGAGACAAATAGTGCATGAACAGAAAGATGAGCCTGGGAAACGTCAGTTTTTAGTAGAGGCTGGAGAGGTCTGTGATGTCCTAGCAAAGGAAACAGTAAGTTTATTTACCACTCTATATTCTCTAGAGATTTTGCATATTGCTTAATTTTTTTTTAACACCAGTCTTGATTTTGAAATTTTGTTTAGGGCACAGGATCGATCATAGGTATATCATTTGATACGTCCAATATGAGCGACTTTTTTATAAGTGGGAGAGCCTTTGAAGGAATCCGTAATCTCCAGTTCTTAAGATTCTCTGTCCATAATTGGAATTTTTTTAGAAAGGATGTTCCATTGAGAATATCAGGGGACATGGAATATCTACCTCCTCCCAAGTTACTGCATTGGGATCTATATCCGAGAACACGTCTTTCTCCAACATTTCAACCGGAATGTCTCATCGAGCTTTCTATGCGACACAGCAATCTCCAAAAGCTCTGGGGAGGAATCAAGGTTGGTATTTGTTATCTATTTAAAAATCTTGAAAAACTCCAAAAACATGATTTTTTCTCATTTGTTTGTTTTTTTTTTTCACACATGCAGCCCCTTCCAAATCTCAAGACGATAAATCTAGGGTTTTGTAAAAAGTTGAAAGAAATCCCAAATCTTTCGGAGGCTATTAATCTCGAGACATTGAGTCTGGAGGGATGCATAAGTTTGGTTGAGCTTCCCTCTTCTATAAGAAATCTACACAAACTGGAAAAGTTGTCCATGTGGGGCTGCGAATATCTACGAGTTATCCCCACAAGCATCAATTTAGCATCTCTTAAGAGAGTCGACATGAGAAGTTGCTCACGATTGAGAACTCTCCCATATATTTCTAGTAACATCAATCATCTTGATGTAAGAGACACAAAGATAAAAGATGTTCCTGCATCCGTTGCTGGACGTTGGTCGTTGTACGTGGCTTGAGATAGGCAGCAGAAGCCTCAACAGATTAACACATGTTCCAAAAAGTGTAAGGTACTTAGATCTAAGCCATAGTGATATAAAGAAGATTCCAGATTGCCTCATAGGTCTCCCTGGTCTAGAGATTCTTAAAGTCCAACACTGCAGAAAGCTGGTGTCATTGCAGACTCTTCCTCCTTCGCTTTTGCAACTCGATGCAACTGATTGTAGATCGCTCAAGAGCGTATGTATTTCGTTCGATGAACCAAGAGCTCGATGACTGCAAGTGTGCTATATCGGAGAAAGACATGAAAAGAGGATCTTCCCGTTTCTTCCATCCTAAAAGAAGAGTCACTGTGCGATTCCTAGCCGGATTCGACTCCGTTCGATCTCCGATTTCAAACAAGAACGAACATGAAAAAGAAAGTAAAACGGAGCACACAAGAATTTGGTTACCCAGGAGTTCGTTTCCTACTCTCCTGGGGCACGGCTATGCCGGCGAATCACTAGAATCGAGCTCAGAAACTTGAGCTCGTTCTTGCTCTCTCTGTGCCTTACTCTCTCTCTCTCAGCTCGATGAGCTCCTAATTCCCGATCTGTTACAACGGAAAATCAGATCTTATCTTTTCGGGAAGGACTAAGTGGCCTTATAAGACTAGCCGGTACACTTCTTCTCTCACCCGTGTACCACACATTAATCTCCTAAACCGGTATCGAAGAGATAACCGACTAACCCCGAAAATAGACTAAGGCACAGAAAGAGACTCACTTACAAATGATTCAGAACATTAATCTTCAAATCTCCACCTTGTTCTGCATCAATTGTTGTGTTCTAGTGACCCTGACGAGTTTCAATGCACCTCTCGTCCTTGAACATAAGCTTGTTCAATCTCCTGAGAAAACCTCTCTCAACTGGTAAAGTATTCCTGAGTTTTAACTTACTCAGCCTCCAAATAACTTAAGCCTCCATACAAACTCATTCATCCCTGATTCTCAGCAGCTCCAAAGCTTCTTGGAACTTTCCCACTGGAATCACCTTAGTGAAAATGTCTGCTGGATTGTACTCTGTCGCAATCTTCAACACTCGAATCTTCCCTTCGTTGATCAAATCTCTGAGAAAATGGAACTTGATGTCAACGTGCTTGGTCCTCTCGTGATGAACTGCATTCTTCGCCAATGCTATTGCACTCTGTGAATCACTGTAGATATCAACTGTGTCCTGCTTAAAGCCCAATTCATTCATCAAACCTCTCAACCATACTGCTTCCTTTGCTGCATCTGCCAATGCCACATACTCTGACTCGGTTGTTCATAACGCTACTGTCTTCTGTAGATTTGATTTCCAGCTGATCGTATTTCCACCAAGCGTGAACACTAAACTTGAAATCGATCTCCTCTTGTCTAGATCTGTTGCGTAGTCTGCATCGCAAAATCCTCTGATGATGAATTCTCCTTCATTCATGTAGCTTAGCTTTGTCTTTGTAGAACCTCTCAAGTACCTCAGAATCCACTTGACTCCTAACCAATGCTCCTTGATGGGCTTACTCATGAATCTGCATACTAACCCCACAGCGTAGGCCAAGTCGGGTCTCGTACCGATCATTGAGTACATTAAACTTCCCACTGCACTCTGGTAAGGAACCTTCTCCATCTCTCTGAACTGATCCTGAAACTCTTCTTCTGTAGCCGCCTGAAACCTGAGATGAGCTCCCATTGGTGTAGATACGGGCTTAGACTGATCCATCCCAAAATTGCCTAACACCTTTGAGACGTAACCTTCCTGGGAGATAGTTAATGTTCCCTTGACTCTGTCTCGTGTGATTTCCATACCCAGAATCTTCTTCGCTTCTCCCAAATCTTTCATCTCAAACTCAGAACTCAGAAGCTCTTTCAATTCCTTGACATACGTCTTATCCACCGAAGCAATGAGTATGTCATCCACGTAGAGTAATAGATACACATACTCATTCTTCTTTAGCTCCTTGAAGTAAATGCAGCTGTCATACTCGCTTCTGATGTATCCGTGTGACTGCATAAAGTTGTCAAACCTCGTATTCCATTGACGCGGCGATTGCTTCAAACCGTAAAGTGATCTCTGCAATAGACACACCTTCTCTGGATATCTCTCATCCACATAACCCTCTGGCTGCTCCATGTAGATTGTCTCGTCAAGAAACCCGTGTAGAAACGCCGTCTTCACATCCATTTGTTGTAGTTCCATGTTGAAATGAACAACTGCTGACAAAAGGAACCTGATGGAGACGTGTTTGACCACCGGTGAAAAAATCTCTTGGTAGTCAATACCCTCCTTTTGTGAATAACCCTTTGCCACCAGCCTCGCTTTGAATCTCGGATTCTCCACTCCAACAATCCCTGCCTTCCTTGTGAAGATCCATCTGCATCCAATGGCTCTCTGCGTCTTGACTCTATCAACAAGCTTCCATGTCTCATTCTTCCTAAGAGAATCCATCTCGTCGTCTGCTGCATTCATCCACTTGTCACTGTCTCGATCCCTTAGAGCCTCTTGGAAGTTTCCTGGTTCTGGTCTGCCACCATCTTCGATCACAACATAAGCATACCCAGCAATATCTTCGTCTTCCTCATCATCTACTTGGTAATCTTGAAGTCTTGCTGGTTTCTTGGTGTCTCTCCTTGTGCGATCTTTGGCTAGTTGATAATTGCTCAGATTCTGATCACTGTTCCCTGTAGCTTCCTCACTCTCTGTCACCTGTTCTGTATCTGGCTCTCGTTCGTTCTGATCTTGGGGTGCTCCACCTTGAACTGTAGTCCCTGATTCCCTGTTGTTACCTGCAAGATCACTCGCAAGCTCATCAGATAACACAGGAATAAACTGCATACCTGAGGTGGAGCTAGAGTCCTTGATGTCCTTGTACATAACGTCTTCCCTGAAGACGACATTTCGACTGATCGTGACCTTCTTCTCGTCTAGTAGCCAAACTCTAAAACCCTTCACTCCTTCTGGATAACCCGTGAAGATCCCTTTCTTGGCTCTGGGGTTTAGCTTTCCTTCATCCGAGTGAACATATGCAACGCACCCGAACACCCTTAGGTTAGATAGATTTGGGGCTGCTGAAGTCCATCTTTCTTCTGTTATCTCGAACTCAATGACTGATGATAGAGACCGGTTGATCACGTAAACCGCAGAGGCACTGCCCAAAATTTCTGTTCTAGACCACTTTGGCTCAGCATACTCCGGACTTTGTTCATGATCGAACGGTTGAGTCTCTCAGCCACTCCGTTTTGTTGAGGTGTGTAGGTGCACGTCTTGTGTCTGACAATTCCCTCCTGTTTACAGAAACTGTCAAACCTGAAATTGCAAAACTCAAGACCATTATCAGTTATTAGCTTCTTTACTCTCCTTTCGGATTGTAATTCCACCATTTTCTTCCACTCAACAAACTTGTCAAAAGATTCATCTTTCGTTTTAAGAAAATAAACCCAAACCTTTCGAGACCAATCATCAGTAAAAGAAATGAAATATTGACTCTTACCTAGACTCATGGGGACATTAGGAGAACCCCACAAGTCTGAGTGAATATAATCGAGTTTACCCTTGGTGACGTGTTGAGCTGGACCAAAACTTGTACGGTGTGTCTTTCCCAACACGCAGTCTTTACAGAACTTGATTTCTGAGACTTGATCCTTGCTGATACACCCCTTCTTCACCAAAACCTCCAAACCCTTCTGTCCCACATGGCCGAGCCTGCTATGCTACAAACTCGTCTGATCTCTCTTATCGCCTTCACTTGTGCCCGTTGATGCATTACATGCGTCTGAACTTCTTGCTTTTCCTTTCAGGAAGTAGAGAGTGTCATTTCCATTTCTGTGACCCCTCATGATCACTGTGCACCCCTTAATCACCTTTAGAACTCCACCTGCACCTTTGAACTCACATCCCTTCTCTTCTAAAGTCCCCATCGATATGAGGTTCCTCCCAATCTCAGGCATGAACCTGACTTCGTGAAGAACAAAAGTCGTGCCGTCTGGATTCTCAAATCTCACTGACCCTATGCCCTTTACTCGCGCTTGAGTATTGTTTGCCATATTCACTCGTCCTGTGTTAAGTTCCTTCATCTCCAGGAACACGTCCCTCCTTGGTGTCATATGGAACGAACATCCCGTGTCCATAATCCACTCATCTGACGTCTGAGTGCCTTGCATCACGTTCACCTCTTGTGCTACTAAACCCACAAGATCTTTAGCATCGTCTCTGGCTAATGAAGCTTCTCCTTCTTGTGACACACCTCTTCCCTTATTCCTCTCAAGCCACTTGTAGCATTGCTTCTTGAAGTGTCCCTCCTTCCCACAAATCCAGCAAACTCTCTTGCCGTCTCGTGACTTTGACCTCGATTTGTGCTGTTGCTTCCCTTTTCCTGGCTTGAAACTCCTCGTTTCTTCTCTGCCTCTAACGTAGTGACCTTCACCATTGTTACTCCTAGAGCTTGGCATATCCCTAAATTCCGATTCCTTTGACTTGGCTGCACTTGCGATCTCTTCCATCTTGATTCCTTCTCTGCTATACTTGAGTGTCTCCTTCAACTGATCGTATCTTGAAGGCAATGCATTCAACAGAAGAATCGCCTGAACCTCTTCTGGGATTTCAATACTCAAGTTCCCAAGATCCACAATTAACTTCGTGAAATCGTCTACGTTCTGATCTATTGACTTAGATTCCTGCATCTTGAACGAGTATACCTTCAATTGAGAGTGGACTCGATTTGGCAACGTCTTAGCGAGATACAGACGATCCAAATTTTCCCAGGTTGAGCTGCTGAGGTGCACTTGTCGAGTTTCCTCAACACCAGATCGTTCACGTACATGAATATCAGATTCAGCGCCTTATCGTCTCGCTCTAGCCACGATTCTTCATCCTCGAGTCGCTTCTTCCTCGCAGCTGGAGTTTCTTCGAGAATCTCCTGCTCTGTCATCGTAACCACCTCCTTCTCTTTGAGGAGATCCTTGAGTCCTTGAACTGTGATGTTAGCCAACATCCGCTTCTTCCAGATCGCGAAATCTCCAGATCCGTCGAACTGTGGAATCTCAGGTCTCGATCCCATCTTCTCCGATCTAGCTCCGATCTCGCTTCCGATCTACTCTCCCAAGACGCAACCTGGCTCTGATACCAATTTGCGCGATTCCTAGCCGGATTCGACTCCGTTCGATCTCCGATTTCAAACAAGAACGAACATGCAAAAGAAAGTAAAACGGAGCACACAAGAATTTGGTTACCCAGGAGTTCGTTTCCTACTCTTCTGGGGCACGGCTATGCCGGCGAATCACTAGAATCTAGCTCGGAAACTTGAGCTCGTTCTTGCTCTCTCTGTGCCTTACTCTCTCTCTCACAGCTCGATGAGCTCCTAATTCCCGATCTGTTACAACGGAAAATCAGATCTTATCTTTTCGGGAAGGACTAAGTGGCCTTATAAGACTAGCCGGTACACTTCTTCTCTCACCCGTGTACCACACATTAATCTCCTAAACCGGTATCGAAGAGATAACCGACTAACCCCGAAAATAGACTAAGGCACAGAAAGAGACTCACTTACAAATGATTCAGAACATTAATCTTCAGTCACGTTGCGCAACTGTTTGTCACTTGATGAAGAAGCAAGAAGAGTAATCATTCAGCGATGGACTTACATGTTTGTATGCTTACCAGGCAAACAAGTCCCTGAAGATTTCACTCACAAAGCCAAAGGAAATTCCATAACAATCTCTCCGGGGATTATCTCTGCGTCCTCAAGATTTAAGGCTTGCCTCTTGCTTGCTCCAACCAAACAGGTTTCTTCGAGCACTCAAGTTGTTTGTCGTCTAAGAAGCAAAGGGGTTGTCATCAATGAACTTGACCACTCTACGACATTGTCTTGGAGTCCGATTTGGTTTGGGTGTCGTGAAATTCTAACTGAACACCTGATAGTATTTTCTGGGGACTTGTTTAAAGAACACAGATGCGTTGAAGTGGACGCGAGCGAGATTCAATTTGAATTCAGCTACAACCTATACTATTTCAAGAATATTGTCACCGATGATAAGAACATTGAGTGTGGTGTACAGATGTTAGCGGAGGAAGGTGAGAGTAGTAGCAAAGAGCATAGTGATGGAGCCGTTGAGGTCTCTAAAGAAGAAAGTTCCGTCGAAACCAGTTGGTGGGTTTTTTCTTTTTTTCTTTTCTTTTGGGCTAAAAGGTTGGTTGGGTTGGCTTAAAAAGTAAATAAGATTGATACTATGTATGTTGGTGGGGTAGCTAAAAGGTTAGGTCTCCCATGAAGACCATGTTTTCCTGTCAATTTTTGTCACTAGAATACTTATATATGACGAAATCCTTTTATTACAACTGTCCTATAAGATTGAATAATTGACAAAAGACTTTTACCGCCACATTGCTTTTTAAGAAGAATGTTAAACAGCGTTGGTTTTAGGATATAAATTGCTTGCATGTATGCGTTCATATTCCGAAGTCACTTGCAAAAGGTCAAACAGGCTTTGGGACATGGGTGAAATTGTGTTTGAAACCGGCTGCAGATTATCGGGTGCTTTGAAATATATTATGTCTTCTCTTGTAAAGTCTTTTGTGAGTTGGTCAATCATACCCCAACTATTTAATTCTAAGTTAGATCCATTATTTGATGGAATTTCATCAGTTCCAAGTCATTAGCTCTGACCAGTTTTGTCATTACAATAGGTTATGTATTAGTGAATCCTTTCTTTCACAACTTGTTAAAAATATTTTGGTTTGCTATACAAAAGCCTTGTATTGCTTCATTGCTTTAGTTACGTAAACCAGCCAGCCACATAAATCGTCTAAGAAAAGAGCCAACAATTTGTAACATAAATGTTGTGACTGTTCTTATCATAAGCTAGAGAGAGTCGTAACGTGCTTGCAAATGACACTGCAGTAATTAATGATTACATATATATATATTTATACTTGTCTATTGTAACTGTGCAAACAATTCTATTGGTTATTGAGTGCGGCGTACATATTTTGATGGAGGAAACTCAGAGCAGCGAAGTAGGCAACTTTGAAGCTGGAGGCAACAATTAACACAAGTGGAGATGGAGTCTATGAAGCAGACGATGAACCCATCAAAATCAGTAAAAAAATCAGGTTGTTGAAGTTGGCTTAGGAAGCTTGATATGTGGAAAAAGAAGAGCTTCGTTTTGATTTTAAAAGCTATAATTTTGTTTGGTTGGGACTTACATATACATTCTATGTTACACTCAAGAGCCTTTGATGATACCTTATATCTACAAAGTTGATCCATCTGATGGTAGAAAGCAAACCGAAAGTTTTTGAGGAGATCCTTAGATTTCTTGACATGGAATCTTAATATATTCTAAGAGAGATGCTACAAGGTTTCGTTCAGCATAAGGCAACCAAGAACAAGAAATCACTAAGTACACTTTGTTGACATAGGTAATTAAATCAATTCTTTTAAGCCTCTCCTTATTTATCACAAATGGGAATGTTACAAAATTGTTTATGAAATTATTTTCTTATTGGTTTTTAAATGGATCTTCCTTGCAAAAAAAAAAAGGTTCCTGGTATATTCATGAGAAATCTTGCAAAAAAAAAGATTCTCTTTATTGTTCTTTTGACTTTTTTTTTTGTTTTGGTCAAAATGGTTCTTTAGAAGCCCTCTTAGCCCTGTGGTTGGCTAAAGGTTTACTAATGGCATCTACACTAAGAGATCTGAGTTTCAGTTCCCAAAAGATACGATTTCTGCTGATCTTAACTGATAAACACTCTGATATGTAAGACGCCAAAAAAATTGCTTCCTTTTCTAGTGTTAGTGACTCACTATTTGTATGTTCTTATTATTAAATTCCCGGAAAGAAAAAAAGGAAGATGTCACCTAATTAATACACTAATTATCATCTCAAGTCAAAATTTATACCTAAAATCAATACAACAACAAGAAAATAAACGTAACTAATTGTTAATTAAAAAAATTGTGTATCAATTCTTTATAGATCTTCAATTTTTAGATTGTGTAACAGCTGTTTGATCGGAGACCTCACCAAACCGGCGATGATCATATCCTCTGTTCCTAACAAGTTCGGCAAAAGTAACACAACTCTCTGTCTGGCTATGTCCTCTCGTGACCTTAATCTTAACATGTTCCGGTAATCTCAACGTATACTTATCTTCTTCCTCCGGTTTGTTTCTCACTATTGAATGTCCCGTGGAATGCGATCTCGAGAACTTCTCCGGCAAAGTTTGTTCCTTTTTCGATCTCTCGTTGTTTACGTAACTGCTCGAAGACGGCCAAGCATCAATCGGTGTTGTTGTCTGGTGATGATGACGTTGACGTCGATCGTCATCGTCGTCGCTGGTTTCTTGAATCACGTCGATGATCATCTCGTCGACGTTAGGGAGAGCGTTTTCTTGCGGCGGAGGAGGGTCAAGATCGCGGCGACAAACGGGGCAAGTTTTGTGAGACTCGAACCAGAGATCGATGCACTCTTGGTGGAACACGTGGTAGCACGTGGTCAAGAGACGTAGCACGTGATCTCCGTCGAACTCGAGTAGACAGATGGCGCATTCGAGGCCGTATTTCTCTTCCCGGAGATCTTTAACGGAGGAGTAAGGAAAAGTGGGAAACGAGTTTATGATTCGAAGTTCGAGGCCGGGATTTTCAGGTGGAGCTTCCGGTGGCTGGTTGGGATTTTCGGTTGTTCCGGCTTCTCCGCCGTGGTGGAGACGCCAGGCTTGCATCATGGTGTCGAGGAAACACTTGCAGAAATAGAGAGTGAAGAAACCGATGAAGAAGAAGACGAGGAGGACTACGGTGAGGATCACCGTGAGAGGCGGCGTGACGTAATGTTGTGGTGGTGGAGATTGCGGTGGTAAAGGTGAAGGAATATTCCTTGACGACATTACGGTGGCCGGAGACTGATTATCTCCGCCGTGAGATTTCTCATGCACGAAAAAAACAAGAGAGCTAGAGAAATAAAGAGAGGTTGAGATTTAGTTTTTTTTTTATTGTTTTTTAATTTAGTGGAAAAAAAAATGTTTTTATTCGGTATAGTGTGTGTGGAGAAAGTGTGTATGGTGTGAGAGAAAGAGTGGAAGTTTTGATTACTAAAAATAGAAAGTGTGTTTTGGTTTTTTTGTTTAGTTTGTTTCTTTTGTTTTCTTAATGATATGGCTTGAACGAGTCATATGTGACATTTGTTTGACGTTAAGCCACTCTTAGTCCATAAAAATAGTTTTTTTTTTTCATTAAGTGTCCATAAAAATAGTTTTTCCAATTTTACTCTCTTTGGTTTTAGGAGTATTGTAAGTTGTTAAATTAAGTCACGTTTTAACCAAAAAAATAGGATTTTGTTTTGTTAGTACATATTGATGATAAATGGATATGATTGGTATGAATTTTTTCACGTTTTGAAAATATGATTCTAATATAGTATTTGTCAAAACTTGTTTCTTTTCATGCTTTTTTGAAAAGTGAATTCGTTATAAACATCTAGTGTGTTTAAAATTATAACTAGAAAAACAAAACGTGTTTAATCTACTAAAACTAGTTTTTTCAGCGTTTTACTTCTTTAAATCAAATATTTTCTCATGACCCACAATTCATTGTTCAACAAAATTTCTTGTTCTTTTTCAAAAATCGACTACATTCACATCAATCCCCTTATATACTCGGAGTCTCGGATAGACAATTATTTGCTAATAATCTTCGACTCTCTTGATGGATCAGGTTGGCTCTTCCTTGCTACATGATGGAGTCAGAGTTAACTTAGGTCAGATAAACTCAAGCATCTTCCTCGCTACATGATGGAGTCCGAGTTAACCTAGGTAAGATCAACCCAAGCATACCAATACCTGAAATGTAATGGCTCCGTTTTCCATATAACAAAAAAATGAAAATAATTAAAAAAACAAGAACTGTTGGATCTTCAATGCTGGATCCAACATTAAACTAAATTCAATAAGTGATGGTCCAGTTTTGGCACCTTTAGCTTTGGAATGGTGAACAAGGGTTCCAATCACTACCGTCTCATCTATCCATTAATGATTTCCTTTTTCCATGTGACCCGATCGAATGGAATAGTAACTCTATCCATAAGGTCGAGATTACTTATTGGGAGGAAAGAAACAAAACACAAACCCGTCGGTGATCACTTTATCTTTCTTTACTCGACCTTTTTGTTATTTTAGTATCATCAAGTAAGTGGGTTGAGTGAAGTTGTTTCCATTTTCCATGATTGCGTAACATAAGTATTCCCTTGGATAGGATAACGTTACCTGTAAACAATGTGAAACAAAAGGACAAAACTAAAACACACCATGCATCCATATTTTAATCATATACAATATTTGATAATACCTTATCTTATCTTATCAAAGTATCAAGCAAGAAAACTCGCCAGTCGTCGTAAGTCGTAACCGTAGTGAATCCAGATCTTCGACATTTCACAGATACAAACAAGAAAAGGAAATAACATTTCGTGTGATTCTGTCATTAATCTTACACGTGCATGCAGTTCTTTTTTTTAACACTGATTCACTAATCTAATGCAAATTATAAGAACTGTTACAAGACATTTCTATAGATGCATGCAGTTCATATTTTAAAATTAATCATTGGTTTTCCCAAGCACATTTAAATATGAACAAGAAAGACATATATATATATATATATATATACGTCAAATTTATCGTTTGATGGAGATTACTTCCCTACATATCAGCAACACTATTATGATAATCACTGAAATATTTATAGAAAGCTTAATCACACGAGTATATATAGTCATAGAGAGATAAAGATATATGTTCTGTTCCATGCATGTGTCACTACTACTCACTACCATTAGAATATATAACTTTGTCATATACAAACACTGCTCTGTTCTCAAATCAAGTATATTTCATCAAAAATTGTCAATATGTCCGAGTGGTTAAGGAGACAGACTTGAAATCTGTTGGGCTTCGCCCGCGCAGGTTCGAACCCTGCTGTTGACGAAATTTTTAATAATTTGAAGACCTTTTAACAGCAACAAAAAAATGTATATTTTATCAAGTCGCAATTACAATTGATTGTAACAGCTTATACAAAAACTAAAGATGCACGCAAAGAATGATAGCTCATAGTTTCGGAGGTTATGGTACTGAAGTAACCTTTAACAAAAAAAATGGTACTGAAGTAAATAAGAAATTGTTGTTATTGCCAACACCACGATTTAAAGACATAACAACAAAATTCAAAATAGTTAAAAACTGCCAATCGAGCAAACGTTATTTCGACTTTCGATAGTACTCAAATATTTTATGATTCTGACACGCCAATGGTATTCAATAAAGTGAAAATACAATGGTAAGGGTGGTTTCGTAATTCTGGGTGCACATACAGCCTTACGGGTCCCACTATCATCTCCACGTGGAATTCATAGAGTAGCCAATCTCGTGGGGCTTCACGTGCAAAACCTCCACATGTCGTAGCTGACTCTTCCTTTGCACTATGGTCATCGCATCGGACGGCCGAGAGCAAAAACCAGCTTTAAGTCCATCACAAGGAAGAGGTGACGTGGCGAGAAAATGGCGCGAGATTGTGAAGTAAAAAAGGTCAGGAGATCCAACGGTGGATGTGAAAGAAAAGTCAGCTGATTAAAGAATCTATATATAGCAAGAAATGTGATTATTCATTGATGGATTTGTTATATTATCATCATCACACTCTCGCAAGATCGAAGAAGAAAAGCTAAAATACTGTAGAAGCTTCGTGATGAAATCTCTTTTGATGAGAACCGGTTCGATGCCGGTTCAAAACCGGTTTATTCCGTGTGGAGGTTCGTCCCGGAAGTTGACGACGCCGACAATCTCCAGGCACAACTCCGTCGAATCATTACCCGGATTCGCCAGCGGGAAGATCTCGATCGAGGTCAAGGCTTCTAAGGTCGGGATGCGGAGAGTGTTATCGGAGAATGATGTGATTAGATCTGAGAGAATCGTGAAGAGTGTTGGATCTAAGCCTTCGCCGCCGGCGAAAATCCCAGAGGATGATGAGGCGGAGGAGAATAATGAGATCAGTTTCTCCGATGGTTGGGGCACTTTGGTTTGGAAGGAGGAGCAAGGATTCTCCGGTGGTGGTGGTGGATCTGGTTACAGCGGCAAAGGAAACGGAAACGGAGGAGGCGGTTACGACGATAGGAGCAGGATCGGCGATTATTATCGGGAGATGTTGAAATCGAATCCAAACAATTCACTTCTTCTGATGAACTACGGCAAATTCTTGTACGAGGTAGGCGTCGAATCGATCATGAATCAGAGATTTCGAATTTCTGAGTTTGAGAATTTGAATTGGTGTTTTCTTGGATTGAATTACAACAGGTGGAGAAAGATTCAGAGAAAGCTGAAGAATACTACGGAAGAGCAATACTTGAGAATCCAGGAGATGGTGAGGCATTGTCCATGTATGGAAAATTGATATGGGAAACGAAGAGAGACGAGGAAAGAGCTCAAGGCTACTTTGATCAAGCTGTTAATGCTTGTCCTGATGATTGGTACATAACTACATACACTCTGTATTCTAGATTTACTTAACTAGTTCTCAGTTTGAGTTTTCAAATATGTAAAGCTTTTGTGTTGTTGTAACTTTGCAGTATGGTTTTGGGATCATACGCACATTTCATGTGGGAAGCAGAGGATGAGGAAGAAGAAGAATCGATGGCTGCTTCACCAGCCATGGTTTCTGCAGTTTAGAAACACCAAATACTAACACGAAGAAGACGAAAGAGAGGAAGAAGAGTAATGGAGTCTGTGACTATGTGTATCATCAAGTATCAACCTTTAGATTGTTTTACTGTATTTTCTAACTCTTTTGTTTTACTTGCCATGTAATAGTAACCTGAAGATCAATAAAGTTCCGCATAATTTAGAATTTTGTGTTAAAGGAGATGGTTTTTTGCTATAAAAAGAAGAAGAAGTCTTTATGATCATCACAATTCAAAAGAAACTAAGAAGATGAAGTGAAACCTAGTCAATATCCTCTGTCTCTCTCTCTCACTATTTATCTAAAACCAAAGCTAAATTAAAGAGAAAAAAAATCGTAGGAGGAAGAACAAGAAGAAGAGAGTAAGAAAGCTCAATCTACTTAATAGATAAATTCTGAAGCAGAGATATGTGGAAAGGAACAAGAGAGAAGCATCTCTGTTTATTGAGGATTGTGGCCAGGCGGCCAGAGATGAGGATGATGGTACATCATAGACATCGGGTACTTGGGTTGCTGCTGCTGCGTAGAGTTTCCAAATAGTCCGTGATTGTCGTTGTTGTTGTTGTTGTTGTTGTTGTTATTGTTGCTTCCATGGTGCAACGGAGAATTAGTTTCGTTTTCCTCTGATGACTCGCTCGAATGTTGCTGTCCTTGTCCTTGTCCTTGAGACCGAGGGCTTCCGCCGCCGCCGAAGCTCAACATATTGGCTGGTGCTGAAGCTGGCTCAGGAGTATTCTGAGCACGCCCCGCGCTTTGTTTCTGTTTCTTAACGTCTGGTACAAAGCTTCCCACAATGACCTATTCAACACACACAAAAGTGAGCATCTTGAAGCTTTTTGTGAGGTAATTCCAGTGTAAAGGTTAAGGATTTGAGCAAAACCTGGACTTGTGATCCAGCTACAAGCATTCCAGCAACAAGACCACCCACAATCCGACCATCAGATCCAGCCAGAGATACACTCAAAGTACCGGATTTGGTCACAGTACCGTTACTCTCAGAATTCAAGAAAGATCCTGACAGAGAAATGATCTCGTATCGGCCCTGCAATACATCAATCACAACACAGCTCAATACACAACCACAGATTCAATTTCCAGGTCCACTAATCAAAACAGAGCTCAAATCAGGGCCAAGAACAAGTGAGTGATGAGATAATATTATACCTCATACTTAACAACTCCATTAGAATTGTTGGTAGCTTGATTGGTAGTTTGACCAAGCATCACATTAGACACAGATCCTGTAGCTGAGAGTATACAGATCGCACGTGGTCCTTGCTTCGTAAACTCCACTACCTTCATTGCTATATCCTGAATACAATCAAACATCACAACTTTAACTAAAGCAAATTCAAAATTACTCAAATCTTAGCAAAATTCAAGACTTTGCTTTAACACATTACCTCTCCAGTTTTGACCTCAATGACATGAGGCGTAAACCCAACTCCTCCTGTTCCTCCTGCTCTCACACACACACACACACACACACACATAAAACCTGTTAAGTAATTGTAAAGAGTTGATTTTGATTTGATGAGCAGAGAAAGAGATAGATCGAGTTTGTTTCACTGTACCTAAAGCGTCGAGCTGCTTCTTACCGGAGCCAGGAGGACGACCTCTATTACGTTTAGCAGGTGGAGGATCGGAAGAGTTCGCATTAGCTCCTCCGCCGCTATCTCCACCACCACCACCGCCGCCGCCGTATGAATTAGAAGCCGAAGGAAGAGGCGATGTAGGAGCCAAAGCGAGACCAATGTTGCCATCGGGAGCATACTTCCGAGGTCGTCCTCGCTTCTTCTTCGCCTGTTGCTGCTGCTGCTCGATCCCGAATCGCATCGACTGTTGCTGGGTCGCGACGGAGGAAGGCGATCCCTCGAATCCGAGAGATTCGAGAGTTTTCTGGTCCATCTGCTGTTGCGGCTGAGGATGATGGTGATGGTGAGGTTGAGGATGATGATGATGAGGGTGTTGTTGCTGCTGCTGCTGCTGATGGTGTTGAGGTTGAGGCTGATGCTGATGCGGTGAGAGACCGGTGAAGGGCAATCGGAGATGCATCGCCGCCGATTGAGATATGGAGGTTGGACCCATTAATCCGTCGGCGTTAGGGTTTCGATTGAAGGAATTGTTGTGGCCCATTAACATCCCAGGCGGTGGTTGTAGCTGCTGCTGCTGTTGCTGTTGTTGTTGGTGGATTTATCTCGAATCCATCGAAGAGGAAGAAGATTTTTCTCTCTGAATTGATAAAAAATTTAGCCTAATTTTCTCGGAGGACCAAACTTTTTTTTTTTCTGTTTTACGAATGCCGAGAAAATAGACGAGAAAGTGCAGGTTTTTGAGTTTTAAGCGAAAGCGTGTGAGCTAGCTAACAACTCTCTCTCTCTTGAGTTTTTGAGAGAGAGACGATCTGTGGTTTATTTTACTGATTTTAATTTAGTAAGTGATAAATAGTTAAATACAAATTTAAGGGAACAAATCTTTGGGTTAGGGTTTTCAGTTTTTCAGGGGGATTTGGTTTTATTTTTTTGTTCCTAATTTTAATGAAATAAAATCTTAAGCATATAATTTTAGTTAGGAGATAATTTAAGGAGGAAAAAAAGAGTTTGTCTTTAATGATGATGTTCAGTCCATTTACACTTTTGTAGTTGTAAACTTGTAATGTACTCTTTGGATTTGGTGTCCTCCTTTAAAAAAAAAAACCAAAAAAAATGTTTTTCAATTTTTTTGGTTTTTTTCACATAATCTGCAATGTTGCATTGAATGAACAGAGTTTGGTATTGGAAGTGAAACTAAATCGGAGTGATGAATGAGACATTGAAGTTGAATGTTAGGAGAGTTTATTTAGTTTGGTAGACTCAAACTCTCTCTACCGAAGAAAATAACAAAAAAGCTTTTTTTTTCTAAATAGAAACAAATGCACAAGAATTAATAAGCATGATATTTAAATAAATTTTATGTAAGCTATAGATTTTGGTTTGACTGTGTTTGGGAAATCCAAATAAACATGGGTTTTGTACTTTGATGTGTCAGATTTTCTTAAGTATACTGTATATCCCTCATCAGATCTTGAAAACAATCACTACTTTGAAAATGACAGCAGCTTATTTTGACCATTTTGTCCTTCTCTTGCCTCATCATTTTAAGGAAAATCTCTTATTCAGAAAAATCTGTATATCCTACTGTATATAGATTCCAAATTAATTGACAAACGGAACTAACCAATTTTTATTTATTTATTAATGCTTTCCCACATAAATTTATGTACCCACTTGGAATAGAATGAAGCCAACAATTTTACCGAAAATTAAAGACATGAGATAAAACAAAGATCCAAACTTTATTTTCTGAAAATGAACAAAAATGTAACTTTCAAGTCTCGACATCTGATTTCAAAGAAACCAGCTTTGGTTATGTAACCAACCCACTCGAGACCGTGTTATGTCCACTATTGTCCCATACGGCCATACCTGTCAAGAGATTTTCGAATTCACCGGTTATCGATTCCACAAAAAAATACCGGTTTAATTGAGAATAATATGTGATGATGTGCTTTTGGGTTTGGGGATGCTCAATGAGAAAGCACAACAAAACTTTTATCTTGTCTAGGTAGCGGCTAAAGTGATTGACTTTATTAGACCAACCAACAAGCAGCAAAAGCAGTTGTTTTGAAAGTATAAGCCATGCGCGTACCTTAAGAAACCGGACACGTAAACCAGACGCTATGAACCATTGGTATCTGAAAATAGTAAAATGTTTAGACATTTAACGAATGTTTTATCGGTGTGACCTGAAATTCCATTTGGACAGGTGGTCTTGTCTAAGAGTTCTTATCTTTACTTAAGAGCGGATTCTGTTTGTCCTGTAAACATTTTCATTCTAAAAGAAACAAAACAATGGCAAATGATTTTTATCATTTGTGAATATTAATCAACAGAAAGTAGTGTGCAAACTCACTTCCAAGCGGTTTGTTTCGGTAGTGGAATTTATAATACAACTCCAAGCGCAAATATTTTAGCTCCATAGAACTACTTTTGCCAACACAAGAACCAATTGTAAGTAGGGCAAAGATTCTTTCACTATATAATTTATAAACCTTGACATGTACGTTCAAGTTCTTTGATCGTTATACGCTGAAAGGTAGATTCTGATTAATTGCACTCGGCAGGTGGACTTATCTTAATGGGCTTAATTCATTAATTAAGCCCAATAGCAATGTAAAGGTAAAATATGTACTTTACCGCGCCGTTATAGTAAAGATGATCTCTCCAACTCCTTTGTTGTAATAGTCCTTAGCTGAACTTTCTTTGTACGGTTTACAAAATTATGAGTTCGTAAGTTTTATGTTTTTGAGATAAAGGTTTTGTTGTTCTGCTCCCGCAAGCATGATTGCTTTGCTTAGAAGCTGATTCTCCAATTGAACTATTAGTTTAAGTTTCCTAATGATCCTACTCTCTAAACCGCAAGGGCTTTAGTTCGGTATTTTTGTGATTTTTAGACAACGATTCGGTATCTTAGAGCTAGAATCTAGATGTTCAATATGTCTTGGAATACACAGGTTAGGACAGGTTTTGTTGTATTAGCAGCATTTCAAATCTTGATGTAAACAATAGAAGAAAACATGTTTGCGATGATTGTTGATTAGATTCTGCAATGAGATTTGGATTAAGATCCTTGAGCATAACGACTAATTTTAGTATTAGATTGACAATTGATTTTATATTTGTTTTAAACTTATTTTGCATAATATGAGACTTTGTAATACATACTATGACTCTAAACTTCAGGTTTAAAACATGAACCCATTTTCCTTTTTGATCTGGTTAGTTTCGTTTTTCTTCAACCATCTTTGTATATGTCACGTGGACAGATCCAACATGAGCGACGTGGACAACACACGAGAAATCTGAAATCTCAAAAACTCAACCAACACAACACCCTAAAGTAAAGGAACAGCTGTTCCGTTGCATACAAAGATCTCACCTTCACACACAACACTACAAAGAGAATCGTACATCATTTAAAAAAATTATTGGCTTTTTCTTTTTTGTTTAAACAATTTATTTAATAGTAGATGACTACAAACTCGATGTAACTAACAACAATTTCTGACAAAATCTAGTTGAGCTAGAAACTAAAAGTTGTCGATATGCATATCAATTATTTTGTGCCGATGAAGTTCTTCTATTAACCTGTAACCAGTCGATCACCCATTTTGATTTTCTTGCGTTTTTATTTACAATGGATATAAAAATTGTTTAAAATTGTAATAATTAGTAGTCCATAGTGTAGAATCAGAAACTTTTTAAACGAAAAATAAAATAAAATCTTAGGTTAACTAACCAGTAACCAGCCACAAAGAAGAGAAATACGATTTTTCTTTGGAAGCTAAATTCATTTTAGTGAGCTGTGTATCATCATCAACTCATAAGTCACAACCCGTGCCATTATTAATATTGTTCACGTTTCTTTTCCCCTTTTGGTAGAAGGATACGGTAAGAGACTAAATAAGAGTTATATTTCGTGAAAATACGATTTTTGAACAGTATTTCTTCAAGCCGACGCTGTAAGAACAGTATTATTGTTTCATGTTCTTTCTTTTTGGTGTGTGGGTATTTTCGCTAAACAATTTTTTCGATTTGCTTTGAAATTTCAAAAGAAGTGTCTATTAATTTGTTAACAATCGTCTCATTTAATTCAGAGATTTTACTTTGTCGTTTGAAGTCATTAATTTTTTTCTTTATCAGATAGATATGTTATACATGTAAAATTTAGATATTATGAATTTACATGGCGGTTTCATAAGGATTAACGTGGCTTTAAATTTATATAATGTGAATTAAAAACCCAATTTATAAAATCAGTTGTCCCCGTGCAATATAAAGAAGGTATACATGTGTTAATGTGTCAACGTTGGTACGACTTTGAAGGATCCAAAAGGTCAACTATAGTTGAGACGGTGATAACTTGTTTAAGACTTTCTTAGATGCATCCCACAACTACACATTATTTCAATTGTTCAAAAATAAGATTTTAAATACTACACATTAATTCTAGAAATCAATTATGCATGGGAAAAAAAATTATATGCTTATCAATTGTACTTTTCATTGTCACCACTAAATTATGTTTCCTAGTGAAACCATAGACCGTTGATGATTTATCATAGTGAGCACTAAAAGTTGAATTTGTGGTTGTGTAGTTTGTTAACATTTTAATGGTCCATTATATGATTCTCACTTGGTATAAAAGTCGAAATTTGTGTAAGAACTATATATAATCTCTTTTTGACCTAACAAAACAACTTATTCTTGATCCGTTCATAACTATCATTTCTCGCCAAGACAAAGTGATACGACAAAATTATATAACTAATGTAACTAAAAGTGTATACCTACTTGTGTGCTTAACCTAAGCGGACAACATATATAGCTAGAGGATCTACTTTTTCAAACTCTCTTAATTATTAATTAGTATCAATTGGGTGACACATTCGTATAGTTATACAAATGTTAATATCTAAGAAGAAATAAAATATTGGATCTCTAGTTTTATAATTATTAGCAGTATGGAACGTATCACGTATGTTAGTCTAATATCTTTGTCAATAGCTTTGACTTATTTTTCGTCTTGCATGTGAGTTGTAAATAAAGGATAGAAAGGTACTCTTCAATTTAATATTACATCAATAATTGCAAGTCATGTGAAAACCATCAACCTAATATTTCTTCACTTGCAATGAGAATATTATTTTTGTAGCCATAAAGTAATAATTATGTAAAAGCAAATACACATACTACATATAGAGGTAAAAAAGAGTAACATCATGCGAGTTTTACATTTACTCAAGAGTGTTGAGTACAAAAAAAAAAAAAACAAACAAACTGTATTCACAATAAATGATGCTACAAAAGATAGCTAGTAGGATCGTATAAAGTATATAGAAAAATAAACCATTACACGAAAAGGAAATAAATTATTCTTAAGTGAAATCGTAAAATGATTCAAAATTTATTTATTTCGTTTGCATGAAAATGAAAACAAAACAAAAATCTACGCCTAAATTATTATCTTATATATACGAGTCCTTAAAATCATATGACACGTAAAAAAATAATTAATTAAATTACCAGTCGAAACCGGAGATGAGAGTCTCGTAGCTCAACCAACATAATCACACGTATTAACTTGTTTCTTCTGGACAGCTATATAGTATGTACATTGCATACGCAAACCATAGATCCATCACTATATATATATATACACACACACACACACACACACACACACATAGACACAAAGATCTTAGATCTATATATAGAGAGTAACACAAGAACACTACTTTCTATTCTTGTACACTCTTAACTTATTACAGAAGATAGAGAGAGGAAGAAAGAGAACCGATTTCTCTCCATAAAAATGTCCAACAAGGTTCACGTAGGAAGCACTGAGATAGAGGAAGGTTTGAGAAAGACAAAGTGGAAAGTCCTAGAACCTTCCGAGAAGATCAAGAAAATTCCGAAGAGGCTTTGGCATATCGGAAAAGAAGATCCAAGGAGGGTAATACATGCCCTTAAAGTAGGTCTTTCCTTGACACTTGTCTCTTTGTTATATCTCATGGAGCCACTCTTCGAAGGCATCGGAAGCAATGCCATTTGGGCCGTCATGACCGTCGTCGTCGTCCTTGAGTTCTCTGCCGGTAAAATCTACTTAGACCTACAATTAATTAATTAAAAATCGTTTCTATTTATGTAATTAATTGATTACTGTTCAGTGTGATAACGTTTGATATCTTGATTCTTTAGGTGCAACGTTGTGCAAAGGACTTAATAGAGGATTAGGAACACTCATCGCAGGATCTTTGGCATTTTTCATTGAGTTTGTAGCTAATGATTCCGGCAAAGTTCTCCGAGCTATCTTCATTGGCACCGCTGTTTTTATCATTGGTATGCTTTATTTATTTATAGATATATACATTTTAAATTAATGTCTCTATTCTCTTAACAAAAAAAAAAACAAAAAAAAGTCTCTAACCATAAATTGCTAATTTGTGTTCCCTTTCTAAATTGTGTTCAGGAGCGGCTGCAACATATATAAGATTTATACCGTATATAAAGAAGAATTACGATTACGGAGTTGTGATATTTCTCTTGACGTTCAATCTCATAACGGTTTCGAGCTATCGAGTAGACAGTGTGATAAACATAGCACACGATAGATTCTACACTATAGCCGCCGGTTGCGGAATCTGTCTTTTCATGAGCCTTATGGTTTTTCCTATTTGGTCCGGTGAAGATCTCCACAAAACCACCGTCGGTAAACTCCAAGGCCTCTCTCGGTCTATAGAAGGTACGTAACATACTAACATATCAAACCATCTTAGAAATTACATAATTTTTATCTCCGTTTTTAATATTATTTATTTGTGTTTGTACGTTATATAGCATGTGTGAGTGAGTACTTTGAGGAGAAAGAGAAAGAAACATCAGATTCAAAAGACAGAATCTATGAAGGTTATCAAGCTGTTTTGGATTCTAAATCCACTGATGAAACACTTGTAAGTCTTTTTAGTACTTGTCTTTGTTTTGTAAGAAAAAAAAAATAGATTTTTGAAAAAATAGTAATGAATTTTAAAAATGGAATAGGCATTATATGCAAATTGGGAGCCAAGACACACGAGACGATGTCATAGGTTTCCATGTCAACAATATGTTAAAGTTGGAGCTGTTCTTCGTCAGTTTGGTTATACTGTTGTTGCTCTTCACGGTTGTTTACAAACTGAGATTCAAGTAAGCATAATTATATTTTAATAATCATGTGTGTTTGTACTTTGTTATAATTTAAATTAAACTAATATTCTATATTTTTTCAAGACTCCTAGGTCCGTTCGCGCGCTTTTCAAAGATCCTTGTGTAAGATTAGCCGGAGAAGTCTGCAAGGCTTTGTCGGAACTCGCCGATAGTATCTCCAACCACCGTCACTGTTCACCGGAAATTCTCTCCGATCATCTCCACGTGGCACTCCAAGATCTTAATTCCGCTATCAAGTCTCAGCCTAAGCTCTTCCTTGGCTCCAATCTCCATCGTCATAAACACCAAAACGGCAACGTTCAACACAGCAATAACAAACATCCACACGGTACCGTTTCGCAGCGAAACAACAATAACAGTTTGAAAGATCTAAACGCCGACGTTTCGCTTCAAAATACCGAAACCGGTCCACGTAAAATTACTTCGCGTCAAGGCCAAAGCGGTGCCGTTTCGCTCTCGAGCTTCAGAACCGACACGTCAGCTTTGATGGAGTACCGGAGATCGTTCAAGAACAATAACAGCTCCGAGATGTCGGCGGCGGGAGAGAGGAGGATGTTACGACCGCAGCTTAGCAAAATCGCGGTGCTGACGAGCCTCGAATTCTCGGAGGCTTTGCCTTTCGCGGCGTTTGCGTCGTTGCTGGTGGAGATGGTGGCGAGGCTTGATAATGTGATCGAGGAAGTGGAGGAATTGGGAAGGATCGCGTGTTTCAAGGAGTACGATAACACACGAGATCCAACGGCTGATGATGCCCGAAGCGAGAAACCGGCGAATGTTGTGATCAGTGTAGGCTCCGCGGAATGAAGCCACGACGGATGCTAGATATTAGAGAGACGTAGATTAAACCGATCGGTTAGAGGATGATTTGGTTCGGTATGATTCGGTTATCCTTTTTTTTTGCGATGATGGGAATGAGGAATTGATTCTTTTTCCTGTCTTCGTTTTCAGATCATCTATTTTTATTTATCTTTCATCCCTACAATAATCTAGTCTTTACCTAAACTAGATTAAAGCCCGCACTATGCGCGGATGATGTTATTATTTTTTCTTCATCTTATTTGTTTTTCCATTTTTGTAAAAATAGTTTTTAAAAATATATGATGTTTTCTTTTACCTGAATCCTGAACCTGGTCCAAAACTCGGACCTATATAAAAAATGACTTAAACCTTTTACAGAAACTTAAAAAAATCTGAATGGTTTCTATATATCTAAACCCGAAAAACTTGATCCAAACCTGAACCGGAACCCGAAGTCCCAAGTTTGAAAACTTTTTATTATTATTATAGTTTCTTAATATGTTTAACTCTTAAAAATTCTACTTTTAAAAACTAAGATAGTATATTTTTATTGTGTTTGTTTTTGCATTAAATTCTTTTAAACTTTGATCTTGTTGGGCTATTTTAAAATAAAACATCGAAAATTTGTAGGAAATTTGTTTTCTTTCTTTGTTTTGGATGCAAACTGAAACCATCTGATTTCCAAATACAGATGATTTTTATCATATATGTTCAGAGAAAGCACAAAAATAATTCATTAAAATTAATCTTGTGTGCAAATTAAAACAAATAATCTCGAATTTGATTAATTTGATTACTATTGTTTGTTCTGTAAAAGTAATCATTTTTAGGAAATATTTTTTGGGAACTCATGTTTTATCCCCTCGTTTTATTTTGCTGTCTTCATTGTGTTATTGATGTAGTTGTGATTTTTTTATTCTTACTAATCACGTTTAATACGACCAGGTAATAGAGTTTGGTACATACATTAGGAAATCTATATAACGTTTGTGTTAGTTTGGATGTCTTTCCCGTTACATGGTTCCCAAATATTTGTTTATGGTACGTGGCTATTTTCTTTTAACATGTTTTTAGAAGAGTACTTCTGCAAATCAGGTCGTCTTCTTACTCCAGAGCAAGTAATAGAGGGTAACTGAGAGGAGGTAATAGCAAACAACTAAAGAGTTATGTAAAGCTTAAAAATCAGAATTTTGATTAGAAAATTCTTTAAGGAATGATGTGAGTACACCGAGTAATTTCATACTATTAAATAAACCGACACTGGCCATGTATCAAATAAGCAAAAATGGACTTGCAGGCAGAAATTTCTCGTTGGATTTCTTGTACTGCAGCCTTTTCATAGCCAACTCCGAAAGCAATACGAAATGATCCCATGACAGATAACCCAATAAAAGCTGGACACTGACGACAACAAAATGAAGCAAAAAATGACATAATCGGTAAATAAAATCTTGTCCTTCTCAGCTATGAAACATGTAAATCAACAAAAGAATTCTACGACCAATGTGCATCTGTTATTACCTTCTTGAACCTGGGAAGTCAAGTGTTGCAGAGTCTGAGTAAGTTGATCAGAGAGAGTCTTCGTTAGAGAAACTTTGGACCCCATCTCTCTCCAAAGCTTTTCATCTTTCTTTTGCATTACCCTGAGCTTAGCATTCTCAATAAAAGAGTTTCGGAGTAATTCCTCATGCAAGTATATGATCCATTTATTCGTTCAGCTTCGAATTCTGGATCATGGATAAAGATCAAGATTTCCATCAACTCTTCTCCAAATAGAAGAGAAGAAAGATTTGATAACATACTTGTTTAACATCAGAGCCTTTGAGATTCTTAAGCCTTCTGTAAAACATCAGATGTTCCCTTCCTGTCAGTGTTTCTCAGAGCAAGCTGGTTTATAGCAGACAATAAGAGAATGATAAAACAGTTAGACAGCTGAGCTTTGTTATAACTGAACAGAGAAAAATGTTCGTAAGAATTTAATTACTCGTGCTGAGGGCAAACATCCATGCTGGTGTAAACTCTGCCCGTATCCTTGCATATCTCCAAGCCTTGAACAAACGCCGACCCTGATATTGGTTTCACAAGCCCAATCATCTAACCAGAAACATACAGTACTAAACTATATTATGCTTAACAGAGTTTTTACCATCAGAAGCTAAGCACAAAGATTTTCTTGCTCATCTGGGTACTGACTGTGTTGATGAAGGAGGTCTTTCAGGCACCATTAGGTCCTAACATGCCAAAGCATGCCAAAATAATATCTGCATCATTTTTGACTCTATCCAATTCTTCATTTATGAAATATAATCCTTCATTCGGCCACAAAATTTACTCTTTACTTCTAGAAATTGTTGAGTAGAGAGCAAATGATAAAAAAGCTAAACACACACAAAGAAAACACAAATCATATTCTCGTTAGCAAATGTTGTAATCACCACACTGTCCGTCGAGCATCTCTAAAAGAAAGTAACCCACCGAGGAAGTTATCTCAGAGATTGTACATGTCTCTATTAACTTAAATATTCCCACTTTCATTCAAACTATCAAGCTTCATCTTAGACACTAAGAAAACCTTATTTTCAATAGAAAAAGAAACATACTCGAACTGATAAAAAAATCTGTGGATTGAGTACCATTTTTTCAGCGAAGGTGTGATTCCTGTGAAACCAAAAATCTTCAATCCGAAGTTCCAAGTTTCAAAAGACCTTTCCTTTGATGAATAAATAACTTTAAGAACATGAAGCTGACAGAACAACAACCACAAAATTACGTTTAGATTTTTAAGAATTTACCGTTTTGAATTGTGATTCATACGTTTGTTGCCAAATACATCAACATCAATTTGAGATCACAAAAAATACTGTAGAAATGAGAATGTAGACGATGTGGAGACAAACCTGTGGTTGAGAGGACGACCATTGGTGGGTGTGGTAGCATGACAGCGAACTTGCGGAGAAGAATATGTTGAAAAAAGCCACACCGACGATCGATTGCCGTGTTTAGACAGCAGCTCGGAACAAATGGAATATGCAATCGAGGCAAACACATATCCCTTCTCGCGAGAATTGGCATCAGCGCCGCCACCTTATTCACACATAGAGGTCATTATCACCGATAGTGAATCTGTGCATATTTTTTGCCTTTTACCCATAACCAAAATCCAAAATCCAATCGAAGCAACCCAAATCTGTATAAACATATTTCCTTTTAACCCAATCACGAATAATTATCTCTCCCAATACACTCGTATAACATATTTGGTTGGAGAGATTTATAAGGAGATTGGATTGGATTTGAAGTAAGGTAACCTTTGAGTATGAAGAAGAAGATGAGAAGACGGAACGCAGATCTCAGAAACTCAGTCGTCAAAAAAAAAAAAAAAAAAATGAAAGTAAGTGAGACAGCCACGTGTCCATCTCTCTCGTGCTGACGTGGCGGTCAGCTGGAGAGAGATAGACAACTTTTATAGTATAGAATTTCAACTTTTATAGGCAACTTTTATAGTATAGAATTTCAACCTCTTTAATAAAGTTTACATATACATATGTTTAATTGTTTCATTGTGTGGTTAAGAGTCTTAAGACCAACCAAACAAAATAGCAAACGGTTAGGCGTAGTTTAGGCCGGATATTTTATTTTTAATCACCGGAATGAATGAAAGAAAAACAAAAGAACTAGGGCCCAACCGGGTTCGAACCGGTGACCTATTGATCTGCAGTCAATTGCTCTACCACTGAGCTATGGACCCAATTTGATAATATATGTACATTATAAAATATATATATATAGACTACAGCCCTTTCACAAATCATTGTAATGGAAACAAATATTGTTGTAAATTTTCTTAAAATGTAACCTAAAAAGTTTGTAGAAAATAAAAATATCACTAAAGCCTTCCAAAAAGCGGGGAAAATACAAACTTTTTTTTGGGTATGAATGTTAAGAGGAAAATGCAAACTTGTAAGGCTTTTTATATTGACATCAACCAAAGTGTTGAGACTTGAGACGTATTCATTTCTTAAGAGAGTTATTAGAAAGCTTTGAGATAACTTGTAAAGGTAATTAAACCGTTATGGTTTCCGCCTTTCCGGTCCAAAAGACCTAGAGAAATTAGGTTTATTGTTTACAGTTCTTCGAAGATAGGAAAACAAAAATGTCTGGACAAAGTTAAATTTAACTAGATAGAGAGTGTAAGAGTGGGAAAATTTTCCATCTAAGTCCATAACGAAAAGAAGTTTATTGCTATCAAATTTTTCTTTTACAGACACCTGAAATTTATGTATTAGTAGGACTAGTCACAGTCTCTAATTAAAATTAGGTATCCGGATCCACTTATCCATAATATTAAACATGTCATTCATAAAGCTGATGATGATCACATAAAGTGGTAAGAGATGCAGAACGTATGTTTTATACTCCCTCTGTTTCAAATTATTTGTCGTTTTAACAAAATGTATCTGCAAATATTTGGATGTAAATGGACGTGTTTTGCATAGCACATACATCCAAATAATTGCAGATACATTTTTCTAAAACGACAACTAATTTGAAACGGAAGGAGTACTATATTGAATTGTCCGGATGTTGCCTGATGCCTAAGCTTTCAAGTATTTTTCTTTAAGATGATCCTTGACATATTTGCCACTAACATTACACACACACAAAACTCCCCTAAAGAGATTTAACTAATCTTTAAGAGGGTTAAATCTCTTTAGGGGAGTTTTTGTGTGTATAATGTTATTGCTTTATGGCATAGTTATTTAAAAAATAATAATAATACAATCTGTAATGTTATGGCATAGTTCTAATTTTTATATTTTTTAATGCGTAATTACTTATAAATGCATTTAAACTTGAGTGGTTGAAATCTTATGATGCTATCTTTATATTAGTAATTGAGAAGTACATTCTAATGTTTGGATACAAGAATAAAAAAAACATCTATTTGAACAGAAGAATAAATGGAAACAAAAATTGTTTGGATATAAGAATAAGAGAAAAATCTATTTGGATAGAAGAATAAATGGAAAAAATTGTTTGGATACAAGAATAATAACTTAAAACAAAGCGATGGTTTAGAAAACTTCCGTATTCCAGCTCTTAAAAAATTTGCAAAAAAGAAAAATTAACATAATCTATCGATAATATCAAATCAATGGAATATGATCAAATGATATTTGCAAAATTTCCAATAGTAAAATAGAAATACGTCTAATTTAAATCAAATTGAGGATTTCTGTTCGGGTTTTTTTTGAAAATTTATGTTCGGTTTGGGTTAGAGTATTTTTTGGGTTAATTCTGGGTGTTCCGGATTTTTTGGATTTCGGGTTTTCGGGTTTAGACATAGTAAAAAAGGTCGGGTTCGGGTTTCGGGTGAAAATTTTTTGAGTTTTTTATTCAGTTCAGGGTTTTCGGGATTTTTTTTGGATTTCGGGTTCTCGGATTTAGATGTATTAAAAATGTTTGGGTTTTTAAAATTTTTTTATTAGGGGTTTTTGGGTCGGGCTCTGTTTAGGATTTCGATTTACTTCACAAAACAGCAACGTCACAGCACGCGTTCGCGCGGGTACTCTACTAGTTATTTATTGTGAGCGCAGTAAAGACACAAGCAAAAAAAAAAATACAGATTTAAGCTTCAATAGTTTTCTTTGCATCTTTATGTCATTTTTTTTTTCTTTTTCTATTGAAGTATCTCTGCCATCTTTTATATCAATGTATATGGGGAGCAATACTGTCAGAATATTAAAGTTGAATTGTTGTTATTAATTTCTTGTATAATCATCAACCATGGAAACGAATAAAGAGATGAATAAATATTTAGGTATACAAGGCACTTAATCTCACATGTTTGATGTTGCACTAATTATCATCTTCTTATTTTTTGGTTCGAGTAAAGTATGAACAAAATCCAAATAGAAGTGTTACAAAAGAAAATAGGACTAACCCACTTTGTGGTTTTAAATATTTTACTAATTAGTTAAGTACGCTGAAGTTTCTAATAACTTGCAAAAAGCCAAAAACCCTTGACACATACTATTGGAAAGACTAAATAAAAGACAACCTAATAAAACCAAATGTAGATAGAATAGCCACAATGTAAATAGTTCATTTGAGCTTATAAAATCATTGGAGAGGAACTCACATACATAATTAACCGATACCATCTTTAGTGACTTTTTTAACTAAATCTTCAACCAAGTAGTATGAAACTTTAGTTTTCTGGAAACACTCACGAAATAAACTTGGTTTCAAAGGTACGTAATTAGAATATGACCACAAATACTGTTTACATGGTAACTGATCATACTCTCATAACAAATTATTTAAAAAAATTACACCACATATGCACAAACATGAGTCTTTTTTTTTATAGGAAAGGGAGTTACATATTGATGTGGCTATTGTGGTATGCTCTCTTACAATTATGCATGTTTTTTTTTTTTTTTTTTTTTTCTCGGCACCTGAGAATGCCATCGATGGTGAGAATGTTATGTTTTGTAGAGGATTTGGGGGAAAGACCACGTTGATCTGAGCTTTTAAGCGAGAGATATTCTGATACTTTTTAATCATGGATATGTGGTTAGTAGCAGTGGAAAATCCAACCTGTATATAAGTAAAAAATGGTCAAGGTGTCCCTCAAACCTGGATTATGTTGGGGTCATAATGCATCTTTTACCACTTTGGCCACTATATTTATTGATTTTTGGTAACTTTTATTTTTGTATTCATATTTATACGGTGTTATGTGACACCGTATCACTCTTGGTATATACATCTCAACTCAATTTGTTTGGTAGAGCAACAAATATGGGCTTTATATACAATTTGGCCTTCCATGAATTGCTAAATAAATCACGTAATCACGCAATTGGGCCCTCTTGGTTAGAGATGTCCTCTCAATAACATCTTTGCGAACACTTTTTTCTAACTCTTTCATAGCCATTGAGGAGTTTAACTGCTCTCATATTATTTCTCTCTCCAATATTTCCTTCCAGCTTGCAAGCCTTTCCTGCCAAATATCTAAACCGTCTCCAGTTTCACATATCATATCATAGGCCCAAAGCAAAGGTCAAAATCATAAACTGATTTTAACCGCTAGATGCCACAACTTTTCTGCTTTTCTTGCAAAGATTTGGCATTAGATTTTTCAATAGGGAACATCTTCGCAAATTTATGTTTACCAACCTTTATGAGGTTGAAGAAGGCAGAAACGCTATCTAGAAACAGAGTCATTTCAAAATATGAGGGCAACCATATTTTTTGTTTCTCAATGGAGTCTCCACCGATCGACGGAGATGTAAGGAAGGTGGCTCTTCTTGTTGAAATACAAACCCAAACATGGAAAACACATTATTTGTTTTCAAATGAATATTTAATACCTCTTTGTTTGTGGTGGATGTTGAATCCGAGATAGCACTCGTCAAGACGGGCTATCAAAGATGTGAGTTTAGGAAACTGGAATGCTTAATTCGACTCAAAGAATATCAAGAAAGATACAAAGTAATTATCTCGCTAACAAGCTTATCGAGATAATGGGGATGAACAAGAAGAGAAAGTAAGTGGGTGCAAAAGCCTAGTGATTCTAGATGATTTTGGATGTCTTTTCCCCAATGGGGGGTCTTCAATATATAGTGTTGATAAGTCGGCCGAATGATGAATATTCTCCTTCGGGCGAGATGGAAAACTTCCTCTTTTGCGATATGGAAAACTTCTTCTTGTTCTTGATTTCCTTCCATTTTTCAGGTCGGTGTGAGGGTTTATTTACATTTCTTCACGAATTGTGCCTTCCTTCTCAAGCTTTTCCTTTTTGGCGAAGAAATTAGGCCTAAAGTCGGAGTGGGCTTTGTGATTTTACGAATGGTGACGGGCTCAGGAAAATATGCTACTTTCTCCTCTAACAGTGGACACTATCATTTTGAAGTCCTTAGATGTCTATACATTTCGAGTATACCATCTTTCTCCAATCTGATTTACTGCAATAGATTTGTGTTGGTATAATCTTTTTGTTTTTTGGTTTATTATGTGCCTTTTTAATTTTAGGTAAGAAACTACAATTTTCAGTTAGAATATTTTTATATTGAGAAATGGTTACTAACCCAACTCATATAATTTACAAATGTTGCATGTTAACCTCTTCAGTGGTCCTTTCAAACGAAAGGAATAAATATGAAATAAAAGTCTCAGGCCTACCAGTACTAGCGCACATAGTGAAACGCACTTAGTGGTCAGAATAGCGCTTCCTTCTGATCTTATCAATGATCATTTGATTAAAATAAGAATAGTTGGCAATTACAACACCGGAAATCCTTCCACTGAAAATCGATGCCAAAAGCTTTGTCAGGGGTGAAAGCTTTAACTGCTCGTTGCTGCATACACCTCTTGCAATTGTACATCAAAATCGATGCTCATTTTGATGTACTGTATAGTAGTTTCTAATTTACAAGTTAATCAATACTATTGTATTGAGGAAAGGTTCTATATGTATGAAACCGCATAAGGATATACTGTTTTCCATAACAAAATATACAGAACTTGCGCGTATTTGCGAGCATTAGTTTAGTAAAATCAGTATAATTGAGAAAAATGCAAATTTGTAGGCTATCATGTTAGAGGAGAAATTAGCACATTTCCCTGAGCCCGTCATCATTAGTAAAGTCACAAAGCCCAATCCGATTTTAGGCCTAACATCTTCAAGAAAAAGGCAAGACTTGAAAGAAAGGCACAATCCATGGAGAAATGTAAATAAATCTTCATGCCGACTTAAAGAATGGAAGGAGATCCATAGCAAAAGAGGAAGTTTTCCATCTCGCCTGAAGGAGAATATTCATCATTCGGCCGACTTATCAACACTATATATTGAAGACCCCCCATTGGGGAAAGATCCGAAATCATCTAGAATCACTAGGCTTTCACAGCTTTTACTCTCTCCTCTTGTTCATCACCATAATCTCGCTAGGCTTGTTAGCGAGATTACTCTCTTGTAACTTCTTGATAATCTAAGAGTCGAATTAAGCGTTCCAGTTTCCTAAACTCACATCTTTGATAGCCCGTCTTGACGAGTGCTATCTCGGATTCAACAATTGGCGCCCACCGTGGGGCTGGAAACGCTTCTCGCTATTCATCTCGAAGATATCTAGATTTTCACGAACTAGCAACGATGGTGAACTCGAAAGAGAACACTCCCACCGGGAGCCCGTCTCCCTCAGAAGAAAACTTAAGCGACAGTCTACCACGCACGATAGACAAGTCGCTACCCGCTGAAGGCAGGGACAAGCCTGCCCCTACAAGGAACCATCTGTCTCGCCACAGAGATCCGTCTCGCCGCGAAGATCTACTTCGCCGCAACGATCCCCTCCGCCAAGAAAGGACGAGAGCCCCCCTCCGTCCGCACCACGCCGCTCAAGAAAATCTTCCTCGAGCGACAAACCCCGCAGCTCGAAGAAATCCTCCTCGAGCGAGAAGATCCTCAAACTCATGGAGAATCTCGTCAAGCCGACGGTTTCGAGTCAATGAGAAGCACTTAGCACGAGAAGACGATGAAGATCCGTCAAGTCCCACCTGACGGAACAACCCCGTCCCGCGCACTTCAGGCGACTTACCACCCAAGAACTCGAACGGATGAATCGTCGCCTCGACGAGGTCGATTCGAAAGTTCATCGCGCCACCAGCTCAGCTCCGGAATTGACGAAAGCACTCGCCGATACCCGAAGAAGCCCGCTCACCCGCAGGCTCCGCCAGATGAACTACACGAAAGAGTTCGACTCAAAATCGACTCTTACACCGGCGAAGAAGACCCCAAGAAGTGGCTAACCGCGTTCAACCTCGCCATGAGGAGGGAGAAATACAAATCTTACGATGAAAGGGAGGCCAACTACTGTCAAGTATTCGTCGAGCACATGGCGAAAGATGCCTTGACCTGGTTCTCTAACCTCCCCGCCGAGTCGATCGATAACTTCGACGACCTAACCAATGCTTTTCTGAAGCATTACTCCATGCACATGACCCGAATCACTCGGAACATGTTCACCACAACGCAAACCCAAGGCGAACCATTGCGCAGCTTTATGGAAAGTTCAAACAAGCAGCCCGTGACACTGGCGACATGCCCGATAGCGTCCCGCTGGAAGCACTCCGCAACGGCCTCTGGTACGACTCCAAGTTTAAGGAGGATTTGTCACTAAAACCCCCTGCGACTCTGGAGGACGCGTTCCACCGCTCTCGGAACTACATCTTCCTCGAGGAAGACCAACGCTTCTACGAGAAGCATGGAGATAGGAGGGCAACCTCGTCAAAACCCAGAGAAGAACCCATGGAGGCACGAAGAAGACACGATCCGAAGAGGTCTCTCCTCGCAGCGTTCGCAGCAGCCGACGATGAGTCCGAGCAAGAGCACGCAGCGGCGTTTCGATGCCACAGGACATCAACCTCGCTCGGAGATGACAACGACACCAAAGCTTTCTGCAAGTTCCACGGGCGAACTGGCCACGCCACTGAAAACTGCAAACACCTTATGAGCAACCTTATGCGCATGTACCATCGAGGAGAAATCCCGCCAATGGACGGCGATAGGTCCCAAGGAAAAAGCTTCCCGCCGAGACCACCAAAATCTGGGCAACAGGAGAAGCGCGGACGACAACCCCGTCCAAGGAAGGATGCAGAAAAGCCGGAAGCCCGCCTGGGAAGAGGAATCGTGACGACCACGACGACCTACCCCACCACCGAAGCGACAAGTCAGCATGATCATGGGAGGCCTCCTGGATAACGACGATTCCATATCGGCGATCAAGGAATACGAGCGAAAGGCCGTCGCGGCACAACGCTACCCGTATATCCATAAAGGGATCCCTACAATCTCCTTTATGGATAAGGACGCAAGCGGATTAGATATCCCCCACCTCGACCCCCTCGTGGTCACTTGCAGATTCACGACTGCGATGTCGCAAAGGTTCTAATTGACACTGGGAGCACGGTGAACCTCATCTTCCTAGAGACACTGGATCGCATGGGAGTGGAACAGGAATCCATCAAACCCGCATCCCGTCCCCTCACCGGCTTCACCGCCGAATACACCTATAGTTGCGAACAGTTCGGCTCCCCGTTTATGTCGGCGGAATTTCGAAGCTCTTGAAGTTCATTGTCATGGACAAACCGGCCATCTATAACGCAATACTCGGCACCCCCTGGCTCCACGAAATGAAGGCCGTCGTCTCGACTTTCCACCAGTGCGTGAAATTCCCGACGCCTCCGGGATTTTACACCTTGCGTGGAGATCAAAGAGTGACGCGATCATGCTTCCTTCGCGAGCGCAAGCTCCGCACCGCATCATCCTTTATGATAGCCGAGCCCTCAAACCAACGACCTCGCGAAGAATCTGAGCCAATATTGTACGACGAGACCGACGGACTAACGCAACTAGATGCAGCCACGACGCTAGGAGAAACGCCGCCTTTCCGAAAGCAAACGCCGAACCCGCCTGGAAATCCGACTTAAGGTCCAGCTTAACACCAAAAAGCTCTCCAATCTGTTCGAAAATACAACTCGAGGACGAACCACTGCAAAGCTACCTCGACAGATTCAAAAGCACGCTCTCGACCTTGACGAGACCCCGGGTGAGCCCCCGATCGCAGAACAGCGCTCATCCAAGCCCTCCAAACGGGCTCTGGTACCGGTCTAAGTTTCGTGAAGACTTCTACATTCGATCCTTCCGAACCTGAAGGATGTCTTCCTTCGCGCTGAAAATTACATCGCCTCGAGGAAGATATCCCGTAGTTGAGAAACAAGAAAAGGTCATCATCCCTCCGCCCGGAAAATCCACGCATAAAGCACCAAGATGCTATCACGAGTCTTCCCTCGCCGAGACGATACTCCTGTCTGCGACGACGAGATCGGGAAGAATGTGGGGAATCACGCGAGGGCAGATCGCCATGCATCTCCGCAGTGCTCATTCTCGGATCAGGAGATATTCGAGATCATTGCCGATATCCGAAGGACTCCCCTGACGAGCCGCCTCTCCGAAGTACCACTGAAGAAGCGCGTCTCGCTGCACCTAAACTTCTACGACGGCCGGACGATCCCAAGCAATGGATCACGTCCTTCATGACAGCCATGAGAAGACAGAAATACACTTCGCCGGAAGAACAAAGCGCGCACTTCTGCCAAGCCCTCGCCGAACACCTGCGGGCGATGCCCTAACATGGTTAGCAACCTCGGGCCGACTCCATCGACAGCTTCGACGATCTGGCAGCCGCCTTTCCTAAAGCAACACCTCCGTTTCGCACTAGACGACCTCGTCTTTTGCAAAACCGACGATGATACGATCTATGGTCTCGGCAAATTCGGCTCCGATTGGGAAGGACCATTCCGCATCGCGAAAGTCGTCAAACCAGGAGTCTATCAGCTGGAAGACAACCTAGGCATCACGTCCGATCGCCTCTGGAGCTCGTCGGATCTGCGCAAGTTCCACAAAAAAAAAAAACATGTCCATGACATGAACATTTGTAACGAACTACGAATGGCTTGATCCCGGCACGGGTACGTAGGCAGCCTTTTCATTAAGGCGCACTATAATACTTAATAAAATTCTAATTTTATTAAGACCCTTTCTTCTCGACAAGCGCGCCTCATCGGCATAAGCAGAAACTTGTCGACATCACGCACGCACCTCGTTTGACGTCAAACCAAATTATTGAGGCAAACTCATAAGCACTTGCACTTTGCACCCTAAAAACATGGACTGATCACCCATTCATTAAGCCGAGAGCACGCACCTCGCACGGCTCTCAGTTCGTCGGACGAGCGAAAAACCGCTACCTCGTCACCCGCACGAAGCTTTGAAGTCGGAAGCATAAATCGAGTTTCTAGAGCTCGTCGCTGAAAGTAGGTTTAACATCCTAAGCACACAGACCTAATACGCACCGGTCGGTGTCTCGAATGAGAAGTCATGACGAAACCCGAAAGCATCGCGTCTAGTCATGACGCATTAGCACCATCACGCGCACCATGTCGTGATACACTTAAAGGTAACGAGTCATCCCGATAATCGAATTTCCTACTCGGTGACGACCAAGTACTTAATTCATTTTATGCGGTTGACGACACCATCGTCCTTTATTAAAAGACATAACCAAAAGCCGGATTACTTTCGTTGCGCTGCGAACTAATCAATTATGTCTAAAGTCGTGACCATGCAAAACACGCAAGCAATAGAAAATCATACTTAAAACATTTTAAGTATCTAGCACAAATCTAAGCACAAATCCTAAAGCATACGGATGAAAACCTTCCCAGGCAATGTTATTACAAAAAAAGGCCGCAGCCAGAAAAGTCTTAAAACAAATAAAATGGGGCCTAAGCAGACTTGGCCCCAGAAGTAGAAGGTCCCGCACCCGGATCAGCACCATCACCGTCTCGACGAGAAGGAGATCCCGGCAGCACCAGCCGTTTAAGGCTACAAAAGCAAAACATACATAAGCAAACATACGCTACGCAAAGCACGACATAACAAAAAAGAAGAAGTAAAACCTTACCTGTTAGGCGGAGAGAAGTCATCATCATCGATAACAACTTCGTCGATCGCATCCCATCCGCGATACTCTTCGCCAGCTTGGCCGCGAGCTTCTCCTCCATCGCGTCGAAGTTCAGGTCCACTCCCCGGATCTTCTTCACAAAGTCAAGGAGAGCTTCGTCGACCTGCCTCCTCCCTACGGCGGCTTCAACCACGTCCCGCTGCGCGACGAATCCTGACAAGCGATGGAGGCGAGGAGCATACCAGTCATTCACCGAGTCAAAGACCTGAGTAACAGCCGCCTCGACCGATTCTCGACGAGACCGTCGGAGACGCTCCATCTCAGCAGCAGAAGCCTTTGCATCCCGACGAGCCCTCTCTTCCAAATCGCCCACTCGAGATCTAAGCTGGTCAGCCATACCCTGAAGTCCGAGAGTTTTCACGATCTCCTTGTTCAGCGCTGCGACTTTTCCCTCGAGCGTAAGTTTATCCAGCTTTAAATCGGCCACCATCGTGTCGACGTCTTTGGCCTTCTTCTGCTCCCGCCGCAACACGAAGGCTTCATCCTTAGCCACTCGAAGCGCCGTTTAATACTTTTTGACCAGCGTAGTAAACTTCCCGCTAGACATGACGTGATGCTGATCCGCCTCGTCAAAATCATCTCTAAACGCCAGACCTTCGCGTGGGATGCCCCAAGTAGGATGAACCTTGGAAGACCAAGTCTTCCCTCCACAAGCGTCCCGATCCTCCATGAGAGGGCCGACACCATACCACCGCATCTTGAATGCATGAGGATTGTAATCCTCAGGTTCGGTCTTTGGTAGCACGCCGTCGTCCTTAGCATCAAGATTCGGGTCAGGAGCAGAACCGTGTGCCTCCGAACGACGAGAAACCGCCTCGTCATCAGGGCGTCGAAGCGATCCATCTCCCTCCGGACCACCACCTCGGTCAAACGAAGGACCGTCGTCGCGGGAAGTAAGGAACTCCTCCTCCCGAACTGGCGAAGTACCGCATGGCGGAGTCCTCATGTCGTCGCCGCGACGAGAAGCGCTCTCATCTCGACGAGGTACGTCACCATCACGGTCCGAAGGAGGAGAATCAAGCTCGACCACTCTCTCCGGAACCTTTTTTGGAGTAGGAGACGAGGTCCTCTTCGCCGAAGCCCTACGAAAAGCATCAAAACTCAGCACCAAAAATTATTGATCATCAAGATTCCCAAACGTCTGATAACTCACCTCGTACGTGACGCGATGGAAGAACTCCAGAGAGAAGGAGAAGGAGAGTCCCTCAACCTCGGAGATCCAACCCTCTTTTTTTTCAGCACCGGCTCCGAAGCAACGACGACGTCGTCAATCGGCACGGCGGTCCTCTTCCTAAGACCCATTGGCTTCTTCTTAAGTTGGGGCGACCTCGCTGCAACGGAACAAAGCATGGCGCTAAGCGATCCACGGCAAAATCAAATATGAAAGAAAGACGAGATGCTTACTGGATACTGGAGTCACGGGGACAGCAGGCTTTCTTCTCCCTTCATTCCTCTCCTTCCTCTCTCTCTTCTCCCTCTCGAGTTTCTCCACGACCTCGGGCCAGATCTTATGACTAAGATCTCTCAAAGCTTTGAATTTGTCCTTAAGGGCGCTGCTCGGCCTCACCCGTCTTAATGGCTCTGAAAAAGGGAAGACACGAAAATCAGAAAAAAGCATCTCAATAGATGCGACGAGCGAAATAGATCTACCAATATTCTACCGGGCGAAGTGACCCAATCGGTCTTGATTTGTTCAGGCTTGAATTTCCCGGCCGAATCTTTGCTAATCTTCACGAAAAAGAAATAACGCATCCAGTCGGGGATCTTATCCCGATAGTCGCCGAAAACGATCTTGTGCCTCATCGCGGTGTGGAAACGCTTATAATTTCCCTCCCATTTGGATCCGGCACGAAGATCCGTGACGTTCTCAAAAAGATGGCGATCAAACATGACGTTCGCGGCCTTCGCTAAGGCTTCCGTGAAAATCATGTGGCGAAATACGCCGTGGGTCAACTGCCTCACATCGACACCTCGTTCGGCGGCAAATCTCAGCAACAAGAAAGGCAAAGGGAATTTCATCCCGAACTCGGTGAAAAAGCATTCGTACACGCATATCCACCCCGGCGGAGCGTCGCAAGGCCTTTCATGCTCCTTCGGAATCCGGAACTCAACACAACCCGAGAAGCCGACTCTCTTTGCCAGCGCTGTAAGAATCTCGGGAGTCATCCACGTCCTACCATCCGATATATGCGGCATCTTGGATTTAGCGTGTTCCGGCATCTTGATAATCTCGGGGATGCCCTTCAGACGAGCACGGTCTGAAACCCCTTCGTCATCGCGTTCCGAATCAGCATCGGAGTCTTCTGATGGGATTCCGTCGTGGTATCCCTCTTCGGAGTCATAATCATCGCAAGGGGCGCACTCTTCCCTTGCTTTCATCCTTCTTTCCGCCGCTTCTCGACGCTCGGCCTCGGCAGCGACTCTTATCGCCTCTTCCATCTCAGCCCTCTCAACCACTCTTTCAGCCTCCGCCGCGGCCTCCACTTTGGCAGCCTTTCTCCGATGCGCCTCGGCCGCATCCGCACGGATAGCCTCGCCAAGAAGCCTGTCGGGATTGCCGGATAACCGGGCCCGACGCTTGGTCTTGTCATCATTATCCACGGCAATACCCTTACCCTTTCTATCTCGCGAATCCATCCCGATTGCACAGAGAGCTCTAAAAGTCGAAGATTGAAGTAACAAAGTTGACAGAGCAAAACCCTAAGATCGGAAGATGAAATCGGCGAAAGAGAAGACGAAATCAGAGCACAACCTAACTAGATTCGAGCAATTCGTGATTCCCTAGTCCTAAATCCACAAAATCGATTCGATAAATCAATCGAGACAAGATTTGAAGTCGGATTGCAGGAGTTACCTTTGATTCGTCGGGACGGTTGAGTGAGAAGAAGAAAAGAAGCGAAAATGAATAAAGGAAATTCGAACGGTCTCTTAATAGAGATCGCGCGACTTCCAAGGGACACAACTGCCCTTATGAATTTTTTATTCATTCCTTTCCCGCTCAAGGAAAAAAGCATTAATGGGCTTGGGCCTCCGCGCGATTTAATCGACTATGGACTCAGCCCACGCAATTGCAAACAATAAATCTGTTGGGGTGATGACGTGGCAAAATCGCCCAGTCACAGATGAAAACCGAGCTCGTCACAGCACTCGAACCAAGAAAGCATTTTTGGTCGCGGCAAAAATCATTCGAAGCATATTACTCATGAATTAGATGACGTCAACGTACTCTTTTTCCTTTTTATGGTTTTTGTCCCAATTGGGTTTTTCCGTACCAAGGTTTTAATGAGGCGGCACGAATCTACATTCAGCATGCACCTAGGCACTAAGATCCGATTGAAGTGATGTATTTTACTAATGATTCTCAAGCTCGTCCTCTATTCATGAAGCTCGCCGAGATCAAACTACATTTGACCTGCCGAGCTGGCGGGGGGACTTATTGTTAGAGGAGAAATTAGCACATTTCCCTGAGCCCGTCATCATTAGTAAAGTCACAAAGCCCAATCCGATTTTAGGCCTAACTCTTCAAGAAAAAGGCAAGACTTGAGAAGAGAAAGGCACAATCCATGGAGAAATGTAAATAAATCTTCATGCCGACTTAAAGAATGGAAAGATCAAAGAACAAGAGGAAGTTTTCCATATCGCAAAAGAGGAAGTTTTCCATCTCGCCCGAAGGAGAATATTCATCATTCGGCCGACTTATCAACACTATATATTGAAGACCCCCCATTGGGGAAAAGGGATCCGAAATCATCTAGAATCACTAGGCCTTTACACGCTTTTACTTTCTCCTCTTGTTCGTCACTATAATCTCGCTAGGCTTGTTAGCGAGATTACTTCCTTGTAACTTTCTTGATAATCTAAGAGTCGAATTAAGCATTCCAGTTTCCTAAACTCACATCTTGATAGCCCGTCTTGACGAGTGCTATCTCGGATTCAACATATCATACATCTTAAAACCATTCGATGCGCCACATTTGCCGCTTCCCTATATGTATATAGTTTCGAAATTTTCATATATTTTTCTTTTTGATTCTTTTCCACGTTCCCTTTACGGATTCTAAAAAAACAATTTATTTACATACCTTTAAAATATGAAATGGTCCCCAATCAGTTGCTTTTATTGAAAGTACAGGTTTTTTCTCTGCAAATGATTGTTATCACTTCCACAAAAGTTAGTTTAAACGTTATAAGTTTGGTCCAATCAATGATAGTGAGAAATGTGATTCTCTCTGCATATATATTATCACAAAGGCATCAAAACATAAAAAATAAGGCTCTATACTATAATCCTCTATAGTTTTTTTTTTTTTTTTGCAGATAAGGAATTTAAAATAGTCATTCCACAGCACATAATATACTCATTAGTGAAATAAAAAGTAAATCACAACCAAATTTATGACAAACTAATTTCATCATCTTCCGAGACTCCAAACGTTAAAAGGCGTTGTTGTCCTGAAGAGCTACATGCATTTCCATCTAGCTAGAAAATGTTTGAGTAATCGAAGGAACTGGTTTGGTCGTTGTATTCATAGTTTGTCCAATAATCGGTTTGCACTGACTGATCAACGTTTAAATTAGAAGAGCTCGCCGGAAATTGGTTTGCCGCGGTGACTGGAAACTGATATCTTGGAAAGTATTCAGAAGCAACCTCCTGAATTTGAGGATAATCCTACAAAAAATATCACAAAATTTTACCACATATTGTCTGGAAAAAAACGTTTTAATTAACAGTTAAATAGGTGGTACTTACCTTTGACGAATCAAGAATGAAATCAGGAGAAATCCAAATATTAAAAGAGTCACTCGTGGTAGAAGAAGGCTTGAACGTATGAAACTGCGTTGCTTCATCGCGACAAGGAGAAGTCACCAGGCTAGAGTAACCCGAACCACTTTCTTGTTCGTTTTTATTTTTCAAAGTCTTTGAATTGGTCTTGACTTCATTCTTCTTTACTATGCGGCATAACGCGAAAGCTACCTAATATTCAAACAATGTATATGGTTTTTAGTTTTTTTTTTCTTTCATTAATCCATAAAATGGAGATGATTTTGGAGAAACAACTTATAAATTTTTCTTACGTTGAAATTTGGTGATTTTTGCAAAAGATCATCATCGCATAGACGATATTCGTGCATAAACCAATTAGTTCTATTACCTAATGGGGCACGGCCTTCATAGAAAACTAGTGTTTTCCTGTATCCGATTAAAGAACACGACGATTTACATGTAATTTTCCGGTCTTTACCGGTTGCTTTCCAAAAACCGGCTTTTGTAGCTCTATTGGTTCGAGAACCGTTTGGGTATTTTTTGTCCCTTGGACAGAAAAAGAACCATTCCATGTCCCTATCCGGAAGAAAAGATTTATCTAGAAGGACAAAGATCAAAAGTTTAATTTATGTATCTAATGTTATAAAGTTTTAATATAAATTTATGAATACTAGAAATTAAATACCTGGTAACTCCCAAGGATCGAATCTGTATAAATCGATAACAGGAATGACCTCGAGTTCGATCTCGAGACCTTCTACTTTTCTACTTAAGTAATAGCCTATGAGCTCTTCATCAGTTGGATGAAATCTAAATCCTGGAGGCAAACATGAACTTCCCATTTGCATAATTCACACGTGTTGCTTGCGACACAAGAGTGTGGTGTTTTAGCAAAAACAAAAAAGAGACGAGAGTTGAAGAGATCAAATCATTGATGAAGTACCGAAACTAAGTCTATTAAATATTTGGAAGATCCAAAAAATAGAAACTTTTTTCGACACTTGATTTGATCTTTATAAAAGGTTGCAACTCTCGTTGTGACAATAATTGTCTGAAACAAATCGTATGATTTACCCACAAAAAAAAACTGAAATTACCCGAAATCCCCCTTTTTAATAGAGAAAAACAATATACACAAAATTAAGGGTAAAATTTCGGAAATAACGAAGAGTAGGAGGGTAGAATTTGAATTTGAGAGAAGAGGTAATTGCTGCTGGTCAAAGACATTGACCGAAGAAAAAGGGTTCTCTGAGTTTGAAATCGGAGATTAGCTATTTAAGAAATTAAAAGAGATCTAGAGAAGAGAAGGTTGGTTGGTAGAGTGTTTTATGGTTGTGGAGCGATTGATATATATAGCACAATGGTTTGAACTATGGGGAACATTAATTAATTAATAAGTAAATGTGGACAGAATAATTAATTATATAGTATAATGTCAATATAAAATTCAGAAGAAAAATAACCGAAAGCACATAATTAAAGACATTGCTTGTCTTAAGAGTTCCCAAAACTCCAAATGAAGTTGGACCTACTTGGTCTCGAAAGCTAATAGACTTGTTCACACTACCTACAAAGATAATACGAATTCCTCATTCACTATTATATGACCTTATCGTTTTAATTTTTAAAAATACGTATCGAAGAAACCTTTTTGAGTTAAATATATAGAGAATGATGGATTTTATAGGTATTTAGGGAATCATTCATTCACGTTTTTCAGTTTGAAAACGGGATTTTACTACCTTTTACCGTTTATAATACTCGTCAAAATTTCACAGTTTTCTAAAACTGATTCTGTAATATATGCTTGTTGAAAGTCTAGTTAGAGAACGAATTTTCATTCATCTACAAAACTAATGTTCATAGCTTCTTTTCTTTGTTTAGTATAAATTTGTTAATTTCACATACTTTCTCTACTTTTTTATGCTGATGTTACGTCCTTTTACTATTTGATTGGCATACTAGTTATCATCATTGTTTTGTTAGTTTTCTTTCAATACTAAATATGAAAATGGTTTTTCTATAGACTATAGACACGTTCATGTTCGCGTTTCAACCCGGTCTAACACAACTCAAAATCATTTAGATACATCTATAGATACGATCATGAATGATAGTCTGAATCCAATATCAAATAACTTTTAGGTCATAAAAATCGGTCCTCTTGGGTTTTTTTGGGGATAATATATTAGTTGTACTTTGTACACAAACAGATCTACTATTTAAATGGGGGTTTAACATTGTTCTTCCACGCCAGCATGAGTAAGACAAAACCGCTTTTTTAGTAGTGTAGCGACTTTCGACTTTTAAGACAGAAGGGATAACGAAACTTTGACGAAAATAAATGATTGTTTAAGAGGTAAAGTTGTAGTTTAGAGTTTAGTTCCCATTTGTGTAAGACTCGATAATTGATACATACAAGAAAAAAATATACTAAAAAAACGAATGACTTCGCGAGCTGGAAATGTAAGGTTAGTTCTATAAATAAAAACGCACCTAGTAATTATGCTAAAGCTAGGATATTCCACCCTATACTTTAGTAGGAACGGTCACCTTGATCCCCTAATGGTGTTTAAACTTTTAAAGCGAATAGCGAACTGTATGGAAAAGAAAATGATAGAGAACAAAAGGGACAGAAATGGAGAAAAAAGGTATAAAAGCATAAATAACTACGTCACATGGTGGGAAAAAAGAAGTAAGCCTACGAAATACGAATAACGGACCTTCTATGTTGACTACACTAGGGCCTAATAATATGATTTAAGAAGTACCGTTGAAGTTTGAATACATATGAAATCAGAATATGGCGTTTCCTCTCTATGGATTGTACGTTGTTTAAAACTATCCAAGCAAAACGATATTTTTTCTTTTACCATTATACGATGTTCTTATGATTTATCATTAGAAATATAAGTTTCAGTCGACAAAGTTGTTAAATGTTTAGCAGAAGTTCCACAAAATAGATCTAAAAATAGAATGAGACCAAGTGTTTTACTAGTCAGGCTGTCGAATCAGAGTAATGAATTTGGTTGTAGTATCTATAGCTAACCTTTAAATTAAAATACTTGATGATCTAGCATTTGAGGGTAGGGCAGAAGAGTTAGTAGCGTGCAATACAAGTTTGCTACAAGATGGCACCAAACTCCAGGCTGATCTTGAAACATTAAGGGCTCAAAGCAAGTAACTGCAGGATCAGTTAGCTTCATCCCCAATAAGTTTTTTTTTGTTCTTGAATTTGTTCTTCTTTTGCAAATGAAAGATATAAAACACAATGATTTGTTGCTTTTTGCAAGGTTACTAAACTCACATTTCGATCTCCAACAAGTTAAGGCACATTCACAAATTAGATAGATTTTAAATCCCTTTTCCATTATTTGCCACTAGGGGGTGACCCGCGCTTCGCGCGGGAATTTATATTGTTGAGTTAATTTTATTGTTTTTCCGCAATTTAATTTATTTATATGATTTTATTATTGTTTCAAAAATATTAAACACATATTAATTAAATATAATTAGGGTTAGGCAAAATTAACGTACCGCCCTGTCACATCTCGTCCCATTTCATTCATTTTCATAATGTCCGTTCTTTTCCGTCTCGTCCTTCCTGTTTGTCCCGTCCCGTCCAGTCTCATCCTATCATATTATGTTCCTTTCTATTTTGTTATGTCCCATCCTATTCTTTCTGTTTCTTCTCATCCCGTTCCCTAAATGTAATTAAGGGAAGGCAAAATTTCCGTCTAGTCCCATTCGTTCTTTTTCATCTTGTCCCGTTCTTTCCCGTCTTGTCCGCCTGTCCAGTCCCATCCTGTTTTACTATGTTTTTTTTTTTCTATTTTGTCGTGTCTCTGTCCTGTCCCTAAATATAATTTGGGGTAGGCGAACATTGCCTCCCGTCTCATTATGTCCCCTTCATCTCGACCCGTCCAATATTTTGACATCAACGTAAACTATATAATTTGACAAAAATAAATTTACTAAATAATACTTTTTGTAGATCTATACATAATCTTTCTCCTTTTTTTGAAGTAATTTAATTTTGTATTTCAAAAATATCATACGCATAGTAATTTAATTAAAAAAATATGGGTATAAGTTCCGTTTTGTCCTTTCCCATCTGTTATATATCGTCATGTCCCGTTCCTTCTTGTCCTTTCTCATTTCTTTCCATCTCATTCTTTCCCGTCGTATCCCATTTCATCCTATTTCGTCTCGTCCCACACCGTTCTTTCCACTTCCATCCCGTTCTTTCCTATCCCGTCTCATTATTTTTTGTCCCACTCCCTCTCGTCTCATTCCTTCTCGTCCCATCTCGTCTTATCCTGTTTATTTTCCGTCATGTTCTTTCATGTGACAAAATTTTTGGAGAGTTGAAAAAGATGTTACACTTGCAATTGACCCCAATTTTTAGGTCATTTTTGCAAGAATCCCGAAAATTAACTCAATTATTCAGAACAGAACTCTTGAATGAAGTTTACCAAATACACATTTACAAAAACATGCAAAGGCCCATTCATTAGAGGGAAAAACGTCCGATTAATTCCTGAACTATTTGTAATTAATTCGCCAACTTGCAATTGCACATTTTATTCCTCAAAATGTATCTGATTTTTCAAAATTGGGTATTAGTTAATCACCCTTAATTTCACTAAATCAAAGTTTACTCTCATTAAAAAATTAACCTTCTCTCATTTGAATTTTATGATTCAATGTCAAAATTTCTAAATCAGAAAACTCTAAAGCCCGAGAAAACCCTAAAGCAGATTCCGGTGAGAGTTAAACCTTGATTTTCTAGCGATTCGGGAGAAAGTGAAGCTTGAAATTACGAAATTAGGGTATTATCTATCGTGAATACAATGTGAAGAAGTCCTAGTTCGAAGAGATTCAGAAAATCCCGACGAGAGAAAATTAATGTTTTAATGGAAGTAAACATTGCTTCAATGAAATTAACGGCTTATTAATTAAGATTTAAGACCCAATTTTGCAAAATGAGATACAGTTTGAGGAATAAAATGTGTATTTGCAAGTTGGGGAACTAATCGTGCAATTGCAAATAGTTCAGGAAATAATGGGCGTTTTCCCTTATTAGAGATACTTGGATTTTCTAAGGGCTCTTATCATGTGGTAGGCAGAGGAGCTTTCTGCTTCTTTTTTCTTTTGTTTTTCATCTCCCTTCATATACAATGTCGTACCTTCTTCACTTTGGATCTTTATTTATTTAAACTGAACAAACAAATCCTTTCCTATTTACCGGCCCTCCTTCTTCCTCAACACTGTAAAAGAGTTCCATACACAGTAACTAAATGTTTTAGAGTATATATGAATTTTCACTACTCTTGGATAGAATTAATAAAATAACATTTTTTGCATCTCAGAGTATTGTGGGACTAAGAAAGACATATACCTGTAAATAGGTTTGGGCCATTTTTGTTTGGAGCAAATCTCAAACAACTTCCTTTTGGCATCTTCAAGGTAAATCTCAACACTATCCTCATCAATTACCATATCAATGGGCATAACTTCAGCCAACTTTCTTAATGCTTCCTTAACAGCAATCAGCTTTGCTATATCTTTATTCTCAGCACGACCAGAACCAAAACATTCATCATCAAGATACACACCAGCGATACTGCTTTTGCCGTCTTTAAAATACCTGATCTCGATTCGCTTGTCATGTTTATGACAGAACTGAAAAAGATCTCGATTCGCTCCACACATGGTTTGCAGCAAGACAAAATACTTGAGTTTGGTTTAGTGTAAATATTTTTCCTTTAAACTTTCTCAAAATCACGTTGCACTTGATGTAAAATACGATGTTTTTTTGGGTTCGAATCAATTTAACATTCAATTCAAAAAAAAAAAAAAAAAGCATACTCACTGGTTGAGGTTGCTGCTGCAGATCATCCAGTGTCACTATTGGCTCTAAAAGATCCCTGATGATCTACAAAATCAACAATAGGAAACCTTATCAACTTCAGAATCATGTAACTTGGAGTTAAAGACAAAGACAAGACATATCAGTAAGATTTAAAGAAGAAGTAGAGACAAACCACTGATGATAGGATTTTACGTGTGTGATGATGATATGAATGAAGGATGATAAGATATGAGGTGGAATGCAAACAGGGGTGAATAAGATGATGGTAGATGCAATCACAATCAATCAATTCCTCTTAACCATCATAGTCATTGAAGTATAAGAGGTTATCAATCCAAAATGGGAAACTTGTCACTCTTTGAGAATATGAAACAACCAGGAAGTCAAGCAAGCAGTTAAGATTTGAAGTAACACTAACAACCTAAAAAAATGAAAAGCAGTGCAATAAAAGTAAACAAAGCAGTGAAGTGTCAGCTCGACCAAGAGCTCGAGTCGAGTCAGAGCAAAGTACCAGCTCGATCGAGTTTAGGGACGAGTTGAGACAAACAAAGCTAAAGGTGACGACTTTAACAAGATAAAGAGAGAATTAGGGTTCAAGACAGGGTTTTGCAATCAAAGGAATCTACACTTAATCAATCTAGCTCTTAAAACTCCTTGTATCAAGGCTTCTCTTGATATTGGGCTTCTCAATGCCTAGCCAACCCTTTCCCAAGGTGGAGGCTATCAACCAAGGAATGATCTCAGAAACAGGGGGTTAGCCAGTGAGAATCAAACCTTGGAGGCTATAGGATCATTGCCCAAACTAATCCATCCAACCCCTTAGACCTCTATGTCTAGAGCAAGAGATATTGGAGCTCTTAGTGGATCTTTTCCAGCGAATGCCATCACTTTCGTGTGGGGAGTCGCCTAAGGACTTACAAGCCAGGGGTAGTGGTCATGTAGCCTTAAGATCTATCCAAAAGAGAGAGAATCTAGATTAAGACCATAAGCTAGAAGGATTAAGCATATGAAACCTCTAATCTATCCCATCTCAAACCCTAATGGGTAACTACTCACTACACATGAATGTAAACACAAGCAAATGCAATAAAAGAGACATCATAAGAAAGAGGAGATGAAATAAACAACTTTTATTGAAATAAGCAAGTGCAAATACAAGAGAGATTATCCAGGATCTAAGATTCAAGAAGCAAGAGCTTCAAGAACACAAAGATGGGATTAGATCTCTAAAAAGTAAAAGACAATAAATTAAAAGAAACTAAAACAAAATAATCTAAAGCTTGGTGGTTTTTTCGTGGCTTAGAGCCTTTAAATACAAAGAGGATTAGGTTTAGGGTCAAAGGAAGTCAAGGGGGAAGCAACATTTTTCGGGTTTGACTTTGACTTCCAGCTCGATCGAGTTGAAGCTTGGCCGGTCGAGTTGAGGAACTCGACCGGTTGGTCGAGTGGACGGTCGAGCTGGTCTTCAAGATGGCTTCTCCCTTCTTCCTTTGCGTATCCAGTTGAGCTGCTTCCATGTGCCAAGTCCCTCCATGCTCCTATGTCCCATATGCTCCAGAATGCTCCAAAAGACCTATTTCAAAGGACCAAACATGCATATGTATGCAAATGCAACCTAAAACTAACATGAATGCATAAGAAGAGAAAAGGAACAAGATATGATGCAAATGGAAGCTAAAACTATGCAAAAGATGCATAAAAGATGTGCTAAAACTATGTAAAATGCAAGTACATCAACACCCCCAAACTTGAACTTTGCTTGCCCTCAAGCAAACAAATAGAACAAGAAAGAGATGAGGTTTGAAAAAGCTGATTCAACACTTAAAAACATGTCCTCAAAAGCGATTTGCTAAATGTCCAACTTAGAGATTCTAGAATGCAACAAGGTGAGAGATATTCATTAAGATTTAACCATGCTTATCAACATCAATCCCACTTCACAGTCACTCAAACAATGCATTCAAATCAGCAAATCCCTTTAACATTCATTAAGCAAAAACAGTGAACCAAAAACATGCAAGATCAATCAACTCATTTGGTTTCAAGGGTTTATGGGTTAAGAGACAAAGAGGGTCTCTTTTGTATGGTGGTTTAGTAACAGGGATCTCTCAAGAAAGTGGCTTTGCTTTGGCAGAAGGCTAAGTGTTAGAACCAAAGATGATGCAAGAACAGCAGCTCGAGCCGCCTAATCCTAACTCGATCGAGTTCAACACTTAGAGCTTTTTAGAACAAAATCCTAACTACCCTTTTTGGCATTTCGCCTTTGAAACTGAGGAGCTTTGCTCACTTTTCTTTTAAGAACTTCCTAGGGAGAGGCTTCTTGAGGTAACATCTAGCGGTTTGGGATTTTCTAAACACTTAGGGAACTTTTCTTTCCTTTTTGGACACTTGAGGCTTTGCCTTCTTTTCATTCTACTTAGAACCCTTTTTACTTTCCTTTTTTAACTTCCCAAACCTTTACTAGACCCTTTTTAACACTGCCAACTCCCTGGACTTAACTAAACTCTTTTTCCTTTGGGTTTTTCCCAACTTTTACCACTTTTCTGGTTTTTACACCCAACTCGATCGAGCTCGAGTTGGCACCCCCAAACTTAGCCTGAAAACAATCCCAAGAGAACTAGACAACTAGAACTACTGCCCCTGCCGGTTTAAACACAACACCTTATGCTAAGCAAAGCCAAGAAAGGTTCTCACATTCGCACAAGAGATAATATGGGGTTTGAAATGAAAAGGCTTAGGTTTAAGGTGTGGTAACTGTCTCAAAGATAGAGATCAGCTATCTGGACAAGCAAAGGGATATGAAAATGGTAAAGAATGTCCAGATATGTATGTGGTAGCCATGAGTTGAAATCAAATGCAAGCATTGGTAATTAAAGATCAAGTTATGGTTCAAATAGATAGGGAAATGCATCAAATCACAGCAATGGTTGAATGAGATGTGCATGCAGTGATATGATCAAGATAAACATGGTTCTTGCTGCTCAATCAATCTCACCCTAATGCACAAAAGAATCTAAAAACAGGGCACTCAAGAAATCGCAAAAGATGGACAAGTTTTCAAAGTCAAATCAACAATGCAAGTGAAAAATGCAATCCTAAACAAGTCTAACAAATATGAATGCAAAAAGATGAAAATATTTTTGGATTTTTTGAAAATTTTATGATTTTTTTGGTTTTTCTATGCAAAAGATAAATGAAAAACTAAGAACAAAGAAAACAAGGTTAAATCATCTCTTGAACCCTCCCCCAAACTTAAATCACACAGTCCCTTGTGTGAGAAAAATTTAGTGAAAGATTCAAGAGGGCAAAACCAAGAAAAAACAAGAACAAATGCAAGAAAATATGAAATGGTATATACAAGGGTTGGTGTTTGGATACCTCAGTGTCCCCCAAAGAACTGGGAGACTAGGTCGTGGTCTGGAGATGGGAGACGGCCATCAGGAGCGCTCCACTGCAACTGTTCGGCTCACTCGATCGAGCTTGCTCTTGACTCGATCGAGTTGTGCCTCGAGTTGCCACTCTTCTTCCTAAAACCTGCTCCTGTGAGACTCAGCCAAGAAAAATCATAAAAATAAAAGGATAAAGTATAAATACATAAGATAGACATGGGAATTCCTCCCAAGTGAGCTTGTTTTAGGTCTCTTAGCTTGACCTTACCCCTTTTAGGCCGGGGTTGGATCTTCTAGAGGAGTGATGATCTCCTCTGTGGGGGTCATTCCTAGATATGGCTTGCATCTATGTCCATTCACTGTGAATTCCTTCCCCTCTTGATTGAGCAAAGTGAGGGACCCATAGGGTAGAACTTCGTGAATCTTGAATGGTCCCGCCCACTTTGACCTCAGCTTCCCGGGAAACAACCTTAGCTTGGAGTTATACAAGAGCACACTGTCCCCAACCTTGAAGTCCTTAAGGCGAATCAGTTTGTCGTGGGCTGCCTTGGTTCTCATCTTGTAAATCCTAGAGTTCTCATAGGCATTCATTCTTATTCTCCTCCAGCTCAAACAAGTTCATTACCCTCCTTTCTTGTGCTGCCTTTATATCAAAGTTCAGCATCTTTACTGCCCATAAAGCCTTATATTCGACCTCCACAGGTAAGTGGCAGTCCTTCCCATACAGCAAATTGAAAGGAGACCTTCCAATGGGGGTTTTGTAGGCTGTTCTATAAGCCCAAAGTGCCTCATCAAGCCTTGCTGCCCAGTCTTTCCTAGTGAAGCTCACAGTCTTCTCCAATATGGCCTTGATCTGTCTGTTGGAGACTTCAACTTGCCCACTGGTTTGAGGGTGATAAGGTGTGGCGACCTTGTGTTTGACTCCATGGCTTCTCATCAACTTTTCAAACACCTTGTTGATGAAATGGGAGCCTCCATCCGAAATAACAACCCTTGGGATGCCGAACCTTGGAAAGATGATGGTTCTGAAAAGCTTGACAACCACCTTGGCGTCACAGGTTGGGCAGGGAATGGCTTCAATCCATTTGGATACATAGTCTACAGCAACCAAAATGTAGTTGTGCCCGTTTGAAGAGGTTTGAAAGGTCCCATGAAGTCTATTCCCCATACATCAAAGATCTCAACCTCTAGAATTGGGTTTAGTGGCATCTCGTCCCTCTTGGTGATCCCTCCTTTCCTTTGGCATGGATCACACTTGGCAATGTAGTCTGCTGCATCCTTAAACAAAGTAGGCCACCATAAACCCAGATTGCAAAACCTTAGTTGCTGTTTTGAATGTAGCAAAGTGACCTCCATAAGCTGACCCATGGCAATGCTCTAGAACTCCTTGCACATCCTCTTCAGCAATGCATCTCCTGTAAATGCTGTCTGGTCCTCTCTTGTACAGGTAGGGCTCATCCCAATAGTAATGCCTAGCATCCTTGAAGAATTTCTTCCTCTTGTAAGCATCAAAGCTACTAGGGACTTCTCCGGACACCATGAAGTTCACTATATCAGCATACCATGGCAAATTCTCATCACGCAGAGCCTTAACTTCTTCCAGCCTGGCTTTCTCATCAAAACTCTCCTTCAAGATCATGATTGCCATAAGCTGTTCTTCAGGCATAGAATCATTGATGGGGATCATGTCTTCAACTCGCATCCTAGAGAGATGATCAGCAACTCCATTTTCTACTCCCTTTTTGTCCACAACTTCTATATCAAACTCTTGAAGCAAAAGGATCCATCTGAGAAGTCTTGGCTTTGTATCTTTTTAGCGAAGATGTGTCTAAGGGCAGCATGGTCAGTGTGCACAATCACCTTGGATCCAACTATATAGCTTCGAAACTTCTCAAAGGCAAAGACTATGGCAAGGAGTTCCTTCTCTGTGGTTGCATACTTGCACTGAGCATCATCCATAGTCTTGCTTGCATAGTAGATGACATTGAGTTTCTTGTCTATCTTTTGGCCAAGCACTGCTCCTACTGCATAGTCAGATGCATCACACATAATCTCAAATGGGTGATCCCAGTTTGGAGCTTGTACTATTGGCGCAGACACCAGAGCATCCTTCAGCAAGGTCCAAGACTTGTGGCATTCTTCATCAAACTCAAAATCTGTCTCCTTGCACAGAAGCCTTGTCAAGGGTCTTGCTATCTTTGAGAAATCCTTGATGAATCTTCTGTAGAACCCTGCATGACCCAGAAAACTCCTTATGTCCTTCACAGTCTTGGGAACAGGGAGCTGCAACATGACATCCACCTTAGCTCGATCGAGCTCGATCCCTTTCTCGGAAATCTTGTGTCCAAGCACAATCCCTTCTCGAACCATGAAGTGGCACTTCTCCCAGTTGAGTACTAGATTGGTCTCCTCACACCTCTGCAACACCCTGCACAAGTTAGACAAACATGAGGAGAAGGATGCTCCATAGACTGAGAAATCGTCCATGAAGACTTCTACCATCTCCTCTATCAGATCTGAAAAAATGGAGGTCATGCACCTCTGGAAAGTAGCTGGAGCATTGCACAGCCCAAATGGCATCCTTCGATAAGCAAAGGTGCCATAAGGGCATGTGAAAGTGGTCTTCTCCTGATCATTAGGGTGGATCGGGATTTGGAAGAAACCACTGTAGCCATCAAGAAAACAATAAAAAGGGTGGTTTGCCAATCTTTCTAACATCTGATCAATGAAAGGGAGAGGGAAATGATCCTTTCTAGATGCTGAATTTAGCTTCCTATAGTCAATACACATGCGATGCCCCACTATTGTTCTAGTGGGAATCAGCTCCTCTTTGTCGTTTTTAATGACAGTGATCCCCCCTTTCTTTGGGACGCAATGAACTGGAGATATCCAAGTGCTATCACTGATGGGATAGATTATCCCAGCATCAAGCAACTTGAGTATCTCTTTCTTCACTACTTCCTTTAGATTGGGGTTCAATCTTCTCTGAGGTTCAATGCTTGACTTACTTTCATCCTCTAGATGAATCCTATGGATGCATAGGTCAGGGGAGATCCCCTTGATATCATCTAGAGTGTAACCTATTGCCTTTCTGTACTTTCTCAATTCAACAAGCAAAGCACTCAACTGTTCAGGTTCCAAATCAGAGTTCACAATGACAGGGTAAGTTGAGTTTTCACCCAGAAATGCATACCTGAGGCCCTCAGGCAAAGGTTTGAGGTCGACTTTAGGCGCCTTAAGCTCAGACCAATCTCCTTGAGCTTGCTCCTTGCTCTCAGCCCCCAGCTCGATCGAGTTCGTCGTTTGTCGAACTCGACTCGATCGAGTTCTTGATCGAGCTCACTGCCATGACTTCGCAAACTGGCCTGTCCAATCCCTCAATGCTCAGAATGTTTGGAACTGGTCTGAAGGTGTCAAGGAGCTTCTTGTACTCATCAGTTTCTGAGCTCACATATCCCTCTGAAGAATCCTTGGTCAAAGCAACTTGTAGTGGATCCTCTGTTGATAACTCTTCTAGAAGCTCATCTGCCAACTGATCCATTTCCTCAACATAAAAGAGCTGACCTTCTATAGTTGGTTTCCTCATTGTATCTTGATATCAAACTTCATCTTCAGGTCCTTTCCCAAGTTTAACTCAATTGTTCCTTCACAGACATCTATCATTGCTCTTGCTGTAGCTAGGAATGGCCTTCCTAGAATCAATGGATCTGTTGGTTCCTCATCCATCTCAAGCACAATGAAGTCTGTGGGGATTTCCACATTCCCTATCCTCAAAGGCAGGTCTTCAAGCATCCCAGTTGGTAACCTTATCGATCTATCTGCCAAGACTAGTGAGATTCCGCAGGCTTGGTACTTGTGATATCCCAGTCTCTTTGCTACAGACAAAGGCATGAGGCTGACAGATGATCCTAGATCGCAGAGACTGTTTTTGAAAGATAGGGGTCCAACATGCAGGGCAAAGTGAAACTCCCCGGATCTTCCTTTTTGTCGGAGATGACCTTCCGCTGAATGATTGCACTGCACTCGCGAGTCAACACTACCATCCCTTGTGCTTCCCTGGTTCTTTGCTGAACAGCATCCTTCAGAAATTTCTGATAAGGTGGAATGAGCATCAAGGCGTCGATGAAGGGCAACTTCAACTCAAGCTGTCTCATTAGTTCATCAAACTTGGCCTTGTGTGCTTCCAACAGTTGTTTCTTGAACCTTCCTGGAAAGGGCAGAGGGGGCTTGTATGGTGGTGGTCCTGCTGGAGTGTCTTTCTTCTTTGCAACAGGTTTAGCTGGTTGGCTGGAGTTTGCTTTGTCTGTTCTCTTCTGAGCTCGATCGAGCTCTGGTTTGTCTTGCAGTGTCTCAGTTTCTCCAGCTCGATCGAGTTCTGGTTCAGGGTTTTGTTCCAGCTCGATCGAGTTCGGGTCGAGTTATCAGCATAGTCGACTAAATCCTCCCCTTCCTCGTCATCGATGTCCACAGCGATTTGGGGTGGGCTACCTCTACTGGGAATTGCCTCCCACTTCTTAGTGTAACTGCTTGGGCATACTCTTGTGGTGAAGAGGATGATGCACTTGAAGACTCAATGATTTGGACTCTTGAAGTCAATGACTCTAGTTTAGAGTGTATCTCAACCAGCTTGTTGTTCATTTCCAGAGAACCTTTGGCTTGCCCTTGTAAAAGTTGTTGGAGCATTTCCTTCATATCCCAATCTTGAGTTGGTTGGGTATGAGTAGTCCTTGTGTTGAAGCCTTGTGGAACACTTTGTTGTTGGTGCGGCCAGGGGGCTTGATAATTGTTGTATCGCCCTTGTTGAGGATTCCTATAGCTTCCTTGTCTATTTTGAATGTAGCAAACTTCTTGTGTTGTCTCCTCCCCTTCCTGGTCCTTGACTAAGGTTTGTTCTGAGACATAGTTGACATGCTTGGCAGGGAATTGGGCTAGGATCAGTTTGTCCAACTTCGAGTTGAGTGCAAGCATGTCTTTTCTCATCTGAGCGTCCAGCTCGATCGAGTGCGGTCGAGCTCCAGTCTGTACTTTCATAGTGCTCTCCATAGCATTCTGTTGATATGGCCATGTTCTCCACAAGTTGCCAGCCATCATCTACATCCTGGTTGAGGAAGTTCCCATTGCTAGCTGTGTCTAGCATCTCCCTATACCTAGGCAAGCATCCTCTATAAAGAGTGGAGAGTAGTGATTCATTGTTGAATCCATGGTGTGGGCACTGACTTGTGTAGCCTTTGAACCTCTCCCAAGCCTCTGCGAATGTCTCATTGTTTCGCTGGATGAAGCTGGATATCTCTCCTCTAAGCTTGGCTGTGCGACCGGTGGAGAAAAACTTAGCAAGAAAGGCCTTCTTGCATTCATCCCAAGTGGTGATTGTGCCATGGGGCAAGCTCTTCTCCCATTGGTGAGCTTTGTCAGCTAGAGACATAGGAAAGAGTCTCAGCTTGATGGCATCTTCAGAGACACCATTGATCTTTGTCAAATCACAAAGCCTATCAAACTCATCAAGGTGGTCAATGGGGTCTTCACTTGGCAATCCATGGAACATCTTGTTCTGGACAAGGTTGATCATTCCCAGCTTGATCTCAAAGTTGTGGTTCTGCACTGGTGGTGGAACAATCCCTTGTCTCTGTTGGTGGCGGTTTGGAGCATCTCCTTGACCAATCGGTCGAGTTTGCCTAGCTCGACCGAGTCCATTGCCCAAAGGGTTTCCATTCCCCTCTGGTACATCCATTGTATCAGCAACAAGCACCTCAGGTTCCTCTTGTACCCTCTGTGACCTCTGAACCCTCTTTCTACCCGTTGTAAGTCTAGCTCGACCAAGTCTTCAGTAGACCGACTCGATCGAGTTCGCATACACCTGCAAAAAGAGACAAAAACCCAGCAGTACAATAGAACAGGGGTGGTATAGCTTGATCGTCCAAGTGTGTTTGAAACTCAAATGCAACAAAAATATTCCCAAATCGGCAACGGCGCCAAATTGATGATAGGATTTGTGTGTGATGTGAATGAATGAATGAAATGAGATGAGGTGGAATGCAAACAGGGTATAGATGAGTGGTAAGATGCAACACAATCAATCAATTCCTCTTAACCATCATAGTCATTGAAGTATAAGAGGTTATCAATCCAAAATGGGAAACTTGTCACTCTATGAGAATATGAAACAACCAGGAAGTCAAGCAAGCAGTTATAGATTTGAAGTAACACTAACAACCTAAAAAAATGAAAAGCAGTGCAATAAAAGTAAACAAAGCAGTGAAGTGTCAGCTCGACCAAGACTCGAGTCGAGTCAGAGCAAAGTACCAGCTCGATCGAGTTTAGGGACGAGTTGAGACAAACAAAGCTAAAGGTGACGACTTTAACAAGATAAAGAGAGAATTAGGGTTCAAGACAGGGTTTTGCAATCAAAGGAATCTACACTTAATCAATCTAGCTCTTAAAACTCCTTGTATCAAGGCTTCTCTTGATATTGGGCTTCTCAATGCCTAGCCAACCCTTTCCCAAGGTGGAGGCTATCAACCAAGGAATGATCTCAGAAACAGGGGGTTAGCCAGTGAGAATCAAACCTTGGAGGCTATAGGATCATTGCCCAAACTAATCCATCCAACCCCTTAGACCTCTATTGTCTAGAGCAAGAGATATTGGAGCTCTTAGTGGATCTTTTCCAGCGAATGCCATCACTTTCGTGTGGGGAGTCGCCTAAGGACTTACAAGCCAGGGGTAGTGGTCATGTAGCCTTAAGATCTATCCAAAAGAGAGAGAATCTAGATTAAGACCATAAGCTAGAAGGATTAAGCATATGAAACCTCTAATCTATCCCATCTCAAACCCAATGGGTAACTACTCACTACACATGAATGTAAACACAAGCAAATGCAATAAAAGAGACATCATAAGAAAGAGGAGATGAAATTAAACAACTTTTATTGAAATAAGCAAGTGCAAATACAAAGAGAGATTATCCAGGATCTAGATTCAAGAAGCAAGAGCTTCAAGAACACAAAGATGGGATTAGATCTCTAAAAAGTAAAAGACAATAAATTAAAAGAAACTAAAACAAAATAATCTAAAGCTTGGTGGTTTTTTCGTGGCTTAGAGCCTTTAAATACAAGAGGATTAGGTTTAGGGTCAAAGGAAAGTCAAGGGGGAAGCAACATTTTTCGGGTTTGACTTTGACTTCCAGCTCGATCGAGTTGAAGCTTGGCCGGTCGAGTTGAGGAACTCGACCGGTTGGTCGAGTGGACGGTCGAGCTGGTCTTCAAGATGGCTTCTCCCTTCTTCCTTTGCGTATCCAGTTGAGCTGCTTCCATGTGCCAAGTCCCTCCATGCTCCTATGTCCCATATGCTCCAGAATGCTCCAAAAGACCTATTTCAAAGGACCAAACATGCATATGTATGCAAATGCAACCTAAAACTAACATGAATGCATAAGAAGAGAAAAGGAACAAGATATGATGCAAATGGAAGCTAAAACTATGCAAAAGATGCATAAAAGATGTGCTAAAACTATGTAAAATGCAAGTACATCAACCACCCATAGTCTTTGTAGATCAAAATTCAGATCAATATAAACAGCTCCAGCTAGAGACTCTACAAGGTCAGCAAGAACTTTCGGAGCTTTGACTAATCCACCATAAGCAATTGAATCATCTTCTTTATCCACTGCCTTTGAGAACTCTTTAACCTATGTAATGACACACACACACAAAACTTGATGTGAATATATATCATAAAATATGTTCTCAATCAAACATGATAACTCAATATAATTCTGGTACATCTAAAGATAGTTTAAGCTTTCACTTCAAGAATCAATCTGTTCCAGCCAAAGGTTACAAAGGGCTTTTGAATGTAAAATATATAAAAAATCAACCAAAAACATGTTTTCAAAGGGTTCCTAAATGAAAAAAAAAAAAAACAAAGGGTTCTTGAATGCAAAAATCAACCAAAAACATGTTTTTAAAGGGTTATTGAGTGCAAAAAACTAACTTAAAACAAGTTGTATCACTTAAATTTCAGACTAAAACAGCACAAGATTTGTTACCTTTTCATCTAAGGAAGGAGCATTGCGTCGAAGAAACCGATAGAGCCCGTGGTTGAGTGCGACACGAGCGAGTTTCTCTGTACTAACATTAGCAGCTCTCAACAGAGACAGCTCGCGAGGCTCGATCTTAGGATACGCAAGGTACAAGTAATTCGTGAGAGCCAGACCAATGGCGCTATCGCCTACGAACTCAAGCCGCTCTATTGAGATATGTAGAGGTTAATGGGCCAGAAGGCCTTAATTTCTAGAGAGTGTGCAAGATAAAGTCTCACATCCGAAGTGGAAGGGACCTTAAGCTATATATAAGGGATTGAGGCCTCTCCACTTATTGCCAATTGGTTTTAGGTTGGATGCCAAGGAAACTTAACACGCTCGTACGAAGGAAAGTCGACACAAGAGGTGTGCGATAAGGCTTCCTTCAGAAGACTCTTGTTCACGAAACAGTATTTCACGATCTCCTCCACGGCTTTCATAGACTTCATCTCCGGCGAAAGAGAATGATGAAAACGGTGGATTTCGGCTCGGCGACGATGAGACTGGAAGATAGTTAAACAAATTAGATAATTTACAGCGAGTGATCGCCTGGAAATTGTAGTCCCATGGTGATCGAATGTGATCCAATATCCATGAGAGAATATGATTCTTAAAGCCAAGTCGAAGGGGAGACAAAAGAGTCATTTCTCTATTTGTTGTATTTATTGTATTTCCCAATTTAATTACTTTGACTCTTTTTTTTGGTGAAATTATTACTTTGACTCTTTTCATTGACTAGTTAGTCTTCTATTCTTCTTCAGTAGAAATAAAAAAATGGAAAAAAAAAAGAGTCACAAAAGCATTAAATACACAGTATTTTTAATTTTGGGTCACAAAAACACAAGCTTTTAAAAATTCGTCCGTAAAGGACAAAAAAATTGCCTAAAACCCTAAACTAATTTCATCATCAGTCTTTGGGTCAATGAAGTGTGTGATTTGTTGATATCACGATTGTTGGTGAGCGAAGATCTTAAGGAGTTAACTGAAATTTGCTTCCTTTTCCGTTTCTTCGACGTTTCACTAAAACTAAGAACATGGGGGAATGATTTTGGTTTTGTATTGCGATTCTGTGACTGATTCGTGTATTTGAAATCGTTTTTTTTATATTTTTTCATGAAATTATGAATTCACGTTGTGATTGTAAAATGATCTCCAAGTTTTGTTTGATTGGAAATAGGGTTTCGGTGTGATTGTAGTGTTTCTAGAGAGTTTTTGTTGTAATGTTGGCTAGTTTTAAAGCTGTGTTCCAGACAAATAACTGAACTCCAACACCTTTATTTGTTCATTTATCAATAACATAAAAATCCCAATTTGATCCCTCACTCAGTCACAAGTTACTCTTTAAGAAGACAAAGACAAAACAATTACTCTGTTTCTAAAAAGGACCCATAATCAAACATTTGGGACATTCTTTTTCCCTCTCTTCTTTCCTTTCAACAACGCGTTGTCGCTTAGCTTCTAATGCAGCACCTTCATCAATCATGTCATTAGCATCAGTCTCCATTCCAAGCTTCCAAAGCGCCAAAGCTTGCAAGTAAAACGCAATAGGCAACTCCGGCATGCAAATCTGAGCATGCATTGCATCTCCCAGGGCATCATTCGGTCGACCAATCAGCAAGTAGGAGAAAGCTCGTCTTGCATATACAGTCGCAGATGAAAGAGGCATCATCATCTCCTCCAACTTGTAACAAAAAAAAGATAAAATTTTACGAAGAGGGTTTTTAGATAAAATGCACTAAATCAATCAATCATTGGATTGTGTTATAATTACCTCTGAATAACATTCAATCGCTTTCTTGAAGTTCTTGTTTCTGAAAGCATTGTCTCCGGACCTCTTTGTCTTGAGCATATCTTGCACTTGCTGTGTCCATTCTTGAAATGCAAGCTGTTGAGAGAAATCATTCAAGAAACTGAATAAAAAAAAAAAAAAACAATTAAAGAAATTCAGTTTAAAGATTTGTAGTCTCAAGTACCTCAATCCCTCCTGCTCCTTCCTCATCTCTGTAACCAGTTTTGACCAAAATCTCATGTACAGCAGGGAGGTCTTTTCGCGAACAAGCCTTTCCGAGAGGAGAAAGAACAGTTGGTATGGCCATCAAGACATGAGATGCAACCTAAACACAACCAAAGACAAAAATAATATAAAATCTGCCATTGAAAAGTATTTGAGTATTATTATTATTCTTTGATTCTTGTAAACCTCTTTCTGCTTATGTAGTGGTGCCGCTGAAGAGAGGAGAAATTTGGTATCAGGTCGATCTTTTGGCTCAGGTTGAAGACATTTTGAAACAAGATCAGCAAGTTTATCCACGTCTTCGGTTTCATATTCCCCTTCAAAGTATGAATCCATGAGTACCAACACCTTTTGCTCCCTTATGATATCAAGAGCCTGATATTGAACATTAATCAGATACTCAGCAAAACTGGTAAGAAAATGAAACAAGAAAAGTTGTAAGGGACATTACATGGCTTGGTGGGATGTGTTTGCCGCTCAAGAGTTCTATGAGAAGAGTTCCATAACTGTAAACCACACTTTCAGGAATGACTCTACCTGCAAGAATGGGGAAGATAAACACTTTTAAATTCAACTAAACAAGAAAAGTTTTTTCCTTTTATGTTCTTGAAGTAGATTTTCTGTACCTTGCAAGAACTCAGGTGGAGTATAAGCCAAGTCGGAGCTAAATTTTGTTCCATTTGTACTGTTCTTCATGAGACCAAAAGATGATAGACGAGGATCACCTTCCTCATCAAAGAGGATCCTGTATGCATTCAAATCATGATAAATCTTTCGGTTCTTCATGTTGCAGTAATCAAGTGCCTGTGCAACAAAATCTGCTACTCGCACACGCATTTCCCAAGGAAATGGATGCTCTTCCCCTACACACACACACACACACACAAAGAGAGCATTGATCAAGACTCTAGAGAAAGATCAAAATGGTTTGGAGAAAAGAGGGCATTTTTTTATAGTGAAAAAGATGCTTTGAGAGAGTATCCTTTGGCATATACTCAGCTACCAACAACCTCTCGTCTCCTTCAGCGCAATAACCAATTAGGTTCGCCAATCTGCTGAATCTAAGCTTTCCAACACGTGTCGCCTCCCCCTGAATTTCACAAGTCAAACATTGGCCAACGCAAGATCAACTATTCCAAATTCAGATTCAGACAATGACACTTAAAGATCATACCTTTACTAAGAAGCTGTCTACAGCAATAAAGCTAAAACAGAATCTAACTATTTATTATTACATGTCTATATAATCTAGCCAGAATCCTGGGATACAAGTAGCTTTAGCAACCTAAAGTTACATACTTTTTCTTCATTTCAATAGCTACAAGACAGAGATGAGCTTATTCTCTGGTCAAGACTCAAGATAGACACTAGCTCATGTCTTGACTGGTCAGTGATGAGCAATGAACATATTGTAAAAATCTCAAATTTTGAATCGACCCTTTTTATAAAGATTATTACCACAAAGTGCTTAGCATCAGGCCAGGACTGTGTAGAGAATTTCTTGATGGCGACCATACGATTGTCTTCCAGCTTTCCTCTGTAAACCACATTGGCAGCTCTCTCTCCATCTTCAGAGACAATGAAACTGGGACTAAACCCATTTGTCACATTCCACAATTCACTTAGACGAAACTTTCTGAAACCTGGACATTGGTACTCCTCATACACTTGGTCCTCATTTTCTGCAACCACAAGAACAGAACATCAAGTCCCCAAAAGGTCTAAACTTTCCACCTCTCCCTGATTTGAAACCTAACTTACTCTAAACCCATCAAGAAGTTACAGATAAAGACAACTCAAATCTACACAGATAAGCAAACACAACGCAGGAGAAACAAAAACAGATTACAGATGAAAGTTTGAGAGCATGCCTGATTCTGGTTCGTTCGGAACTAATGGATCATTAGGAGAAGGACGATTAGCACGTTTTGATTGAACACAACCCTTTCTCTCTGTTCTCTTTCTTTCTCTCAGCGTCGCATCAACAAGATACAAAAAAACACGTCAGATTTTCCTGAGAAAAGAATAGAAATTTGGATGGGAAACAGGAAGCAAGAATGTTTATGTATGCCGGAGGATTTGAGAGAGGATTGTGTTTGTCCCCTCAGGAGAGTGAGTTTGAATTTTTATTTGGGTTTTTGGATTATGTGAAGGAGATGCAGAGAAAGTATATGATGAGTAGAGGGGGAATGTAGTATAAGAGTTCCGACAAAAAGAAAAAAAGACAAAATTTTGTAAAGAAAAATATATTACTATATGTATTTTTCGTTTTTCTAATTGTGGAGATTACAAAGAGATAGAAATCCTATGACAGTGATATTTTCAACCAATCATCTTCCAGTTTACTAGTTTTTCCAATTGCTGTTTCCTTATTGGTATTACACACAACTGTATTTCAGTATTTGCCTATCTGGATATGCATTTTAATAAGATTTTTTTGTTTTAAAGGCATTTTAATAGGATTATATGCACACTATGTTAAGAAGTTAATATATAGTGACAGAGTGTCATCAAATGAAATAAAGTAGAGAAGTTCATATAGAATTAACGAAGAGATAACTCAACCAAAAAAAAAAAAAAAAAAATTGGTTGATACATCCTAGATCCTAATAGCAGCTGAATAGATATTTGAGTTACAGTCATAAACAGTGTCGTGCCTAAATAGAAAACCTTGTAAGTATGGCTAGAAAAGTTTGTGTTGCTCTTGTTCACTGTGCCGTCTCAGTCACGTTTCTTCCCCGTTCTCGCATCACGTTTCAAGATCTAGCAAAGTACTACGTATATACTCGCATAGTTTAGTCAGATATCTGCAAGGACTTGAGAAGCTTGTGTCCTGCATGTACACACGATGTAACTCCATGCCACCTCTTGTAACTAGCTCTGTGGAAGAGTGACGATGGAAAAGGAACGAATTAACATTCCTATTATCCTTGGTAGAAATTTGAATACTCAGACACTAGATGTAGAAAATTACTAGCGTCAGATTCAAAGGGAAAAAGAGGAAGGAGAGTGATGGAAGCTCACGAGAAATCGCTCGTGCCAAGTCAATTTGTGGACGTGTGGAGGAGGGAAGCGATGAAGGTAAGACGATTTCCTTGAGATTGTAACGAATGTAATCGAACCATGCATCAAGCAATAACGTCGAGAAAAAGAAAAAAAAAATTATGGAAGCTGGTTCTCAATTTGGTACGACTTCTTTGTCATGACAAATGAGAAGCGCCAGGAAAAAACAAACCGGAAAGAGAACAAAATGTGCTGGTACGTGGTTTATTAGCTTAGTTATGGGAGCATTGTTTATATGAATATTATTTGATTTGTGAGTTTTAAAAGCTCAGTTTTACTAGAACCATATATTGTACGTTCATTTTGTTCTATATTCTTCAATGAGAACATTTACTAATCAAATCTCAAATCGTAAAGCCCGTCAGAGATAATCTTATAACTTAGTAATTTTATATCTACTATGTTTGAAGCCCCGCGCAAGAGCGGAGTTGTTTGCAATAGTTTTCTATTTAGTTTTATCTATACTTGTTGATTTGAATTATGATGGTTTTGTATTAACTTTCATGTTTTTTTGTTTATGTTTTTAGTTAATCCAATCACTAACATTAAAAATATGAACAATTTATTTTATTTTATTAGGATGTTAATACTCCCACTTTATCTCGAGTTTTCTGTTTCTAAAATTTTAGCATGTTATAAATATTATGTTTGTTTTCTTCTGTTAGATATAAACATGCATATGCATTGAACTCAACGTTAAAATTTGTAAGCATAATGTAAAATAGCATTTGGACCCAAAATAAGATGAAATTTTTTCTTTTTTTTTTACATATCTACTTTGTTGTGGTAGCATATGAGCCTTATAACCATTGATTATTTTCTATTATGTTAGTTTTGTAAATATTAATTATATTTTGAGACAAACATATCACAATCCTTAAAATTTTCATGTTTTTCACTGCAATTAAATTTACATATAAAAACTCGACTTCTATTTTTTTTTTTAAAACTCTAACTCTAATTTCTCATTGGCTTTTTATTATCTTAATAATAATTTATTATGCAAAGCTCTAACTTAAATAAAATGGCGATTTTTGCGATCGAAAAGGCGATTCGGCAGTTTCTCACCACTTTGGTGACGGTTGTTGATGTTTTCGCCGGAGAAGTGGGAATTTTGGAGGATTTGCTCCACTACTCGGCGGTTATACCCACGTTGGGATCCTCTACTCAACGTGATGCAGTTTCCTCAACGGATTTCGGAGAGAAGAGATTATATAAATGGCGAACTGGAGACCCATCTTCACCATCAATCTCAAGCAATCTATTCTCAAATCTCTTATTTCCTTTCCGATTTTACGATTCTCGTTGTAAAATGGCGGATAACATTCGTCGTCAGATCCAAGATCTAGATTTGGGAGCCATGGATGAACCAATCCTCCTCCCTGTGGATGTGGTTGAGCAAGCGGCTGCGGAGAACCGATTCATTCTCATTGGCCGACCAACAATGCCAAGACGTCAAATCCTGCGTTCAATCATTGCGGTTCTGCCACGAATCTTGATGAGGACATCGACCCAAACATTGACCCGGATCAGACCGATGCTGAGGAGCCGGTCACAATACCAGTCTTGAGGAGATCACCAAGAACTAGAGCCGGACTTATAAGTGTAAGAGAAGAGTTCAACCAGTCCATCGAAGGTTTGATCACTCTCATGGAGCATGAAGAACTCAAGGAGACGCTACTCACAACTGAGATATCACAAGAAACTCCACGATTGAATCAAGAGGCTAAAGAGACTGACCAAGATGACCCTCACACCACAAGAAGAGCTCAAGAACAACTCAAGATCTCATCAACACCTTTCTTGCCGGTTTTACAAGGAACCAAGGAGACAACCGTGTTCATCATCACCAAGCAAGTGGAAGCTCTTCCATAGAGCCTAAGGTATGCGTTTACATATGGTTATGATTCACGAGTTTCTTGTTTGTTTTGCAGGATTTTTATTTAAGTTTTACTTAGTCTATTTTTTCGTTTAAACTTGCTTGCACGCAAGATTTTTAGTACTTTCCATATTTGAAATCTTGTATTCATTATTTGGCCAAGAAGCCCCCAGCTGCTGGACTATTTATAAAGTCCCTTCAGCTATGTATCTTTTACAATTATCAATAAAGAGAAACACGTTTTTGCCTTTGCAAAGAACCCTAGCCGCCGGCTAAACCCTCTTCTTCCTGTGAGTGTGATTCTCTTGGAGGCTGAGTTTGACTTATCACAAAGCTATCATACTTTGTGTGGCGTCCATCGATCCCCTGGTTACTTATCATTCCATTCATCCACTGATCTGTTAAAGAGAGCTGTACGGCCAGTTGCCTGATCCCACCTTGTTCCCCAAGTCATTCCATTCCCTCGTCGCTTGATTACTCTAGAGAGAGCCGTACGGCCAGCTAGAGATTCACCATCTCCCGTCCATATAGAGCACCCCCCATCCGTGCCTATATCAAATCTGGAACCGACCCAACGTTCATGGCCGTATCATCGATGGCGGACGATTCCAGTTCATTTTTCCGTCGGAGGAATCGATGGAGACGGTGTTGAGAAACGGTCTGTGGGCTTTCGCGGAACGTATGGTGGTTCTGCAACGTTGGACACCGTACATGATGCCGGATATGTTGAACTTTATCCCATTCTGGATCCAAATTCGGGGAATTCCTCTCCAGTTTATGAACCAGGATGTGATAGCTCACATAGGCCGTGCGATGGGGCTACTGATGGATGTCGATTACAATGCAGAGGCGATTGCTAGGGTTGAATATGCCCGTGTGCGATTGAATTTGGATGTAACGCAGCCTTTGCGTTTTCAGAAAAAAATTTCAATTCACACAGGGAATCAACACGCTGCTGAAGTTTCGCTATGAGCGGTTGAGAGGCTTTTGCGAGGTGTGTGGTATGCTCTCACACGACTCTGGGGCGTGTCTGATCCGAAATGGGGGCCCTGATCCCCACTCTGATGATGAGAATGAAGAACCCGACCACAGCGACAGTGAGGAGCATGATCGTAGAGGCTTACCAAATGGTGGTATGGGTTTGGAGATTCTACCTCACAATGCAGGTGTGGTGGCTAATGGTAATCCGGGACCTGTCGGAGCCAGAATTGAGGAGATTGTGGAGGAAGATGAAGTGGCTCCCGATGGAGAAGAAAGTGAAGATGTTGAGAGTTTCCATAGTGAAGAGATGGATTCCGATGGGTGTTTTCCGGGAGAGATGAAGACGGATGAAGCAGAAGAGCGTGATGCAAAAGAGAAGGAACTCCGCAATGCTGTTACTCCCGTTCAAGAGAGTCTCAAACGAAAATTTGAGGATGACCCGAAGAGTGGTGAAGAGAGCTTTACGAGGATGGAAAGAGGTCAGAGTAGTGGTGTTGTCAAGAAGAGGGCAGCGAACAAGGAAGGTGTGTGTGGCGAGGTGGGCCCTGAACCACCACTGGCGCCATGAGGACAACCTGTTGGAACTGTCGAGGTTTAGGCAATGTCTCGACGGTTCGACGCCTAAAAGAGATAAATCAAAAATATCTCTTGGACATCATTTGTCTATTTGAGACGAAGCAGAGTGACGACTATATGAGGGATTTGGGGTGTGAGTTAGGGTTCTTAAATTATGTAACAGTTCCTCCTGTTGGGCGTAGTGGTGGGTTAGCTTTGTTCTGGAATCAGTCTGTCAATCTTTCAGTAGATTTCCTTTCTCCTAATCTTGTAGATTGTTATGTTCAATGCAATGGTTTCAGTTTCTACTTGTCGTTTGTTTATGGTCATCCTGAAACTCGACTACGGAACGATCTATGGGAAAGATTAGAGAGATATGGCACCACTCGAAGAGAGCCGTGGTTTATACTTGGAGATTTTAATGAGATTTTGGGGAATCATGAAAAGGTTGGGGGAAGAGTTAGACCTGAAGTTTCCTTTCACGACTTCAGAAGGATGGTTAGAACCTGTGCGTTTACGGATCTTAAGTCCATTGGTGATCGGTTCTCATGGGCAGGTCAGAGAGGAGATCACTATGTCTCTTGTTGTTTGGATCGCACAATGGCTAACAGTGAGTGGCATCTACAATTTCCTAGTTCTGAGACGCACTTTCTAGAGCTTGGAGAATCGGATCACAGACCTTTAGTTACCTTTATAGAAGACACAACAGAGGAGAGAAAGGGAATGTTTATGTATGATTCACGGTTGCATAATAAGGAAGGTTTTCAGGAAGCTGTACTATAGGGATGGGGTAGTGAGAGAGGAGAAATCAGATCAGATGCTACTCTGTCTTCACGATTAAAGCAGTGTCGTTCTAAGATTTCGAGATGGAAAAGAAACAACCGAACCAATGCTAAAGAAAGAATCATGTTGCTCAGACATCAGTTGGATAAAGCCATGAGTTCACCTAGATCTTCTACGCGGGAACGAAATCGACTGAGAAGTGAATTGAGCCAAGCTTATTCAGAAGAAGAGGCTTATTGGAAGCAAAAAAGCAGAAATAATTGGCTTCAATCAGGTGATAGGAATACAAAGTTTTTCCACTCGGTAACAAAAACAAGACGCATCCGCAACAATTTGGCTTCTATTATGGATGATAATGGAGCTCTTCACAGAGGGGACAAGAATATTGGTTCTGTGGCTGAACAATATTTTCAAAAGTTGTTTTCGTCTGAAGCTGGAAATACAGAGTTGTATGAGAAAGTGTTTGATGGGTTTCAAGAGAGAGTTTCATCAGAGGTTAATAGAGACTTAACAAGGCCAGTGACAATACCAGAAATTGAAGAAGCAGTTTTTGCTATTGGACCACATCGAGCACCAGGACCCGACGGATTTTCTGGAGCCTTTTTCCACCAGTTTTGGGGCAGTATCAAGCAAACGATAATTAAGGAGATCCAACTCTTCTTCGAGTGTGGAATTTTGGATCCGATACACAATCAAACTAATATTTGTTTGATTCCAAAAGTCTCTCCTCCATCTTCCATGACTGATTTTCGGCCTATATCTTTGTGCAACGTAAGTTATAAGATCATCTCCAAGATTTTGGTAGGCAGGCTCAAACGGCATCTCTCTGGTATAATCTCTGAGAACCAAGCAACGTTCATACCGGGACGCATGATCACTGACAATGTGATTATAGCCCATGAGATGTATTATGCTTTGAAATCAAGGAAGCGACAAGCTAAATCTTACATGGCCCTGAAGACGGATATGACAAAGCTTATGATAGGCTTGAATGGAGTTTTTTGGAAACTACAATGAAGCGTATGGGATTTGACGAGAAATGGGTCCAGTGGATAATGACTTGCGTGTCAACAGTGAGTTTCCAAGTTTTGATTAATGGTTCACCTCGGGGTACAATTAGACCAGAGCGAGGGATACGACAGGGTGATCCTCTCTCTCCCTATTTGTTTATTCTTTGTGCTGAGGTACTTTCTCATATGATGACTCAAGCGGGAGTAGAAAGGAAAATACAAGGCTTACAACTTGGTCAGGGTTGCCCGAAGATAAATCATCTTCTGTTTGCAGATGATTCACTATTTTTTTCTTTGGCTAATCAAAAATCGGCAAAGGGGATCCAATAAGTTTTAGGCATTTATGAAAAGGTGTCAGGTCAAACTGTTAATCTACGTAAATCAGCAATAACCTTTGGAGCTTTGGTGAGACCACAAGTGAAACGTCATATGAGAAGAATCCTAGGTATCCACAATGAAGGAGGAGGAGGTAAATATCTTGGGATCCCGGAGCAGTTTGGATCAAAAAAAACAGAGATGTTTCAGTATTTGGTGGATAAGTCAAAGAAAGAACACAAGGATGGCACAAGAGATTATTATCTACAGGAGGAAAAGAGGTACTTCTCAAATCTGTTGCCCTTGCTATGCCGGTTTATGCTATGAATGTTTTCAAACTACCAGTTGGAATTTGTGAGGAGATAAATGGTGTTTTGGCTAAGTTCTGGTGGAACAACAATGAAGATAGGAAAGGGATGCATTGGTTTGCTTGGAAACGACTATGTCTATCAAAAAAGGAAGGAGGACTCGGGTTTAGAGACATAGAGAGTTTCAATTTGGCGCTTCTCGGGAAGCAGGCTTGGCGGTTATTACAGAAACCGGAATGTTTGATGGCAAGGGTAATAAGAGGAAGATATTATAGTGATGGTAATATCCTGACGGCTAGAGTGAAGAAGAAGAGCTCCTTTATTTGGAAGTCCATACTGCAGGGACGTGATTTAATGAAAAAAGGAATGAGGTTTGTAATTGGCGATGGGAGTATAGTGAGTGCTTGGATTGATCCGTGGTTGCCGACACATCCACCTAGAGCACCGATTCCTCGAAGTAAAATTTTCAACATTGTTTCTTAAAAGATTGGTTTAATTCGTCAAAATCAGGTTGGAATGAAGACATCATCAGAGAGGTAGTGTGTGACGCTGATATTCCATTGGTTTTAGCTACAAGGATTTGTTCCCGAGCTACATATGACATGGTTGGTTGGCATTACAACAAAAACGGTATCTATTCTGTTAAGTCTGCATATTGGTTAGCCACACATCTTCCAGAGTTTCAAGTTATTGAATCACCATCAAGCAACATGGTTCTCAATAAAGCGATTTGGAAAATCAGTACGGCTCCTAAGATCAAGCATTTTATTTGGAAGATAATTTCGGGTTCCTTGTCTACTAAGGAAACTTTGAAGAGGCGACATATTATCAGAGATTCAACTTGTCTAAGATGCTGTCAACAGGAAGAAACAGCAAGTCATTTATTGTTTGAATGTCCATATGCTCAACAGGTCTGGAGAGGAAGTGGTTTAGCGGTTCTCAATTTGGCTGATCCTATGATTCCTTTGGAGGAAAAACTGGAGACTCTGTTTTTGGATCGTGCACTAACCTCATTTGAGAAGAATTTCCAAACAGTATTATGGTTATTATGGAGGCTTTGGAAGAGTAGAAACAGTTTGGTCTTTCAGAGAAGATCGATCCATTGGAGATCACTTATCAGATATGTGAATAGAGATGTAATGGAATTTTTAAACACCCAAGAGCTAATGCAAGGGATTTTTCCAATCGGAAATGGAGGGAGTCGGCCTAATCGGACCCCAGAAGGAAAATGGAGACCGCCACCAACAGGTTGGGTTAAATGCAACTATGATGGAGCTTTTCACAACCGAGATGTAAGCTCAAATGCAGGATGGATAATTCGGGATGAGAATGGAACCTACAAAGGATCAGGTCATGCTACGGACAACAAACCGAATTCTGCTTTGGAGGGTGAGTTACAAGCCTTGATTATTGCGATGCAACAAGCATGGATTAAGGGACATCGGAAGGTGATTTTTGAAGGAGATTGCAAGGAAGTTATTGATTTGGTCAATCGAGTCACTCTAAATTTTGGAGTCTACAACTGGATCAGAGAAATCTGGTTCACTCTAAATTTTGAAGAATAAATTTGAAGATACTCGTTTTGAGTGGGTGACGAGGGAAGGAAACAAAGCTGCTGATACTTTAGCAAAAAGAAGGACAATGCAAATGTCCATGTTTTATCTTAATATCCCTTTCTTCCTTATCGATGTAATTTACAATGACTCTTTGGCTTCAAATTAATATATTATGTTCAGAGGAAAAAAAATAATAATAATTTATATTCAACTTTTTAACTTGTAAACATATTATAATATTTTGAAATAGGATAAATTCTTTTAATAAAAAGGTAAATATATACTATTTCAAATTACATATATTTTTACTTATATTCAAATTTTTTGATAAATTTTAACATCAAGTTATCACATACTTTATATTAATTAAGTAATTTAGTTGTGTATTTTTCTTAGTTTATTTATATTTAAAATATAAATATATGCAAAGAAATATGAAAAGTCATATATTAAATATCTTAAAAATAATTTAATGAATTTTTTGTGCTGATGTGGACACTCTATATGGAGAGAGCAACTCCCTAATTATATATAAGATTGCCTCTGTAACATACATAAACCAAAAATTGGGAATTTTGTCGGTTCAATTTAAGTGAATTTGGTTTGGGTCGGTTTAGTGGAGAAAGCCCTAAAATCAAGTTTAAAGAGTGCAGCCGTCTTCTCTTTGGAGAATTTTCGAGTTCAGGCTGCAGAGGAGAAAAGTGAGTTTTTGGAGAGATTTTCGAGTTTTACTGTTCATCATCGGTACTGTTCATCGTCAGGATTCGCACTGTTCATTGTCTTTCCTTCAGTTTCAATCATTGTCAAGGTGAGTGCATGACTGTGGGTCCGTGATTTGCTAGATTAGATTTGGTTTGTGGTTGTTCTTGATGAGTTTATGTTTTAATTGTTATTTTTATGATATTTTGGTTGTTTATGTGATGAATTGTGTGTTTGTGTGGTTTAATCTGGTTTATTGAATTAATTGATTTAATTGGTTTATCTTGGTTTAAATTGATTTAATTCTGGTTAATTGGTTAATTGAATTAAAATGTTTTAATTCAAATTGTTTGATTTATTTTCGGATTTAATTAATTAATGGTTAATTTAATTAATTAATTGATTTAAAATAATTATTTTAATTATTTTAAAATATGGAAAATTATTATTTAATTATGAGAATTATTTAATAATTGAGAAATTGAGTTTTAATTATTAAAATTATTTAATAATTGGAAAATGGTATTTAATAATTATTGGAGTTTATAAATATTATTAAATATCTAGTAAATTGCGTAAATGGCTCGTAGGCAGAGTGATTGCCTCACTAAGTATTTATTAAATACTTACGCAACTCCATTCCAATGTGTTGCAGGTAAAAGATTTGTGTGATCGCGGAATCAAGGCTGAAGAGGGGGATGATAGGATGTTTACTGTTTTATTGTTTTGCATTATTTTGCTAGACTTGTTTAATTATTATTTGCTTCCGCTGAGCTGATTTATTTGTTATTGATATTTTATTTATTTAATTTATTTTAAAGACCTTCGCTAGAATTGATTAGTATTTATTATTAAAAAAAAAATGTTGGTTGTTTCATTTTGGTATCAGAGCCTAGACGGTTTTAGGACTGTTAGAATTGCTAGGCTTTAGTATCATCCCCTTCAGCTACAAGAGATTCCGCGGTGAGTTTATGTTTGTTTTGAGTTTTGGTTGCGTGTTCTAGTGTGCTCTTTTCGGTTCCATGAGTGAGATGGACTGAGTAGCTAGAGGTTGTGGCGCGAGAGGGCGCGGTGCTGAGGCCGTGGTGGCAGAGCTAGAGGCCGTGGAGGCCGGGGCCGAGATTGTGGACTTCGGCGGATTCGGGAGAGAGTGTGGTGCCGAGTGTGGCGACTGCGTCGGTGACCCAGTCGGTATCCGTGGCGAGTGAGGCCAGTGTGGATGCGAGTGTTGGTTTGGGAGCGGGGGCTGCTCCGGGTTGGGGTGGTGCTCCGGCTCAGGGTCTTGATGACTTAGTGGTGGGTTTGCTGACGCAGTTATTGGCTCGTTTTCCGCCAGTGGTTCCACAGGGGCTCCGGGAGTACCTCCAGTGGCAGAGGTGCAGCAGAGGGCTGCGGGATTTGTTCAGCCGCAGGCTGTGGGTTTGATGGTGCCGTCCTATTTGGATATGTTGGGGCACATGCAGAGGATTGGTACGCCGTACTTTGAGGGCGGAGTTAGCCCAGAGGCGGCAGATGAGTGGCGTCAGAGATTGGAGCGGAATTTCCAGTCTATCAGATTTCTGGTTTAGTACCAGGTTGAGTTGGCAGTCCACTATCTGAGTGGAGATGCACATTTGTGGTGGCGGGCCATCGAGGGCATAATGGTTGTTGTTGTTGTGTGTTGTTCATTTATCTGTGATAAATTGTGAGGTTCTCAACGCATGTGTTTCGTAATGACCTTGTTAGTGGGCGGTTTTGAGTCCCACGTTTTATTCGACTCTGGAGCATCGAATTGCTTCATTACACCGGAGCGTGCCGAGAAGAGTGGCATCCGGAGTAGCGCGGGCGAGAGCGCGGGCATGGTCAAGGTGGCGGGAGGTGGATTCTTGTCTACTTTGGGCCGTGCTAGAGGAGTCGAGATCGAGATTGCGGGGCAGTCAATGCCAGCAGACTTAGTCATCAGTCCGGTGGAGCTGTATGACGTTATTCTCGGGATGGACTGGTTGTCACACTACAGAGTTCATCTGGATTGCTACAGAGGTAGAGTGGTCTTCGAGCGAGATGCAGGGAGGTTGGTTTATCAGGGAGTGAGACCGACTTCCGGGAGTATTGTGATATCTGCTATTCAGGCCGAGCAGTTGTTAGAGCGGGGCTGTGAGGCGTATCTGGCGACGATTTCTATGTCTGAGTCAGGAGCTGGAGTTGTTATGGGAGATATTGAGGTTGTCCAGGATTTTGAGGATGTCTTTCAGTCACTGAAGGGATTACCACCATCTCGGTCTGATCCTTTCACGATTGAGTTAGAGCCGGGGACAGCACCGATATCGAAGACGCCTTACAGGATGGCGCCAGCTGAGTTGGCAGAGCTGAAGAAGCAGATAGAGGACCTTTTGTCTAAGGGGTTCATTCGACCGAGTGTTTCACCGTGGGGAGCACCGGTGTTGTTTGTGAAGAAGAAGGATGGAGTTTCAGACTTTGTATCGATTACAGAGGTCTTAACCGAGTCACTGTGAAGAACAGGTACCCACTCCCGAGGATTGATGAGTTGTTGGATCAGTTGAGGGGTGCTACTTGGTTCTCCAAGATTGACTTGGCATCGGGGTATCATCAGATCCCGATAGATGAGGCAGATGTCAGGAAGACTGCTTTCAGGACGCGTTATGGGCATTTTGAGTTTGTGGTTATGCCTTTCGGTTTGACTAACGCGCCGGCAGCCTTCATGAGATTGATGAACGACGTGTTCAGGGAGTATTTGGACGTGTTCGTCATCATTTTCATTGATGATATTCTGGTATACTCGAGGAGTCAGGAGGAGCATGCGACTCACTTGAGGTTGGTTCTGGAGAAGCTTCGGGAGCAGAAGCTTTTTGCTAAGTTGAGCAAGTGCAGTTTCTGGCAGCGAGAGATGGGATTTCTTGGCCACATTGTTTCTGCAGAGGGAGTTTCTGTGGATCCGGCTAAGATTGAGGCTATCAGAGATTGGCCTAGACCTAGTAGTGCCACCGAGATCAGGAGTTTTCTGGGTTTGGCAGGATACTACAGGAGGTTCGTCAAGGGGTTTGCTACCATGGCGCAGCCGATGACGAAGTTGACCGGGAAGGATGTCCCGTTTGTTTGGTCAGCTGAGTGTGAGGAGAGCTTTAGTCAGCTCAAGGAGATGTTGACTACTACACCAGTGTTGGCGTTACCCGAGCCAGGGAAGCCTTACATGGTGTATACAGATGCTTCAGGCATTGGTCTTGGTTGTGTGCTGATGCAGGAGGGCAGAGTGATAGCATATGCTTCGAGACAGTGGCAGGGCAGTGAGCGTAACCGTCCTACACATGACTTAGAGTTGGGAGCAGTGATCTTCGCGTTGAAGATTTGGAGGTCTTACTTGCTAGGTGAGACAGTACAGGTCTTCACGGATCACAAGAGTTTGCAGCATATCTTCACTCAGCCGATGATGAACGCGAGACAGACGCGCTGGGTTGAGTTCTTGGCGGACTATCAGGTGAGCATTAACTACCATCCGGGCAAGGCTAACCTAGTGGCGGACGCGTTGAGTAGACGGAGGTATGATTCCGCAGTTGAGCGAGATGTGGAGTCTCTAGTTGGCGAGATCAGTACCTTGCGTTTGTGTGCCATTTCGCAGGAGCCTTTGGGTTTAGAGGCAGTGGATCAGGCGGATCTACTTAGCAGGATCAGAGTTGCTCAGCAGAGTGATCAGAGTTTGCTAGATGCGACGAGAGTGACTGGTTCTGAGTATGAGGTCTCTGCGAATGGGACTATCTTGGTTCGTGGGCGAGTTTGTGTGCCTAAGGATGTGGAGTTGAGACATCAGATTTTGGGAGAGGCTCACGCGAGCAAGTTTTCCATTCATCCGGGAGCGACCAAGATGTACCATGACCTCAAGAGGTACTATCATTGGGTCGGGATGAAGAGGGATGTAGCAGACTGGGTTGCGAAGTGCAACACTTGTGCCTTGGTGAAGGCAGAGCATCAGGTTCCGGGTGGTCTTTTGCAGAGTTTACCCATTCCAGAGTGGAAGTGGGACAGGATTACGATGGATTTCGTGGTTGGACTACCTGTTTCGAGGACTTTCGATGCTATCTGGGTGATTGTGGATCGGTTGACTAAGTCCGCACATTTCTTGGCCATCAAGAAGACAGATGGAGCTGCTGTCTTGGCTAGGAAGTTTGTGCGAGAGATTGTGAGGCTGCATGGAGTGCCAGCTAGTATTGTGTCAGACCGTGATCCCAGATTCACTTCAGAGTTTTGGAGGGCGTTTCAGGCAGAGATGGGCACTAAGGTGCATCTGAGTACAGCTTATCATCCGCAGACAGATGGTCAGTCAGAGAGGACTATTCAGACTTTGGAGGATTTGCTGAGGATGTGTGTGTTGGATTGGGGTGGCCATTGGGCAGATCACCTGAGCTTAGTTGAGTTTGCATACAACAACAGCTTTCAGGCGAGTATTGGCATGGCTCCATTTGAGGCTTTGTATGGGAGGCCATGTAGGACACCCCTATGCTGGACCCAAGTGGGGGAGCGCAGCATGTATGGAGCTACTTATGTTCAGGAGACGACAGAGAAGGTTCGTGTTGTGAGGCTGAACATGAAGGAGGCTCAGGATAGGCAGAAGAGTTATGCAGATAGACGCAGACGAGAGCTTGAGTTTCAGGTGGAGATAGAGTTTATCTCAAGATGGCTATGTTGAGGGGTCCTAAGACCATCTCCATCCCTAGAACCAAAATTTTGGTTTTAAAACATTTTCTATTAATATTTTTCACACAAATCTATCTTAAAAACTTTTGTGTGGGTTGTTAATCTTTTTCTTCCTCCGCTAAAACCTTGTACATGGTTCTTAGGAAAAAAAAAGTTAAATTTTTTGAATATTCACAACACTGTCTTACGAACTGCTGTTTGGTTGGCTTCACCATCCAGCATGTTGTGAAGCTTCGTGATGATCTAACCTTTTTGCAAATAAAGACTTTGTTAACCTCGCTATATGAATCATAAGGTTGGTCATCATGTACAGAATCAGGTCCTATGCTCTTCCCATCATCTTCCATGTCATCATCTTCATCCTCACAAGGATTAAGCACACTCTTGACCTGCAAAAGATTATCCCCAATGGAATTGACACTGTAAGACTGGAATTGACCTGTCACTAAATTATGAAATTCACAACACCTAGAAGTCAGAGTTTTCACACGAAAGAAGCTCTACTCAAACTGCAATAAGATCATAATAAAACCAACAAGGTTAATATAATGGATTCGATAAATGAAAAAGTCTAAATGTTGATCAAATATAAACCTAAACTTGCACACAAGCAAGAGAACAATAGAACCTTTCAAAAACCATTTTACATAACCTTATGAAAAATTAAGCTCGTTCTCAGTCTCTGCATCTTCCCAAATCGAAAACACATACACCCAAAACAATCTCAATCAAACACATAGAAATCAAAACACAAATCATTTGCATCAAACAATCTTAACCAAACACAAACAAAAGCTATATTTTCAAGGTGTAAAGAGGACAAAAATACAATCAATTGTATAGATTTTCAAGTCAGAATCTCAAGAGACAAAATCACATACAGTCCAAAACGAAATCACATGCAAGAAATACCAAAACCATGATAAGAGAAGACAGAAGAGACTTAGCTTTCCTGATCAGCGTCCAAGGAGATCCACAAGCGCAGAAGAATCAGAAAAGGCGCAAATCGTGACCGGAGATTGGAGGCTGAGAAACAGAGAGATATAGATAGAGAGAAACAGTGACGGAGACAAAGATTAGCAAAACGGAGCGAGAAAGAGAGACACGAAGATCATCCTTTCTGTTCACAGGTCGGACGGAGACTGATCGACGACAAGAAATCGGGAAGAATGGATTTGCATTGTGGAGAGTAAGAGAAAAAAAGAGAAAAAAATGAGTTTTTTTTTTCTCAACCCGTGAATGACCGTGGACATGACACGAGTGTGCTCGGTTTTTAATTTAACAACAGAGTCTTGTGTAGGACTCGGTTTTAGATTAATAATTTATTAAATCTTTATTTTTGTGTGCATTTAAGTTAAAAACCATCTTTAAATCTCCGGATGGAGATGCCCTAACAGATCCATAGCAGAGAACAAGCTGAGTCCGCGTTTTATGGGGCCGTTTCCAGTAGTGGAACGAGTTGGACCATTGGCGTACAGGCTGGAGTTGCCTGAGATTATGAGAGCCTTTCATAAGGTTTTTCATGTGTCGATGCTGAGGAAGTGTCTTCACCCTACAGAGGAGTTGGTGGCTAGGATTCCAGAGGATCTTAGGCCAGATTTGACAGTGCCGGCAGTGCCTGTGAGGATTTTAGAGAGGAGGGAAAAGGTTCTGAGGAACAAGAGGATTCCCTTACTGAGGATTTTGTGGGATTGCAGTGGTTCTACAGAGGAGACTTGGGAGCCAGAGGCAAAGATGAAGTTGAAGTTCAGGAAGTGGTTCGACAAGCAGGTCGAGGAGTGAGCTTATTTCATCTTTGTAGCCTCAGTTGTTGTTTTGGCTTTGGTGTTATTGTATTTTCGTTTTGTTGTAACGATATACATTTTTGAGATTTATGAGATGCAGTTTTTCCTCATTTTGCCTTGTGTTGTTTAAGTGGTATTTCGGATGTTACAAGTGTTTGACCAGTCGGTCGTGAGACAGTTCTAATTCTATTGTTATAGATGTCTTGGAATTTTTACTCTAAGGATTGCGATCCTGAATAACTCATTACGGTTTTGGAGACAGTGGTTCTCTGGCAGACTCATCTGAGTGTAGTGGCCTCAGTATGAGTGACTTAGCTGAGTGTAGTGGCCTCAGTATAAGTCGTGGCTGACTTATTTGGGTGTAGTGGCCCCAGTATAAGCAGCGGTTGGCAAGCCCCTGGGTGTAGTGGCCCCAGTTTGGGTAGGTGCAGACTTGTTTGGGTGTAGTGGCCCCAATACAAGTGGTTTGAGGTGATGAGTTAAGAGTAAAGATGTCTAGAGACGGGCGTATGACATAAGATTATGAGAGTCTCGGGGATCAGGTGAGGATCTCCGGTGTTGTGGCCTTGCGAGGTCGGTCTTTGTGACGTTTGTGTTGGGATTCGAGGTCGAATCCAGTTTAGTGGGGGAGAGTTGTAACATCCATAAACCAAAAATTGGGAATTTCGTCGGTTCAATTTAAGTGATTTGGTTTGGGCCGGTTTAGTGGAGAAAGCCCTAAAATCAAGTTTAAAGAGTGCAGCCGTCTTCTCTTTGGAGAATTTTCGAGTCAAAGGCTGCAGAGGAGAAAAGTGGAGTTTTTGGAGAGATTTTCGAGTTTTACTGTTCATCGGGGGTACTGTTCATCGTCGGGATTCCGCACTGTTCATTGTCTTTTCCTTCAGTTTCAATCCATTGTCAAGGTGAGTGCATGACTGTGGGTCCGTGATTTGCTAGATTAGATTTGGTTTGTGATTGTTCTTGATGAGTTTATGTTTTAATTGTTATTTTTATGATATTTTGGTTGTTTATGTGATGAATTGTGTGTTTGTGTGGTTTAATCTGGTTTAATTGAATTAATTGATTTAATTGGTTTATCTTGGTTTAAATTGATTTGATTCTGGTTAATTGGTGTAATTGAATTAAAATGTTTTAATTCAAATTGTTTGATTTATTTTCGGATTTAATTAATTAATGGTTAATTTAATTAATTAATTGATTTAAAATAATTATTTTAAAATATGGAAAATTATTATTTAATTATGAGAATTATTTAATAATTGAGAAATGAGTTTTAATTATTAATAATTATTTAATAATTGGAAAATGGTATTTAATAATTATTGGAGTTTATAAATATTATTAAATATCTAGTAAATTGCGTAAATGGCTCGTAGGCAGAGTGATTGCCTCACTAAGTATTTATTAAATACTTACGCAACTCCATTCCAATGTGTTGCAGGTAAAAGATTTGTGTGATCGCGGAATCAAGGCTGAAGAGGGGGATGATAGGATGTTTACTGTTTTATTGTTTTGCATTATTTTGCTAGACTTGTTTAATTATTATTTGCTTCCGCTGAGCTGATTTATTTGTTATTGATATTTTATTTATTTAATTTATTTTAAAGACCTTCGCTAGAATTGATTAGTATTTAATTATTAAAAAAAAAGTGTTGGTTGTTTCAGCCTCTGCAAAAAAAAAAGTTCAATATTATTAGGTTTGAATCAGTATATTCATGTGTACATATGTGATGGTATGAGGATCACAAAGTACCATAAAATACAATGTAAAATTTCAAAAATTAAATTTTAGTTATTTTTTCCGTTCATAAATAATGTAAAATTTCCAATTTGTCATAGACTCATAGTTAATGTTTCTTAATGGTAAAATGTAAACTTTACAATGTTTTTGCAAAAATGTAAACTTTTGTATTGACGAAATATGTATATATAAAGTATGATTTGCATCCGAAACAGAAGAAGACACAAAAACAAAGTTGGAATATATCTTTTTACAAAAAAAAACAAAGTTGGAATATTCTTTTGGGGTGTGTGTGGTGAAGTAAAAGTATGGCGTTTTGGATGGTTTTGGGTGGTTGCATAGGTATCACAGCCGTTACTACGCTTATTATATGCATCTTATGTTATTATATTTATGTACTGTGCAATGAGCGCTTTGATCGAAACCGGATTGAACCCAATTTGGGATAATCCATAATATTATCATCTATGGTTTATATTATGTTCGGTTTTACTTTGGTTTTCTTATGAATTAATTTACGATGATACTTTTAGATTGGTGATGTATACAAGCAGATCAATTACGTGATGAGATGATGCTGCAATATTTATCAATAAATTTTTTTTGTTTAATGATATTGTAAAGTACTCTATTCTACATATTTAATTGACCTTTCAATGATTTTGCCATACTTTATAGTGTTAGTGTGTTACTTGTACACGATTACTCGTATTTTGGTGATTTATTTAATGAAACAACGATTTATTTAGAGGAAGTAATTTGTAAGATCATCATTCCAACTAAACTCAAGATTTTTTTTCTGTATAAACGGGAAGAAAAAAAAGAGTTACCACTTGAGTTTAAAGTTTAAACAAACGACCAATTTCCTAGTTTTGAACGATTATCACGTAATTTTTTTAATTTACAGCTTTTCAATAGTTCTTTTCTCAATTATTGGCCATTTAGCTTTCATGGTTTTCAAGTCACACCAACAACTTTGCTAGGGAGCTAAGCCATGCCCTTATTTGACTCCCAAGACCGGATACATAGCTATTCTGAGTGCGTCAAATTCAAATACAATAACCATTTATATATTGTTTCGTTTTAGTTGTCGTTCTAGATTTTTTCACTTTTATTAATAAAACATATTAAGAATTATATTATACCTTTAAAAAGCTAGTTGATAATTAGTATTCTTCATTAGATTAAGGCTAAACTAGATATTAAGTTATAAAATGTACATTGGAAAATGGAAACGACAAATATTTTGAAACAAAAAAAATAAGACTAGAACGACAACTATTTTGAAACAGAAGAAATACAAAATAATTAAATAATTAAGATTTAGGTTATCAAAATGAAATCAAAGAAAATGAAAACAATTAAAAATTTCGTATACACATCTATACTGTAGAAACTATAAATTAATAATGTCGGAACTTTTATATTTTATTAATTTATAGAGTTATTAATATATAGATTTTGACTAAAAAATATTTTTCAAAAAATGAAAAAAAATATGTTAATTTTTCAATTTTTAATCAAATTAAATAAGAACTTTCCTACATTTTCTTAACTTCTTTTTTTGATATTTATATATTTACTTTATTGTTTATATTTTTCATCCTTGCCATATTTTTAAATTCTTTTTTTGATAATTTCCATATTTGTTTGATGTGTAAGAGATTCATATTTTAGTAGGTAGATATCTTAGTTATACTTATATATATATATATATATATATATATAATTTTTTTATATGATATTATAATTTATGATATTATTGGGATCATATTTTACATAAGAGTTTAAAAATAACTATTATCTTATTATCTTATCGAATTGTGTCATATTGTACACCGGCCCAACTCGGGACCATGGAAATTTATTAATTTATCCTGTTTGTTAATTTATTGAATATTAATTTATAGAGTTTCTACTATATATATAAGTTCATACTTTTCTCTTCTCGTGCTGATACGTCAGCAAATTGGAACTTTAGAAAACCATATATACATTTGACTATTTTTATATCCTTTTTTGTATATTTTCAGATCCTCTTTTTAGATATTTAATTTAGGAAATTCTGTGTATGCATTTGACTATTTTTAGTCTACGATTTTTACAAGATTTTATCTTATTTCCCTCTTAAATAGCAGAAGATTTGATCTTATCTCCCTCTACAAATGGTTACCATATATAGCACACTTATCTACTATATATAAATGCTGTCAAATAATACATATACATTGTTATCTTCATTTTCTCTTTGTAATTTTAGAAGATTATCAAAAACCAAAACATAACTTTCTACAACAATGGTGAACTTTTCATTGAAATCTGTTTTCATCGTCCTTTTAGCTTTTACTGGTACGTAATATAATTAATGTTTTATATTTATTTATGTAATGTTAAGAAAAATTCAATAGTTTTTACCTCTGAATCTTATATAAATTTTATGCAATATTTATTTAGATACATACCCAGATTTTTAAAATATACATGATAATAAAACAATTAGATTGTGTTGTACTCTTACATCTTATGTTTTATTTATTTATGTTGTGTTGTAGTGATAATATCCGTAAGAGTTGAAACTGTTGAGGTGAAACATGTGTTACATGAGGAAACTTCTTTGAACCTTGAAGCTTCATCGCCGATCCAGGAACAAGGGTTTGGTTTTTGTCAGCCACAATGCAAAGAATTATGTTTTGGTACCAGTTGTTATTGCGAATGTCCTCCAACCCCAAAAATATAAGTTATGATCAAAAAAGTGTTGTCTGACATGATTGTACTTAAAGTTGTGTGAATCAAGTTAAAGAAAATATAATAAAATCTGCATTTCCTGTGGGCTTTGTTTTTGTAAGATGTTTTGGATGTTTCATTTTATTGTTCTTTCGGCTCTGTTTATAGAGCAGATTTTGATTACATTATTTCAACAATTTTGCCATATTTAAATTTTTTTCTACGGCGTTCCATCACACATATTCCACGCACCAAAAATACGAAGGCGAATGTTGAATCTCAAAATCACACATAGTAATAGTAAGATAAGAGATGTGAGGTTTAGGAGAGACTCTTTATTAGATCAACCAAAGACAAAGATGATACAAGGGGTGATTCGTCTCGACGACAAGCTTGACGAGACGAATACGAAAAGAATAGAGAAACTAAGAACAAAGACGAATTATAACTAGGGTTTTTCTTTGAATATTTATGGATGATTCTGAATGGTCTTCAAGGAATAGGGGGTCTTCTATTTATATGGAGAGGAGGTTGGCTTCTTCAAGATATTCTTCCATATTTCTTTTGGAAATATTCTTCTTTGGCGTTGATCTCCTTCTATTTTTCTTGGATGTAGTCTTTTTCTCCAAGTATTTCCTTTTCTTTGAGGAGGTGGAAGTGGAAGCGGGCCGGGCTTACATAGTATTATTAATTGTGACGGGCTCAGGGAAATTGTGCTAATTTCTGCTCTAACAATAAGTCCCCCCCAGTTTGGCGAGATAAATGCAATTTAATCTCGGCGAACTTCATGTATAAAAGAGGAGCTCAAGAGCAATTAATAATAACTATGTGATGCCGACGCGATGCCGATGCTGTCGCGATGCTGCGCTGACGTGATGCTGCGTTGCGTTATTGACTTTAGATCCGTACTGCCTCGTTAAAACCTTGATATGGAAAAACCCTATGGGATAAAAACCATAAAAGGGAAAAGAGTACGTGACGTAATCTTGTCCGCAAATAGAATGTGCTTTTGATAATTTCTCTCGGACTTGACGAGATGACTCTTTTGTCTCGTCAAGGAGAATAGATTGCTGTGATGATTTTTCTCGGATTCGAGCTTCGACGAGATTGGTTAGAGTCGTGCTTCGACGACACCGATTGGGGTCGTGCTTCGGCGACACTTGTTTTTCTCGGGATTGTGCTTCGACAAAACCAGTTGGGGTTGCGCTTCGGCAACACTTGTTTTTCTCGGGATCGTGCTTCGACGAAACTGGTTGGGGTCGCGCTTTGGCAATACTTGTTTTTCTCGGGATCGTGCATCAAGGAAACCGGTTGGAGTTGCGCTTCGGCAACACTTGTTTGCTTCGTCAAGACGTTTGGCCAAAACGTCGACGCGTACCTTTGAAGGTGAAGAAAATTCTACAATGCTCATCACGTCATATGGATTATAAAATTTTATTGGAGTTATAGCTGAACCTTTTGAAAGGCTGCCTACGTACCCATGCCGGGATCAAGCCATTCGTAGTTCGTTGCGACGAGTAGGGTAGTATTACTCCACCTTTTTTTTTTTGGATGCCGCGACGCTTACCGGACGTGCCGTTTCGGCGGTGGAGGCAGGTCATCTGGGTGAGGGAGTGGCTGAGGCGCGTTCTTCTCGGCGTCATCATCCTCATCTCGGCGTCGGCGCTGGTTTTCAGCTTGTCGATTCTGGTCACGGCATTCAGCATCGTCTTGGCTTTGCGGAGTATTGTTGTACTCTTGTATCAAGCTCATGACATGCCTACAGGTGTCCGTAGCATGACCGTATCGTCTATGGAAGCGACAGTAGCTCTTATCGTCGTTGTTCGTCGGGAGAAGGTTTCCTTTTATTCTCTTAACGAGACAACTCTTTCGTCGTTCCATGAATCTTCGAGTGGTGTGCCCTACTTTCTTCGACAAGTACGTACTTTTGAGACCGGTGCTAAGCGTCTTGGAGGGTTGCGGGTTCGTCGAGTATCAAACTCTCTTTTAACTTTGATTCGAACCAAAGCCCGTTTTCGAAAGCTTTGATTCCTCTCGCGTCAGGGATGTCTGAGTGATCTGCTGCTGCTGTTTTGAATCTCTCGACAAATACGCGAAGAGGTTCATCTTTTCCCTGTGCCATAGTGAAAAGATTGGTGCTGCCTTTTGACATAAACATGCCAAAAAGTTTCATGAATGCCGTGGTGAGATCGTTGAAGCTATTGATGGTCTCGGCGGGAAGATTCGAAAACCAGCTCGTTGCATCTTTGTTCATGTGCTCGATGAACACTTGACAGTAATTTGTGTCTTGTTCTTCGGGGGAGGCATATTTTTGCCTTCTCATGGCCATCTCGAAGTTTCTTAGCCAGTTTCGAGGATCGTCACCCTTGTTGTAGAACTGAAGACGGAGAGTCGTCTGATCCCTTAGAGGTATCATGGCGATGCGACAAGTGAATAGACTTCTTTTCGTCTCGGCGAGGACTTTGGCAATCTCGGGTGCCGAGCAGATGGCACAGTGCACTTTGGAGCTGATTGCGTCGAGATCGCGGTGCAGCTTGGCCACTTCTGGGTCGGTGTCTTTCTCACCATTCGTCGCGGCATTAGAGCCAGTCGCGGCGGTGCTTCTTGTCGGCGTCTGGAAGAGGGTTCGTCCCGTCGGGATGACTCGTCCGTCGCTGGTGACGTGGAGGGAGTCGATCTTGTCGTTGTACTTTTGCTGCTGAGCTTGCATCTCGGCAATTTGAGCAGCAAAACTTTGCATGGTGGCGGTTTGAGCTTGCATCTTGGCAGTTTGAGCAGCCAATTGTTGAATCTCAAAATCGCACAGTAATAGTAAGATAAGAGATGTGAGGTTTAGGAGAGACTCTTTATTATATCAACCAAAGACAAAGATGGTACAAGGGGTGATTCGTCTCGACGAGAAGCTTGACAAGCCGAATATGAAGAGAATAGAGAAACTTAGAACAAAGAACGAATTATGAGTAGGGTTTTCTGAATATTTATGGATGATTATGAATGGTCTTCAAGGAATAGGGGGGTCATCTATTTATATGGAGAGGAGGTTGGCTTCTTCAAGATATTCTTTCATATTTCTTTTGGAAATATTCTTCTTTGGCGTTGATCTCCTTCTATTTTTCTTGGAAGTAGCATTTTTCTCCAAGTACTTCCTTTTTTTTTAGGAGGTGGAAGTGGAAACGGGCCTGGCTTGCATAATATTATTAATTGTGACGGGCTCAGGGAAATTGTGCTAATTTCTGCTCTAACAGCGGATAGGCTAGCAGAGTGTTCGAGATCTTCCCTATAACGTATATTATATGAACTCTATTCCACCGGTTTGGAAATCCAAACCGTTTTAGGAATATTGGCTGTCGACAAAAAAAAAAGTTTTTCTACTGAAAAAAAAATAATACTAATCTAAATATTGAAATTGGTGCTCCCCCGCATTTGTTTCTCTCTTTAAAACTTTACAAGAATTGTTCAAACCAGAGCTAGTTACAGACTTACAACAAACACACATCCTCTTAAACATAGATTGCATATTTTAACTCTATTTGAACACACAAGGAAACATAAAAAAAAAAAAAATTAAAAAAATAAAAATAAAGAAATAGAAGCAAGATTTAAAACCAATCGACCTGGCCAATAGAAGCTAATTTCCTAATCCAGATCAAGAAACTCGAACCTGATCATTTAAAAATCAAGTGAAGAGAATGTTTAGAAGAGAGACTAGCTAGCTTGTATCATTTACTTTGAACAATCCTTCCAGCCCCTCTTCAAGCTCTTCCATGGATGTCTCTACACCTTCCGATCTAACCAATGCCCATTGAATCCTCTCGAATAAATTACCATCCATTAATATAATAGTTTGATGTAGAATTTGAAAGACCATTTCTTTTACAAAACAATTTATGTATCTGTAAGTGTAATTCAGCTCAACTTCTAATGGGCCAGGCCCATCAACCATACTCCGCAACCTTGGGCTTCACCTAGTTCACAGCCCACGAAGTCGACTTATCCAGCTGGCGTTATAAGTTGACTCAGTCTTCGTCTTTTCCGTGGTCACGCGATAAGAACCTGCAACAGAATTCCAGAGTTAGAGAGAGAGAAAAAGTTACAGAGAGAGAGCGAGATCACAGAGAGAAAGCGAGATAGAGTAGATCAAACCTGAGATCCTCTAGCTTTCTAGGTGTGTGAGCTCTGATTGTAACCCGAGGTGTTTTCCGATCATCGGACCTCTGTATCTCTTTGGCGTTCTCGCCGTAATAATGATGAGCGACGGAAGGCGCGATTCCTTCCCCCAGTGAGTAGGAAACGAACACTGGGTAAACAAAAATCTCTTGCGTTCTTTAATTCCTGCATAAACAAACAAACAATTAGCTTAGATCGATCGGATCATATAAATCTCAACAAGTGGTATCAGAGCTCAGGTCGAGTGATCTGATCCATAGCTTTTCGATAAAGGAAAACGCGAAAGGAGTTTGTCATATTACCTTGGATTGTTCCTGGAATCTCTTCGTGGATTGATCATCTCTGGGTCTTCTGGTTTTCTTTTGGATTTTCTGGTTTTCTGGTTTTCTGGTTTTCTGGATTGCCTGGGTTTTCTGTTTGTGATTGCAAATCTGGTGACACCTGAGAACCTTCGGGATTTCACCGTCGACGGATCATCATGGATCCTACGGCGGGAAGGTTCGAGATGGATAAGTTTACCGGGAAGGAGGATTTTGGTATGTGGAAGTATAAGCTCCTGGTCAGCTCGAGATCCAAGGGCTCGGAGACGTTCTGGAAAGGGTTTCACCGTCACTGCCAAATCCGAAAAAGCAGAAGAGGGATCAGAACCAAGAAAAGATCCTAAGAAAGCTGCAAAAGATCTCAGAGTAAGGAATTTGATTGGTACCTTTTTGAGTGATCTGATTCTGAGAAAGGTAATGAGCCAACCTACGGCTCTTGATATGTGGCGTGCCCTGGAAGAGGAATATCAAGCTAAGTCATTACCAAATCGTATATACCTCAAGCAGCAATTTGCTAGCTTCAGAATGGATGAATCCAAAACAATGGAGGAAAACTTGGATACCTTCTTGAAGCTTATCTCAGACTTGGCCAGTCTCCAAATCTCCATCAGTGATGAGGATCAAGCTATTCAGCTTCTTACGAGTCTCCCACCTGCGTATGAACCATTAGTACATACTTTGAAGTATGGTACAGGAAAAGAAACTCTTACTGTGAGAGAGGTCAAGGCATCTGCGTATGCGAAAGAGGCTGAGCTAAGGCACAAAGGAATGTTGAAGAGAGGCAAATCCAGTGCTGAAGGTCTTTACGTTGACTCCAGGGGCAAATCTCAGAAAAAGAAAGACAAAAACTATGAGAAAGGGAAAGTCAAATTGGCAAGGAAAATCTAAGGGAAAAGTTAACAAGGCAGGGAAAAGTGCTTGCTTCATTTGTGGAAAAGAGGGACATTGGAAGAGAGAATGCCCTAACCGTGATCAGAGGAAGTCCGGTGAAGCCTCCGCAAATGTTGTCTCAGAGCCTGTTCAGCCTCTTGTTCTCACGGCAAGCAATCGCCGAGGAAAAACTGGTGAGGCTTATGTAAACATAGTCTCAGAACCAGTTCAACCCATGGTCCTCACGGCAAGCACTCACAGCAGGGCTGATGAGTGGATTCTTGACTCCGGGTGTACCTTTCACATAACACCAAACCGACATTTAATGTTCGATGTAAAGGAAGTCGAGGGTGGAAAAGTACACATGGCAAATGATACTCACTATCAAGTGAAAGGCATCGGAAAGATTAAAATCACTAACCCTGATGGATCCGTTGTCATCCTCACTGAAGTGAGATACATGTCGGAGATGAATCGAAACTTGATATCCTACGGTATGCTTGAAAGGTCTGGCTGTAACTACAGAGGAGAAGACTACACAGTCACTTTCTACAAAAATGGTCAAAAGGTCTTAACTGGAAAGTATGAAGATGGGTTATATTACCTTCAGGGTACGGTATCCAGGCCAGAGTCAAATGTAGCAGTGCCTAGAAACCAAATGACAAGCTTATGGCATTCAAGACTTGGTCATATGAGTGAAAAGAATATGAAAATTCTAGCTAAAGATGGATACTTACCAAACACTGAAGTTGGAGACCTGGATTTCTGTGAAAGTTGTGTTCTAGGTAAAGCTCACAAGCTGAGTTTTCCAAAGGCCAAGCATACCACTAAGGGGATCCTGGAGTATGTCCACTCGGACTTGTGGGGTTCACCGTCCACTCCAGAGAGCTTGGGAGGATGTAAATACTTCGTCAGTTTCATAGACGATTACTCCAAGAAAGTCTGGTCCTTCTTCCTGAGAACAAAAGATCAAGCATTCCCCGCGTTTAAAGAATGCAAGGAGGCAGTAGAGAATCATACAAAAAAGAAGGTTAAGTGCTTGAGAACTGACAATGGTCTAGAGTTCTGCAATACCTTATTCGATGATCTCTGCAGCAGGTCAGGAATCAAACGCCACAGGACCTGTACCTACACACCACAGCAAAACGGTGTGTCAGAGAGGATGAATAGAACTATTATGGATAAAGTTCGAAGCATGTTAGCCGAGACTGGTTTGGGTCAAGAGTTCTGGGCTGAAGCTACTTCTACTGCGGTATATCTAATCAACAGAACTCCAAACTCCACTATTGAATTTCAACTACCTGAGGAGAAATGGTCTGGACAGAAACCTGACCTGTCTAATCTGAAAAGATTCGGATGCACGGCCTATGTGCACGTTACTCAGGATAAAACAAGTCCTAGGGCTATCAAGGGCGTGTTCGTTGGTTATCCGTTTGGAGTTAAGGGTTTCAGGGTTTGGATTCCAGAAGAGGGCAAATGCACTACTAGCATAAATGTAGTGTTCAGGGAGGAAGAAGTTTACAAAGACACCCTAAGCATTTCTAAATCAGATGCATCTACAGCTCCTATCAAAGAAAAGAAGAAGAAGTCTGGGAGGAAAGTTACCTTTGATACTGATATTGAGAAGGGTCCAAGTGCTTCAGGCACCAGTATCAACTTGGATGAGACTTCTCCTTCAGGTGGAGCTACGCCTGAGTCTGGGACTGATGGCTCCGGCTCTAGTGAATCAGACTCCGACTCAGAATCCTCGCAAGATTCAGAAGAAGAAGAGGGATTAACTTTCAATGAGGAAGTACAATCAGAAAGTGTTCAAGAAATTGACAATTACTTACTTGCGAGAGATCGAGTCAGACGCGTAGATGTAAGGCCACCGTCGAGGTATGAAGACGCAAACTTCGCAGCTTATGCACTAGCTTGTTCTGATGACACTGAAACAGAAGAACCAAAGAGTTATCAGGAAGCTATGAGGAGTCCGAATTGGAAAGAATGGACTAATGCATCAGACGAAGAAATGGACTCTCTGTGGAAGAATCATACTTGGGATCTTATTGATAAACCTCCAAACGCCAAGGTAGTCGGATGTAAGTGGCTGTACAGGATTAAATCTGGTATTCCGGCAGTGTTGTCGAAACGGTTTAAGTCACGTCTAGTGGCTCAGGGGTTTTCTCAGAAAGAGGGTATTGACTACAATGAGGTTTTCTCGCCAGTGGTTAAACATGTTTCTATCAGGATTATGCTGTCTGCGGTTGTTAATAATGACTACGAGTTGGAACAGATGGATGTTAAAACGGCTTTCCTACATGGGGATCTAGAGGAAAGGATTCTAATGCAGCAGCCTGAGGGTTATATCAAAAAGGGAGATGAGAACAAGGTTTGTCTTCTGAGAAAGTCTCTCTACGGCTTGAAACAGTCTCCTAGGCAGTGGAATCTGAAATTTGACAGTTTCATGAAAGAAGAGAAGTTTATCAGAAGCAATGGAGATCCATGCGTATACATGAAGAATGTAAAGACAAAGGAAGCAGTTTACCTTTTACTCTACGTCGATGATATTCTGATAGCCTCCGGAAGTATGGCTGAGATCAGGCTGATCAAGGAAAGCCTAAGCCGGAAATTCGAGATGAAGGACTTGGGAAAAGCTTCCCGCATTTTGGGCATGGACATCATCAGAGACAGAGAAAAAGGAACCTTAAAACTGTCTCAGGAAAGTTACATAGAAAAAGTTCTCAAGGCATTCGATATGGCAGATGCAAAATCTACAACTACACCATTAGCTACACACTTCAAGCTAAAGAGCCTAACAAAAGCAGAAAGGAAGGAAGAAGTAGTTCATATGGAAAATAAGCCCTATGCTAGTGCAGTGGGTAGTCTAATGTATGCAATGATTGGTTCAAGACCTGACTTGGCCTATGCAGTGGGAGTTATCAGTAGGTTTATGTCAAATCCAGGCAGAGAACATTGGACAGCAGTTAAATGGGTACTTAGGTATCTACGAGGTGCTTCTAAAGACTGTCTAACCTTTACCAAGAACAAGGAATTCAGTATTGAAGGGTTTTGCGACTCAGACTATGCTACAGATATTGATAAACGAAGATCAGTTACAGGATTTATCTTTCAGGTTTGGGGAAATACAATATCCTGGAGATCTAATCTACAAAGTGTTGTGGCATTATCAACTACTGAAGCCGAGTACATGGCTCTAACCTCAGCAGTGAGGGAAGCTATTTGGCTAAAGGGTATCTGTGAAGAATTGGGTTTTGAAACAGGCGCAGTTAAGATACACTGTGATTCGCAAAGCGCATTGGCTCTAGCCAAGAATTCAGTTCATCACGAAAGAACGAAGCACATAGCTACTAAATATCATTTCATTCGGGATATAGTAGCTGAAGAAACAGTAAAGCTATTCAAGATTCACACTAGCAGGACTTCAGCTCAACTTCTAATGGGCCAGGCCCATCAACCGTACTCCGCAACCTTGGGCTTCACCTAGTTCACAGCCCACGAAGTCGACTTATCCAGCTGGCGTTATAAGTTGACTCAGTCTTCGTCTTCTCCGTGGTCACGCGATAAGAACCTGCAACAGAATTGCAGAGTTAGAGAGAGAGAAAAAGTTACAGAGAGAGAGCGAGATCACAGAGAGAAAGCGAGATAGAGAGTAGATCAAACCTGAGATCCTCTAGCTTTCTAGGTGTGTGAGCTCTGATTGTAACCCGAGGTGTTTTCCGATCATCGGACCTCTGTATCTCTTTGGCGTTCTCGCCGTAATAATGATGAGCGACGGAAGGCGCGATTCCTTCCCCCAGTGAGTAGGAAACGAACATTGGGTAAACAAAAATCTCTTGCGTTCTTTAATTCCTGCATAAACAAACAAACGATTAGCTTAGATCGATCAGATCATATAAATCTCAACAGTATTACATAATTTACCATTATTTTATAGGACGAACATTGATGGGATAAAGCAAAACAGAACGGAAATAAACAAGACAAGAAAGAACATGACTAGGCAGAACGAAAAGGAAATGAACAGGACGAGACAGAACGACAAGAAAATAAACGGGGCAAGGCGAAACTAGATTGAAATAAACGGGACGAGGTGGAACGAGACGGTAAGAAACGAGACGTGATGGAACAAGACAAATTATGCATAACCCTACTTTTACTTAACGAGACAAGACGAGAATTATTCCTATATGTATAACCTAATTTGCCATTATTTTATAAGACGAACATTGGTGACGGAACAGGAAGAAAAAAACCGGAATGAGGCAAAACCTGACGGAAATCAACAAGACAGGAAGAAACAGGATGAGACAGAAAGGAAAAGAACATGATGAGGCGAAACAGGATGGAAATGAGTGGGATGAGGCGAAACAGGATGGGATGAATGGGATGAGGTGGAATGGGACAGAGTGGAATGAGACGGAATGAAACGGGACATGACGGAACGAGACCAAATTATGCTTATCCCTAATTTGAATTGACGGGACGAGACAAGAAATATCTCTACCCTTAATTTTTTTTTTTAAGTTACTATGCTTATAGTTTGGAACACAAAATTAAATTAGAAAATTTAATATACTCTGAATTTTATTTTAACGATATCAATAATAACAATGTAAAATTCCACGGATCACCCCTAGATAAATAAAAGACTTTGGTTAGATTTTTATATAACTACAAAAAGAGAGAGAAAAAAAAATCAAAACCCAAAAGAAATATTCTATGTACTAAAACAAATCAACAAAAATAAGTTAATAAATAAATTATCATTCTTTTTGCAAGACATTAGACTCAAAAAGAAGGCTCAGGATGAACAGCAGAAGCGGCGGCGTTGTTAACGTGAAGAGCTCTTTGAAGTTTCCGTTGGTCGAATACTTCAACTCCGACGCTAAATATCGATGTCACCGGTCGGTGATCGGACATTTTTATCTCCGATCTCTTATAACACTCTTGTCTTATTCCTTTTCCCAACCATAATATTCTATCACACCTGTTAACAAAATAAAACACTCTTTAAGAATCTCTCAATTTTTTTTAAAAATGACCCCACAAATCTAAAAGTATTTTGTTTAGTCACTTACCAAGCCGGAGCTCTCTTCTTCTCTCCTTCTCTCACGTTCTCTCCGGCGTAACGGTCGGAATCGAATTCATATTTATACGTCGGAGGGAAGTTAATCGGTCCTTCTCTCCATCCATCAAAGACATGCCCTCTTCTTAGTTCTCTAATCAGCTGTTAAATTAAAATTTGATTTTTGTTATTAACTTAAGAAATTAGTATGATTAATAGTCAAAACGGAACATAACAAAAGAAAACGAACCTGATCACTGTTCTTGAGCTCGTCCCATCGTTTCTGTGCGACAAGCTTTCTTACTTCACTGTCTGACATATTAAGTCGGTAATTCAGATCTCCGAACCAGAACACCTGACTGTTAAATATACAAGAAAAAAAAACAAATTAGTAAAAACATTTAAAGTTTCTTGCTTTGTGTTTTGTAATCTTTATACTTACTCGTGACATGGAATCGTTCTTGGTTGATCGGTATCAAGAACAGATGCGAAACGAGTACGACGTATGATTTCGTACACGTCAGCGTTCCGGCGTTGCTCAGCACCGTCTTTTTGACCGGAAGTTAAGTGTGAACACACGAAACACATCCTCGATTGGTATAACGTCATGCTAATAGACACCGATCCCTGCAAAAATCAAGAATATCAAGAAATTGCTTTATTGAGATTTCTTGACGAGAAAGATAGGTTAGGGTTTGTTTTTAGTTACCTTGTTTCCCATGTAACCCATCAAGCCAACTCCGACCGGCGAGACTTTCAAGTTGTTGACGTGTCTTCTCAACCGCCGTCGGATCCAAACCGATACATAGATCCCAACCATTTGCTTGCTCACTATCCTCACATACTTTTGAGAATCTTTCGCCTTCCGACACTCCTCCACCAAATCTTCCGGCAATCCATAAGTATTTCCGATCTTCTCTCCTTCCTCCTCCTCGTCATCATTGGAAGACGATTCTCCGTCTGATGAATCATCATCAGACAGGATTTTCGCGGCTTCTTCCGCTTCGGACGAGGAGGATGAAGTATTACAACAATTCTCTTCTTTTATATCATTCCAACTCAGCTTTAGGGTTTCAAAGCTCCGTGACCGTCTCAAGTTTCTTGCGTCTGAAGCAAACCTACTCACTCCCGTTGGATTCTCCGGCAGCTTAAACCCTAGCCTCGCGTTGCTGCTTAACACTCTCCTTAGCTTCCCTTCTGACTCAACAACCTGAGGGTTCTTGTCTAACGCTCGTTCAGGCCAGTCCATGTCCGGATTCCCCACTGGTTCCAGACTCGGCAAAGCGGTTGCAGCATCGATGTACTCGTGTGTAGCTAGATCTAGCGAGTGGTCCGCAGCGAGATTCTCGACCATGACATCAGAGATAATGGATGTTGTTTGTTGTGCTAGGACAGGAGATGCCGGTGCGCTGTGAGATCTATGAAGAACGTTGTTGTTGTTGCAGCTTGGAGATTGATCACCATAGACTGATTCTTTCTGGGATTTGTTCAGCGTTCTACGGATTATCGATTCCCATTTGGGAATCGGACCTCTATCTTCTGCTCCGAACACGTTTCCTGCGTTTAACGGAACCACTTCTTGAAACCTGTAACGAAGAGAACAGATTCATCAAAACAGAGGAAAAACAGAGGAAGCGGTAAATAGTAAATTTTGATTTGACGTTTTTTACTTACCCGATGATGTAAATATCTGAAGGGTTGTCGGTAGAAAGCCAATCGTCGATCACGAGATCATCGGAGGGACGTTTTCCGGCGACGTTCCATGTAGCCACCGTCACTCTATAAACAACCAAAAACAAAAACGTGTCAGACTCAGAGATATATAATTCACCGGGGAAAAAAGAGAGAAAGTTCCAGAAATACACTTACTTGATGTCCTTTGTATTTATGTATTGGACTCTCAAAGTCTCCGATTTGCCTCGCCGGTGTTTTCTCTGGTAACTCCTCACACCACCACCGTCTGGAGAATTTTAAAATAAATCCAGAAAACTAAATATTAGAATTCGTCTGTTATTTCTTTCTGAATTTCGGATTTACTCAAAAAAACAAAGTTATAATAATTACCTGTAATTTTGTTGCCGTGATCAGCTTCGCTTCCTCGGCGACCGCCATGGCTGTCTTCATCAGTTACATTAGCGACGTCTTTGACCGAACACACTGTAAAGGGACCCAGAAAATCAGAATTAATATCATATAGATAAAATTATGGATCAATTTTGACCGAATCATCAAAGATAAATAAAAAAGAGGAGATCATTCTTGAAAAAAAAAAATTTATAAAGAAATTCTTGAAAATAATGATAAATACTTACCGTCGTCTTCGCTCTCAGTTTCTGTATCGATTTCGTCTTCGCTAAAGTCGTAAACTTTCGGCTTTATGTTTAACCATTTATTCATCACAATCGAAGGCCAAAACTTCTGTTTTCGTCAAACAAATAACAAATAATCAAAAATCTGTATAAAATAAAAATAAATATATTTACAAAAACAGAGAAGAGAAGAAAGGTCGTACTTCAGGGCGTCTCCCGCGTCTTGTTTTCATCTTCTCCGATCAGACAAATGTTTGATTTTTTTTTTATATGATTTCTCTTTTGGAGAATTTTGAACTGAAGAAATGTCAGAGTTTTGATATTTATAACAGTGACAGAGTTTAAGAGACCAAGAAGACTACAAACGAACAAGAACAAAAATTAAAAAGTTGAGAGTCAGACAAGAAGACGTGTGAAGGCAAAAAAAAAAAAAAAATTATAAAGTTGTAATGATGAAAATTCTCTGATATTTGTTTTTATTTTGGGGGTTTGTTCGATAGAAGAAAAAAAAGCTATAAAGCTATGGCTGTTATTAAAGAGACTTCGCGAACCAAACTGCAACTTGCGATCCACTTTTTCTTAATAATCAGATTAATTTGGGGAAGACATAATAAAGAGAACTATAAAGATTGTCAGATTTATTTCTCTTTTTTTGTTCTCTCACGTGTTTTCGGTTTTTTTATATATTCCCAACCGAATTCGGTTTTACTAGAGTGATTGTATTGTACCACACACTTCTCTTTATGCTTAAGCTTAACCATACCGAACCTCTTACTAACTAATGTTTCTTCATTTCTATGGTAGTTTTGAGATTAGTGGTGTTTAATTAAAATCAGTTTCAGTTTAGTCACTGTTTTTTGTGAAAAAAAAACAGCAAAAATACAAACCGAAACCAAGCCAAAATCCGATTCAGCAAATTGCTTTTAGGATAATATTTAGTAAACGGTCTTTTTGGTGAACCTTTTTCTTAGGCAACAAAATATAACGATTAATTTTTGAAATATGAGTCTAGCTCCAGCTAATATTTTCAGCCATACAGTCGGCGAAAATATTGTTTATTTATTTGACTAATGTTGGATTAAAATAATACATTATACAATGACAATGAATTGGAACCATAATACATAACGAATAATAAAAACATGCGCTTTATCCCCACTCTTAGAAAGTCTTCTTTTTTTTTAATTGTCTACATCTTTTTTTGTTATATAATTGTCTACATCTTTTAAATGTTATGTTTCAAATTCAAATATTTGAAAACAAAAATTGTAATTCCAATTTCCAAACTAGATTAATTTGATGGATATCTACTATGCAGATAAGATCGGATTTATCCAAGTCCAATCTGTGGATATCCTAACTGTATTGAAAATGTTAGTTTCCGACAGCTAATCCAAGTCCAAACTAGATTAATTTGATTTAATTTTTTATCCAAAATATGTATAATTAATCGCTGAAATTAGGTATTCCCTCCATTTTATAATAAATGTCGTTTTGATAAAATGAATTTGGACTATTTATTGATGTATCTGAATGTGTTTTGAATCTTAATACATCCATATACTTCTATATATATTAAGTAAGTTAAGAATCAAAACGACACTTATTATAAAACGGAAGGAGTATTTGATAGTATAATTATGTAACACAATTTGACGCTCATGCAATGCAATTTGTTGGTAGAGGACGTAACGAGAGTCATTAAGAAAGTTTCGGTTGACCCCATTAATTAGTTTAATTCATCCAATTGGGGTACATTTAATTTGTTAATCACGGTATTAATCAGGGACCGTAAACAAAAAGCCGACGACTGTCGTTGACCGTCAAATAGGGATATTTCATATTTTCTTTACCATAAGTCCAGTGGAAATAAAAATGTTTTTAGTTTTTACTTATCATCAACGAGAGCGACGGGATAACAAATATTTGGATAGATAAATTCTTAATTTAACTGCTGTCTCAGATTTCAAGTTGCTTCTTCTGAATTTGTTATTTTAGTTTGCTTAAGAAAACGGTTGTTACTGTTTGCTATTGTACATTACTATCAATCAAACTCAGTAAGCAAAGCTTACCATTGTCCTAAATATCTTGAAATTCATTAAATACTTTTGAAAAGAAGATGATTTAAAAAGTTTATCCTTAAACACAAGAAACAAAATCAAAAACGAATAATTTAATTTATATTGATCAAGTCGGTCAGTCAAAGACATTCAAAATGTAGGCATTCTATCAAATACATTTAAATTGATCTTTACGATAATTAAAAATTTAGAAGCAATTAATATATTTTAATTTACCAAATCCAACACAAAAATTAGATACGATTGGTAGGCCGGTCTAAAGGTACATTTGGACCACATACCTGTAAGCGCACCCATATACATACGGAAACAATTATTCAGAAGTTTAATTATATTATAGCAAACGTAAACTTTATTAAATAATGTTCGAAAGATTGAGTAGAATCATGCCGTAAGAAAGTTTTATAGTAACGTGTTGACAAAAAAAGAAAGTTTTATAACGTTGTCTGTGTCATTCACTCATTTGCTTTCTACAACGTGCCAAATTAGTTTTAGCTACTTTGTATTTTTTTATTAGTGATTTTTAATTCATTTTCTAAAACAGAGTTTTTTTAATGGACTGAAGTATTAACTAATCACACAAATCATTACCCACAAATAAAACTAATTTTTTCACACAACTCTCAGACTAAAATCGGACAAGTAGTGTACAATTTTTCACATTTTACTGGGAAATATTCCATAAAATGCAATAGAGTTGTAAATGGACTGATGTATTAACTAATCACACAAATCATTACCCCCAGACGAAAGATAAGTAAAACTAAAATACAATATGTTTTTGAAGTACAATCGATTGAACGATCTATTTGTAAGGACTAAAATAAATCCACACACAAATTTACATAATTAACTTTCATCTATGTTGTTTGAAACGACAATATCACCGATCTAATTTGCAAATATAATGTTGCCAGCACCAAACTAATCATTAACCATACTATGTGAAGGTGGATAACAACATTTGGTGGCATGCTCTATGGACAAGTTCGTCATAGTTTTGGCTGAGTATGTCACTGTTTTGGTAAATTTTACTTGTTCAATCGTCTCTGGCAAAATTTACTATTTAAAAAAATCTGCCAGACTTACAAAAGCTAGAAGATCAGAAGATTAACAACCTCATACAATAAATTATTGAGAATAAATCGATGTATGAGACTCTTTGGGTGTAGATAGAAGTCTCGGTGCATCATTTGCACCCAAAAAAAAAGATAGAAGTCTTAGTGATAGCATAAGAGAAGAGAAATGGAAAATTAAGGGAAGGAAAGACCGAAAGAGGACGAAGAATAAAAAAAGGGTTGACTGAAAGAATATGACAAAATGGGATCTAGGGTTTACTCTAAACTTAAGTTGATTCTTAGGGTTGAAAATGAAGATTACAAATTTGTAAACAAAACCAACTCCGGCAAGTGGAAATATTATGACAAGTGGGATCTAGGGTTTATTCTAAAGGTCGAAAATGAAGATAACAAATTTGTAAATAAGATTAACTTTTCCAAAACTCTAAGTTTGTAGGGTACAAACCACACATTATCTTCGAAAATTGGATACTTTAAACAAAATAAGACTGAAAATATTGATAGACAATAACGGAAATATCGTGGAAGTCATCGTGAAACACCTTTGGAAAGGAGAAAATATGAATCCAGACAAGGCATGGGATTGGAATTTGGTCCCCCTCCATAGACAAAATTGCAACTAAAATTGTTCTCTTCTTAATTTTTCATTTTCATAACAAATTAAAGTTTTTTTTTCTCTCTACATATAACTTTCAACGATTCGTATAGGAGAGAAACTCTCCATCTGAGATAGAATCTCTATCCATCTAAGTACATTACAAGTGCTAGTGGATTATTTTGATTTGTCTGGATTCTGATTAAGAATTGAAAAATATATTGATTCTTCAGTACTTATTAGGGGAAATTTCAAAACTACATCTCTAATTTTCAAAAATACACCTTTATGGTGTCCATTTTCAAAACTACACTTTTTTCATTGAGTAAAAGAACTCTAAACTCTAAAATATAAATCCTAAACCCTAAAATTTAACATTAAACCTTAAATCTAAACCCTAAACCTCAAAATCTAAACCCTAATATAGGATTAGTGAACCCAAACATATATATTAAAATTAGGAAAAAGTGTAGTTTTGAAAATTTTCACACTATAGGTGTAGCTTTGAAAATTTGCACCTCAAGAGGTGTATTTCTTAAAATTTATCTACTTAACTTAACTTCGAATTAAGGGGCAGTATCTTGATAATTAAACTTTAGAAAGTTTTTATACAAAGCGTGTAACTTATCAGCGAAATTTACTTACTCTTGCTATATGATAAATCAACTCCCTTTGTTTCATAGTATATGAAGTTTTTTTTTAAAATATAATTTGTTTCATAAATGATGCTTTCAGTTTTTGGTGCAAATTAATTGTATTTTTGTTGTTTTTTACTGTTTGAATTCTGCATATTGTTTTCTTATTGGTTGTAAATTTTTGGAATCATAAGAAAACATGTTTTCATTTTATAGAATACAAAACTAAATTATTTTTTAATTTGTGTGCAAACACCTAAAACTTCATTTACAATGAAACAAAGAGAATATAAAATAAATTTATATGAAAAATTTGAAAGAAAGAAAATTTCTTGGTAGTATATATTTCTGATCATTTACTATTTCTGATAAGTTATTAGTGTTTTAAATTTCGAGATCATAATTTCAAAAGCAACGTACTAGCTATTTTTACCGAATTAAACAATGTTCTACCTAAACTTAAAACTATGTTCAGACTTTTCAGGTATGTTTGGCAATTTCAGTCATATCTTATGATTCTTGCCCAAATTCATGTGGCATTCATTTTAAAGTAATTATCTTGTCGAATCGAGAGGGAAAAGACAAAAAATAAGAAAAAAAAAATGTTCCTTAGTGCCGCAAAATTACTCTACTACACCATCTCAAATTGTGTCCTTTTCTGTATTGTAGTTTTTGTATATTACATAATTTTGTATAATATCTCTGATTTGCCTTTTACATTGTTTATATTAAGAAAAATAGGAACTTGGTCCACCAAAAAGCCAGTACACTCGTATGCAAATTTCACTAGCTATATCACGAGATAAGCACGCACATCATCACGATCATACAACTGTATGAAAC